GTAAATAGCTGACATTTCGTGTGTTTTTAGGATTGTCTTTAAAAGTTTTTGCCTATTCTGCAGTTGCATGCGTGTGTGCTCCTCATTGGCTTCGCTCGTTCCTCTTTTCTTTTGTTCATTTGGCTTATGCGAAGGCTAGCCAAGCTTGCTTGATGATGTCAACGCGAACAAGCATAATATAGTTAGTTGTGAAGTTGATTGTTCCAGCTACATGTATGTAGGAACACGCTTCTTGCCGAACTTAACACTTGATTTACTCACGACTGCCATCCGGACTCACGACTGTGTATTGAGCAGGGAGTGGTGCTTTCTTGCAGGTTTGCCGAGTGGAAGGTGCGACGTGCTCCTCGTGTGCTCCGGATGGCAGTCGTGAGTCAGTCAAGTGTCAATTTCGGCAAGAAGCGTGTCTTCCTACGTGTAGTTGGAACAATCAACTTCATGACTATTACCGCCGAAGTCGCAACTTCTAAGTTCGAATAGTTAGTTGGACGATATTTATTGACCGACCAAATCCTCGACTCACTATTGTAGACTACTAGTAGTAGATGTTGATGACACCATGGCTGGGTGACCGACATACAATGGCACACTCGCTAGTTCTGGAACTCTTGAGTCGAGTCTCGTGAGATCTGCTCGTCTTGCCTCGACAATTCCAGACTTATCGTATGCTCTTGTCAAACGGATCGGCTTTTGCCAGTACATGTATTGGCCACCCGCTGCTGCTTTAACTTTGTTGTAATCATGGTGGCATTCCGGTTTTATGAGACTGCATACCGAGGGGTGCATGATACAGTAGTCCACAGAACGGTAGAAAATGGAAATGGACGCTAGCCCTATAGAGTCTAGGCCCCATGGGTGCGCCCATGTACATGTATGGCCTTACTTGACTTGTGTCACCGCGATAACATTAATTTTCATTCCAAGCGATAAGGACAAATTATCTCAGCATGTTGAAATGTTGATGACAAGAGTCTCAGTATATAAAGCTTTATTACAAAGGCAGAAGAGAACAGAGAGTCAGAGACCACCACCGGCTAGATCGTTGTTGTCGCTGGTAGTACTCCATCCTTGTGGTGTTGAGCACTCTAGGCAATCTGGGAAATTTCGCTATTGTAAAGCTCATGTACGTGTACATGTAGATGGTCTACATGGAGCTACACAAACATGTTTTCGAAGTCGACAGCATGTTACATGTTACAAGGCGGAGGAAGCACAATGCTCCTGACAGTACAACCATAGCCCAGTTGGCACCGCACTTCTACAATTATTATTTTCGTCAAAATGCTTCGCCCTCTGTTGCGGTGGCCTGTATCCACACCAATGGGCGTACGTTTCGCAGTTGAATTGCCAGTACATGTAGCATGCACCGTTCAGAGCTTTCTGACATTAGTGGTCTGGAGGGCTGGACCTCACGTATTGTGATGCGCAGCCGTCCTGACCTGGCCCCAACGGCTGCACTGGGCACAGCAATTACATGTGATTGTCCCACCCGCTAGATTTCTCACGCCGCTAGAGATTCACTACACGAGGCACCAGTTCACGCAGGTGCCATCCGTAGATCTATGCCGAGCAGGCTACCAAGTACCAACACTACAACACTACAACACTACAACACTACAACAGCAACAAAGATTACTGGGTAGTATTTTAAATACATGTACTAGCTACTAGTAGTTTAAAGTTCTAACGAACTTCCAATCACTACACTGACATGTAGCGCAGTTTGACATGGAAGGAGCATTTGAAAACAGACTCGTGCTGCAAGCCCGCAGGCCAAAATTCTTGAGTGTGGCGTTGCACTGTAATGCAATGATACACAAAGAAAAGAGAGGCCGAACATCCTCTATCGAATTCAGCATTGCCGCTTTGTGGCCCGAAGCCAAAGGGTAGGTATTGGGAGGGACGTATCACGTGACACACGACCAATGCCACTGAGTCACTGACTGAGCAGTGAAACGAACATGTGCGTAGATCTACACTACAGTACGTACTGCCTAGTCTTGCCCTGGGACTGAAGTAACTATTACTTAGTTGAAGTCCTGAATCCTCCAGATATTCGGTGTACTTGACGGTGTCGAGGGGATCACCACCTGGTACAGACTACTACTGTACCTGGTTATCTGGTTATGCCACCTCTGTTTCCTATCTCCAAAACGACGGTACATTCGATCGATCAGATCATCGATAGCAAGACAGGAGTGATACCCCCTTTTTGTAGGCCCTACTGAGTAGATCCACCATGTACCATGATGTACCAAGACGGCAAGAGTACATACTCGTGCATGTACATGTACTGGACTGGCGCCAGAGGTGCTGCACCGCAAAATGCAAATGCGTTGTCCGTGGAGTGTGAAGGTGACGCGGTACCCAGCTACTGTTAGTAAAATCATGTACATGTACGGTACATGTAAGTTCCTAACCAGCCCCTCAGCTGCGTTGTCCCACGGTTTTCGCTAGGCACACTGTAGGCTAGTGTAGCGCTGCGGTATTGCCTTTGTCACGTGCACCAGTCAGTGTCTCTGATCTTGCTGATGATGTGCAGGTTTGAAAAGAATGTCCACCCCATCCCCATCCCTTTCCCCTCCTGATACAGACAGCCACCCATCCATTATCTGCACTTCCTCTGCATAGGCCAGTGAATGGAATTCGGATAACTGAAGTCAATTAATTAAATTATTTGGTTTGGTTCAGTGAGGCTTGCCACTGGCCGTACTGTAGTGGACCATGAGATGATGAAGCATTTCAGCACAATACAGTTCTGCATGTAAGAGGCCAGTACTACTGTTCCGCTCAGTGATCAACGTGTTCGGATAACCAACGTTGGATCATGACACAGTGAAACAATTGTTATAGAAAGAGAACCTGCAAAATGTTTAATAGCCAGTGTTCCGTAGTTGAGCTAGTAACTAACGTTACGCACAGTGATCTACTAATACTCGAAGTAATGAAAAACGTCACAATCATGTGCACCCCCCCCCCCCCCCCCCACACACACACGAGTATGTACGTTTCATGCTTGTACACTTAGGGTGCGTTTGGTTGGTACGATCTAGAACAGGATCGAACAGCTGGTGCACGTGGAGCAGCCTCCATGCCAACCAAACGGTACTCCAGAACACAGAGCAAATTTTTGGAAAAAATGTGCCAAACTTGGCGCATTCTTCAAAATGTGTATGAGTCATCATGGTCACTTTGTATGGTACAGCGAGTCCAACCGAAAAGCGTATGCACGTGATCATTCGGGACCAACATTTATGTTCCCGCCAGGTTTCACTCCAGGTTTCACTGTGAAAAAGTGAAACTCCTCGGTCTAGCAGAACATGTTCTGGCTGACCCAGAACAGGTGCAGTCCCAACCAAACGCGCTGTTCTGGTGAATCCTGTTCCAGGTCGTTCCAACCAGGGAGTAGTAAATACACTGTATTTTACTACTCCCTGGTTCCAACCAAACGCGCCCTTATTGTAGATCAGACTGCATAACAGACATACAATAAGCCGTTTCGGAGAAAGAAGTTATGTCGGCATCATTTGTTTTATTCCCGTGGCTATGCAAAAGACGTTATAAAGTAACGTCTGGCGCTAGCCAGGGTCCACACAGCTTTAATTCTGTGTTTGTTTGTGCCATCGGCATGCCTGGCGCTATCCCATACCTGTCCCGTACCGTACCATCAGAGACATCAATACGGTGTTGTACGGTATAAGGATGTCGTATAGTATGTCGTACAACAGTACGATGAAATTGTGGGAGAAACCAGCGACCGCTTGGGAACGATGAGCATAACAACAGTCTTATTGTGGGTGAGAGGCAGGCTAAGTTTCTGAAGATCAGTTGCGAGTGCTATCCCGAGCATTATGTTAGCATTACAAAAGCATAGACAGGATGCCTATTATAGGAGACCCAATTAGTTGCTGAAGATCAGTAGTCATTGCTGATAACGTGCAGAAAAACTAAATCCGCAGCCTCTTTTGCCGTCGGACAGGATGCGTATTATAGGAGACTGTAAAGTTATGTAATGTGCTCCACAGGCAACCATGCATTCGGCCGTCAGCAACAGTTAAGCACAAGCACACTATCAAGGCAAGGACATTATTGTATTGCATCGTACTGTATGGAATATAATTATTTTACCTCATTGGCTCAGCAGGTCAATGTATTACTCCAAAAAGGCCAGAAAATCCGATCATGAGGGGCAGTTCTAATAACATGCATCATGAGCTAGGCAAAAAAGCATAGCGTAGGGCCCTGAGCTTCCAAGCTCTCTCGTTTATAGCTTTGTTGAGACCTACAATTGTGCAATGAAGAGAGTGAATTGTACGCACATCCATGAAATGCCAGCACACAGACGGGCGGGATCTGCGCTCTTGTGCTTGCAGTGCTGAAGCTGCACAGTATGTGTTCAACGCTAACATACTAGAGCTACATTGTAGTGACTCTGATTTGCAAACTCCACTGCAGCCATTTACACATGTTCTCACTTCTCAGTGTTTAACAACAAAATCTTTTACCCTCATGATGGGCCCGATGCGCGAAGGTTTGGTGAACGTGAGCTGTGAGGTGAACGTGAGGCGACTTTGACATTAAAGAGACCAGTGCGAGTGTTCAACTCAGGGAGTCGCAACAGTCATACTTTATGACTCCCTAGTTCACTTGATTTGAGAAAAGTAATGGCTGAAGTACAGTACGGTCAGTCGCTGAAGAACTGGGGATCAGCTTCCTAGCCTACACCGTTCTTATTTTCACGTACTGCAGTCTATGTGCAGTCAAGTATTCATTGGTATGCTGTGCTTGACGAAATTCTAGCCTGGTCGTTCTTCGGCGCTCAGTTCTTCGGCGCTCAGTTCTTCGGCACTCAGTTCTTCGGCACTCAGTTCTTCGGCACTCAGCTCTTCGGCGCCCGACAGTACACTCGGACGTCTCTTATCCGGGCACCTTGGGACCGGGCACTGCCCGTATCTCAGATTTGCCCGTATCTCAGAATAACTCACCTACCATGTATGATATCATTTTTTGAAGAAGTTTATTTGGCACGTATTGCACATGTTGAGGATACAAAAGGAACCCATTGATAAAAATGTGGGGATTACATAGGTTGGCAGTGAAACATAAGCACTTCCACATACGGAAAAAAGTTCAAAAAACCCAACTTCGACGCATTTGTGCTATAGGAACTCAAGCTGAAGGTGCCCGGTAGAGAGACGTGCCCGTATCTGAGGCGTCCGGATAAGAGGCGTTTGAGTGTACTGCAGTGAGAAACCCAGGCCCTACGTTGGCTTGTACAAGAACAACCCAGGGTTCTTTACATGCCATAACGATGTACAAACAACAGCCCGCAAATCAGCACCAGCCAACATGGGAACAAGTGTACATTTGAGCACAGTCTCAGTCGACTCCAGGCTTATAATTTAAACTTGGTACAAATAATGATGGCACCGTTAACAGGAAGAGAACTTCCAAAGAGAAAGCAGACGAAACTGTATAGATTGGTGGAAAACACTGTGAAGAGGCGACATCAACAATATTACACATTGGACAACAACCGACACTACACCACAGATAACAAATTTGAGTATGCTCATAGCTATTGCACAGCACTATTAATCAGCTCCATTGGAATGTACATGCATGCATCGCCACAGCAATATCCTTCTCCTTCCTCTTCAGGAGTTTTCAAGAAAAAGAAAAAAAGGTTACTGTGGCCAATAATGAATTTCAGCCACTTTAGGTTTGTGTGATGTGTTGCGGGGAATTATCTACGAGACGGCAAACTACCAGCTTCATAGCACATACATGATTTAAAAAGGGGAAACGAAAACCGTTCGCAACAGGGCGCCGACAAAAAAAACCTGTCGTATGTCTATGTGCACACATGCACACAAGCACAAACTTATACTTACACACACACACAATGACAGAAAGCAGTACGAAGTAAACGCGGGGAAACTGTACAGTGGTAAGGTGGGAAGGCACTTTGAGCCTTACAATATACACGGGGGCCCTTTGTACAAACAAACAACTTGTGTGCCAGTACGGCAAGTTCACTTTATACACTGAAGACTGGTATTAACAAAGTGCTGTAAGGGGGTGGGGGTGCAAAGGCAGGGCATTCAGCGGTGAAATGGGTACAGGACACAAACAGCAAGACACACACACACACACACACACACACACACACACACACACACACACACACACACACACACACACACACAATCATTCTATGTACACAGCTTAGAGTACGACCGCAGACTGCTTACGCGCTCTTCATGGCTGATACACAACTCATTCTGCTTCGTCGTCGTCGTCGTCATCGTCAGACTCTTCCTCAGCATTTTCCAGCCACTCAACGAACGCCTTCGCCTTGGAATTCATGTACATAGATAGAGATATGACCAAGTACAACATCATCAGACGAAGGAACAGTAAAAGAATTAGACACCAGAACCAGAACTCTCTGAACTTCGCACGGAGCTCAGCAAGACCCATCGTAACAGAGAAGATAAAAGCTTGCTGTGTCTGACAAAACAGCCCAACATTAACTAAGCGTGCAGCCATGACTGAGCCCAACATAACTAAAGTAGAATGGGTGCGGGCGGCGTGCGTGTAAAGTGGAGTGAGAAGAGACACGCATGGGCTGTGTGTGGTGGTGTTGTTGGTGATGTTGATGTTGGTGGTGCGTGTGTGTCTGTGTGTGAAGTGAGAAAGGCGCGGAGCGTGTGCGCATGTGAAGCAGCGCGGACACAATGGCAACCCAGCCATGGGAGCAATGTGCAAAGATACCAACCATCTGCCAAACTACTACAATGGAATTGAGAGCAACACATGCAGGGACACTTGGACCCTTAGGTGTCAGGGTCCCAATTGTATGCCCAGTGCATGGTCTAAATACCATACACGACGTGTGATAATTATGTTGATTTACTCAAACACATTCTTGGTGACTGGTTGCACTGTTGCAGCAGGACCAAGGCAATCGCCAGACATGTACATGTATAGAGCTAAGTACAGTCGAATGTCACTTATCCGGTTGCCAGTTATCCGAGCACGTCGGTTATCCGACAAGCCCGGGAGTGGTAATTTTATGACTCTCAACAGTAAAATTTACTAATAATCACACGTGCACCCAGTACACGAGTAAACGCGTGCGACAAGCAATCCCGGGAGTGGCAAATTTATGACTCCGGTCAGTAAATTTATTTTGTTTAACTAATATAATACTTCAAGCGTTCGCTTTTGAATTGTCGTTTCTGTAGATGTCCCTGCGATCGAGCTGCTGAAACTGCTGTCTTTCGGTATGGCAACACCAAAGCCAACGAAGAGGAAGCGCGTTGTTCTGGACATAAACCAGAAACTTGAGATTTGTCGTTTGGTACGAGAGAAAGGCACATCTCATCAGCGTATTGCTGAAGAATTCGGCATTGGTAGAGCCACAGTTCATGACATCGTCAAGTCGGAGGAGAATTTGAAGTCCTTTCTTCGCGAGCAGGAGAGTGGCGATTGCAACAAGAAGCGGAAGGCGATGCACGACTCCGACTATCCTGACCTAGACAAAGCTGTCTTCACATGGTTCGTCCAGGAACGTTGCAAAGGTGAGTTGTCCACACCCGTAATTTACGGTAAAAAGTGAACCACGAAAGTGAAAGTGAACGACGAACTAGTCTGAGCGCTCGTTTCTGCTCGTACCTTTTCTCTCAGGTGTGCCAATCAGTGGTCCAACATTGATCGCGAAGGCCGCTCAGCTCTTCCCTCGTCTGTATCCAGGAGCTACGGAGAAGTTCATCGCTGGAACAGGATGGCTAAAGCGATTTCGGGATCGACATGGCGTGCACTCCCTGGTATGCCAAGGTGAAACCCTGAGTGCCAAGGAGTCCGCCGTCGGTCCGTTTCGCGAGCGCTTCTTAGAAATGGTGGACAAACAAAACCTGACTCGAGACAATGTTTTCAATTGCGACGAGACTGGCCTGAACTGGAGAGCTCTCCCACGTCGGACGCTTGTTACTGGCCGCGAAAAATCTGCAAGTGGAACGAAAAAATCGAAGGATCGCGTTACACTGGTGGCCTGCGCCAACGCTAGTGGAACCGTCTCTCTTCCCCTCATGTTCATTCACAAGAGTGCGAAGCCTCGCTGTTTCCAGAATGTTGACATGAAGACGTTGCCAGTCCACTACTACACGTAGCGAAATGGATGGATGGACGGCGCTCTGTTTACAAAGTGGTTCCACGACAGATTTGTACCTACCGTCTCCAGTGAGCTCAGGAAACTTGGTTTGCCAGCTGAGGCAGTTCTCCTGCTGGATAATGCACCAAGTCACCCAGACACCACAGCTCTCTGCTCCAGTGATGGAAAGATCACCTGCATGTTCCTGCCCCCGAACACAACCTCCCTGATACAGCCGATGGACCAAGGCGTCCTTGAGAACATCAAGTCTTTGTACCGGAGGGATCTCCTGCTCAAGGCTGTCACTGAGGAGCAGCATGCGGAGCACTCCACGGTCATAGATTTTATGAAGGGGCTGACAATCAAGGATGCTGTCCTCGTGAGTGCGAGGTCTTGGGACCAAGTCCGAAGTAAGGACACACTGATGAAAAGCTGGAAGAAGCTGTGGCCACTACCAGCTGATACTGGAGCATCTGCCGGCGCTGTGCCCTGTGCTTCAGTTGGCACCGACGAGGTCACTCCACTCTTGGACTAACTGAACGTTGCACCAGAGGACCAAGAGGCCTGGCTTTCTCTGGACGCTGGTGATCCTGGCTAGCAGGAACTGGACGAAGATGCCATTGTGGAAATGGTGATGTCCGAGCATCTCCCTGACCAACCGGACTCAGACGAGGATGACGAGGATGACGAGCCAGTGTGTGTCATTTCGCATGGCCAAGCCTGTACTGCCTTTGAGACTATCCTCCAGTACCTCGAGCAGCAAAATGATGTTTCCATGTTGTCTGTTGCCAACGTCCATGCCTTGTTTAGCCAGGCAGCCAAGAAGCGCGCTAGTTCTCTAGTTCAACATCCGATTTCTCACTTTTCTCTAGGCAATAGACATAACTTGCAGCTGGTTGAGCATATATGCACATAAACATGTATTTATATACGGTGTAATATGCATTTACTTGAAGTAAATGTGGTCAAGTATGCTAACATGTATGTGTACATGGAGCAATTCATGAATATGCATGAATTTATTTGGGTATTGTGTACATAAATCAGTGAAATCCAGCCATATATGCACATAAAAAATGATATCAGTTTTCTAACATATTCAGTTATCCAACATACCTGATTCCCGAAAAGGTCGGATAAGTGACATTCGTCTGTAGCAGGTGTGAAGGATGGAACGGCTAGGACCAGTGCAAATCCAGTACCTTAGACCTTATGTTGAGGCGATGATCTGCCTTTATGAAAAGCATCGCACAAACCACTCCCAGCTACCCCACTACCCCAAGATTAACACCTGAATCCTCCTAGCTACCCCCATCGCTCCTAAGATTAACACCTGAACCCTCCTAGCTACCCCCATTGCCCCTAAGATTAACGCTTGAAGAGACATGGGAGATTGCGGTTTTCCTGTCGACTTGAATTCTCACTTGACTGACTCACGACTGCCATCCAGAGCACACGAGAAGTCCATCTCCAGCACCTCCATGAGCGACACTGACTCACGCTGCTATCTGGTGTTTACGAGGTATTTGTCGCGCTGGAAACGGAGTGTCTCTGTAAGTTTGTATCCCTGGTGATGTTTGTGCCTGGAGAGCACTATATAAGTGGTGCTCTTCAGGCATACTCTTCCTCAGCCTACTCAAGCTCAACCGATGAGGGGTGAATTCCCCGAAACACTGTGCATTGAGCAGGGAGTGGTGCTTTCTTGCAGGTTTGCCGAGTGGACGGTTCGATAGACTTCTCGTGTGCTCTGGATGGCAGTCGTGAGTCAGTCACGTGAGAATTCAAGTCGGCAGGAAAACCGCGAGCTACACACAATACCAATACCAACGTGTTCTTCACTTGAAGAGAGCGCAATGAAAAGAGAACACCCGGAGCCGGCTGGCCATTTACCTGTGTTCTTGCAGCTCCTACATCAACTGCACTGTCAAACTGCTCAGCGCTGGGAAGAGGACTGCGACTCCACGCTAAGATAGAATCCTCTACCAGCACATCAAAGTCGTACAGCTTGTGTAGGGCGAAGGGAAAGTGCTGTACAATGTTCTGGCGAAGGAAGATAGTCTGAGGAAAAGGACGTAGCGAAATAAAACAAAACATCACTCCTGTGGCCATGCACTACGTTACTCAGTGGCACGACACCATTCACATACATACTCAACGAGACTACAGGTACGCATTCACACATCAATGGTACTGATATCGTCAAGATCTCTTCCAGGATACGGCTGTAGAACGCTTCTTGGTGACTTTGCAATCATCTTATCATTCAGCCCGATATAAATATACCTCATGGCGCGCACGGGAGTGCTGTGCAATGCGTACGACAAATGGTCACGCAATGGGGCAAGCCAGTAGTCATGTAGATCACAAACCAACTTTTCACCGCGAAGGGTGTTACTACACGCTCCCCGTGCGCAAAATGAAGTATAAACTGGACTTTATACACATGGTTCAATGCAGTAAGTTTGTGCCAGAATCAATATTGTTGACGCAGGGTTCAAAGCAGTGCCCCGGAAATTGAGAATTTTGCCAGAATCACTATTGTTGATGCATGGTGCAGCGTCCCGGGAATTGAGAGTTTGTGCCAGAATCACTATCGTTGGTGCATGGTTCAAAGCAGTGTCCCAGGAGTTGAGAGTTTGTGCCAGAATCACTATTGTTGGTGCAGGGTTCACAGCAGCAGACGTACATGTACATACACTATGTAGAATGGACTTACTTCCATCTCGGTGATGGCTTTCTGCTGGAACTCAGGTCGTACATAATTGAGAAGCACAGGCCGCAGGTACTGCATGGACTGTGGAAACACATCAAAGAAAAACAGAGAGAAAAGAGGGAAAGCACAGTGAAAATTTCGAAAGATTTGTAGAGACTGAGGGATTTTTCTTCTTTTATTTTGTAGCCAAGGACTTGGTGCGGCTGACTGGGTGTGCTGGAAGTGTTACTATAAAGTACAGCGCCTTACTACACACAACTGCTACTTGACAGCACTCACACTGCCTTAGAAGGGTAGCAAATAGCAATTATTCCCGTAGCTATGCAGAAGACGTTACTTCAGTAACGTCTGGCGCTAGCCAGGGTCCACACAGCTTTAATTTGGTATTTGTGTGTTTGTGTGTTTGTTTGTTTGTTTGCTTGTTTGTGTCACGCCTGGCGCTATCCCGTATCTGACGGCAACAAATCATGGGGATGTTATAAATTTTTCAATTCTCCTATTTTTTTCAGGCATATCCTGGGATTCGAACCCGCACTATCGCCCTACATGCATTCCCCCATACACTTCGCATTCATACCCATTCTTCCAAGTTGCTTCACGTTATGATCTTGCGTTTGAAAGCCCTATTTGAATATTGCGGGCAGCTGTATGTGGCCAGCTGTGTTTGACGGTACGGTACGGTACGGGAGACGGTGTCGTATTACCCTCGATCGTACCTGTCCCGTACCTATCCCCTACCGTACCGTGCCATCAAAGACGGCTGGCCACAATGCATATTCAAATAGGGCTTTCAAATGCAAGATCACAATGTGAAACAACTTGGAAGAATGGGTATGAATGCGAAGTGTATGGGGGAATGCATGTAGGGCGATAGTGCGGGTTCGAATCCCAGGATATGCCTGAAAAAAAAAATAGAATTGAAAAATTTATAGCATCCTATGCTTTTTTGCCGTCAGATCACAATGTGAAACAACTTGGAAGAATTAGTATGTATGCGAAGTGTATCGGGGGATGCATGCAGGGCGCGCGATAGTGGGGGTTCGAATCCCAGGTTATGTCTTAAAAAAAGAGAGGATTTTTTTAAAGAATTTATAACATCCCTATGCTTTTTTTTGTCTAGGTCATCAAGGCAAAAAAGCATAGCGTAGGGCCCTGAGCTTCCAAGCTCTCTCGTTTGAAACCCCTTCCCACGCAAAGCTGTAGCATTGCGCTTGGCACAATGGCGTCTGGCCAAAACAAGAGATAGCACAGTCGAGGGCCACGTTAGCAGTCTCGCATCGCACGTCATTTGCTGTTGCGGTCTCCCCGCCGTCTTCAGGGATACCTGAACGAATCCCAGAGAGCTGATATGGACTGCCTGGCTGGCCCAGAAAGCCTCATACTATCTAGCCCGTGTCGATAGATCTTAGCTACTTGTGCGTCACGTATACATGCAGTTGGCAGTTCAGTGTTCATATGGAGCAAGTTCCGAGCAACGCATATACACGATATTGGCGTGCAACGGGTTAAGAATACATTGGAGCTCTGACAAGACGTACATCATGCATGGGGAACAGGAAAGTGCACTTGGAAGTAGTTGGCGTCCAAGGACCAGAGTACATCATATCGCAACATACTTCAGTATTGGCCAATGTACCTGTGCTCCAGGCAATGTCTGTACTAAGCAATGTACCTGTGCTCCGGGCAATAGGGAGGTTTAGTTCCCACGTAACGGAAACGCGTACGTGGGTGATCCACGTAAAGTGGATGATGGGCACCCACGTTGCAATGTTGTGTTTAGTCACACGGAACAAACAAAAGCATAAAGCGAAAGGCCCAAACCTGGTCAAAGACGAAGCTACCCGGGCCTAAGAAGCTCATCGAATATTTTGATTTCGTGCTTCGGAAACTTCTTCAGCTGAGCACCCTCACAGCTTGCACAATGCGCTCCATTCTGATTTTCACCCACGTTCTGGCGGAACGTGGGTGAGCCTCCATACACGGCATGTCGTGAATCAGAAAACGTCTGTACGTGGGTCACTGAGTATCACGTGGTACACCCACGTAAAGTACCCACGGATTACGTGGGACTAAACCTCCCTAATGTCTGTAGTCTCTGTACTAAGCAAGTGTATGTCTTATCAGAGAGTATGGTGAGGTAGATGAGTTCCACTGTATACAGTCACTGACTCACACCTCGCTTATCCAGTCCACTGTATACAGTCACAACTCGCTTATCCAGTCCACTGTATACAGTCACAACTCGCTTATCCAGTCCACTGTATACAGTCACACCTTGCTTGTCCAGTCCACTGTATACAGTCACAACTCGCTTATCCAGTCCACTGTATACAGTCACACCTTGCTTATCCAGTCCACTGTATACAGTCACAACTCGCTTATCCAGTCCACTGTATACAGTCACACCTTGCTTATCCAGTCCACTGTATACAGTCACAACTCGCTTATCCAGTCCACTGTATACAGTCACACCTCGCTTATCTAGTCCACTGTATACAGTCACACCTCGCTTATCCAGTCCACTGTATACAGTCACACCTTGCTTATCCAGTCCACTGTATACAGTCACACCTCGCTTATCCAGTCCACTGTATACAGTCACAACTCGCTTATCCAGTCCACTGTATACAGTCACACCTCGCTTATCCAGTCCACTGTATACAGTCACACCTCGCTTATCCAGTCCACTGTATACAGTCACACCTCGCTTATCCAGTCCACTGTATACAGTCACACCTTGCTTATCCAGTCCACTGTATACAGTCACAACTCGCTTATCCAGTCCACTGTATACAGTCACACCTCACTTATCCAGTCCACTGTATACAGTCACAACTCGCTTATCCAGTCCACTGTATACAGTCAGACCTCGCTTATCCAGTCCTCTTTTATCCGGATCCCTCGCCATCCGGAAGAAAATCGTTGGTTACCGATTTATAGAATATGTCATGCATACATACATTATGTCCTAAATATGTGTGTTCGATTATCCGGTTCCCTCGCCTATCCGGATATGTTTTGTTGAACACGGATGTGTGCGGTTAAGCAAGGTCTGACAGTACTGGACTACATACAACAGTGATGCCTTCCTCACATCTCTTGCCGTCTTGGCCATATTGCAACCATCCACTCCGCAATGAGAGGGCTGCATGTGTGCGTGCATGTGTGTGTGTGTGTGTGTGTGTGTGTGCCAGCTAGTTCGGTTGGTGGGTACACTTATGCCTGATTGTGTTGGGTCTGTTGCCAACAGGCTCGGCTGCATGATGGTGTATTGTTGTATCTGCCACCTTTGTTGGTTTCAGGGTTATATACTTTCCATTTGAAGTATACATACCTGTTAACCATGGACTGCTTCTGGCTAGATTAACTCTTGTGTAATCAATGGTGCTAGTGACGCTTATATCAGATTCACTCTGATTTAGCCACCCACACTAGTAGCAAGTATTACCTTCACTGGGGGCAGGGGTAACTGCAGTTGGATCCCGGGACGGATACCCTGATGCCGTCATTCCTTTTTCTGCACCTTATCCACACCCACTTACTGAGGTGTGGTGAGCCCATAAGTGGGATCATTTTCAAGTCCACCCAGAGTTTTGGGGATTTCAGGGGGTGTCGGCCGTTGGGCGGTTCAATAGCCAATTGAGCCATCTTTCCAAGATTCCTTTTGAGTCTCTCTCCCCTCTCCCGGGGAGACCCACGTGACCAGTTTTGGCAGTGAGCAACAAGTACAAGTACAAGTGTGTGTGTGTGTGTGTGTGTGTGTGTGTGTGTGTGTGTGTGTGTGTGTGCGTGTGTGTGTGTGTGTGCGCGCACATGTGTGTGTGTGTGTGTGTGTATGTGTGTATGTATGCACACACGTGTATCACTTACTGAGGTAAGCTTGGCCTTGAATCCGTCTGCTGGAGCACGCAATGCAATCATCACGATTGCTCGCACAAGCACAAGGGGAATGCCTTCAATCGTCATGTTGTATGCGTGCCTGCAGTCGCACATGCAATAAGACAATACATACAATACACACAATACACACAATACACACACCGGTACATGCACATTGTCAACACTGGTTGCAACCGGTATGCGCAGCTAGCGCATTGTAGTGCTACAAGTGAACTGTGTTACTTCCCCCTCAGCATAGGGTTTGAGAATAGTGAGTTCTGTATGCTGGCGGTCATAGCACCTGATGATGCTTGGCTGAGATGGCATGACACTTGAAGTTGTGGACTGATCGGGCCAACTGTTGTGGCTTTGTAGCGTGCATCGTCAACAACATTGGTAGGTAAATGTACACAATGTATGCCAAGAACACAGCACCACTACGGGGGTACAAGTGGCGCAGTCTTACAGCAAGTAACTCACAACCAGATCATTCATCTAGTCTTTGCATTGAGTGAAGCAGAAGGGTATGTTTCCAAAGTATACCAGTGGCAATTGAGGCCCAGCCAGCATCAATAACCTTTTCCAGTAGGCTAGGACTGGTGTGGTAACTGACTGAACAGGGCTCAGCTGCAGCCAGCACCATTACACGTGTCTTGTTTAGCGGAGCAACACCAGCACATGCATTCACAACACGTACTTAGAGCCGTTGATTTCCAGAATGAGATTCTCCGGCTTGATCTTCTCCTCGAGGGCATTCTGCACACTGTCCAGCACCTCCCGATAGAAGTCTGCGCAGAGACAGGGCAACACAAGAACACAAGAACATAATCAACAGGCAATACTACTGCACATGCTCCAAGGCAATTCTGCCAGAAGCAGAGAAGTCAACAGGAGTAACAGTTGCACAGGACATACTGAAAAACACAGAGAACACGTGAGCTGGATAACGTCATGAATTAGAAACAGCAGTGGAGCTACACAAAAGTAAATCGATACCCATAGGACCATAGTCATAAAAGTAACGCTCGCCCCATAAGGCCATAGTCATAAACCGACTGCTCATCCATAGGGCCACAGTCGACTGCTCACCCCACCACTTCAGTGCTGCTCAATGAAATCCTGAGTGCATAAACAAGTTACTAGTAGCAGCCAGCACTAGTGCACCAGCCCAGTGTTTGCAGGTTTGGGAGAGCACAACACGTGGAGAGCTATCCAACTCACCACACCTAGATTCCATTGAGCAGGAGCACAGAAACAAGCAACACATAGTAAACCGATCACTAACTAACGTTACTTACACGTTGCCTCATCATCCTCTTCACCATCGCCATCACTCTCGGGGGTAGACACAGTCTCGTCTTCTTCGTCATCCGAGCGGTCATCATCGCACGTCGTGTCAGATGCTGAAGGTTCAAGACCTAACGACAGGTGCGAGGCACACACACACGCCCACACACGCACACACACACACACACACATACACACACACACACACATGAGAACACGTGTTCACGTGCACAAACGCGGGGCACAATTGAGGCCAACTTGTGCTCTGTCACACCAAAGATACAGTCATCACCTGTATTGCACACATGATGTACTTCTCATGATTCAAACTAAACTACTACTTCAAATACATGTATTTGCAGTAGAAGGCATGGTAGAGCAGCATGATCCATTGTTCACTTTGAGTACAGTGCACGCTCGTTTCTCCTCAATTCGCCGATGCACAGGTGATCAATTGAAGCAGACGTAACTGTTGTGTGCTGCTGTGTGAAACAGCCGATAGAACAGTGCACAGCACCTAGATACTAGTGGCTGTTTGCAGCTGACTGCCCGTCATGCTGTCAAACGAGTCAGATTGCGCTTTAGAAATGTCAGTGTGCATGACTGCAGTGAAGTACATTGTTTTTCACTTCTGTTTTCACCCATGCATCTTTTCACGAAGCCCTAGCCGGGTGTGTGTGTGTGTGTGTGTGTGTAAACAAGGGTCAACTGTACATCATGCTCATAAAACAAATAAAGGCAAATGTACTACTGTACACATCCGTTTCATGAACTTTGGAGACATACATGTTAGTGATACCTATTTTGTGGCAAACGGCACATTTGAGGCAGGTTGTCAATACTTTCCTTGCCGCCCTTTCATCCTCAGCAGTGCTACGTACTAGTGTTGAAACGAGCGTATCTATAACAAACGAGTGATCAGTTCCACTAACGAGCAAGCTATCGAGCGAGCTAACGAGTTTCATTGAAGTATCCAATTAAGATTATTTGAATAATTTTTTTGAAGTGCGATTTTTTTCAGCTGGTTCAAATTATCACCGCCGGCATTTAGGGTTGCTGCTGCTTCACTTCGGACTGCTGTTTGGTGTCGAGATGTCTTTTCAGCGCCGTTGTTGAGCAGGCTTTGTAAGAATAGACCGTTTTGCAAAGCTTGCAAGTTCATGTAGCCCTGTTCTTCGCTGCATCGCGGGAGAAAACTTCCAAACGACTGAGCGTAACTTTCACTCGAATGGAGAGTTGACCGAAGCATGTCCTTCGATGGGTCAGCAGATGCAGAACAAGACAACAGTATAGAGTCCACCAAAGCTGCAACGACAACTGAAACAACTCAGTGTCGTACAGGCATACAGTCACTCTGACTGCGAGTGATTTTTACCTTGCGCGGGACTGGACTCTCGATCGACCAGGGAGTCGTAAAAATACTTACGACTCCCTGGTCGACATGTGTGCGGAGTACAGTGTACGGTGTTCGTTAGTGCAAACGAGCTGGCCGCACAAACGAGCCGAGTTTCTGGCGAGCGAGCTAACGAGTACCCGGTGAGATCGTTTCAACATTACTACGTACACATAAAACAAGTATTGCGCGTATCTAAATGATAACTATGCAGGGATGTGCTAAACGGACTTGGTGAAATTCATTCGGCCCAACACAATATGCAGTAGACAGAGTGACATGCAGCTTGGATTTCGCCGCCCTGGCACATCGCGAAGCTGCCCATTCTGAAGAGTTACAGTGCTTTAGATGCATGATATGGCTGGTACATGCATCATATGGCTGGTACATGCATCATATGGCTGGTACATGCATCATATGGCTGGTACATGCATCATATGGCTGGTACATGCATCTCTAAAACATTGCGCAGCGGAGTATGATCACGGACTGCAGATATGAATATACATGTATGTGACTAGGAGACCATACTCATTACTCACATTACACCTACAAGCACAAGCTTACTTACCCCAAGTCTCCTTTCTATCTGAATCTGGGTCTGCCACCGCCTCAAACACATAACCATGGCTTTGCTCGCCGAGTTCAATCGGGTTGGATGATGTCGCTGTTCCAAGAAACAACACACATTCACAGCACATACCAACAGACAAAGTCATGGCACATTGTCCTGCTTCAGAGCAGTCAGCACCAGGCTTGGGTCACAATCAACTATCCACGCATTAATTAGGTGATTCACATGACAGGCAAATCTGCGAGTGATTCGACAGGTACGGCACTCAAATGTGAGCGTTTGATTCAGGTTCACACGGGAATATCTGGGATGGCCCAAGTACGTGCGGGTAAGCTGGTGACCGTGGCAACGGGCGATGATTTTCGAGGCACGATGTTTGCAAAAAAGCAAAAAAAAAAGCCAGGTGTATTTTTTTCTCTACACAAACGACAACTAACAATTGCTACTTTGGAGCATTTGTAGAGTGTTTAGAGTTTTGAACATGCCGAGCGGGAATCTTCTGCTGTGGGCTTTCGCTCAGAAGCCTTCCAGTATGCAGCGCGTAGCTCGAAATGACTTCTATCCCGTCGCAGATCTGCGAGCAACTCTGCCGGAGAGGAAATCGTGTCCAGCCGTGTGTTGAAGAAGGCAGCACATACAGCGTCTTGCTTCTCCCCTGCATCTCCACTGCCGTTGCTAATACTAGATGAACTGGATTGTCTTCCCCGGAATAGGAGACTTTAGATGGCGCATCCATCTGGTGAAGATGTTGCCACTTGGGAAGTGGAAGTGACAGGTACTTGGACACGTCTGGGGGGGGGGGGGGGGGCAATTTCCTGATGTTGAGGAACGCAAGTTTGCACAGCGATATCGACTGAACAAGCCAACAATCCAAAACATGCTCACACAGCTTGGACCTCAACTTCAGAAATACGACATGGACATGCGCTTATCCATTGTTCCTCACAACGGCTCGCCATATTCCTACACTGGATGGCGCGCGGTTGTGAGCATCATGAGCTAGGTTCAGAGTAGCGAGTGGGAGCGGCAACTGTTCATAAGATCATCCACGCTGTACATGTACATGTATTGCCAATGGTTTGTGCGCTGGCTGAGTCTGACATATGCTTTCCACCGTCGACCCGAGTGTGCGACGTACACACACCACTGAACACATTCTCCACACTAACACAATCTCTGCCACCAACGATGACCAACGATGGAACTACAGTACACCTACTCCAGCTTCTACACACACCACACACACACACAGACGCACACATCACTAGTGGGTGAAAATGAGTGTAGTTATTAATTATTATATATCTGCAAGACCACAGACCATAGCGAAGTGCTACAAAACAACTAAACTTACATTCCTCTGACTCAGTCGATTCTGTCTTTTGCGATGACTCTGCCGCGTCGTCATCAAATGAGAACGAGTCTGCGGTGCAGGCTTGGCGAGCAGTAGTTATCTTACACCCGGCCGGCAATTCAATGTCGGGGCCAACAATCACCTGCAGAAAGAAAACAGAGATGTTTTATTCCCGTCTTTCTTTCTGCTGTCAATCAAGAAGACAGCAATACGCAAAACGACTCAGAGGAATTTGTCTAGAAGCGTGTTTGAAAAGATACATCCGGCTTTCAGCGAATTTCCTGTTGTTCTCGAGGCTTGTAGGAAAAGCGGATGTAGCTTTTCAAACATGGTTGAATACCTCTAGAGCATTGTGCTGGCAGAGAGTGCTTGCCAGGTTGGCCAGATACTCGCCGGATACTCGTACATTTCAGAACGCCACACAATGGGTGATGTCAAGACAGAGGCCATGATCATTGGATGCACCCCAGCAGACTCAGTTCCTCTGTCCTTCCCAGGATCTGCAAAGCACATTGCACTGGCAAGCAGCCATATGCACCTGGGGGGGGGGGTACGTATTGACTCTTCTCTTTCCTGGTCCGAGCATGTTAATGATGTATGTCGCTGCCCCAGCTCCGCTCCTGGTACTCTACCTTCACATTCTTCTCATCTCACTCATATTTGCAAGAATCTTTCTTAAACGTTGCTATATTTTGCCTCTTTTTGAATATGCAGACACAGTATGGTATGGTCTAACAACTCAGCTTTGTCTACAAAACTTGAAAACCATAAGAGAAAAATTATCAAACGGTTGTTTGGAAAGTCTCAGTAATTTAACATACCCAATGGCAATTAGAATTATTATCTCTGTGGCATCTACACTGCACTACTACTGTACTTTGACAAACATGGCCTGAACGAGATTGATTGCTTCCTGCACACGGATAATTGCTCAGGGCAGAATACAAACCAGACACACGCCGCCTCGTTCTGATGGAGGACGCTTGGTTTCGATTCCTTATATGTACGTCCAGTACCATCATATCGGTACATATCCCATGATAGGTTTCATCTACGCAAACATAGCCAGCAAAGACTAAGTGAGGGCTCATGAGCGTACAGTCCATTCAGAAAAAGATGAGCGCTGACTCTGGAGAGCTCCCGTGTTTGACGATATTGTGGTACACTGTGCAGTGCTGCGATTCGAAACTTGAAAAAGGGTCCAAAAAAGGCACCTCAACTGGGGTTCTAACTGCAGATGTACTGTTATGAAAGTGGAGTGAACAGCGTGGATTTTCATGGTTTTTCCCCAATTCAGTGCTTTGGGGCAAAACCTGGCCGAAATCCTATTCTTGTTATGGCTTGCTTTTTGGAGAAATAGACTTCAAAAACACAATTGGAAGAGCATTCCACGGGGGATTGCCAAAAAAAATGTGAAGAAAACTCAAAATTTGACCCGTTTATGGCCAAAAGCTAGGATATCATCTTTTTCTTAATGGACTCTAGGCCCATGGGCATCGTCTACAAGCAAACTTACGCCATACGAAAGAATGCAGCCAGAGCTGACTGTCGTACCACTGAGCAGGAAACACACAAAAAAAACAAGGGAACAAACATTTCAGTATTGTGATGCAAGGATGGCTAGGGAAATGAAGGGGAGGACCCCCCCCCCCCCCCCAACACACACACCCCTTCTCCTCCTCTTCCTCCTGGTTCTCTTGTTTACTTTTTCAGACAAAGACGGTGGTAATAGGCTGCAGACGCTGCAGTAGATTTCGATAAAAACAGAAAGGTTCCAGGCTGTCCAATGGAGTACTCGATGCCCAAGGGCAGAGCTGCTTACAACAAGAAGAGGAGGAAGGTGTTGTGACTCTGACTTTCACGCACAAGTAGACAATCATCAGACAACAGATGTTTCGATGTGTCGGTATTTTATATAGTGGAAAACAAGCGCAAGTCAAGACCAACCTGTGAACAGTAGCCCTGGAGCAGATGATGGACTTGTGTATGGTGCAGTTATCTTCGATTGTTACGTTGTCCCAGATGAATGCACCGTTGATCTTGACGTTCTTGCCTGCATAGACGTGCACAGACAGCAGATAGCCAGGACTCTAGTCAACACAGGGTGTGTGTGTGCGTGTGTGTTTGTGTGTGTGTGCGCGTGTGTGTGTTTGTGTGTGCGCGTGTGTGCGCGCGTGTGTGTTTGTGTGTGTGTGTTTGTATGTTTGTTTGTGTGTGTGTGTGTGTGTGTGTGTGTGTGTGTGTTTGTGTGCGTGTGTTTGTGTGTGTGTGTGTTTGTGTGTGTTTGTATGTGTGTTTGTATGTGTGTTTGTGTGTGTTTGTGTGTTCGTGTGTGTGTGTGTGTGTGTGTGTGTTTTGTGTAGCATGCCATGAAGTAGCCAGTTAGCCAGGGCACCAATCAAGACAGAGTGTGTGTGTGTATGGCATGCAATGCCAGTACAGTCAGCGTGTTGGTCATAAATTCATAATCACCAATACATTTCTAGCAAGTTCTTCATAGTAGAACCTGTGCACTGCGACCATTGTAAACAGTAGTTCAGTATGTAGATACTAGGGAGGGGGGGGGGGGGTGTTATGCCATGTGCTCCAATGCGGGTTCTCCACGTGGAATGAGTAGGACATGAGATATCACGGCGTAACATCCTCTCATACCGGGATTTACACACATATAAGTAATACCAGGGATTGTCGGTAATTGTCTCTGTGGGAGTCAGCCGGTTACTTGCACCAAAGGTGATTATATTGATAAACAGAAGCACTGTTCACACTGTTCAGCAGCTAACAGGTAAGAAGGCAACAATGTGAGAGGAAAACATGGTCAGAGAGTGCAGCATTTTACCGATAACGCAGTTCTCGCCAATAACGCAGTTGGCTAGGGTGGACTGAGCACCCACTTTGCTGTTTGGGCCGACAACAATATCTTCCGTCACTGTGCAATCCCTGCATTGTCACAGAAGAGAAAGACAGAATATGGGATTGGCACAATCCGACAGAACACTAGTTGTAGAGGTTGTATTTGAGGGCTTTTTTTGCTCTGTTCTATGTAGGAATGAGACATGGCTCAGGCGATTTAGAGCTTCACTTAAGCAGTCTGCTGGTGTGCAGCATTGTGAGGTGCAGATCCAAATCCTGCTAGCAAGACGATCATTCTGTGCATGGATTAGCAAAACTTTCAGCTGTCAAGACTAGCCAGTTTTGTACAGGGTATTTACCAAGATTGTTTATCCCTACCAATCATAAAACCATCCCTGGTGGTGCGCAATGTACTGTTCTACCGCTAAACAGTATCTTGATGAGATGCTGGGGCGGAAAGCCAATTGATGCCAGTCTAACTGCCGACCAGCAGTGTATCGGTTGAACCAGCGCTGATCACGTCCTGTTGTATTGTGTCACATTATTTGTGTGCATTGCGGTCACGCGTGCTGACAAGGCACTTACCTTGCAAGCTGCACATTAGTGCCAATGTACTTATGGGGTTTGGAGTAGGTGTAGACGCGTCCGACGGTGTCATCATGGATACATATGTCAGGTACAACTGGATAGGTCCAGCGACGTATTACATCCGTACTGTGTACAGCCGTAAACAAGCAGGCACACATGCACACACGCACGCACACACACACGCACGCACAAGCGTACGCGCGCACACACACACACACACACACACACACACACACGCACAATAAGCAAACTCAATGCCAGCTATACAGATAGTAATCAACTGCACAGCACAGACAACGGCATAACAGTTCTCTTGCCCTCTACCCCTACAGATACTAGTAGTTTGGGATGAGATGCCGCGTTAAGTGCTCAACATGATAAAAGTGAGGCCAAACAACAATTCAAGTCAACATGAATCAACTGCACTGCAGAGACTCCGCTTCATGTAATACCATAGCGGTTCCTTGTTTCCTTTAATAACTTGAGGGTATTACCCAGAGACAACAAACACACAGTGAAACTAAGTACTTCAGTGTAACATACGTCCAGGGTAAGCACAATTATGTACAGTACTTCATACGTGTTTGTAGCACATGCACTGTACTGTACATCCAAGTTCAAAACGATTGCTACTAGTGCCGGCAGTTGTGAAGTCCGACAACGGAAAAACCTTCAAGGCGGCTGCACGTCTCTTGCGAGACCTCCATGTGGAGCCGGAGACAAAGAGCTACCTATAAGCCAAGAACATCCGTTGGACGTTCAGTCTGGAGAAGGCACCTTGGTGGGGTGACTTCTTTGAGCGACTCATCAAGAGTGTCAAGCGATGCGTCAAGAAAGTCCTGCGGCCGGCGCAGATTACAGCTGACGAGCTATTGACACTACTCGCAGATGTGGAGGCAATTCTCAAACTCGTGTCCGTTGATGCATGTTTCGACTGAGGACGTACGAGAGCCGCTAACACCATCCCACCTGCTATGTGGCCGAAGAGTTCTGTCACTACCTGACATGGGCGCTGAAGATCCAGACGAAGTGCCTGTAGGTCACAGATATGCCTATTTGCAGGAGCTCCTGCGTCACTTCTGGTCTTGGTGGAAGAGCAAGTACCTGCTGGAGCACCGGAACAGCCACCGTATCGGATGTCACACCGATGTCGACACTATCGCCGTGGGTGACATTGTCGTGATTCACCAAGACGGAGTTCAACGCGGACTGTGGAAGCTCGGAATCATTGACAGCTTGCGCCCAAGCGAGGATGGCGGTGTGAGAGGAGTAATGAGTTGAAGCTAGGGAGGCTGTCGAGTGAGCTCAAGTCTATCCGCCACAAGCACAGGCAGCCAGTGGATTCAGGACGGAAGAGTGGCCATGGGAGAGTAGTAATAATCTACTTAGAGCTGTGCCAACAGCTGTGAGGAGTCTCCCCTGCTTCAGAGAAGATACCGTCCGGCGTGGAGTCCGTGGATGTGTGCGATGAATTTCCCTGTACACACTATTACAAGCCATGTCGTTGGGTTATTACAGAAGTAGGAGCTAAATCCAAAGCCCACTATTTCCTGTATTCGAGTACATTCACAAGTACAAGAGTCATGTCTTGAGCTGACTACTCACGTGATAGCGTCGTAGGTGTGCAGATTGGATACGCGAGCAGCATACTCCTTCTCGATGAAGTGCATGTGGATCTTGTGTCCAGTGATCTGGGTGACAATAGTGGGTACACACAGACATTATTAGATACATGCACATGAACACATACCAACACAAACACACACGTGCACACACGCACACACACGCACACACACACACACACACACACACACACACACACACACACACACACACACACACACACACACGTGCGCACACATGAACACATGCAAAGAAAAAAAAGAAGAAAAAAAGGACAGCGCTTATTACCAGGTAGATTTAGTCACTTGTTGACAAATGAGAAGGCTGAGTTTTGCTGGATTCAGTGGCATGTACACAATGAATACAGGTCAGACCTCGCTATAACGACCCCCGCTATAACATAAACCTTACTATAACGTACACATGTGAATGTCCCTGCCGAAACCGCAACACTTCTGTACAAAATTTCCTCGCTATAACATAATCCGCTATAGCGTAATGTTCGCTATAACGCACTGTTTGCTGGGTCCCGGGCGCACGGAGACCTCAGCATAACGTAAAAACTCGTATAAAAATGACTATGTACACGGCATGCATGCCTTCTCGCGACGAATTCGAGACTGAGCCGTCCACCTCGGAAGCAGGGAGTAGTAAAATACTGGTATTTTACTACTCCCATTACTTTTTATAGGCTCTAATCTTGTCACATGTACAAGTACACGCACTGCATGACTCTTGTCACCTCTTTGCTGACAAGCCTGTACACATGTACACATCTTTGCTAGTCATCATCATACTTGTATGTAAAACAGTACAGTTGTAATCAGTAAGTGAAGAGTGTCATTTTGACATACATATTGCATATTGGTGTGCCCAACTCACTATAACATAAACCTCGCTATAACATAATTTCTCCCATCCCCCAGAGATTACGTTATAGCGAGGTCTGACCTGTATACTGTTTGTCTGCAGGGCTATATGAGGGCATACCCGGTAGTACACAAGGTTACCAATCTACAACCACACACTCCACCGCTCTATTGCTGAAGAGAGGCACAGCAAACTGCACAACACAGTACAGAGTACTACTAGACTATAACATTACTGGCAACGTTGTGTGCGTGCGCGTGAGTACACGATTATAGCATGACGAAATCTGACAGACACACCAGCAGTGATCCATTAGCACACGAGTAAGATTTGTCACAAGGACACTAAACAGCATACCTCCTCATGAACAAGAACGCCCTTGATGAAGTCATCTCGGCAAGAGTAATCAAAGTTGTCCGTAAACAGCTGTGGTACCTGCAATATTTGCCAATGCACGGCAGCAAGAAACCAGGGAGACAAAGGAAGTCAAAATAAAATTCTAATTCAACAGAGTCGTAGTCAAAACAAACAAGACCCCCCCCCCCCCCCCCCCCATGCTGCAGCCTTTTAAGACTCAAACAGGTTCCATTTCTTTGGTACTACGTTATTTTCTTTATCCTTTTCTGGAAATCTTGGTCCTTTTCGGGTCTTCTTGTTCAGGTTTTCTTGTCGTTTGTCTTTTTATCTCTTTGTCTTTCCATCGAGTGATTGTTGGAACCAGGTTGCCTACGATGTCTCCTACGACCCTTGTGTGAAGTAATATTGAAGAGCCTTGTTGGCCACATTTTTTGGCGACCACGCCAGGATGGCATCGTTAGTATTATTAGGCGATCTGGACGCCATGTTTATCAGAAACGGTACAGCGTATGGTTATAAGGAGAATGACCTGAGAGAATATGTCGATGCTCGTTTGGCTGAAGTTAGAGAGCGAAACGAACGAGCGGAACACAGGTCCTTGGCCCAGCTGCGGGAGGAGTATGATCAGAAGTTGGCCGACATCAAACGTGAGGTCGAGTCGGTATCGCAAGCTGAGGGTCCGCGGAGCAGACTGGCGAGTACCAGTAGTGTTAATGGTACGAGTCACGTGACTAAGCGTACGACTATCAAGATGCCGAAATATGACAATCGGCAGTCGATCACCACGTACCTCGAGTTGTTCTAGGACGTGGCCACCCAGAAAGGGTTTACCAAGGATGAGTGGCTGATTAGACTGAGAGTGGCGGTGGTGGGGACACGACTGGAGAAGTCATGTAACGGTTGCCGTCGTTATGATGACGCGAAGAGAGACTTGCTGCTCGCCTTCGGCAAGACGCCGGAGAAGGCCTGGCGAGCGCTCACCACAACTCATCAGAACCCGGAAGAGTCTTTTTACCAGTTCTGTGTGCGGATGGCACAAGATGTAAGCCTGTGGGCCAAGCTCACAGGTGGTGTGGACTGTAGTGGTGGCACGGATGATGATGATGGTGAGGCTGATGACGATGGATTCGACGCAGCAGATGAGCGCGTCATGGGCGCCCTGATCAAGCAGCTGGTGCTGGAGGCAGGGAGTCCTGAACTCAAGGCGTTTATGTTTGAAAGGAAATGTTACTCGATGACATTTGGTGAATTTCAAGCGGCAGGTACGTCGTACCAAGAGGCACATGGCCGAGCACGTGGGCCCGCGTCAAAGCCCAAGCCCGCACTGGAGGGTGACATAGTGACAGCGAAGTCGTTTCGAGTTACCGTGGATGCTGCTGAGCGAGACCTCGGCGACCTGGAGTATCAGGAGCGCCAGAAGTACGTAAACCAGAACTGGTTGTGCTGGAACTGCTTGAAATGGGGACATCGCCAGGCTAGATGCAAGGAGAGCGCCAAGTGCAACAAGTGCAAGGAGAAGCACCACCCGCTACTGCACCCACCCGGGAGGACTGTGAATGCCGTGTCATTCCGGAATGAGGATGTGCGCCTAATGACGGCAGTGGTTAAGGTGGTTGGACCCACCGGGAGCAGGAAAGTCCGAGCAGTTGTGGACCCAGGTTCCCAGGCATCCTTTGTTTCCACAGCACTGGTTTCGGCCGTTGGAGCCAAGACCCTCAGCCGTCAACGAGTGCGTGTGCAGGCATTTGGACATGACGAGTCCATGCAGTCAATGTCAGTCAAGGACATCAACCTAGTGACGACCGAGCGCACCATCAAGGTCGAGGCCTTTGAGCAAGAGTCGCTGAGTTTGTCTCTGCCGAAACCATCTGCAGGCTGTGTGCAGCGTTGGAAGGAGAGAGGAATAGCGCTGAGCGATGTGGCTACACCTGGTGTCTCGGATGGGATCCATTTAATGATCGGTGCTGACCACGCGTTTGACCTCTTCCAAGAGAAACGGCAGAGTGATGGGGAGACTGTCTGGCGGACGGACTTTGGCTGGCTGATTCTTGGGCCAGTGTGTGAGCCTGCACCCGGGAAGTCAGCAACGCGCACGGTGGGAGTTGTACAGTCTCAGATCGACCGACTCTGGGAGATGGAAGCGCCTGTGGGTCAGTCCAGCAACTGGCCAGCTTTCCCCATTGCCGTGGAAGACGGTCGTTTCAAGGTTGGGCTCTTATGGGCCAGTGAGGAGCGTCCACCGGACAATCGGTGGCAGGCGTTGGCAGCAGCGAATGCGCAGCTGAAGAAGCTGGGCACAGACACCCCGGAGAGGCAGCGCTACGACGCAGTTTTGCTGGCTGAGTACATGGCGCTAGGCGCAGTTGAAGTCGACCCAGACCCGGAGCAGGATGGGTATTATATGCCTCGCCATGCTGTTTTCAAAGCTGAGCCGACAACAACAAAAGTCCGAGTTGTCTTCAACGCCTCAGCAGCGCTGAAGTGTAGGAAATCCCTGAATGATGTTCTGGACCCCGGTCCGTCTCTCCTACCGAGTATTTCTGGTTTGCTGCTGCGTGTCCGAGAGCGGGAAATTGCGATGCAGGCAGACATACGGAAGGCCTTTTTCATGGTTGGCCTGGAGGAAGCTGACCGTCGCTACGTCCGGTTTCTGTGGCCCAATGAGAAGGGTGAGATGACCACGTACCGCCTCACCCGTTTGCCATTTGGTGTCAATTGCTCTCCGTTTATTTTGACTGCAATCCTGCAACACCATCTGGATGCCGAAGCAGAGCAGCTTGATCCCAAGTCACGCGAGCAATTGAACCACCTACGTGAAAGTCTCTATGTTGATGACTGCGTGGCCAGTGCATCCACTCCACAGGAAGTTGACGAATTCCGCGCGCAGAGTGTTCACAGCCTGAGTACTGTCGGCATGGATTTGCGCAAGTGGCGCATGAGTACTGATGAAGCCGCAGAAGAGTCTAAGGTCCTTGGCTGTACCTGGACGGTAACTGACGAGCTGCGCTTTCCAGTCGGCAAGACGGATGATGTCAAGTTGCCCTGGACGAAGCGCACGCTACTGAAGGCGGTAGCTTCTATTTACGATCCACTCGGAGTCGTGTCTCCATATTCGCTGCAGGGCAAGATCCTGATGCAGGAACTCTGGAAGCTGGCACGTGGTTGGGATCAGCCGCTGAGTGCAGAGTTAGCGAGTATCGCTATCAAGTGGTGGCAAGACCGTCATCTGCTCCCATCGCTATGTTTCCCACGTTGGCTAGGTGATAGAAGCGACGCGCCTGCAGTGCACCTGTTCTGTGATGCATCGGAGCTCGCTCATTTTTGGTAGGAATCGGAGAATCCTCTCTCCGGTGAGAAGGCAGTATTGCCTGTGCCCTGAGCGAATTGAAATAAAAGAATACAACAACATTTCATCATTCGTATGAACAGTACATGGGTGCACACACACACACACACACGCACGCACGCACGCACGCACGCGCGCGCGCGCGCGCGCGCGCGCGCGCGTGCGTGCGTGCGTGCGTGCGTGCGTGCGTGCGTGCGTGCGTGCGTGCGTGTGTGTGTGTGTGTCATTGCAGCAGCGTATGTGGCAGGTGCTGCAGGTCAAAGAGGGGCTTTCAACTCCACAGCTGAGCCAAGTATTTCAGAGCTCTCACTGGATGCTAACCTGCAAAGTGTGCTGCGTACCGTACTCAACCAACCTACCGCATGTCTGCCGGCCCCTCGTATGAGGGGACATGTGACCGTCTTACAGCAATGTTCAGGACAGGACAGGGCAGGCATGTGTGTGCATGTATGTGCATGTGTGTGTACGTGTGTGTACGTGTGTGCACGTGTGTGTGTGTATGTATGTGCGTGTACATACATACGCATACAGTCAGACCTCGCATAACCGCACACATCCGGTTTCCACAAAATTATCCGGATAGGCGAGGGAACCGGATAATCAAACACACATAGTATGTATGCATGACATATGCTGTAAATCGGTAACCAACGATTTTCTTCCGGATGGCGAGGGATCCGGATAAAAGAAGATCGGATAAGCGAGGTCTGACTGTATACAGAAGTAACTACTATAATAATAGTAGTACTTCAAAGCACAAATATCACTAGCACCTGAGAACATGTGGAACACAACATAGTGAACATACCTCTGGTGAGCAAATACTAATATGGCAGTCCAGCACATCAAAGCGCAAGTTCGCGCTAACGTCTTCCCTATCAAAGATATCCTGTTGTGCACGTAGGGAAAGAGGAGCAAATGAACAAACAAACCCATGCACACACACGTAGTACGATCCGCACACGAGTGAGTTGAAAACGGGGTAAAACCATGGCCATGGCAAGTTGTTATGAAAACCATGGTACTGGGGGAAAGGAAGAACCTCTCGGGGGAAAATTGGCAAAGCCGTGGCCGTGGGCCTCGGGGCGTTTGTCAAGGGAAAAATCCCATGGCTATAAGGCGTGCATGCGTAGACCTTGTCTTTGGTGAGAACTCTGAACCCTCGTTGTTACTTGTACGAGGGCATCACAGCCTGCATTTTCAGACAGTCCTCATTGGAAAATCGTGCATGGCGAATGCAAAACATAGTACAGAATGTACTACAAAAATGCAGTACGGTTATTTTTTTTAATTCCCCGCCACAAATTCATGGCCAAACATGCGGCCAAGGGAAAACTGACCACAGGTGTGAACAGCTCCACTCCGTTGACCAAAGGTCTGAACTTTTACCTTGCCCCGTGACCTCAGGTTTCCCCGTGAGTGTGAATCCCCTATAAGACTGCATTCGTTTTTGTGTACTTAGTAGAGTAGAGCAGATGTCGGGAAAAAAGACGGTAGATGGTAGTTTACAAACGCAGATCTACCCATTTCGGTAGAACGTCAATTTTACAGTACGATTTACCATACTTTAAGGAAAACAGAGCTCTCGTGGTCACACAAGTCCAGAAATACTGTACCTCTACCGACTTCTAGCCTCAAACCTGGAGACGGTACAGGAAAGTAGAGTCTACCTTTCGGGAAAAAAAAACATGTACCGAAAGAAGTGGTTTTCTACCCAAACCTGTAGATTAACCTAAGCTAGGGTGTCGTCATCCCAGCAACGGCCGTTCAACATTCTCTTCAGACTTTAAAACTCACGCTTCCTGTGGATCCACACAGGTGGCTGGTGTGACGCAGCCCTCACTGTAACCCACCCACTTCACAAACAAACTAGCACGCGGGGGAAATATGCGTTACTCATACATTCTCTTGGTCTCCCTGGAAACGAGACCAGCTGGCGCCGTGCATTGCATAGTTTCATTGACCAGCATAATGTAACAGGCAATACTACTAACTTACCGTTGGTAATCCCATTTTCTTGCTCCGTCCGATATTGAAAAAGTAGAGAAGTTGATCAGAGGCAGCCTCTATTGCCACAACTATATCGTCCTCATTCGGTCTGCACAGGCAAGGGGCAAAGCATGGAAAACCATGGTGATTACATGAATTCAGGAGCCAAGCAACTGGATTTGCCTCTTTGCATCACAGCACTTGCATTTCGAAGCCCATATCATCCCCCAAACAGAACAAAAAGTGACCCAGAGGGAACAGCATGTATCAGCTCAACAGAATCATACTGCCTTGTGGAATGATGTGGCGGGGCTTCCTTTACGATGAGAGTCATAACCGATGTCTTGGAAATAGCTCGACGAGCTCTACATAGAACACCAGAAACAGGAAAAACATGATACATTTTCACTTTCATGAAGGGTGCATCCGGTGTGCTGAAAGTTCTCGAATGCCACACGGGCAGAGCTCAGTTCAAAAGAACAATGTGTAAATGGCTATTGTATCGGGACACCACTGCACTATATATCGACCTCTTCTAGGTTTCCATCACCATAGGATTTTACCCATGCGAAAGTTGTTTGGGAGGCCAAAAAAGTTGCGTCATTATTATTTCCATGCTCATGTCTTCGCTCGATCGTTGTGAATATCTTTTCTCCTACCTGTAGTGTCATTGGCTTTCAGACTTTGTGGTCCCGAACTTCATTTTTGGTAAAAAATAAAATAAAATAATGTAAAATGAAGAGTAATGGAACGAAAGGCCTAGTCGAAATTACGGCTTCTGTGCTTCGTGTGCTGATTTGCTTTCCTCCAACCAAACGTCTATTCAATATTGTCAGTCTGGTGCTAAATTGTGCATGTCTGACTGTTCAAAATCTGGTCTACTAAGTAGTAGTTGGTGGACTCTTTAACACAGAACTTGTGCCCCGCTGTTGCCCATGTTTTCTATAAACTAAAAACAAACCCCTGTCAATTTGACTGATATGATAAGAGTATCAAGGAAGGCTGATATCATTGAGTGGATTGTCAGCATGGATCGAATTGGTTGTGTCGTAGCTCCTGCCGTAAGCGAAGTGGACTACAAGACGCCTAGCCTAACGTATCTACGTATCTAACCGAGGAGACGAAGAACAAATTGCACGCCATAGAGATGCTGCTGCTACTCCACAGAGTCAACACAGTCTGCCAGTGCTGAAGTCAAGCTTGCGAGTTCTGGTTTCAATCCCCGCCATACGGACGCATGAAGAGTCGCATCCAAGATTTAGGGTTGGATCGTAATCCACATGCCGCCATACTCCAACAACAACTGCCAACGCTTTGAAGATCACACCAAACAAGAATGTTTGAGCAAGTCACATGAGCCTAGGTTTTGAAGGATTGAACATCCTAGTAGAGATGTTTCACTACAGGTCCTGTAGTGGCGACGCATGGAGACTTAAACCGGTATAAATAACGAAAAGCAACTGCACAAACTGTACCGTAGCTATGACCGACGCAGAACGGAATGCAACACCCAGATGCATTAACATTGCACCAGTGTTAGAACAAAAATCAGCAGCAAGAGCAGTGCCAGCTTACTTGTGTGCAGTGAGTGCAGCGCGGAGGTTGACATTCGATACAACATCACCAGACACCAGGACAAAGTCGGAACGAATCAATTGCTGCAAAGACAAGAGAGAAGATGCAGAGAGCAGACAGCAGACGTCAAGGGTGGGAGCAGCAGGGGCGTCTTGCCTCACAAACTGTACTTGTGACACAACTGAATGTACAGCGTATCGATACGCCACCTACAATACATGTACAGTCAACTTCGCTAATAACGACTGCGGATATAACGACAATTCGCGAATAACGACCGAATTTCCATGCCCAGAGCAAAGTCCCATCTAACTGTATACATTTTACTTCGGATATAACGATTATCTGAATAACGACAATTCGCGTATAGCGACATGCTTTTAGTGCCCAGAGGTCATATTCACTGCTTGAATAACGACTTTCTGGGCTTTTGACAGCTATTTCAAGTACCTGTCAGTCAAGTACATGTACCTATCATGCAGAAGTACCAGAACCTATGGTGATGGATATTATTATAGGCACACATGCAAGAAAATGCAGCCAAGGGGGCCGGGGGGGGGGGGGGGCTTTTTCTTCCTTTTTTTTGTTGGTTTCAAAATTGTTGGATTTACCAGCACACCTATATGTATACAATGTACATGTAGTTGTACATGATTGTACAGTAATCATCGTACATGTACATGTCCCTGTAGATGGCTCAAAAAGGCATATTTTTCAATTGATTTCCCTTGCATATTGAATTTTTAGTTCCTTTCAACTGCAGTATGAAAATAAAGTACACATTGACATAGAGCAAGAAAAGAGCTTGATTTTGATATGCATGTCATACTATACAAAATATGGGTTCACATACATTCAAATGGGACTTCGGTTATAAGGACACTTCGCGAATAAGGACACTTTTCTGATGCCCCGCCGAATGTCGTTATTGGCGAAGTTGACTGTACAGCAGTATTACAGACAGTGAGTCGGCTCTCTCCTCTCTAGAGGAACAATGCGAGGGGAGGGATCACTCATAAAGTACAAGCACAACGATCGCTACTCTAGTAGCATCGTAGTAAGAAGGAATGATAGTCTGAAAGTAACATCCAAGGCACAACCTAGCCCAAGGGGTAACACCACATATAATCATCCACCGCAACAATTATCAGTAGAGTTCAAAGCTGCAATGCTGCCAGTGCAGCTGTGCAGCAGTCCTAGCAACAGCTTACTTGTCTTTCCAGCTCTCGCAAACAGTCGCCTGCTGACATTCCACTGTTCTCACCGACACAGACTACATTGATCTCCACCTTGGTGGCCTTGATATGACGCTTCTCTCTGCAAGAGATGAACATGCAAATGCTGTCAACACAAAAGGCGTGCAATAACAGGGTGGCAACGGTGCACGCTGCAATAACAGGGTGGCAACGGTACACGCTGCAATAACAGGGTGGCAACGGTGCATGCTGCAATAACAGGGTGGCAACGGTGCACGCTGCAATAGCAGGGTGGCAACGGTGCACGCAGGACACCTGCACATGAGAGTGTTCTTAGATTCGTGTCCAGGGCGTGTACGCCGTCCTGAAGCGAGTGCGAAGCAAAACACATTACAACAGAGTACTGGCGCAGTACTGCTTGCTCTGGCTCTCTGGCGACCCAGTGGCCTCAGCATGGCTACTGACTTGTGAGTATGGGATGATACAGATGAAAAGAAGAATGACAACAAAGAACAGGCAGGCTACGCGAGAAGCAGCTAGCACACTCACTTTAATGTGTTGATGTGGGTTCGCACCAGGTTGGCATGGGCACGGCAGACGACAATGATTTCTTCGACGCCAGAAGACACAAGAAACTCAAGCGTGTAGTCGATGAGTGGGCGGTTAGCTAGAGGAAGCAAAGCCTGAAGAAAATGAGATACAGGCAAGCAGTGCCAGTGGTCAGTGACAAGCAGTGCGGCCTGTGTGTAGTGTAGTTTGCTCACACACAATATCTTAATCCAGTGGGCCATGGACTACACACAACAGGAGACAGCAACACAGACACCAAGAAGCCAGCGCAACGTCAATGTGGATCACTGGCGATTGCAACGGCCGAGTATCCCGGTTCGCCGAGGATCTTACATTACAGAAGTATGCTGATTCGCTCCGCCAGAAATGGTGCTGGGTGGCAGCAGACCCAAACGCAGTTCTTCCCTAAGTACATTCTACATGTATTGAGTTTCAAAGTTTTCTCCCAAAGCACGCATTTTCCACTTTCATACTTCAACTTGCCAGTCTATGGATTCACCGTGAAGACCCTCTCGAGATTCATGAAACACGAATGCCATGCATTTGGGGATGGCTTGCATGTGTAGACCATTGTGCTCATTGCAGCTTGCGCATGCCAGCGCTATGCGATCCAATACCCAATCTCCACTTTGGGGGAAGATTGGTTAAAAGCTACCAATGCATAAGCCAAGTAAGCGCACATGGAAGTCCATTGATTCACCACACATGCATGCTCATTAGACATGATAACCGACTACGGAGTACAGGATACAGGAAGCTTATATTTTCATTTCGATTTTCTATTCGTGGTGTGAAAGAGAAAATTTCCACCAGATTTATCCAGACTTCAAGTTGAGTCAAGGTTTGAGTACTGCACATCGTCACATCACTACTTTCAGTCCGTTCGTTTGAAACTCCCCCACAACGTTGCTGAGAATTTAACTCGGATGGAGAGCCAAGGATCAAAATTAAGAAGAAAGGACCAAAGGTTTACAAGTTCCCCGCAGTTGTCCAACACTGGCAATAAAAAGCTTGATATTGATGAGTCAAAACGTGCAACAGTTAGCACTGCTGTGGTACTGATATTCAACAGTGTTGGACAACTACGGGTAACTTGTAAACCTCTGGTCCTTTCTTCTTAATGTTGTTGAGAATGTACTCAAGGCCTCATTCAAGAAATTACCGTATCAAAAATGGGAGCGCGAGTTTCAAAATGTGAAGTGAATGAAAAATGAAAATTATGGTACGAAGAGCCGGGAGCGCGAATTCTGAAAACAGAAAGAACAGGAATGGAAACCCACTAAGAACAAGGAATTGATAAATTTCGGTGCAAACCTCCATCACCGGTGAATCCTTTCGCTACCGTATTGCCAACGTGGAGCCCGATGCGCGAGCAGACATCCGGGTGCGGGGCTTTTGGACCCATAGTCGCAATGCACTCTTTGATACGAGGGTGTTTTATCCCCACGCATCGAGCTATCGGTCCAAGCCCATCGCATCTGTTTATCGCAAGTTGGAAGGTGCCAAGAAGCGTTGAGTATGGTGAGAGAGTCAACGAAGTTGAACATGGCTCATTTACACCACTGGTCTTCTCCTCTTGTGGCGGAATGGGTCCAGACGCAAACATCGTCGTCAAGCGGATTGCTGATGCTCTTGCTTCCAAGCGAAAAGAGAGCTACAGCAAGGTCGTTTGTTGGATGCGTTGCTCCTTGGCTTTCTCTCTTGCCACGTCTGCCATGTGGTGTGTCCGAGGATCACACTCCGTTCGCCGTCGTCACTTCGACCTCGTCCAGGCTGAGGCTCGGCATTAGACTGTGTTCACAGCCATTTTAGCTTCCTTGGTATTACTATTAGACTGTGTTCACAGCCATTTTAGCTACCTCGGTACTAGACTGTGTTCACAGCCATTTTAGCTCATTTTCTTCCTGTTGAGGCTGTGCTTGTGTTTATTTTGCCCGTACAAGAGGCTTGGATATTCTTGTAAAAAAACTATTTTTCAAAGTGCACTGAATCCCTTGCAACCAATTCATTAAAAAAAGATCGCTCTAAACACACACATACGGTCTCTGAACTGTAATTAAAAAAATTCTCCATCAATATTTCGGCCCTGGGCCATCATCAAGATTGAAAAAAAAAACTAAGCTATAAATTCAAAACCTAGGGTACCAGTTTCTAATGAATGTACTCTAGTATCTGCACTGCGTGATAGGAGTAATTCAGCGAATCAGACAGCATGGAAATATAACAATCAAAATATTTACCCTTGGCTGCTGCACAGTGATAGGCAAGAAGCGAAAATTGAAGCTGTCAGCGACAACTACAGCTTGCACGATATCCCTCTGCTTGTTGTCGCCAGCTGAGGACGACCCCAAGCCCTTGCCTTTAGTCTTCTTCGGAGGCATGTCGGAAACTAACACAGTTCAAACTTTACTTTACGAAAACACTTCTGTGATTTTAGTTCGTACAGTGACAAGAGTACATTGACTGTTGACTATGTACAGTACTGAAAATATTCAATTATTATTTCAATGAACCACACACGTGACGTAGATTCTACGTAGCCTCGATCGTAGGTCTACACCACGTAGCTAGACCCACATAAACATGCACCAAGTCTGACCAAGTCTGCATGCAGTGCATGTGTAGGCATGGAGTGTACACTGTACATACACCACCTAGTCCTTACGTCATGGCCTACATCAGGGAGTAGTAAAATACAAAAAAAAGTATTTTACTACGAGGTGATTTGTAATAATTTTACATGAAAGTAAAAAAGGCTTTCATTCCGTTGCCCTGGCGAGTTTTGAAGTGTGCATGGTCTCATTTTGTCACTCTGTATGTCCTCTATCCATATATGAACTTCTTGAAAGCACAACACAAACATGAGAGACACAGCGTGGGGTTGCTTTGCATGCATTTTTTCACCCAGAAAAAGTGTGTACAAAATTTTACAAGTCAGTAAAATAGGGTCTAACATCAACAAATATGACCTAAATGTGTCAATAAGCTTGCAATGGTAAATCAAGATACATCTGAAGCGAGTCACATGCAGAGAAAGCAGATTGGTTTTGCAGGTTGCTCAACATATTGGTTTCTCACGGTACGTCGTCAACTCCCGTTCAAACGGTAGGTAATCTTTGACCGCCTACCGGCATTGTAGAGCATGAGCACGCAGACCTTATCTTGCTGCTCCATTCTTTCAACTTGCTATTCATCGTCATGTGTGAAACAACCACACTAATCAAACATACCAGCCAGCCATGATGCGTTCCAGCCGTCCCACGACAGTGTGCCCCCGTGCATCTGAACGACAGTGCACTTAACCAGCACCTACTGACAGTGTCGGAGCTTCCATACTCTCCAAGACAAGTGCAGTGACTCCTTCACCTGATTCATATACTTCTGTGTTGGAAGAAGACTGCAGACCACCCCCAATGGGTGCTCCGCCGTCAACACCCAACATACATTCATGCCACATCATTTCTGCATTTGCTATTTGCCGTCATGAATCTCTACCAGCACGTCTAAGGTAGCAAGCTGAGTTTCATACGTAGATCTACTGACCAGCTAATTATTTTACCTGTACGCCATAAGCATCAGCAGCTTCGAACTTGGATTTGAATCACCTCAAGTTCATGACGGGTGAGTGAAATACACCTACTGTCAAAATTGCAGTTTCTGACCATCACCTTTTTGGCTAATCTCTTCTTCAGCCCTGCTACTCTTGACAGTGTGGCAGACTCAATACCGGCCTCGGGGACCAGCCTAGGGTTTCCACCTGCCGTAGAATATGCTCTCTGGCTCTTGGACGTCCTTCAAGTATCCATTGAGGGATATTTTACCTCATTGACCACAAATTCACGAATTTCGATCCATGATTGATAACTCACAAGGCCGTGGAAGAAAACAATTCCGCAAAACGCTGCTGATGCTTACAAACTACAATACAATGGCAACTCATTTGTCTGTCGAACTAACAAAAACAATTCATGGGAAGAATGCAATCGCCCTCAACAATGCTATTTTACTCGATTTGTAAAATAATATGCCATGTAAAATTTTTACAAATCACCTCGTACTCCCTAGGCCCTGGCCTACATGATCTGACGTCGACTCATGCTTTACCATCCCAAAATAATTAGTTTTGCTCTGATCGGTGATTTTTTCACTTCGGCGCTAGCGCGCTGCGTAGACTCTTTCATGAATTCAGTCTATGCATGCACTAGTCTGTCGACTGTGATGATGTCTGACTCTGAGATCAAGACAAGAAAATTCTTATCTCTAATGACTCTATTCTTGCTGAGATAAGATGCATGACACACACAAACTACATTGTACAGTAATACTTGATGAAAAGAAGGGAGTACTCGAGTGACGGTATGTGTAGACCATGGTAGACTGTAGCCTACTTGTAGTTGTAGGCTCCCTGATGAAAAGGAAACACAAAACGTGACGAAGACAAGTCCTTGACTTGAGCTTGACAATGACATGCTCTCACGATTCTGACCAACAGCGTCAGGGCTCTATTTGATCTACACTGCTACAGTACAGGCGCTACACTAATACAGTTTGGAGGACAACAACTAACTTACTTACTTGAACTTAGTACATGTATGTAAAAAGGAAACTGGCCTTGAATTAATGATCTCTACCAAAACGAGCCAAACTAGCTCTAGTCAAAGCTAGTTTGTTCGTGGGTGATCACATGTGTTCGTACTGCAATCTGTTTGAAAGAAAAGATATTGGTTCACTCACTCATGGATGGACTCAATTTACCTCTACTAGCTCTAGTCTGAAATCAATGGCATTACATGAGTTTTACAGGGATACTAGTACTTAGCAGTCAGAGACTTTTCAACGAGGAATTTCAGAATGGCTGGAGACAACAACGAAGTGAAACTGGAGGAGATTGTACTTGGTGTGCAAGATGTATTTCCGAACATCAGTCAAGATCGCATTAGACGGGTTTGTCAACATTACGTTGCAGAGAAGCTTCCCCACCCCCTTGGAAATGCCGTGGATTATTTTCTGTCACATCCCGAAAGTGGACCATTGGACACACCGGGAAAGCCAACGACATCTGTACCAATTGTGCATTTGAGGCAAGTTATTTTGTATGTTGAGATTTACTGGAACGATTCTCTGCCACCAGGTGTTAGCCCTGGCAGTGCAGTATGCTTCACTTCACCCTCTACTCACTCACAGATATATTCATTGTCAAAATGTAATGCTATGCCTATGGTGCTGATGCACACAGACCCCAGGGGCGTAGCCAGGATAGTGATCAAGGGGGGTGCCACGAATTCCCCACACAAAAGTACAAGTACATGTGCATGCATTAATGTTGCTCCTTTCATACAATTATTTGATCCGCGATACGGGGGGGGGGGAGCAAAATTAGCCCCACACTTGACGCTGAAGATCCATCAGTGAATGGCAAACCTCCAACCAGGGAATAGTAATATGGTATTTTACTACAGTCAGACCTCGCTTATCCGGTCCTCTTTTATCCGGATCCCTCGCCATCCGGAAGAATATCGCTGGTTACCGATGTGCCACGTACGGTACGCATACAACATAACCGGACCTCGCGATCCGCATACCGGTCCATGATTTTGTGTACAAACTGGTTGAAATGTGTATGAAAAGCTTTGTCGTATCCGGTGACACGTGGCTTGCAGAAGCTTGAATCAGGGAGTTTTACAAACAAATGAGGTCCTTTTACCAGGGAGCCGTACACATACCACTATAGGTATGTGTGGGGCTCCCTTGTCAAGGACCTGCTGGCTGCATGCGGATAGCACTCAGTTCCATGCACTTGTCATTTTTCTCGCTTGTTTTACGTATCGTGCACGCTAGTTGTACTGTATAGGACCCGTATACATGTATGTACGATGCCATTCCTTTTGGTATACATGTATGTACGATGCCATTCCTTTTGGTATACATGTATGTACGATGCCATTCCTTTTGATGTGCCACATTCATAGTATGTGTGTTCAGTTATCCGGTTCCCTCGCCTATCCGGATATTTTCGTGGAAAACGGATATGTGCGGTTAAGCGAGGTCTGACTGTACTCCCTGTTTCCAACTAATTGTTAGGTTCACGATACTCACCTTTGTTCCCTTTTCTAACCTTTTCTTCCGTTGGCCTGGGTAGCTGGATTCGCGCTCTAGTACATTCATTTCCATAGCTACCCAGGCCCTTGATAAGCTCGGACTTGGACCTTTCACTCTCTTTCTTTTCATCGAACCTTGAGACCTTGAGAAGAGTTCTTGACCTTCGTCCTCTGTGACTGTCCGCGTGTGTGATCCGGTGATCCTTACATAATGATGAGCTAGTCCTGGATGCTGCTTTATCGAGAATCATCACACTATTTATCGAAGAGTTGGTGGACAAGCCGTTGATTATCCACTCTCATTGTAATATCAAAAAAGTATTCTTTCTAGACCAAAGAGTGGTATATTTGATAAATAAAGATAGAAATATTTACAATACTTCTCCAGACGTTTCGTTGTTCTGAACATCGTCAATGGATAAAGACACACACACACACACACACACACACACACACACACACACCTCTTGCCAATTCTGCCCACCACATATACATCAACACCTATTGCTGATCCACACCCTACCTAGACTCTCTCCCACATTTATCAACCCGACGCTTCCATTACGCCACTCCACCTTCTACGCACATCAACACCTTCTACCAACCTACACTTCTACCCGAAGGGTGTACTCCTTACCACCTGTATCGACCCGCACCTAACCTTCACCATTAACTTAGATACATGTATTTCCCACCTTCACCATCTCACCTCATCTCACCACTATCACTCCCTATTAACCCGTGCCACCACCCAAAGCCCTCCATTCTTTATCCACTGACGATGTTGTTCAGAACAACGAAACGTCTGGAGAAGTATTGTAAAAGTATTTCTATCTTTATTTATCAAATATACCACTCTTTAATAGCAATGAAAAATATCAATTGTGCACTCATAATCATGTATAAACAATTAAAATGAAACAATTCCAGAACGTTTTCGTGTGACCATCATCAGTGGAACATCGTCACATAGTAAGAATCACTAAAACAACCAGTTATATAGCTAGAGTAACATGAAAAGAAGCGTGAGAATGCAGCACAGCTAGCGGTTATGCATAACGCGTGTAGTGTGAACCTTTGCAGTGTATCTGAGAATGGTAGCAGTAGATGAATGTGGCAGCTGTGAGTGCGTGTGAACAAAAACTGGTGAGTGCGTATTATTTAAAAAGTGTGAGTGCTACAACATTTTCTTTTTGCTTGCATAGAACAGGGTCACGTGTGCATCTACTGCTACCATTCTCAGATACACTGCAAAGGTTCACACTACACGCGTTATGCATAACCGCTAGCTGTGCTGCATTCTCACGCTTCTTTTCATGTTACTCTAGCTATATAACTGGTTGTTTTAGTGATTCTTACTATGTGACGATGTTCCACTGATGATGGTCACACGAAAACGTTCTGGAATTGTTTCATTTTAATTGTTTATACATGATTATGAGTGCACAATTGATATTTTTCATTGCTATTTTACGACTGTTGTCTCCTCGTCGGTTATTTAAATACCACTCTTTGGTCTAGAAAGAATACTTTTTTGATATCCATCGAACTTAAAGTCAGCTTTTTCAACCCGTTTTCTCTTTGTTGTGTTTGATAGTGCAGTAGGGCGTCCTTGATCAAACATACACTATTTTCCCCACAAAAACCACAAACTGCACTTCAACGTTACTTTCACGGGGTGTTGAGATGCGGCAAACTCCGGAAACTGTGAAGCTGGTTCGCATTCGACGGGACACGACCTAACACAACGGGAGTTGACGGGGCGCTCATAACGGCGTCGAGTATGAATATCGGGAACGGCAATGCGTCAGTATGATCGTACCTGTCGAGATGTGATGGACGAGCTGGAGTTGCTCGGCTTTCGATGCGGATGCGGGAATGGAAGCGTACAAAACGGCTGCATTTGAAGTGTGAACAGGCGTTGCCGTTGTGTAGTAATGCACGCAACGACAACTAAATTTAATACTTTGCTAATTTGATCATTTCAAACACTATGCATCCCAGAATAACCATGATTCCGAATGGTTCACACAACCGACCTGAATTTGGCCAGCTAGGATTTCATAGTTAGTACCGTATTATCCGGAGTATAGTGTGCATTTTAGATGGGTTACTGTAAGAGTTGAATCTCTAACGGGGCACAAAGTCTAGCGTTTTAACGAGAACAAATCCATCGTTAACTCAAGAAATGTTACACATATGTTATTCCTTCTCTCCTCTATACTAGAGGAATAGAAGACAGGTGTGTGCTGGCAGGGTCGTTAAACTTTGTGCCCCTAAGTGAGAATTTGCAAATCGCTGAACTTTCGATTCATCGCACTTTCAACTCTTACACTATTTCAAGCTCGAAATCATGGGTGCGCGTTAAAGTGACGCTTCAGCGGCTTTACTCCGACTATGAAAACACACACACTAAGCCACCTCCATGTTGACTGTCAGGTCTATGCTGAGAACACGAACTGTAGGCTCAACCTACGCCACCACTGCCTGCTCTGCTACTGTAGCATCTCTGTGCTACTCGCACCGGGTTCGTTGGTCCTATCTACTCAGCACTTCTATTTTATGCGACATACCGTATTTTCCGGAGTAAAAGCTCCACTGGAGTATAAGCCGCACCCCCATTTTTTGGCACTAAATACAGACATCTAACCCATTTATCACCGTTAATTTGATCATCGGAGTATAAGGCGCACCCCCCCCCCCCCCCTTTGGTGAATTTTGAGTGTTCAAAGTGTGGCTTGTACTGCGGAAAATACGGTAAGTCACTTACCCTATGCAAAGTCTCACTGTATTCCCTTTCATTGTCTTCTGAAGATTGCTTGTGCGTGGAACTCGAGCAGAGAGAGAAATTGTTCTGCTCTAGATCTTTGTGCTAAAGACGGTTTTTGTTGCTGTTCGTGTTTTCATGTGTTCGGCTGTTTGTACAGTAGTGATTCGGATGACGACATCAGCATTCTTGTGCCGCCACCAGGTGCTGCACAGCATGGACGTGCTCATGCTGTGCCGGTGTGCAGCAATGCAGCAGTAGACCTTGGCATGCCGACATCGGTGCTGTCATCAACAGGAGTGTCCTCCAGTATTACGGTGGCCACGTCGACGCCGGTGCGGTCGTCTAAAGGAGCCGCCTCCAGTGTGGCGAACACGCCGACTAAGGTCGGGGTTGCATCAAGTACTGTTGCCAGAAGCACGCCACGGCAAGCGCAACAGCTGCATCTCACTGTGAGTACACACTGTAAGGCTGTGTTTACACGAGAAGTTTCAACCCCTGCCGGGTTCAGCCAGCCCGGGTTGAAAGTCTGTACGATAGACTAAATAGGTCGGTGTTTACATGAAGACAGTTGGCCCGGGTCAAATACTGACATGCTGCCAAAAGTCCACTTCTAGACTCCTGTATGGTCACGTGAATACTTTCTCACGGAATTTGCCTGTGCAGTGCTGTTCAAACCTGGCGCGAGGTACGTACAGTAGTACGATTTCTCGATTTCAACCCTCCCCTGGGGGGTTTGAAATCAACCCGGGGCGAATTTTCAACGCAGGTCAAGCGCAATGCATCATGTAAACGTGCCATTCAATCTGTGTTCATGGCGAGTTGAAACGCCTCATGTAAAGCCTAAAAGCCATTATTCTAATGAGCCGCAATTATAACGATATCCTAAAATTGACTGGCTTACGTGTACCAAAGGTAACGGATTCTCGCTCATTCTCAACGCTCACTGGCAACAGTATAAGTATCGATTCTGGATATTTTAAAAACTTTTTCTATTTTAGCGACATAATTCTCCTTGCTAATTCGTTAGATTTAGCACTTTGTTAGGGGCCGTCCGTAATTACTAATTATCGATCAGCACACGAAGCACAGAAGCCATATGATTTCGACTAGGCCTTTCGTACCATTACTCTTCAAGTCGAATACAATGGTGATTAACAAGGTAGCAAGCAAGTCCTTATTACCGGTACTTTGGCGGTCAGAGCATTGACAAAAATAGCACTTGAAAAAATAGCGCTAGTGGCGCCAACAACATATTTGGCGGTCAGAGCATAGACCAAATAGCACTTTAAAAGATAGCGCTAGTGGCGCCAACTACACAGTGAGACAATGAAACTGGTATTCTGTGCGTTGAGGAGAGTTTCGTTTTGAAAATTATTGATAGCTGAAACATCAATCCATTCTAGCTGTAAAGTCAATATATTTTTCGTTGAACGGGGTGGGTGGGGGAGGGTCGTAACTAAGCTTTTTCATTCCGTGAAAATTATCGATAATGCCGGATGGCCCCTTATATAATCTGCGGACAATATCAATATTTCAAGCGGTAGTTTGGAGGCGGTGAAAATAGTTTCGCCATCTATACCTTCGCATGCAAATATGCCATATGCTTGTCGTTGAGGGGATAGTCGGTTTTATCTGCTTTACTGTTACTAAACTCTTCTGCAAGATTTGCTAATGCTGCTTGGCATGTGTCCTTCTTTGCATCACTCACTGGCACGCAGCGCTCCAATTGGTCGTTTGTAAGTTCAAATTCTGCCTGCACAAGCTCCTTGTCCATTCTGGAACTAGGGGGGACTCCAAACTTCAAGCCCCTGCACAGTACATCTTTCTCGATATTTGTTAGTGTAACTCCAGCCAAGTTAAGTAGGTGGGAGTGTTTCAATTCGTTTGAGCCCTTCTCGTAACGCACCTTCCTCCTAAGTGCATCGTCAAACTTACTTCTGATCCGGCACTGTAGTCTTGAGGTCTCGTTGATGAGCCTGGCGAACCTGAAGCGGTCCAGCACGCTGATGCTTCGATTGACTTCATGAAGAACATGGCGGTACTCAAGCCAGCGGTGGTCCTCTCCAGTTCGTCCTTGAAAAAGGCGCGTTCAATTCTCCATTGCTTCTTGGCCTTGACTCGCTGTACCCACTTCTTGATGGAGCGGGGCGCAACGCCACACGTGAGGCAGTTCCGTAGAAAGCTGGCATTCTCACGACCACGGATGATCCGGCCGTTGCACTTCAAAATGTAATTCAGGTCTTGAGAATTAGTCGGTGGTCCAGTCGCCGTTTTAAGTATATAAGGCTTTTACAGTACATGCTCGCAAGTGTAGTCGCCCTGGTCACTTCCTCAATCAAATGGTCTTGGTCCAAAGATGCTGCGACAAGCCATTCCCTAATCGAACAGCCTGCGGATTTGGTGCTGGGACTTACCAGGGTCATGGCAGGAATGCTGTACACTGTGCATGCAAATTGATTGAAAATATACTGACAAGCAATGCATCACAGCATCCTCGGACCCAGATCATTTGAATTTTGATTGTAGTAGATAGTACATGTACTCTGTTCCCATGGAAATGAATACCGTGCTTTTCGGTGTATACGCCGCACTTGAGTATAAGCCGCAGCCAGATTGCCAGATTTTGTTGCAACGAAATACAGGCATCTACCCTGTTTATCACATCTACCCTGTTTATCACATCTACCCTGTTTATCACGGTTAATTTGACCATCGTAGTATAAGCCACACTGCCTTTTTTGGGGGGGGGGGTGAATTACTGGTGTTTGGAGGGGGGGGGGGTGAATTACTGGTGTTTGGAGGGGGGGGGGGGGGGTGAATTACTGGTGTTTGGAGTGCGGCTTATACTCATGAAAGGAAGACTATTTCCGATTGAATCGTTTCTTGGTTGGAGGGAAACAAATCAGCTCTCGGAGCACAGAAGCCGTATAGCACTCATGCGGCACTCACTCTCACTTCACTATTCAAGCGCGTGCAGGGAATAATTTACTTTCAATCTTTTGCATAGTAGTTTTGCTATGCAAAATCAAACTTGAATAGCAATTCAAAAATGTTGCAAAGCAATTTTCTTCAACACTTGACGACCGTCCTCCTGGAGAGCTGATCAGAGTGCAAGCTCAGACCACAAGTACACTGTTACACCTTGGTTGCAAACCTAGCCTGGTGCCAGGATGCATAGCTCAGCACTTTCGAAGTTTCGTGCATCTATTTTATCCGAAAGAGACACACCTGGCATGTACACTGTGCATCATAGGCAGTGCTGCCAAATAAATTTCGCCCAAAATCGGACACCCTTCACCGCCACATGGTGCGAATTTTTCTCCTCGGCAATTTTTTTACAGAGAATTCAAAATATCGCCTAAAATACCATGAAAATTCGCTTCGTTGCCATGGTAACCCCAGAGTTGTCATGAATTTTGTAATGATGAGTATGGTCGCACACTGACTCTGTACAGACTGTCAGTGTACATGCCATCCAGCCTGATCCAGGCATGTTACTTTGCACTTCCACAGCCAAGCGCTAGCCTTTTTAGAAGCAAATGTACAGTGATTTGTGCCTTCAGTTGCGCTAAAAAGTGAAAGTACAGGACTTCTGCATAGGAAAGTAATGATCTCCGACAGTTTGGCTGCTTTTCGGACGTTTCCCTTTTCGGACCGGTTTTCGGAAGAGCCTTCAAAAATCGGACACTGTCCGAAAAATCGGACGGTTTGGCAGCACTGCATAGGGTACAGGGAAAAATCAATATGCATCGCAGTTTTCTGCGACACATTTCTGAAGTTGCTTCGCACCTCAGAAGAATTGCATAGCAAACTGCGATGCGATACCGGTTAAATTATTGCCTGGCGTGCGCGCAACAAATCTCACCTTGCTGTGCTGGAGGCGGTGTACATTGCCAAGCTGAAACCTGAACTGTGCGTGTAAAAGAAGTATGTGCGAAAGTTCTCACTGTTTTGACGTTGTAGTACCGTGGTCCCCACTGTTGTTTGATAATATTGATTGTTTAACTATGTAGTTGGTGCCACTAGCTCTATCTTAGGTGCTATTTTGTCACTGCTCTGACCGCCAAAATGCCGGTTATAAGGACTTGCTTGCTGCCATGTTAATCTCTGATCATTTTTTAAAGTTGCGTTATCACAGTGGGTTTTTTATTCTTACCCTGTTCTCAGCCGCAGACAAACAGCACAGTTGTACGCAAATCGGTGGCAGCGAGCACATCAACTCCAACCAGAGGCATGGATGCGGCAAATCCGAATACGTGAGTATGCACTTTATTCATGTAGTTGACGTGATAAAGTCACACTGATTCTTGAGAAGGGAGATGCCACTTTCCTCCAGTCCAGGCCCAATAAACTCCCCTGATAAATATCCAGTTACTCTCGCAGAGTCCTTTTAGGGAAGATATTGAAGATACGAATCGTTGGTGCAGGTAGGTCTAGAGGTCAAGCTGTCCATGCCTTGATCCTTCAGTTTGGTGGTGTATCTATCTACACTTTTGACCTGGTCAGTCTGACTGACTCGGACGCGAGCCGTGACGTTTGTACCTCTCTGTTATAAGTCAAGGTTGTGGACAGGCAGCGCATTCATGATTGTACTTATCGTAATGGGTGCAGTGTCCATGAAGCGCTTTTTGGCTGCCTGGTCAACAATGCCCTAGTTTACTGTGCTGCTGCTGCTGCTGCTATTCCATATTGTCTATCCTGACCTCCATTGCACGGCAACTGATCCCGGATTGTTGGACGACCTGGCCAAAGCTAACTGTTTAAACTCTCAAATCTCGGCAATACCGTTGTACGTGTACTTTGTTATGCTGAGGACAATTGTCCTGCCAAGGTTGCTGTGATTGACCAAAGAGCATACCTCCGTTACCAGTTGTTAATTGTGACAGCTGCTGCTGCTGGGTTTTATGCGTGGTGGTGGTATGATTATATCCCCTGTTTTTCTCCAGTGTTGGCATTGGCCGTACATCTATCGATTCTGCACAACACCCCGAGCAGCCTTTATTGCAGGAGGATTTGCACGAGCGGGTTGAGGTTGGTGCTGCACTTGCTGCTGTTGCCACGTCCGAACAGTTATCTCCGTTATTCACTGGTGATGCGACGGATGGCGCGATGAACAGACACTACAACCAAGTTGGTGCAGCGATCACTAGAGTGAGTACTCTTACTACTGGTGTTGCTGGTGCTACTGCTACTGCTGGTGCTGGTCCTGGTGTTGCTGGTGCTGGTAATGTGCGCCCCAGTCTGTCATATCGTAGCTTCGCAGAGCCTGCCATGACTGCCACTAGCATGACACGGGACACTTCTCAAATGGCGCGTGCGTCTAATAATCCACACCAGGGCGGTCTTGTTTCCCCAGTGTATCCTCCTGCCCAAAACCTAGAAGATTTTCTTCTGGCTAGGCCAGCGCAGGGTGAAACTGGACGAATGCCACCGCTATTAAGAAAACCGCTTGCTGTTGGTAAGGATAAGGATGTCATGGTCACTGCCAATCCATTCCAAGGCACTAGTGCCACACTGCCGAGTCCTGGTCGCTTTCCACAGCCGCTGCTGCCAGTGCGTGCAACCTTACCTAGGCCAGTTCGAGCACATATGCCAGGAGAATTCATGGACAACCCCATTGCCACTGGGTACATGCCACCCTGTCGTAATCCTACACGCCCGCCGGTAAGCTGTTTTTGGTTGTATTTCCTTATGTCCGGACTCCTTGTCAGCTGGCTGACACGTTACGCTGTGTTTATACTAGTAACTGAATGTTTGTTCATCACTTACAAGCCACAACCAGTCCACTATTAAATTGGAGAAAAAGACCTAGATGTACTGGCACCATAGTGTAATGACTGCTCGAGGCGCTTTGGATTTGCTACATGTACTTGGTGTGGGGCAGTGGTATGAATCTGCTGCAGTATTCTGGAATGAATGGAATTATATCCGATTCCCCTCATAGCCATGTGGCTAGGCCAACTCTCACATCAACTGTATGGTTATGTGTGAATTTCGTTCTAGGAGGAAAGCTGTGGACATATGACATTTAGTCACGTTAACTCTGTACGCTGTAACTACATGTGCGTGTATTTGCCGCACCCTTCTGCATTAGGAACTGGAACATCGCCGGAGAATTCAGCAACTCCAGCAAACCTTGCAGCAGAAATTGAATCAGCGGCATCAAGGAGCAGAGGGACCGTGGCAGGACCTGGAGCAACACCAGCAGGAAGCAGACCTGCACCTGTATGCAGCACAACAGTTGCAACAACAGCTGCAGCGGCAACGGGAACTGCAACAACAGGAACAGCAGCAGCGGCAGCAACAGGAACAGCAGCGGCAACAACAGCAGCAGCAACAACAACAGCAGCAGCTACAACAAGTGCAACGGCAACTGCAGCAAATTCAACCCCACCAATTTCAACTGCCTTTGTTGGCTGGTGCAACTGCTGTTGCGACCCCAGCCCCTACTGCTCACCTGGATTTGGAAGCTGGCGATAATGAACGTGTGCAACCTGTTGCACAGAAGCCTGCATTTTACATGCATGAAGTCAAGCAGCGAGTGGTAAGTGTAGCTAGAGTACATGACCCCCAAACGTGTGCAACTTCAGTCTATGGGGTCTGCGACGGCAGAACTTCACGTCACATGACAAACCCGTGCACTTTTTTTTATTTGCACCCTGTGCATGATAGATGCCGGGTTGTATGCAAACCCTGCTTTGGGCTCAACTCTCTGTTGGTCACTTTGCAGTGTTTGTCAGGGTAACTTATTGATCCATGTCATGTGATGTAAGTTCTGCTGTTGCGGCACAGGGTAGAGATTGTACAGGCAGTTGTACACTCGTGGGGGTTATGTTCTCTTGTGAGTAGCTATCCAACGAAATATAAATAACTATTAGAACGATGAATAGTAATAGAGAGGCGGACATTGAACGTAACAAAATAATATAATGAATCTGAAGATCCCTGGTTCGAGTCTTGGTGGCAACACGCCACTTTTTCTCAGACTCTTCCCTTTTCAGCACCCTCAACCAATGAAAATCTGAAGTTTCCTAATTGATTTTCGTGAGACACTCATCAGGGAAAGCCGTATTAACAATAACAGCTGAGCCGGGTGAACATGTGAGAAGTGTCTAGGTGAGGTGAAGGTGTGATCAAGGGCGAAAGGAAATATAGAAAGGGGGAAAGAATGGTGCGAATGTAAGAGGTGCCTGACTGTGTGTGAGGGGCATAGGTGTATGTGTATGCATGTGTGTGTGTGTGTGTGTGTGTGCGTGGGCGTGCGCGTGCGGGTGCGGGTGCGTGTGTGTGACCCCTAAACGAATATAATATAAATGTTTTCCCTGCCTAGCTACATTGTATTATTGTTGAGACAGCTTTCCCTGGTGAGTGCCTCCTGAAAGAAGGACTGTAGTGTTACTGCATTGCATGTTGATTTTGCTTGGCCAGTACAATCCTTCTGATGAGATGGCAAAACTTTGAAATAAAATAAAATTTCACGGTTCGCATGAGACTCGGCCAAAGGCCCAGTTTTCCGCATCTGCATCCGCAGGAACGCCACCACCCTCCATTATTTAAAAAATTCTTTTTTTATTTTTGTTACAATCACTGTCCACTTCTCTAGTACTATTCATCGCTCTAATAAAGCTCTTGTGTATTGACCTATACTGTTGAGTGTTGACACGAGCTACTCGCCGGACTGCCGCGGCTTAGGTTATAACCGATAAACAGACTGACTGCTAGAGTAGTAGTTAACCGTTAAAGGGGAAGTTAAGGCAAAAATTAAAATTTCACCAGTTGTAGTCTTCGGGGTGCTGAGTCGAATGGTCTTGGTTCGAGAAAGCTGAGACGCTCCCTTCCTACTTGAATCCCAATCGAACTCGCGCACTTCCACCGAAACTGGGTGACTGCGCCCTACTAGATGGGGATTTGTATGCAAAATCTCACTAAAAGCGCCATTTCGTTCTTATTAAAGCACGGATGACCGCGATTGGCCCATATGTTGTAGCCTTCTGGACGCTGAGTCGACTGGTTTTGGTCCGAAATGGCTGCGATGCAGCGTTCCTCCTTTATTCCCAATCGAACATGGTTGAACAAGTGGTCACGTGCTCCTGGGTGCCCAAATCACCTGGTCACCACGCCAGCAGGCGACAACTTTCACACCAAGGTTCAACTCGAGTGACAGGACTGCACCCAAAAAAGGTCAAATAGGCTAGTAAGTTGTACCCTGCAGGCGCGGTGACCAGGTGACTGGTGTACGCAGGAGCACGTGACCGCTTGTTCAACCATGTTCGATTGGGAATAAAGGAGGAACGCTGCATCGCAGCCTTTTCGGACCAAAACCAGTCGACTCAGCGTCCAAAAGACTACAACATATGGGCCAATCGCGGTCATCTGTGCTTTTATAAGAACGAAATGGCGCTTTTAGTGAGATTTTGCATACAAATCCCCATCTAGTAGGGCGCAGTTACCCAGTTTCGGTGGAAGTGCGCGAGTTCAATTGGGATTCAAGTAGGAAGGGAGCGTCTCAGCTTTCTCGGACCAAGACCATTCGACTCAGCACCCCGAAGAAAACAACTGGTGAAATTTTAATTTTTGCCTTAACTTCCCCTTTAAGGTGAAAACCGTTTGAGCCCTACTAGTCTCCACATCGCTTATTTGTTTACCCGGTAGTTAAATATTAGTTTGTGATATTCTGTGTGTGCTGGTGACTTGGAGTGCGTTCCTTTTTGGAGTAGAGCAGATTTTTGAAGGAGGCAGACGAAGACAGTTGATGAAAGTGCCCGAAAGCAGATATATCTTCTATTAGCATCAGGGTATATGACCGTGTCCCTGCAATTAGTTTAACACTCTCTTATTAGAGATGTTACCAATAGAGGTGGCTTGCCCGCAGTGGCAAAGCTGTACGTATCACCTCTGGTGGCTAAGCAGTACGTATCACTTCCAGTGGCTTAATGGTGGCGAAGTCACGGCGGACCTTGCCGCAATTCCTGCAGGCTTTCCCTCCCATGACGTTGATGTGCTGCTGTCCGGTACGGCTGTTGTCCTGTACGGCTGTTGTCCTGTGTGACTGTAGATGAGTATGTTTCCTGATATTGAGGAGCATTATCTGGAAGATCTGATCAATACGCACTCAGATGATCATGCTAATCGGTGAGTTCCAGCCTATGCTTGTAGCCCATGGGTTTTCCTTGTTCCAGTCCTAGCACCTGGCTAGCTTCTAGCAGCATGGCATGTACATGTTCTCATGTTAGCAGCACTGAGACATACAGAGCTGACTGCGGGGTTACGTGGCATGTGTAGTGGTTTCAAGTTTCAACCTTGTTTGTAATGAACTACATGTTGTGTGTTCATTCTTACTACACGTCCATGGAACTACACGTAAGAGCGAATGACTTTTGTGTTGAATTTCAGTGTGAGTTGGGATGTGCTTGCCAGCTCACAATTATTTGCTGGTAGTATGAAGCTGCAGGAAGCATTCAAACTGATGTTGAAGCATAAATTCGAAATAGATATTTTGCTAAAACTTCGAAAGAAATCAACTTCCGACAGTGCTCACGAAGACGGGCTGCAAAGTTGTCTTCCCCAGAGCAAGTAAGATCTGGCGATGGAGTAGGGCTACTACTGAGATGAAAGACTCTCCATGCGTATCAGACAGAATTGCAGCTATTGTTACTTTGAGCGCTGCACCTGCCTGCATCCCTGGACTGCCAGCCTGTAGTCAGTACTCTAGGTAGCTCACTCCACTAGGATTTAGAGAAGTGCACTCCTGGTACCACTGCACTAGGATTTAGAGAAGTGCACTCTTTCCTTGGTACTACCCCGCTAGGATGATGTAGAGAAGTGCACTCTTTCCTTGGTACTACCCCACTAGGATGATGTAGAGAAGTGCACTCTTGCCTTGGTACTACCCCACTAGGATGATGTAGAAAAGTGCACTCTTGCCTTGGTACTACCCCACTAGGATGATGTAGAGAAGTGCACTCTTGCCTTGGTATTACCCCACTAGGATGATGTAGAGAAGTGCACTCTGCCTTGGCACTACCCCACTAGGATGATGTAGAGAAGTGCACTCTTTCCTTGGCACTACCCCACTAGGATGATGTAGAAAAGTGCACTCTTGCCTTGGTACTACCTCACTAGGATGATGTAGAGAAGTGCACTCTTGCCTTGGTATTACCCCACTAGGATGATGTAGAGAAGTGCACTCTTGCCTTGGTACTACCCCACTAGGATGATGTAGAGAAGTGCACTCTTGCCTTGGTATTACCCCACTAGGATGATGTAGAGAAGTGCAAAATTCGCCCCTAATTCGACGCTGAAGATCAATCAGTGAATGGCAAATCTCTAACCAGGGAGTAGTAATGATTATGGTATTTTACTACACCCTGGCCTGCTTCCAACTAATGATGGACTATAAAGTCCTGGATGCTGCTTTCTCCAGAATTATCACACTCTCCATCGAACTTTTAAAGTGGGATTTCTCGAGCCATTTTTCCACTTCGTCATGTTTGATAGTGCAGTAAGGCATCCTTGATCAAACCTACACTATTCCCCACAAAAACTCAAACTGCACTTCAACGTTACTTTCACTCTTCTGCTGCTGTATCCACACTTGCAATGCATGAAAGAAACTTTGCCTTTCCACAACGAGACCAATTAACAGCGAGAACTACATTATACAAAACATAGCGAGAACAAACTGCTCTGTCTGATGTGTGCTTTCCGGCCATAGACCGCGTTGCTACTTCCTTGCTTCTACCAATGGCGTGTTTGTATGATTCTTTGGTTCTAACAAAACATGTGGAGTGTGATGCAAATTATGTGCTGAGCCTGCTGAGGCCTGCAGGTACGAAGCGGAGTTCCCTTGACTAGAAATTTCATTGCAAAATGGCCAATCATGACATGAGACAAAAATTAATAGTCCACTGCATGTGGATTGGTTTCAGGTACATTGTACTTGCAGGTCTGAACCAGGGAGTAGTACCTACTACTCCCTTGTCTAAAACAGGGATGGCTACAGTGTGCGATGTGCAGAGTTGCACATGTGATCAGGGAGTCTGCTATAGTCTCTCTCGAACCAGCTACAGTGTAGCTGTGAACCAAGATCGAAATTTTTGAGGGGGGTGCTTTGGCACCCAAAGCACCCCCCCCCCCCCACCCCCTGCCTACGCCCCTGAGGATGATGTAGAGAAGTGCACTCTGCCTTGGTACTACCCCACTAGGATGATGTAGAAAAGTGCACTCTTGCCTTAGTACTACCCCACTAGGATGATGTAGAGAAGTGCACTCTTGCCTTGGTATTACCCCACTAGGATGATGTAGAGAAGTGCACTCTTGCCTTGGTATTACCCCACTAGGATGATGTAGAAAAGTACACTCTGCCTTGGTACTACCCCACTAGGATGATGTAGAGAAGTGCACTCTATGTAGCACACTCCACTAGGATGTAGAGAAGTGCACTCTGTGATGACAGCATGGCGCTTGCAACACCTCTTCTCCACTTTTTGCTGTAGCTGCCCCACTACCGGTAATCATAGGCTGCCGATCTGAGGATGCGAATACATGTAGTGAAGTGAAAATCCAGTCATCAAGACAGGTTCCACTGTGTCATCCGGAGTGACTGACAACTCCAATTGCGCAGATGAAATACGACCCGAAATGCAAAGCTGGCGCACACCGCCGAAACTCAATCGCGCACACCGCCGAAACTCAAGAGCATTGGTGCTTGCATTCACTGGTGTAGATCATATCTTCCTTTGACGTTTCTGCTGCTGCCACCGCCGCTGCTTCTGCTGCTGTTGCTGCTAATGTGCCTTCTTCTTGTAGAGTGTGCAACTACCTGTTAGAACATTCTGGTTTTCCTTGTAATCCGTCCACGAAGAAAAAGAAGGCGGTGGCTGCATCGGTAAGTCTCCATCAGCTGTTCTGGAATGCTGTGAAACGCTCTCCTCTGAACACCAGGCTTGCTGTCATAGATGTGGACGTAGCAACTGTGCGTGAATGAGTGTAGGTATACTAACAGTGGTTTGTGGATGCAATGAATACTCTACAACCCAACGCGGGGGGGGGGGGGGGCAGTGTCTCAGCAACGCCAGAGGGGAATTATGTCCTGTTGGAGGATTGGGACAGCTTTCCAGGGGCATGAATTGATTGGTCAAAGACCATCTCTGGTGTGTAGGAGCAGTCAAGTATGCGTTTGTTCATTGAATTGGTATTCAACAAATGATTCATTTGTGGAAGTAGCTGTTCATTACATCACTAATTAGTAATTACTGTGGAAGTGGAGTACTGACTAGAATTGTTTTCCAATGTTTCTAGAGTGCTGCTATTGACTACTTGAAAGATGACAGACGACTGGATATGCACATGTGTAGTGGTGCTAATCGCTTGTTGCTCTCTGATTTCCCACAAGTAAGGCAACTTGTAATGGTATTCTCTTTCCCGCTTGTCTTTCAACTATCTGCCCTTCTATTTCCCATGCCCCCCCCCCCTCTCTCTCTCTCTCTAGCTCTCTCTCTCTCTCTCTCTCTCTCTCTCTCTCTCTCTCTCTCTCTCTCTCTCTCTCTCTCTCTCTCTCTCTCTCTCTCTCTCTCTCTCTCTCTCTCTCTCTCTCTCTCTCTCTCTCTCTCTCTCTCTCTCTCTCTAGCTCTCTCTCTAGCTCTCTCTCTAGCTCTCTCTCTCTAGCTCTCTCTCTAGCTCTCTCTCTAGCTCTCTCTCTAGCTCTCTCTCTAGCTCTCTCTCTAGCTCTCTCTCTAGCTCTCTCTCTAGCTCTCTCTCTCTCTCTCTCTCTCTCTCTCTCTCTCTCTCTCTCTCTCTCTCTCTCTCTCTCTCTCTCTCTCTCTCTCTCTCTCTCTCTCTCTCTCTCTCTCTCTCTCTCTCTCTCTCTAGCTCTCTAGCTCTCTCTCTCTAGCTCTCTCTCTCTCTCTCTCTAGCTCTCTCTCTAGCTCTCTCTCTAGCTCTCTCTCTCTCTCTCTCTCTCTCTCTCTCTCTCTCTCTCTCTCTCTCTCTCTCTCTCTCTCTCTCGTAGTGATGTTCTGCTCTGCGTTAGGGAAACGTGATGCGACGAATACCGGGAGCACTGATCGCGTTCCCGTAACGTATAAGGAACCTGTTCTTCCCTACGTTCATGCAATGAAATCACGTGGAATGTACACTGGGGATTTCCCGTTCCGAATCTGGCAGCTTTCTCGGTAATTTGAACAATACGCACAAGATCCGTACGCATTTTCTTTGTGTGTGCCGCAGCGTAGAGAACTTATCTCCACGTAGAAGTCTCGACCCCAAAAAACATGAAACCGTCCACTCTCACCCAGACACTTTTCTGTACGTGATTTCTCCACCTCTCACGTTGAGCAGAACCTCACTAGTATGCAGTTGCGCCTTTGTTGTTTGGTCACCATGGCAATTTTGTTGAGTTCCTGCTGACGTGTGAATCGTGTACACGCCTCGGCAAAGAAATTTCGGAGTTGCATGCAGCTGTATCGTCGTGGCATCATGGCATTGGTTATGGTTATCGTCGTGGCATCATGGCATTGGTTGTTGTGTATTGAACTCTATTCTGTGGCATCATGGCATTGGTTGTGTATTCTGCGGCACCATGGCATTGGTTGTGTATTCTGCGGCATCATGGCATTGGTTGTTGTGTATTCTGCGGCATCATGGCATTGGTTGTTGTGTATTGAGCTGCCTTATGTGACACACACACACACACATACACACACACACACACACACACACACACACACACACACACACACACACACACAGGTTGCTGCTGCCGACATTAAAACCGTCTTGAAGCAGTACGGTCACCATTACTCTCCAGCACGGCAGCACATTGAGAAATGTCTACGCGACAATATCGTAGTTGGCTTCGAACAGCAACTCGTCGAAGGAACGAAACTTCAAGGTCAGTCAGTGACTGCACTCCTCTCAACTTGTGTAGCTTTTCATTACAGTCATCGTGTATGTGTGTATGTGTGTGTGTGTGGGGGGGGGGATGTGTGTGTGTGTGTGTGTGTGTGTGTGTGTGTGTGTGTGTGTGTGTGTGTGTGTGTGTGTGTGTGTGTGTGTGTGTGTGTGTGTGTGTGTGTGTGTGTGTGTGTGTGTGTGTGTGTGTGTGTGTGTGTGTGTGTGTGTGTGTGTGTGTGTGTGTGTGTGTGTGTGTGTGTGTGTGTGTGTGTGTGTGTGTGTGTGTGTGTGTGTGTGTGTGTGTGTGTGTGTGTGTGTGTGTGTGTCCCATATGGTGCAGTGGTATGTGCAGCGATTTCCAATCGATAGGTTGCGGGTTCGATTCCCGACGATTATGGTCACACACGTCTTTCTTCTCTTTCTCAGACTCTTCCTGACTTTTCTTTCATTCTCCTGGTTGGTTACCAACAGCCAGTGCATGCCGGAGTATGTAGTGTGATGTGTGTGTGGGAAAAAAAAAGAAAAAGAAAAAAAAAAGAAAAAAGAAAAAGACCAAAAATAGGGATTCACTGGCCAGAAAAAGTCACTTCAAATAGCTGTATGGTGTAGACCAGGCTGAATAGTGACGGTCAATTCTTCAGCCTTGCAAGCTGTTGAATGGTGCAATCCCAGCACAAGTTGCTATGGCTTCTGCCATAGCATTGCTATCATCGCCTCCGGCGATGGGCGTCAAAGGTCAAAGGTCAAGGTGTGTGTGTGTGTGTGTGTGTGTGTGTGTGTGTGTGTGTGTGTGTGTGTGTGTGTGTGTGTGTGTGTGTGTGTGTGTGTGTGTGTGTGTGTGTGTGTGTGTGTGTGTGTGTGTGTGTGTGTGTGTGTGTGTGTGTGTGTGTGTGTGTGTGTGTGTGTGTGTGTGTGTGTGTGTGTGTGTGTGTGTGTGTGTGTGTGTGTGTGTGTGTGTGTGTGTGTGTGTGTGTGTGTGTGTGTGTGTGTGTGTGTGTGTGTGTGTGTGTGTGTGTGTGTGTGTGTGTGTGTGTGTGTGTGTGTGTGTGTGTGTGTGTGTGTGTGTGTGTGTGTGTGTGTGTGTGTGTGTGTGTGTGTGTGTGTGTGTGTGTGTGTGTGTGTGTGTGTGTGTGTGTGTGTGTGTGTGTGTGTGTGTGTGTGTGTGTGTGTGTGTGTGTGTGTGTGTGTGTGTGTGTGTGTGTGTGTGTGTGTGTGTGTGTGTGTGTGTGTGTGTGTGTGTGTGTGTGTGTGTGTGTGTGTGTGTGTGTGTGTGTGTGTGTGTGTGTGTGTGTGTGTGTGTGTGGAATACTTGTGAAAAGAAGCACTGTGCACATACTGTTGTTGTTGTTGTTGTTGTTGTTGTTGTTGTTGTTGTTGTTGTTGTTGTTGTTGTTGTTGTTGTTGTTGTTGTTGTTGTTGTTGTTGTTGTTGTTGTTGTTGTTGTTGTTGTTGTTGTTGTTGTTGTTGTTGTTGTTGTTGTTGTTGTTGTTGTTGTTGTTGTTGTGTCATTCAGCGCCGTATGATGCTTACAACGGTATAACATACTTCTGAGTTCCAACATTAATTTTAGTGATTTTTCATCTACATAATATTATTTGTTTCTTCATTAATTTTAGTGATTTTTCATCTACATAATATTATTTGTTTCTTGTACTTCTTGATTAAAGACAGTGTAGTGGTATAATACAGGGGCGTCGGAACCGGTGCGGCATGTGCGGCCAAAGCCGTACCAATAATTTTCGAAGTTTTTTTTATTTTTTAACCCTTTACCATCCGGCCAAATTTCCCCAGCAGTCCCAAATGCAATAATTCTCATCTTATTCTGAGAATATCTTCGGTTCCAATCAACCAATTTTCACAATCTTGGGCATTCTGGAAAGCTTTCCACGAGCTGCGTACATTGAGCTCAAACAGGACACTACCGAGATCACATATCCAGCGCCAGGGAGCTTCAAATACACCCCATCGCAGGATATACGAGGAAATTCTCTCCTCGCCAGCCATTTCTCGCTCCTTCCTCGTAAACATTCCAAATTTTTTGCTTGAATTTCTTTTCATGCTGCCCACGCGCTCAAAGCATTCCAAAGTGACTCAGCATGTCAGGAGAGGGGAAAATCCCCGCTCAAGGTCAGTCACTCGGAAAGAAATTCGACTTTTGCCGTAGCTGAAATGTCGAGCGAAATATCTTTGGAATGCGACATCGCAGCTCTTTACCGATTGGTGCAATGGAAAGCTGGGCTCTTCCGCTTTTTCCTAGATACTTAGTTCTTTAAATTCCGACAAGAATCGATCGAGTTACGAATGTTTTAGTGTATGCATGTCCATCGATCTCTAGAGATCGATTCAAGTACGCACGGGTGGTAAAGGGTTAAACATTTCAACCTTGTTGGTGGCTTGTTGACTCTTGTACAGGTACCATGTTTTACATCGACGTTATCATCAGCATGCATATTCTTTTTATTATTCTGTAGCGTTAAAATAATGGCTTTTTAGGCCCAATTTTCAAAAATATTCCCGGGGAGCACCCTCCCCGGACCCCCCCCCCCCCCCCTCCCGCACTTTGGCCGCACCAATGTTAAACTCCTTCCGACGCCCCTGTAATATATGCAGAGCTCACTGACTTGTCAGTTTGAGCACTCTGGCAAGGTACGTTCGAGCCTGGTTTAGTCTGGCTTTGGAAAATTTATTTTTCATTGCTATCAGGCTCAGCCTCACTTTCTCTGTGCTGCGCCTATGAGTCCACAAAGGACGAAACAGTTCTGTCCGCAGATTGAGTAGTGGTATAATCATTTCCTCTGTGCTGCGCTGATACGTTCACAAAGAACGAAACAGCATGCTGTCTGCAGATTGAGTAGTGGTATAATATATAAATTCTACTATTTATGGCATACTAGTATCCCATTGTGTACTCACATCAACCCCATAATCAACACATGCACTAACCCCATAATCAACACATGCACTAACCCCATAATCAACACATGCACTAACCCCATAATCAACACATGCACTAACCCCATAATCAACACATGCACTAACCCCATAATCAACACATGCACTAACCCCATAATCAACACATGCACTAACCACATAATCAACACATGCACTAACCCCATAATCAACACATGCACTAACCCCATAATCAACACATGCACTAACCCCATAATCAACACATGCACTAACCCCATAATCAACACATGCACTAACCCCATAATCAACACATGCACTAACCCCATAATCAACACATGCACTAACCCCATAATCAACACATGCACTAACCCCATAATCAACACATGCACTAACCCCATAATCAACACATGCACTAACCCCATAATCAACACATGCACTAACCCCATAATCAACACATGCACTAACCCCATAATCAACACATGCACTAACCCCATAATCAACACATGCACTAACCCCATAATCAACACATGCACTAACCCCATAATCAACACATGCACTAACCCCATAATCAACACATGCACTAAGGGGCCGTCCGTAAATATCGATGTTTTTTTAGAGACGATATTGGTGCGTCTGGGGGGGAGGGGGTTTGAGCCATGTGCGTCTTTTCGAGCATCAGAAAAATATCGATGTAAATATCTGAAGTTTCGCCGATCCCTGCACGCGGACGTCTAAATGGCTATACAATAAATGTGAAACCAGCTTCCGTTCGCGGAGCTAAAACTCGCGACACAAGAACAAAATCAAAAATTGGAAGCTGTACGCCCATGGCGAATTTCAAGAGCAAAAGAATGAGCTATTGATTGTGGAAATCGGCCGAACGATGCCTGCAGGAGACCTTTTTCAAGACGTAGAGGCAGTGCGAACAAACACGGACGAACTCCACAAGAGCTTCCAGTCTTCACTGTCTGAACAAGGATTTGAAAAAATTCAAGCCCGAGCGTAGCCGCTTTGGCTACACCAGTACACGGTGGCTGTGAGCACTGCACTGCAGCGCCAACCCGGTTCGCTCCCCCCAGGCGATGCAGCTATTGCGTGAGTGCGGCGGGATTTTCACGCCTACACCGGACCCTCAACATGACAACATCCTGGGCACTTCATGAGCATCCAAAAAATTAATATTGATTCCATGATCTAGATGTACATGTGCGTCTTCTGGGGGGAGGGAGGGGGGTCAAGGGAGAGAAGCACCAATATCGTCTCTAAAAAAACATCGATATTTACGGACGGCCCCTAACCCCATAATCAACACATGCACTAACCCCATAATCAACACATGCACTAACCCCATAATCAACACATGCACTAACCCCATAATCAACACATGCACTAACCCCATAATCAACACATGCACTAACCCCATAATCAACACATGCACTAACCCCATAATCAACACATGCACTAACCCCATAATCAACACATGCACTAACCCCATAATCAACACATGCACTAACCCCATAATCAACACATGCACTAACCCCATAATCAACACATGCACTAACCCCATAATCAACACATGCACTAACCCCATAATCAACACATGCACTAACCCCATAATCAACACATGCACTAACCCCATAATCAACACATGCACTAACCCCATAATCAACACATGCACTAACCCCATAATCAACACATGCACTAACCCCATAATCAACACATGCACTAACCCCATAATCAACACATGCACTAACCCCATAATCAACACATGCACTAACCCCATAATCAACACATGCACTAACCCCATAATCAACACATGCACTAACCCCATAATCAACACATGCACTAACCCCATAATCAACACATGCACTAACCCCATAATCAACACATGCACTAACCCCATAATCAACACATGCACTAACCCCATAATCAACACATGCACTAACCCCATAATCAACACATGCACTAACCCCATAATCAACACATGCACTAACCCCATAATCAACACATGCACTAACCCCATAATCAACACATGCACTAACCCCATAATCAACACATGCACTAACCCCATAATCAACACATGCACTAACCCCATAATCAACACATGCACTAACCCCATAATCAACACATGCACTAACCACATAATCAACACATGCACTAACCCCATAATCAACACATGCACTAACCCCATAATCAACACATGCACTAACCCCAACAAATGGAGCGAAGGACCACACTTCTTTGAAGAACTGCAGCTGCTATTCTTCACTCGGCTTGATTTGCGGGAGGCATTCTTCCTCGAATACTCTAGCTGTGGGCAACCTGAGCGCAAATTTCTGCTGTGTGTGTGTGTGTGTGGATTTTCGCTTGTGTTCAGCGGCCCAGAACACCCTGTCGGCACTTGAGGTGCCAGCACAGCCAGCGCAGGGTTGGAAGGCGGAAACGGATGCCCGGTTACAGCAGGCCCTCAAGGATCAAGTCAATAAGCTGCTGGACGCGCCACCACCCGGCCTTCCGCTCAAGGCGTATGACAACTACAAACGCCACTGTGTCAAATACATTCGCACGTTACTTCCCAGTAGGCGGCTCATCAGTGCTCATAGGGTCAGCAAGATGGCAACAGATCTTGTCAACTGCGCACGTGCCGGTGATGTACAAAATGAAGCAGCAAAGCAGACTGCCGCTACTACGGGGCAAAATAAGCCGCAACAACCGCTTGCTTTGTTAAAGTTCCACCGGAAAGTGTCCCGTCCACAAAACCTGCCGGAAGAGCTGAAAACCGAAGTAGACTACTATGAAAAGCATCTCAAAATTAATTTTGAGGTAAGAAGCAGACCTGCAGAGATCGTGTGTGTGTGTGTGTGTGTGTGTGTGTGTGTGTGTGTGTGTGTGTGTGTGTGTGTGTGTGTGTGTGTGTGTGTGTGTGTGTGTGTGTGTGTGTGTGTGTGTGTGTGTGTGTGTGTGTGTGCCAGCTAGTTCGGTTGGTGGGTACACTTATGCCTGATTGTGTTGGGTCTGTTGCCAACGGGCTCGGCTGCTTGAAGGTGTAATGTTGTACCTGCCACCTTTTTTGGTTCCAGGGTTGATTTACTTTCTATTTGAAGTATACATACCTGTTAACCATGGACTGCTTTTGGCTAGATTGACTCTTGTGTAATCAATGGTGCTAGTGTAGCTTATCTCAGATCCACTCTGATTTAGCCACCCACACTAGTAGCAAGTATTACCTTCACTGGGGGCAGGGGTAACTGCAGTTGGATCCCAGGACGGATACCCTGGTGCTGTCAAACCTTTTTCTGCACCTTGTCCTCACCCACTTACTGAGGTGTGCAGGGCCGGAGGCAGCTTCCGTGGAGCGGTGCGGCCGAAGGGCCATCTTTAAGCCTTCCGGCATAATGCGGAACTAAAATTAACGTAACGCTTCTGTACCTTGGCAGAATCACTTCAAATTTTCTGTGAAAGTTATAAAGAGATGGAGGGTTCCCTTCAACTAAAGAAAGAGATCATAAATGATCCAGAAAAATCTATTTGAAAAATTCGCGCAAATTTAACGCATGAGCAACTCTTAACCAGGATTCAAAGAAGTATACAACTAAGAGACTGCAAAAGAGATATTTACAACGTTCTATATACCAATAGCATTGCATTGAATTACAGGAGTTTGACAAGAACATCAAAATGATGCTTGTATTCAGGGTATGGTTACAAGTGCCCGTATTCGTTCTAAAACCGCCCATTAGAAAACCTTAGACGCTGCGCATATACTTCCAGTAACCAGAACAAAAGTTAATTCAATGCATAGCTAATGCAATACAGAATCCAAAAATATATACGTTGTGGGTCTACAAACAAGCACAACACCAGTAGCTTGGTTAGGAGTTCCGTTCTCACCTAAAAAATGGAAGAAAAAGCACTTTTCGGTGTCCGGAACACTAATCTCAACATAGAGTACATACTTTAGAATCCGCCTGCCTCGCATGTGACACCTTCATCATCCAATGTGTCTTCCTGTATACCCTTTCGTACTCTTCTTCGCTCTTTCCTTCTGCTGGCTTTGCCCCAATGGATCTCTTTCTCTCTGCATCCTTCTGCCTTTCCTCATCAAGCTGGGCCAGTGCTGCTGCAGTTAATTCACCCTCCGGCAAGCCCATTGCCGTCATTAGCCGGCCGAGAGCGGATGAACCATCATTGAAGGTGCAAACTGCAAGTGCAACTGCAGCCTCCACCACCTTGGCAGAGCAGAAGCCTGTTTTGGGACACATCTGCCACACCAGTCCGTTCAAACTTTCATTCCTGTTCTGCCTGGCTCCACGTAAACACCTTTCCAGGAGACTACGCTCAGTGAGGCTCAATTAGATAGGCTTGATCACTTTGAAAATGACATCTGGTATAGCATCATGGTGAGTATATCTCTCCCGACCACACTGCTCCTGCTGCCACTTGCACCAGCTCTCAGTTCCAGTTGGACAGAAGTGGTGCTGATGCTTGGTAACAGCCGGTGGTGTCTTCTTGTCGTTCGTCTTCTTCTGCTGCCAAAAACAAATCATCAACATCCTGAGCTGCGCTTGCAGCTGGGGGTGGTGGCTCTGGCTGTTTTGCGATGGAATCGGCGCTTCTTTGGGCGTCCAGGACGCCCCTTGAACTGTTTCCTCCCCAGCCTGGCACTGGCTGGCATGCTATCGCCTTTGCGGTTACGCGCTAGCGCTCACGACACTACAGTCCATTTCAAAACTATAGACGCGTGAACTCATACGTACGAGCCGTACGTACTGTAGCGCACGACAGCCGTGAGTTTTGCATGAGTGTTTTCTGGTTTTCAGATGTGTTTTTCAGGTTTTTCTTCGTCGCCGCGGGAAATACAAAAGATGCAAAACACGCAAAGTCGCAAATGAAAAGGTGTGAGGAAAGTCTCAAAAGAAATGAAAGTCTCAAATGAATCTTCTTCTTGTTTGCATTTTCTGAGTGCCCGACTGTAATGGCTTCCAAGGCCCGTAAGAATCTCAGTGATGCCGAGAAAGATATGATTAGTCGTGTTCATTGTTTCTTCGAACAAGAGCTGGATTTTGATTGACGCTTGAGTATCCGAAATCCTCGTTGTCGAACTCACCTTGCAACTGGCGTGAGTGAAACCACTGTCACTCGTTGTCAGGCGAAGGGAACAGGGAAGCTCAAATCAAATCAAAAAGAGAAAATATACTTATCATCTCTACTATATTTCACCCAACAAGATCCAAAACATGCAGAAAAGAAGAGAAAAAAAGGCAGGAGGCGTGATGGGATTCGAATGCCCCACACTTGTACTGGAAATCACGGATCGAAACCACGAGGCCGAGGCTACCAGGACCCGTACAAAATGCACCCGCGATGGTCTGGGCGCAGCACTGTCTCAGCAGGAGCAAAAATCCGAAACAAACTGGTCAAACCCTTCAAAACAGAAATTACATGTAAAACCGGAAAACCTGGCCTAAAAATAAACTTCCATTGTAGCGAAAACAAAGTATATAGCCAGAATTGTGAAGCGATGCAGAGACGGAATCTGGAGAAAAAACTAAACATATTTAAATAAATCCCATCGAATTTTGCAAAACACTACGCGTCTATAGTTTTGAAATGGACTGTAAACAAACTCTATTTTTCAGACAATACGCATATTCAAATTTTTAGACAATTATTTGGCCGTTGCGTAGGAATCACATGATCTCGGGTCATCAAAGCAAGATCTGATCGCGATCGAGACCTGACAGCTGGGCCATGAAAGAACTCGGAAACTCCACCAAATTTGAAAGAATTACCTTGAACCTGTTCAGAGTTATACCGTTTCCAAAGAAATTGAATCCAATTTCAATTTGTAGAAATTATTGAAATATTGAAATTGAAGTTTGAGGATATGTTCAATGACAGTGATACATCTTCAGAACCACTCGCGCGATTCCCCTACAATTTTCAGAGAGTAAATACTATAACTATGGCGTGGTTTTGAGCCATCAATGAGGCTGATCGGACAAAGTTGGATTTTTGACCCCTTGAAGGCTTCGGGCCACCTTAACTGTCTGGGGGTCCTCCCCCAGAAAAAATTGGAATTTAGACGGCGAATCCTGCACTCTGGGTGACTCCCTGTACAAAATCATACATCGAAACTTTTTCTCCCCGGTTTTGGACGTTCCACGTGGACCGACTTTTTGGGAAGTTGGTACAGCCATGGTCATACCGGCCTTACCAGTGGCGCCGGCCCTGGGTGTGGTGAGCCCATAAGTGGGATCATTTTCAAGTCCATGCAGAGTTTTGGGGATTTCAGGGGGTGTCGGCCGTTGGGCGGTTCAATAGCCAGTCGAGTCATCTTTCCAAGATTCCTTTTGAGTCTCTCTCCCCTCTCCCGGGGAGACTCATGTGACCAGTTTTGGCAGTGAGCAACAAGTACAAGTGTGTGTGTGTGTGTGTGTGTGTGTGTGCGTGCGTGCGTGCGCGTGTGTGTGTGTGTGTGTGTGTGTGTTGTGTGTGTGTTGTGTGTGTGTTGTGTGTGTGTTGTGTGTGTGTGTGTGTGTGTGTGTGTGCGTTGGAGTAACCAGTGCGTCCAGTGAGGTGCTGCTGCTGCTAAACTCATTTTCCCTCTTCCTCCTTGCTTTCCCTGTTCCCATGTTGTATGCCATGCCAAATTCAGCAATACCAACCGAATGCATCATCTATCCACAAACCTAGGACCTATTAACACTTTGGTGTAACATACATAAGAGAGTGTTTGCTTTCTCCTCTTCTTTCCACAACTCCTCTACAACCATGCCTTTTCGCTTTCTGATTCAGTTTTGAATGGTCACTGATGGTGGTTGCTGCTGTTGCTCTCCGCGTGGTTTGCATGTGTGTACATATGATTGTGTGGCGCGCGCGTGTGTGTGTGTGTGTGTGTGTGTGCGTGTGTGTGTGTGTGTGTGTGTGTGTGTACTTCATATGTGTACGTGTGTTTGCACGTGTGCGTATGCTTCCACTTGTGCCTGCCTGCCTACATGCATGCATGTAAACTTGCGACAGGAGAAACAAAGCTCACAACCAGCAGCCACAGCGGACAGTGCCGACGCGGAAGTGGTAAGTGTAGCTACCCCCACCTTTCTCCCTTTCTGTAGGTTGCTAACAAGAGCTGGATTTGCTAGTATATAGCTTGTACAATAGTTGTGTGTGTGACCGCAAACATGCAGGCAATGTCGATGGCAGAAGAAGCTTTTTATAATACCTCTGTCCTATTGTTGTTCTGTTGTGTGCCACTTGGTAGGATGAAGGGCAGCTGATGGAGTGTGGCTGCTGTTATGGCGACGTCTCCATTGAAAAGATGGTCCAGTGCACGGATGTGAGTCACAGTGCAATCGCCGGTCATACGTTCATTCTGTTGTACTTTACTGTTGAAGTACAGTGCAGCGCTGCTGCTCAATGAAATGCGATGGCGTGAGTCAAGTCAGCGTAGCCCTGCACCACTTCACATCCCAGTGTGCGCTGGTCTAGGGCTGTACAGCGCTCGGCGGGGCTTTGACTCCTCGCTCGATTGGATTTCATAGAGCAGCACAGCGCGTAGTACAAGTATCACCGTGCGTAGCCAAGTCCTGGATATCTCCAGCTTTGTGATGCACTGAAATCACACATCCTGCAAAGTCATGTAGCGTAAGTGTAGCGCAATGCTGCGTGTAAAAGCAGGTGCTCACGGCTGTACGTGTATAAGCCAGGGTTTAGACTTTAAACCCCAGGGTTTAGACTTTAAACCCCAGGGTTTAGACTTTAAACCCCAGGGTTTAGACTTTAAACCCCAAGGTTTAGACTTTAAACCCCAGGGTTTGGACTTTAAACCCTGGCTTCTATTCAAGGTTTGCTTCTACATCAAAGGTGGAATCAGGTCATGCTTATCACGCAATAATTGCCAGGTTTGCAATTCATGACTGAGACATTTGATGTCAAGTGCCTGGCAGCACACCGTTACACGGGAACTAGGTTCGAAATCCGGAAGTATGGCACAGCGATGCAAGAATCTGTGTAGGTTTGCTATAGACGCCCCTGGCACAGCTGAATTATTAAATCCTGATAAGATGGGAATGGGATTCCTTTTGATAGAGGGAGGCATGCACGACCCACAAACATGTATGCTTGTCAAATCGATCAGCATGACGTCATCTTTGGTTCTAACCAATTCATTACGGCAAACGTTGTGTGAAGCGAAAATGTCCAAACTTTCGCTCTAGGTCACGTGGTGAGAAACTTTGCACGAACTTCCGCGACTTTGGACGTGAAAGAAAAAGTGATAGTTCATCACTTGTTGCAGGTAAAAATTGGACTTGGTGCACGAAATCCGCTCCGCGTTCGACAGTATTCCGCTTGTTGCGGTGAGTTTTCTATGGCAGCCCGTCCATTCATGGAAATATGTCGGGTTGGGACAGGATTCCGCTTGATCCCCCCGGTCCGGTAAACCCAGGTTTTACTGTACCGTAAAATACCGCCAGAGCGCCCCACCATCTCGTCCTTCCATGGTCGTCTTGTGGAGGTGGTTTCCTGTCTGTAGGTCATACGACACGGACTTTGTACACACATTGCACGTTGTGCAGTCAATCCGTACCCAGTTTACCTTCGAGCAGGTGCGAGCTCCACATAAAAACATGCCAAGTGTGACCTTAGTACACTATGGTTCTCACACCGCACAATCTTAGTAGCACTCTGCCATGCAATTTTCTTCCCTTGGCTGTAAATTCAAGGTGGGGCGCTCTCGCGAGACGGGGCGGCGCTCTGGCGGTACTTTACGGTACTTGCACGGTGTACTTAGCAGTGTACCACCGTACATGTACTTGGTCTGTGCGGTCTTTCCACTTGCAACATCTTGGCTCAAATTCAAATTGTTCTTCTGCGTCACGGCACGCTTCTATTCGAGTCGTGCTTTTATACACGACATTAGCGTATCCGCCAGGAGCGCAGTTGCATTTTATGATTGTGCTGATGCTGTCGTTCTCGTGGGGTTCTGCTTTTGTGCAGGGTCATCTGTTCTGTGAGGGATGTCTGTGTTCCTATGTCAAGGAAGCCGTGTATGGCCAGGGAAAATCACAGCTCGCCTGCATGACTGATGGCTGTGACTCAACATTCATGAAGAGCCAATTGCGAAAGGTGAGCAGTAGCTGATGACAGCAGTCGTAAAATCACTGAAGGCGTCCTCCACCCAGATGTGCATGAAATGTCCATACGGTAGTTTGTAAAGGATTGCACGTTATCTGTACGCCACGCCACTAGACCTGCAAACAATGGAAGCTGTGTTTGACTTTACGAATGCTGTATGAATGTTGGTGTGGGCAGGTTCTTACCTGTGTTTTGGGCTTGTTATCAACTCCATGGTAGCTGTGGGCTATGGTAGATTCGGATTCTTGCTCTTAACATGCAACCCAAGGTGCCTTTTCACCGGGGGTTTTTCTGACTCTCGTTGAAGACGTCTTTTTCTCACAGTTGTTGCCTTGGCATGTCAGTGTAGTCTTCGGACATGCACTATTACTATAGTGCAATGTGACGTCTTGTGCATGTATTACTATAGTGCAATGTGACGTCTTGTGCATGTATTACTATAGTGCAATGTGACGTCTTGTGCATGTATTACTATAGTGCAATGTGACGTCTTGTGCATGTATTACTATAGTGCAATGTGACGTCTTGTGCATGCATTACTATAGTGCAATGTGACGTCTTGTGCATGTATTACTATAGTGCAATGTGACGTCTTGTGCATGCATTACTATAGTGCAATGTGACGTCTTGGGCATGCACTTGCAGTGCTGTACATGTAACTGCTGTCAATCTGCAGGGGCAATGTCGGAAGGTAATTTAGTGTGGTACGGTCAGCCATCTCAAGTACAATTTACTCGCGGGGGAAGGGTGGCTGAGCCGAAAATTTGGAAATTTAGAGCCCAAAACCGGTGCATTTTATTGAATCACGGGGTACTTGAGGCAAATAGTGGTACGGCCAATACCGTAGTGACCGTACCGTGTGCGACCCCCCTGATCTGTGTTTGTTGCTATGTTGGTACAGTTATCTACAACTCACTGTAGGATTCTTCTATGTGCTATGTCATGTATGCCTGGTGTTGCAATGCCTGTTGTGATCCACTTTTCAGGCACTGACTGAAGATGTGCTGAGCAAATATGATGAGCGTGTGCAGGAGGAGTCAATTCGACTGGCTGAGATGGCTGGACTTGTGCAGTAAGTGGAGAGAGAGAGAGAGAGAGAGAGAGAGAGTGTGTGTGTGTGTGTGTGTGTGTGTGTGTGTGTGTGTGTGTGTGTGTGTGTGTGTGTGTGTGTGTGTGTGTGTGTGTGTGTGTGTTGATGTTGTGCCTCCACCACCACCATCTAAGCCAACTGTGCACTGCAGTGTTTGCGACCGCCATCTTAGTGCGTCTGGGTACAAGCGGCATAAGTGCAGTGCGGCCCGTCAACTTCCTGTCAGCCAACAGCCTGGTGCAAAGTCGTGTCAACGTTGTGGTAGATGGTTCAAGAGTGCTGGTGGGCTGAAGGTACATAAGTGCCCTCTCGAAGGTTCCTCCCAACAGCCTTCGGACTCTGTCGATCCTGCACCTCGCCTAGTGCTTCAACACCAACATTGTTGCCCATTCCACTGCCCGTCATGTAACCGGTGCTTTCGATCTGCTGCTGAATTTAAACGGTACAATTGCGAGCGTGGCAAGCGACCAACAGCGAGGGAGCGTCTTGAGTTCAAGTTCTGCTGTGCGTGCGGCGAGAGATATCGCAGACAGCAGGAGCTGCAGCAGCATAAAGCCGGATGTTCTGCCGCGACGCCGTGATGCTACCCCTTTGTTCCCCTCCTCATGAGGGCAGCTTAGCCGTTTAACGGCAGCTGTTTGTCAAGGTCAATGTGTGTGTGTGTGTGTGTGTGTGTGTGTGTGTGTGTGTGTGTGTGTGTGTGTGTGTGTGTGTGTGTGTGTGTGTGTGTGTGTGTGTGTGTGTGTGTGTGTGTGTGTGTGTGTGTGTGTGTGTGTGTGTGTGTGTGTGTGTGTGTGTCCTCACCCACTTACTGAGGAGTGATTAAAGGAAAACTTTGGACTCCCGAAATCTTGAAGTTTTGTCATTGCACCTGGAGTTGGACAATGCCATGATCCGTGGGCATGGTGCTACTGCACTGGACAATGGTACCAACGTTCTGCTTGTGTTGAGGTGCAAACACGACTACTAATAGCAAGAGTATATAACCCCCCAGGAGTGTGCAACTCCTGATACTCTTTCTATGGGGTTTACCAATGGCGAAAACTCACATCACATGGTGTAGTGTCCCAGTTGTACGTCTCCAGCCCGTTTTTAGCGAGCAGCGGAGTAATAAAAAAGCACTCCCTGATAGAAACTCACTGCGCGTATGCAACTCGCCAGCATGATCATGGCAGATGTTCGGATTGCGCGCATGCTATCCTTAGTTTGTACGTAGTACTAAACGTACCTGAGACACGTGATGTGAGTAGTACTAAACGTACCTGAGACACGTGATGTGAGTTTTCGCCGGTGGCGCCCCCATATGCAGATTTGCATACTCTTGGGAGCTTATTTACTGGAGCTAAATAGTAACACTACTGGCTTCAGTTTTTGGTTTTTAACTTTTTACCCACGCACACATACATATCTTCCCCGTTCATTCTGTGGCTGTTGTGTGCGCTGTCTGTACCTGCCCAGGTGTCCGTTCTGTGACTTCAAGGCGCTGATGGCACCCGACGATAAGGTGTTCCGCTGTGCTAATGACGCCTGTCTGAAGGTACAGTGGGGAGCTCCGAGCGATCCTGTCTGCCATCGTGTGTACACTTGCAAATTATTGTGTTGGCCATCTGGTAGTACTGTGGTAGTGTTACTGAGTTGTGTAGCTCTTGCAGCATTCCTCTTCTGATGAGTAGCTGCCTTTTAGAGGTGTTGACAACGATCAAAGATCTCATAATAAAGTAATAATAATAATTCATTATAGAAAAGAAAAAGGACCAAGGAACTACAAGTCACGCTATAATGTCCACTAACACCACCAGTTATTTAACAATCAGCTCGTATGATAACATTGCACGACACCGTCTATAAATAGTCGACAACGTCTATAAATTAATCCTTGGCTCTCCATCCGAGCCCAATAGTTCATTACATCTAGTTCAAGGTGTTGAAAAGGGGGGGGGGGGGGGTCTGAAGAAAAAATTGACTGTCACCACCAGGACTCGAATCTGGACTTGACGGATTTCCACTGGTGAATCTGTGTTGATACCCACTTTATGCATGCACATTGAATATTGTTGTATTCCAACCCCTCCTCCTACTGTATGATTACTGTACTTACTCAGCTCAGTGCATGAGACCTGCAAACTGGTTTGAAATGGCTAGCTGCCTGCAGATTGGGTGAACACCGGGTTGTACATGTACATCAGGGAGTCGTAAAATACCGACTCACTGATGTACTTTGAAGTACATGTATGTACAAGTAAAGTAGAGTAAAGTTAGCCGGATTGGCGGCCGCATCACCTGACGTGTTGACGTACACATCAAGCAAATACATTCGGGCGGGCCACCACTTCGCCCATATATCCTCAGTGTCGAATGCAGACCTCACAAGTGAGTCAGGGAAGAGGGGATAAGTCTCTCAACAAGCGGGCGTGTAAAGGCCCTATAACCCCATAAACCGCATCCGTGTTGCCCTCACACCGAGCAAGTGAGTACATGTATCCAGTTCACCGTGGGCGTCGGCACAGTTCATTGCATGTAAAGTGGTACTCGCCGGCATCATCGCGATTGAGAGAGCACTAAACACACTCTCTGTTACCAGCGCAGGTTTTAACTCGAAACCTCATCTCATGATTGGCAGCTGGCAAGCCTACAAACCAATCGTCGATATTTTAACTCAAAACCTCATCTCATGATTGGCAGCTGGCAAGCCTACAAACCAATCGTCGATATTTTAACTCAAAACCTCATCTCATGATTGGCAGCTGGCAAGCCTACAAACCAATCGTCGATATTTTAACTCAAAACCTCATCTCATGATTGGCAGCTGGCAAGCCTACAAACCAATCGTCTATACGCGTTGCTCGTTGGTATGTACAAGTAGTACATGGTAAAGAGGAAGCATTTGACATGGGTTTGAGAACTGAATTTCGTCTGTTTTACATGGAGTTTTCCAATGTATTGTACTGGAATAAAATTCTATTTTTATTTTCATGCTATCTCTATTTTTCCACATCTACATGACTTTATCTTGCCCGTAAAAGAGGCCGTTACCCCGAAAAAATTTGATATGGGTTTTATGAGTTGTAAACGTGCATGGCTGTGTACATGACGAGACGTAACAAGGTCGAAACTGCTAGCTGTCCAGAGATTGAGTATGTACGTTGGCATCTTCATATTTTGTTTGTTTGCCTTCTGACGTTTCCATTAGGAATCATGCCGCTATTGCCAAGAAGAGTGGGACGACCATTTCGGAAAACCGTGCAGCGAGGTGGAGAAGAGGGACGAGACGAAGATGAGAACGCGAGTGTGAGTCTAGCAGTTCCCAGCACTTCACGCTGACTCATGCGTGCTGATAGCTCTAAGAGATGAAGACATAGCTTTGTTTTTACAAGCACCAAACTCAACATGCTGTTCAAGCTGTCTGTGTCTACCATCCAGCGGCAGGTGGCGAATGCTTCTTCTTCACCATTTCGTAAGAGAATAACTTTCATTCACATGCTATGCCTACTGGATTTCTTTTCTTGTTCTAGTGAGGAGATGATGACGGAGGCAAAGGTTCGGAAATGCGCTAAATGCCACACGGAATTTACCAAAGAAAGTGGCTGCAATAAGGTATGTGCTTTTCATGCTGCTGCTAGTTTGCTCTTGTAACTGAATACATGTAGTTTCAGGGCTTCTGGTTGTGTCAGTGCAAGTTGCACTGCTGGGTTCTGTGGAGTTTGCATGAATCCTCCCCTCCCCATGTGCACCCCCTAAAAGGTTCGACCTACGTTCAGCATTATATGCACATAATGACCATGAATGACATGCACCAGCCATCCTACACATAGCGACCATGCACCCAGAGAGGGGAGAGGGAAAGGGAGAGAGGAAGACAATTCTGCGACAAACACTGTACACTACACAGTTCTCATAATTTCTTCACCTGAGTGCATTCTTATGACTTTGTTGTTGTGTGATGTAACGTGACTGCAAGGATGTGTACGTCGAGTGTAGGGTAGAGATTCTGCTGCAGCCTGCAATCCTCTGCATGCTATGTACTGGACGTGCTGTGCGAGTGTGGAAATGTGTCTACTTCTGCCCTGTTGTCTGTTGTGCTGCAAAGATGACGTGCCGTTGTGGAGCTTCCATGTGTTATGTGTGCCGCAAAGCAAAGGTGTGTATCCTGGACCGTCTGGCTGTTCTTTGCTCTAGGTCCAGCGGGGGAGAGATTCCCAGCACTATTGAAGTTCGTTCAGTTCAGCCAAAATTGTTACCTGGGCCCTGAAAACGCACTTCTTTAGATGTGTTAATGTATGGGACAGCCAAGTTTTACGTACGAGCACATATATAATTGTATTGCATGCTGCTCGTGTATGTATGGCCTGCACTTCCTGGCAGGCATGTATATGGCATAATGTGCGTGTCGCTAGATCGATCATTACAGGCTCACGTTCTAGACAACATCCAATCCAGAACACATGTTTGGTTTGCTTTGTCTTCTGCACCGTTGTTGTATTTCCCCGTAAGTTAGTTCTCCCCAATGACTTAGTACCCCCCCCCCCCCCCCTATAAAAAATACACTTTCCACTGCCGAGGTTATCACCCCGAAAGACAGTTCCCCCCGAAAGATAGTAAGTTCGTACACGTCCTACATGTACAGACACCGTACAGTACATACATCATATGCACGGACACTAGAGTTGCGCAGGCTTCCCACTGCGTGTCATTTACCCCCGATAAAAAGTACTCCCCGAAAGATAGTACCACCCCCGAAAGTTAGTACTCATGTGGCTGCTAAGTTCGAAAGTTAGTACACACTAATTTACGGGGAAATACGGTACTCTCTTCTTCAGCTGCACCGTTGTTGTGTTTCCATACTCTCTTCTGCATAGATCACCTACCAGCACTTCTGCTCACATGTACGCAATCCAGGCCAAGACTGTAAGTGCTTGCATGCATCTATGTATACATCCATACATGTATACATGTACCATACTTTGCCAGCTACTTATATCTTATAAGCCCCCCCCCCCCCCCAACTTGAGGCCTCGTGTTCCTTCTCGTTCAATGGTGGTTGACCCGTTATGTACTGATTTCCAGCACAGAATGAAACAGAATTATAATTTTCAGCATAATGTTCACCTTCATCAGGCTATAACTTTGGCCTCCACTCGATTTTCACAATCTTAGGCTCGTTGGAAACCTCTTGGCGAGAGGAACACCAGGATACTAAATTCCATCAATCAGCCACCACGAATCAGGTGCGGGAACACAGCAAAGTCGTCTCCAAGCCTGATTTGCAAGCAAACTCGCCCATCAATGCCATTCTACCCTCCTCTATCGCAGAGCGCTCAAATTTGTTCGAGGCGATTCAAACTTCAGCCAAGTACGTCATTGCTATGTGCTCAGTCGGTCAAAGAGCACGCGAAAAGGGATATCCCCAAAAATGCTTTCAGGCGTAAAAACCCTGTTGTAGAGGTCTCAGTCTTCACTTGTTAGACTTACCTGTATTTATAAATGTAACTTGACTCTCTCTCTCTCTCTCTTTCTCTCTCTCTCTCTGTCTCTCTCTCTCTCTGTCTCTGTCTCTCTCTCTGTCTCTCTCTCTCTCTCTGTCTCTCTCTGTCTCTGTCTCTGTCTCTCTCTCTCTCTCTCTCTCTCTCCCTCGGTGTGTCTGTCTCTTGGTGTATGTTGTAGGCAAACAGTGTAAAGCATGCAGCTTGTGGACGGATACAAAGGTATTGTTTTATGTTCAGATATACCGCATTGCTGGCATATGGTGTGCTAGCATCACACGGCGTATTCCATTGAGGTACAATGCTGAGGGCGTGGCATTTTGTTCTACACCAGCAGCTGGTCAAGGTTTCAACAAACTTATGACATGTTTTGTGGGGAGGGTTGTAAGTAAAAAATTCCGTCCCGTGAAAATATCGATAATGCAGGATGGCCCCTTAGGGAGGGATCTATTTTGTATACTTGAAGTATTTCTCCTGCTGGGACTACATTTTCCGGCATCTCGATGCACTCGCGCATCCGCGCTTGTCAAACGTCTGAAGCTTGTGGAGATGGGATGTAAGGAAACTCGGATATCTTCCTTCTCTAGAGGACCACCTCCACACGAAGTACACCTATTTCGAAACCAATTTCACAACCATGGACTCGGATGGAGAAAAAAATCGACGGGTTCGCGTGCCGGGCAGGTCAAGAACAAGGAGTCGTACAACTCCGTGGTCAAGAACCACCTTTCCGCTTCCGTGGGACGCCACCACCCCATCATCAGGCGTCAGATGCGGCTCCTAAACGGTGGGGGAGGATAGATCAGATCCACCAACCAGAGGCCAAAGGCCTAAATCCCATTTGCCACATCCATCACTCGGATGGAGAGTCAAGGATAAATTTATAGTCAAGAAAAAAGGACCAAGAAACTACAAGTTACGCTACGCCAGTTAGTTGTAGAACGTCAGTGCCATCGGTCAGTGTCGTGCAATGTTATCGCATGAGCTGATTGTTTAGTAGCTGGTGGTGTTAGTGGACATTGTAGCGTAACTTGTAGTTTCTTGGTCCTTTTTTCTTTACTATAAATTTCACAATCATGTCTAATTTCCTTCTTCTGCTAAATTCCTATCCTCTTGTATGTAAATAATCTGCGATGAGAAAATAATTTGAATAGAGCTACAGGGATGAATTTATCCTGTATCGCATCGTAGTTTGCAATGCAAAATCGATCTACTGCTACTCAAAAGTCACCGTGACTCGCAGACAAAATGGGCTTTCAGGCATCACTCTCAAGAAGGACAATCTGGTAAACACCCAACCTTCAAAGAAAAAATGCTTATCAAAATCAAAGGCTGCTACACAATTGTGATTTTGGATAGCAGAAACTGCTATGCAAAAATATGACAGTAAATTCATCCCTGGAGCTATGAATAAAATGAAGGCCGCAGACATCACACAGCTAAGTTACGTGTTCAACATGTATAGTCTGGGTGCCAAGGGCGAAAATTCAATCCTTTCACTCCCGGTAGTAATGCACCAACATTTGATGGCTACAACTGAAAGAGGGGCACACAGGCAACGTTTTTGACACCTTTATCTATCAGTATTTCGCCCAGGAACATCATGCAATGGTGCACTTTCTACCATGGGTCCGTTTCCATGGCAACGGGTGCCTAAATTTGAATTATCTGAGTATCTATGCATTTCAGGCAGGTTGTACTGTTTACCTTCAAGAGCAGCTGAAGTAACAGCACTGCCGGCCACACCAGACTCGACTAATAGGTCAAAGAGTCCAGCATCACGAAAGCGCCTGCCAATGATGCTTAGAAACATACAGCTGATGTGAAAGGCTCCTACGCGGGGCACCACACTTGCAAACTCCCTCGGGCGTTGGGCAATGACATCAATTGCCTCAGCGTAAATAGCTTGGTCCATGACGATAACAGCAAAGCCAAGACCAACACTGGTGCAGCGGCTGACGCATTTCTGCAACATGGCATAAACAGGTGCCAGATCCGTTGGTCATGCACTGCGCACAGGACAATAGCCAACCATGCTCTTAGCCGGAACTGACTCGGACCGTGTTAGGGCATTGAATGCAGTCCATGCAGGTGTAGTAACTGGCCTTTCTCCACCTGCTCCCAGTCCCGTGCCATCTCCACACTTATTCAAAAGGACGACGATAACTACATTTAGAAGACTGTTTATTGACACGACGACGAAACACAACTAGACAAGACGAACTCAAGACGAAGACTGCTTTTCATACTACAGCAACACGCGCATGCGCCAACATGATGTACACACGACGTACACAAAATAACGTACTATATACGATATGGTAAATCTATCGATATACGGTACATACGGTATGATACGGTAGAAAGTCCGTCTACTACACAGGTACAGTCTGCTGGTGCTGATCCTGGGATGATATGGACACTTGTTGAATCTCACCGTCTGGGCAAGCACGGGCAATCATCCAAATAAAATTTTCCAGAGTGGAACGGATGGAGTCAAAGTTCGGCAAGGCCATGTCCAAATCCGGCAATGCTGAGAGTGGCTCAGGGTTCATCCTTGCAACCCCAGTGAAATCAGGAATGATTTCAGGTTGAACTGCAAGTGAGCGCTTCCTCTTTGTAGGCTGGTTTGCCGGTGGACTTGCAGTTGCGGTTGTGGATTCAGAATTGGATGAGCTGATGGACAACTGCGGCTGGACAACAATGCTGTTTGTGCAGTGCATAGTGCCCTTTCCACTGAGAGTTTCCTCACTTACATCGTTGTTGTCCACGACGTGAAAGAATGGCTTCGATGCATCAATACACGATGGCAAATTATCAATGCGAACACCATTGCGCATCTTCTGTTCTGCCAAGGCGGTTTCCCTCCCTAACACTTGTGAGTAGGCAATACAATGTCCATAGCGGCTAAGGATAGTGATGAGCTTCTTGCTGCGGTACAAGTGGTGAAGCGTAAGGAGACTGCCTGGTATAATCCCCGTGGCAGAGCTTGTGGTAGTGGACTTCTCCGGCTACCAAGGACGACTCTGCCTGTACGGCTATCATAATTGTTTCATTCTTGCGGACAATAGCTGCCTCGCGGAGACGAGATTCCGCCACATCCGTCAGCATCTGCAACGTTTTCTGCATGCTATTCCGATTCGGCACACGTCGCTCGAATTTAGCACAGAAAATGCAGTGCTTGTTGCCCGGGCGAATTTCAGGTACAGCGGTGTTTTGCCGCGTGGAGCGAGTGCTCCTACCATTGTCACCCATCGTCAACAGCCGTTTCCACACCCTACATGATGATCCTTCGCCTGCTTGGACCCAACTAATTGTTTATCGCATCTATAACTGGTTGCAAAGATTTACTTCACGCAAGTCCTTATCGTCAACTTTTGAAATTGAGCCACGTGGAGCGCCTCGTGCAATGCTTTCACGGATCAAGCAATCTTTGTGCATGCGCACTAGGTCAAATGATAATTTTGAGTATATGTGACAAGGAGATGGTGATGGCCGAGCAATTTGCAGCGAGAAAGAAGGCCGCTTCTGACATGGTTCCTGGTCAACATTTTGCTCGCGGATTTGACAAGATTGTGTTGAAAGCCCCTTCTGCCGTATTCCACTGCGAAAATCTGCTGCGGATTTACGGGGAGCGATCTCTGCAAAAAAAATTTTTTTTGCGCCCCAGCCCCCAGACTAGTATGTGTATTTTATAGCAATAATAATTATTATAACCCAGAATCGATTTTCTCGTTCCAATCATCAGTGGAAAAAAATAAGGTGTTAAAAATGCCACATGCAATCATGATATGAATAAACGCCGCGGAGACAACAATTTTAATAAAGCAATAAGAAGAACTAACTCCGTCCAAATGTTTTCCAGAATAGATTTTCATGTCACTATCATCAGGGGAATATCGTGACTGAATTGAAGGCTAGCCAAGCAAAAACAATGATTAAATATGCATTCCAAAATGTGATAAAACTTACAAGCAAGCAACAAAAATGGTAAGTAGGTGGCACAAAAGAAGATGAGAACCAGAATGTGACAACTGTGAAGTGAGAGAAACAAACTGTGGAAAAAAGGGGAAGAACTTAACAAAACAATTTCAGCGCATTCTGGTTTTCTCACCTTTTGTGCCACCTACTTTCCATTTTTGTTGCTTGCTTGTAAGTTTTATCACATTTTGGAATGTTTTTGCTTGGCTAGCCTTCTATTCAGTCACGATATTCCACTGATGATAGTGACATGAAAATCTATTCTGGAAAACATTTGACTTCGTTGATGCATGGTGATGACGGCAGAGTTAGTTCTTTTTATTGCTTTATTAAAATTATGATACAAGTGCAATAAAACCACTACAGTCCATTCACAAAAAGATGGGCCCTGGCTCTGGCTAGCTCCCGTATTTGGCGATTTTTCAAGATTTTTCAAAATTTGAAATTTGAAAAAGGGTCCGAAAAGGGTACCTGAACTGGGATTCGAACCGCACCAATGCACTGTTGCAGGCAGGGTCAAACGGCCTGGATTTTGATGTTTTTTTTCCCAATTCACTGCTTTTGGGGCAAAACCTGGCCAAAATCCTATTCTTGTTATGGCTTGCTTTTTGGAGAAATAAACTTGAGAAACATAATTGGAAGAGGATTCCATAGGGGATTGCAGAAAAAAATTCTAAAAAATTCAACGTTTGGCCCATTTATGGGCAAAAGCTAGAGGTCCATGTTTTTCTGAATGGACTGTAGAGAAAACGCAAAAAGGTAACAATAACACGATTACATAACCAAAGGTGAGAAGGCACTGAACGAAGTGTCAACCTACGAATATAACCACTATATACTATACACACTACTATACACACTATAATTATGTAAGACAGTCAGGACAGTCGGGACAGTCGGGACAGTCAGAACGAGATAACAAGTGTAGATACACAGTCGACTTCTTTCGAACAACACGTTCATCCGCCTCATCTCGCTCTTTCCCATCTGATCCCTCCTCGTCCATCCCATCCTCCTCTTCCTCGTTCCGCTCGTCATCAGCACAGACCATGTGCCTCCCATTTGCTAGCTGCTCGTCCCGTGCCCGGCATTGCTCCTCCAGATTCGTTTCACTCACTGACACCTGATACTGCCCGACCCTCCTCCTTTTGGCACTGTCCGCAACGTCCGCAGCACCCACTCAGCAAGACAGGCAATGCACACATCTCACAGAATCTACACCCTTAATCCAGAGACCTTGGAGGGCTACAGCCAACTACTCCACAGAGAGTTATGCCAGAAACGGCCAGGGCCCACACGTTGCAGACAGTGCCAACAGGAGGAGGGTCTGTGCAGGAACGAAGGAAGAGACAGACGGATGAGAAGATAGAAAAGGAATTTGGTGACAGAACGGTCGGTGAAGAGACAGAGGACGAGATGGATGATGATGGTGATGACGAACGTGCTGATGACGAGCGGAACGAGGAAGAGGACGACGAGATGGACGAGGAGGGATCAGATGGGAAAGAGCGAGATAAGGCGGATGGATATGTTGTTCGAAAGAAGTCGGCTGTGTATCTACACTTGTTATCTCGTCCTGACTGTCTTAAAGTGTGTAGGATGACTCTCGTTTTTCTGTACTGTGCCGTGCGCGTTACGTCCAGCAGTTGAAAGTCCTTGAGGCAGTTTGTATACATATTCATAAGCCTGTTTTGTGTAAGCAGGAAGAGCACGTTGTTGCACTTTAATAGGTTATATTCATAGGTTGACACTTCGTTCAATGCCTTCATACCTCTTGTATATGTTGATAATTCTGCTTGATTTCTCAGGCGGACGACGCTCAGGCTATAATTGAAGTCCGAGAAGAATTCAAGCGTAAACGATTTGTGGAAACTGGTAGGCTGTTTTTAACTACCATGCTGTCGTTTGTAAAGAAGAGAGTGGGCGAGTGCGTAGGTGGGCGGGTGGGTAGATAGGTGTGTGTGTGTATGTGTGTGTGTATGTGTGTGTGTGTGTGTGTGTGTGTGTGTGTGTGTGTGTGTGTGTGTGTGTGTGTGTGTGTGTGTGTGTGTGTGTGTGTGTGTGTGTGTGTGTGTGTGTGTGTGTGTGTGTGTGTGTCTACATTGCAGTTGGTGAGGGTAGTTGGTAGTTTTTGAGCTCTCGAATTTTGGAAGTTTTCTCAAGAATTCCCCACTCTGGGGCGGCTCTGGCCTTGTCCAGGGTCGTCCCAGGTTAGTTCAGGACCTGTTGAAGTAGATAGGGTCGCGGACTAAGATTCTTGAGGACCAGGGCTTCGCATGATGTTGCCACCTCAAGTTTCTCCGCGCGCCCTTCGTTCGGTGAGGAGTTGCAACCCCCGAACGTCCGCGACTGCACGAGATGAGCAGGTTCGAAACAGTACAGTACGTAGACGTTATTTGTCAGTGGGCACCTGGAATGTCCGGTCACTTGTGGAAAGCTCAGGCCCAATTGAAACTGCAGCTGTAACTGGAAAAGTCGTGGAGGATAAGAAAATCGAACGGGTCGTCACGGAACTCTCGCGTCTGGCTGTGGATATTGCAGGACTTAAGGAGACACATTGGTTTGGTGAACAATCATAATTATCGTGTTGGTTGCTCTACTATTCTTACATTGGGTCGTCCTGTTCCTTCGGAGGACTCCAGTCGTCGACGAGGAGAAGGTGTTGCTGTCGTTTTGAATTTGAATTCAACGAACGCTTGGAAAGCAGGAGGCTGTGTCTGGAGAGCGTACAGCTCTCGCCTTGTCACCGTACGATTGAAGTTCAAAGTCCAGCGTGCTGTACGCTGGTACACTGTTATTGTGGCGTACGCTCCGACTTTCGCCAGCACTCGATCGGAGAAGGAGCACTTTTACGACTCCATGCAGCGAGCGATTGACGACGTCCCTCGTGGTGACAGATACGTTCTACTCGGAGACTTCAACGCGCGAGTTGGCACTCGTGGCAGCCATGCTGAGCAGTCTAGGGATGAGTGGTGCACTGTGCGTGGCCCTCATGGCTTTGGGGAGATGAACTCCTCTGGAAAGGAACTATTAGATTTCCTGGCAATGAACAATGCTACAATCTGTAACACCTGGCACAACAAGAGACAAAATCTCAAACCAACCTGGCAACATCCTAAGTCACAGAAATGGCATTGCATTGACTACATCATCACTGGCCAGTGTGATAAGATGCTGTGCATGGGTTTTCAGATCATCCCAAGTGCAGAGTGTGGCAGTGACCATCATCTGCTTTTTGCACGCTTCCTTCTTGGCACGTATCACCACTCTGTCAACCCGCAAGCTGTGCGTGTGCAACGTAGCAAGGGTCACTTCGACACGTCCAAGTTATTTCTTTCTGCCGATGCAAACAACAACCCTGATGATGGCGCCACCCCGTTGTCTGCTTATCAAGACGCGGTGTCCACTCTCGTATCAACACATTGGCGCCCGCATGATCCAATAGATGAAAAGTGGAACGTCCTCCGCGATGCTGTTGTCACTGCCGGAACGGACACTCTTGGTCAACGCAAGCGTAAACAACCTGATTGGTATGTGGACAGTGGCCCGACTATTGAACCCCTGTTACAGGAACGGAATCGGCTGCACGCGCTCTGGCTTCAACATCAACGTCCTAGGGATCACACTGCTTTCAAACAGGCTCGCAGTCAAGCGCGTGCCGGAGTGCGGAAGGCTAAACGTGACTGGATATCATCCAAGGCAAAGCTCACCAATGCACAAAGATTCTCAGGACGAACTGTGTGGAAATGTGTTCGTGCACTACAAACAGTCGAACAAGGCCCGACCCGCATCACAACTGCTGCGATCAACGACGAGAATGGAAATCCATGTGCATCTGCCGAAGACCAGGGCAAACGTTGGGGCCGTCATTTCTCTGGTGTTCTGAATGTGCAAAGTACGTTCAATTCCAGTATTCTTGACTGTGTTCCACAAATGCCGTGTCTGGATAGTTTGGTTGCGCCGCCTGATCTGTTGGAGTTACAGCAGGCAATCACGCAATGTCGAAGTGGCAAAGCTGCAGGTCAGTCAGGAATCCTGCCGGAGATGCTCAAAGCCTGTCCAGATCTGTTTACTGGCCACCTACTGGAGCTTCTCCATTCAGTCTGGGACAGTGGCAGTGTTCCTGGCGACTGGGTCAACGCGCAGCTGGTGCCTATCCCCAAGAAAGGTAACCTTGCAGAATGTGACAACTGGCGAGGCATAGCTCTCCTCGACATTATTGGTAAAGTGGTTGCTCGCGTCATCCAGAGCCGACTTGCTGATAAACTAGACGATGTGCTACCAGACTCTCAATGCGGCTTCCGCACACGACGTGGGTGTGCTGACATGATCTTTGCGGCAAGGCAACTAATCGAAAAGAGCTACGAGCATGAGCAGAAGTGTTTCTTCATCTTCATTGACCTGAAGAAAGCCTATGACTCAGTTCCGCGAGAGTGTCTGTGGTTAGTACTGCGAAAAGCTGGCGTCCCCGAGAAGCTGATCGCTGTTATCCGTGCATTCCATGACGGCATGACCGCAACTCTCCGTCTGTCGAATGTTGAAGCTGACCCCATCCCTGTGACGAACGGCTTGCGGCAGGGATGTTGCATGGCCCCTGTCCTATTCAACATCTTCATGTGGGCAGTGATGCATTGTTGGCGCCAGCACGTGCAGCCTATCCCTGGTGTAGGCGCAAAGGTCTTCTTCGAGCCAGATGGGAAGCTACTCCACCACCGTAGCCGCCGTGATAGATCCCTGGAGCTGACAGAGTGTCAGTTTGCTGATGATTCCGCTCTTGTGGCCGCGACACGCCAGGCCGCAGTTTCAGCCTTGGAGGTATTTGTGGATGTATGCAGCGATTTTGGCCTCACCGTCAGTGCCACCAAAACCAAGTTCATGGTCTCTGGCCCCAACATCTCTAACGACGATCTAGAGCCGCTCGCGATTCGAACTATGGAGATTGCCCATGTGTCGTCTTTTCGTTACCTTGGATCCAACATACACAGCAACGGCCGATGTCATGATGATGTCACATCCCGGATTGCACAAGCTGCCAAAGCGTTTGGCGCTCTGAAGAAATCGATATTCCACGATGTAACACTGACAATATCCATCAAACAGTCAGTGTACAATGCTTGTGTGCTGTCAACTCTGCTCTATGGGTCCGAATGCTGGGTACCGCTACAGGCTGATGTTCATGCGTTGTCTGTCTTTCATCTCCGTTGTGTCCGCACCATTCTGGGCATCAGTCGTCAAGATGTATGGAATGACAGGATAACTAATGTTGAAGTTCTGGAGCGCTGGGGAGATACCTTGGACATGGAGTGTCGTCTCAGCAGACGTCGCCTTGAGTGGCTTGGTCATGTGGCAAGGATGGAGGATGAGCGCATCCCGAAGGCTCTACTGTTCGGTTCGTTTCCAAACAAGAGACCTGCCCATGGTCCGCGGAAAAGGTGGCGAGACTGTGTTCGGAGTGACGTCAAACCACTTGACGACTGGTATGAAGTGGCCACCTCTTCTCGCTCCAAATGGCGCAAGGCTTACCGTTGTCTCCCAGACAAGCAGAACAGACCTCGACCATCACCGGTTGTGTGCCAAACTTGTCACCGCTCTTTCAGTCGTGTAAGTGACAGGAAGCGACACAAGTGTACAGCTACGCGTGCCCTACCCGTAAGCCAACAGCCAGGAAGCTGTCACTGCAATCAGTGCGACAGATGGTTCCGGAGCAAGGGTGGATTTGCCCGACACAAGTGCTCGCCAGCAACATCACCAGCAGAGGCATCTTCTGACACACTTGAGTCACCGGTTACAAACAATATGTCCTGCGAACGCTGCAGCTTCCACTGCGCCCGCTGCAACCGCTGTGTGCTATCGCGCCAAGGCATGAAACGTCACAAGTGCAGCCGTGGCTCGGCCAGAGCAACCAACACAGACCGTAGCTCCTTCTGCATCGTTTGCAATTGCGGTCGGCGTTTCAGTAGACCACAGGACCTATCCCGTCATCGCCCCTACTGTTCCGAACCTGCTCAACCCCCCATGGGGTCCGCATAGCCAGAATATGGCAGCGCATCCAAGGTCCAAGGTGTGTGTGTGCGTGCGTGCGTGCGTGCGTGTGTGTGTGTGCGTGCGTGTGCGTGCGCGCGCGCGTGTGTGTGTGTGTGTGTGTGTGTGTGTGTGTGTGTGTGTGTGTGTGTGTGTGTGTGTGTGTGTGTGTGCATGCGTGTGTGCATGTGTGAATCGGTGAACAATGACGGGTGGCTTTGCTTTGAAAATTCCATCCCATGGGTAGCATGCGGGGAAAGAGGAGAGCATAAATTCATACTACCATGGTAGTTTGAATTTGTGCTCTCTTCCGTCTGGCCAGGGTGGTGAACAGCATTCGTTTTCTTTTCTTTGCATTCGCCCACTGTGTAACTGTGTAGGTGAAGAATTCGACAAGTTGATTGGTCCTCCGCCCGATGATGATGGTGATGGCGGGCCAGCAAAGAAACGAAAGAAAACGTGAATGGTGTGGTGGTGGTGCTTCGGTGTTCCTTCTGACACGAAAACGTCACCGCTGTGCGCCACGTGGTAACATGGGACAATCGTGAAAACCAGTCAGGTGCTGGTTTGTGTGGAAGCTGCCTACGTGCATACCTGGTCATGTGTAAAGAACTCTATTAAATACGTCACCAAGTAATTAGTTGCATACGCAGAAGCTAAGCTAATCAACACTGGGTGATTAAACAGTTCTACCTATGCACCTATTTTTGGTGATGATGATGATGATGATGATGTCATGATGATGTCATGATGATGATGATGATGATGATGATGATGATGTCATCAGTAACACTATCTTCATTCAGTTCCGTGATCTACGATGTCATCATGACTCCACTTTGATGACCGCTGGGCATATTCATACTTTGTAGTCAGAGGGTTGAGTGGCTTCAACACACAACGATGTCAGCCACGGTGATTTCTATTCAGTTCCTTATTGTTCAGGATCATTGACCAACTCTCCTTCTCTTGTGCATGCTGCGCATTGGATTTGACATGGCTTTGTGTAGTATTGTACACACACACACACACACACACACACACACACACACACACACACACACACACACACACACACACACACACACACACACACACACACACACACACACACACACACACACACACACACACACACACACACACACACACACACACACACACACACACACACACACACACACACACACACACACACACACACACACACACACACACACACACACACACACACACACACACACACACACACACACACACACACACACACACACACACACACACACACACACACACACACACACACACACACACACACACACACACACACACACACACACACACACACACACACACACACACACACACACACACACACACACACACACACACACACACACACACACACACACACACACACACACACACACACACACACACACACACACACACACACACACACACACACACACACACACACACACACACACACACACACACACACACACACACACACACACACACACACACACACACACACACACACACACACACACACACACACACACACACACACACACACACACACACACACACACCTCTAGCCAGTGTATTCTCATAGAAGTGGCGCAGTGTCCACCGTTGGCGTTGGCCGCTCAGTACCCAGCAGGAGTGGCATATGAAGTAGTTTTTTTCAAATTCTGTCATTCTTGGTTCTTCTCGCCTCTCTTACCTCTCTTACTTTTTACAATTTTTAGGTCTAAGTAGTATTTGTAGTATTTTTGTATGGTCATGTGGTGCTGATATACAGCTACCGATATGTAAGAAGTATCCTTGTTCTCGATCTTAGGTTCAGTAGCCTTGCAGCAGCAGGCTCATTTTGAGTTTTATCTGTCCTTCCGTCTGTAGAAAGTGTGTGTCGCCGCTGTGACCGCGCAGGCTTTGCGTTGTGTGTTTGTTAATGTTTTTGAACTGGACTGTAGACCCATCAATCCAACAGAGAGCACGTTGTGAACGGGCTGCTTGCTTGTGTGGCACTGTGTCTGCCTGATTACCACGCGTAGATGCCATTGATCTTGTATTAAACATCCTGATTCTATAAGTACTTCCAACCATAACATAGCCATCATCTCACTCAGCTGTGTACTTCAAACATGCACGCGTAGTCTTGTTTTCTTTACCTCTGCTCTACCAGAGTACATACACTAGGATAGCCAGCTTGTCTCCGTTGTCATCCACTGTCTTAACAATATATATTATTTCTTTTTTTATTGTCGTTGTTCTTCAGTGTTTCTCTTTGTGTTAAGGATTCACAATGTCAGTATTCATAAGAAGACATGATGAGGACCAAAGACCACCTGAGTCTAACAATGTCTTATTCCTGGAGTGCTTTGTGATTGTTTGGCCAGAAATTGGTCTTGCTTGCCAGGATGTCAAAAATAGAACTTTCATGGATACCTACATGGACCCACTTAAGTGACTTAACCTATCTCTGTCAAGTCCAATGTGTGCTTACTCTAGCATGCACCCGATCAATATGGTATAATACACATCAGTCATCAGGGTGCATAGTCAACCGACGAGCCTCGATCGTGCATGAGAGAAGGATCCTTATTGGCGAGTTGTCGTTGCTTGTGATCGAGGTTGAACGCATGTGATCAAATCGTCACCAAGTCTCAAGATTGTGTCATTATTCGCCAGTTGTTGTTTTTGCCCGATTTAATTGTGTTGTTATCCACAAGATTGACTGCAGTACAATGCAATAATTGTACTACAGTCGACCTACCCTTATAACGATATTTCCGTCAGACCAAGAAATATTGTTACAGTACTACATGTATATTAAAGGGTAATATTCTAGTGTTCTACGGGTAACTGGTTCATTTCATACACATACATCATAATGCATGGATTTTGTTCATTTTTTACACTCTTTATAGCATAAAAACTGACGTAGATGCACGTTATGTACACAGGAAGGTGTCCACCGGTGCCCCCATTGCATTTCATTACGTCCCAGCGACTTATCAAGCAAAGCTTGCCCTACCTGGATAGTGGGCTCGAGATATTCCCTGCTAGATATTGTTATAAAATGGAAATGTCGATTGGTCAGCCCATTTTAGATCGTTATAGCAATATTGTTATAGAGGTAAGGCATTGTATATACAAGTCAATGGAGTGATTTGGTTTGGCAGAAAATATCATTATAAGGGTACTGTGATATTGTTATAGAGGTTATCGTTATAAGGGTAGGTCGACTGTACATATACAAGTACTCCCTGATACACACACTGCCAGGGAGTCGTAAACACCAATTTCTACGACTCCCTAAACACAGACACACGCACGCGCGCACACACACACATGCGCTCCCCGGCGCGTACGGCACACGGATTTTCTGATGTAATCACGTAGAGCGAAACCCCCCTATGTAAATGTACCAAGCATTAGCAGTACCCTCATTCTCTGTCTTTCACCAGAAAATCCAATTTCTCCAGTAGCACCAGTAACAACCATTAGCACAATGATGGTAAAGCAAAAATATAATCTTTTTTTGAGATCCGGAGTTAAATCTGTTCCAAATATGGCTATACCGTAGACGGTACTTAACGCTTAAAAAATATGGTAAACAATGTAAAAACAAGAGCAACTACGAAACTGACAACGGTGGTGTGTTGATGCAGATTAGAACACGGCTGACACCAACTCTCCACTAGACAACCCAGGGCTGGAGAGGCCACAGCACACAGGAGTGCTACTGCCTTGCAAAACAGCAGAGGTAAAGTAATAAAGCAATAGGTGCAATAGCAGCAGCAGCAGCAGCAGCAGCAGCAGCAGTATAATGTACAGAGGAATAGGAATTAGTCATAATGAATTTAAATGATCAGTTATCATGAGAATTGTCGAGGACAAGAAAGAAAAGAGTGCTACACATGTACCATAGCTACTCACAGCTCCTTGCTAGTCTGCCAGAAGAAACGGCTGCACAAGCATACCAATGCTCCGATGAGTGGCTGCTGGCTTACACTAGAAGCTAAGAAGTCATGTTCCACGCTATCCTTCACAGTCAAGGGCCACTATATCCGCCATAGTACCACCTGACATGGTGCTCTTACTGGTTCCGGACCAGCACATACAGTGAGCAGCGTACACAATATACTGGGGTACGGTGACTGCTACTGGGGTACGGTGACTGCTCCAGACAAAGTACTAAGGACTTGCAAGTGCATTGTATATCCAGATGTACATGTTCGTTGTTTGTTGATGATATGTTTACACTGCACGCCGGAAGTACAGTGGCTGTACAGTGGCTGTACTAGCCGCACAATGATGCAGTCAGCTGTGGGTGGCACTCGTGGCCATGTCCATGCCAACAACTGCGGCACATTGCCTGCCCCAGTCTAGGCGGCTGGGCAATCTGCAAAGTAACGATGCTGAAGTGCCTGCTGTGCTGCCATGCGCCTATCCGGGTTACAGATAAGCAGCTTGGAGAGTAGGTTGCGAGCGTCCGTGCTCAGCGGACAGCGGCTGAGCATTGTACACGGCCAACTGTTTGAAGTCTGGACACTGCTTCATCTCTGGCCAGTCAACCTCCGTCGGCGTGCCAACAAGGCGATAGATGCGCTTAAGCTGGTCATCGATGTCTGAACCTGGCAACAAGGGTCGTCCACAGTTGGACATCTCTGCAAATATTACACCAGCGGACCACATATCAATGGACGTTGTGTACATTTTCGCTCCCATGAGTACGTCCGGTGGCCGATACCACAGTGTGACCACCTCGGCACTAAACGACTTCACCGGGATTCCAAAAGCACGCGCCAGCCCAAAGTCGGCCAACTTGAGGTCGCCGTTGCGGTTGACCAGCAGATTCTGCGGCTTCAGGTCGCGGTGCAATATGTTGGACTCGTGGCAAAAATCCAATCCACGTAAGAGTTGGTACATTAGGGATTGGACCTGACTTGGAGGCAGCCCACTCTTCAGCCCATCACAGTACCGTCGCAAATCCTGGTCGCAATATTCGAACACCATTGTCAATTTTTTCTCACTGTGTATGACATCAAGTAACCGTACAATGTTCTTGTGCTTCAGCTCCTTCAGTAGGCAAATCTCTCGCAATGCAGAGCTTGGGACACCTTCGTCGTCGTCGTCCAGACGGACTCGCTTCAGCGCCACTATCTCCCCAGTTTCGCGATGCCGCGCCTTGTACACCACACCATATGTGCCCTCGCCGATTTTGCAGTGCTTTTCATAGGACTGCATGGCGTAGAAGACGCAAACGCTGCAGTTACAGGCTTGCTACCCGGCGACTGACCAAGGCAAAATGCAACAATGATGATTGTGTGCTAGGAAATAGGAGCGCCAAATACAAAGAAATGGACAACAAGTCGATCTGCGACAATCCAAATGAGTCGTTGTCTCGTGCTGATCAACAAAGACGAACAGAAAACTCGAGACTGTAAGAGCCTTCATCAAACTGAACCTACAAGTACAACATATTGAATTGCGCCTACATGTACATGCAGTTGAGCATTTTGAAGCACATTTTTACCATGAATACTCTCTGTACATCATTACCGGTATCATTCGATCCACATGACACATGGATCGACGTAGCTACGTATAGGCCTACAATGGTGAGTCAAATACCGTATTTGACGACTCCCTGATGGTGACATCACACTGTACTTCTTTGTACACTTTTAATTTTGCGATTCGCGTGACCATGGTGACTCGGATGTAGTCTCATATCATGACATTCATGTAGAGCAGTGGATCATGCATGGAGTGGATCTGCTGGATCCATGGTATTATATGGAGTCAGTGGATTTGCTATTCAAAAAAGCATAGCGCTTTTTCCAGGATCTAGGACTGGAGACCGTCACTAAATTTATAAACGTATGCGCCCCCGGCCATCCCTCCATCACGTAGACGACTGTCTATTACAATTTGAAGCCCCGGGCCACGCATAAAGCAGAACCGCCAGTCGTACAGCAGTAAAATGGTTCACGAATAACACCAGCAGCTATTGACGGATTTCTTCAGAAGTATTCGCGGTGCGCTACCGATCCCGCGATGCTTGCCTGCACTTTGAACAGAGGGTGCAGCGGTAGCAGCAGGTCACTGCCACTGGGAGCGCTGTCAATGCGGTGTGGTGTGCTGCAACACCAGCAGCAGCAACAGACGAAACAGACCGTGCCAGCGTTGGGCAAATGCCATGCGTCAAGTAGGGCCTGGTCTGGTATAAGTGGTGGACTTGCCACCACCAACAGCAATATCGCCACCACCAACAGCAATATCGCCACCACCAACAGCAATATCGCCACCACCAACAGCAATATCGCCACCACCAACAGCAATATCGCCACCACCAACAGCAATATCGCCACCACCAACAGCAATATCGCCACGACCAGCAGTAGCAGTAGTAGCAATATCACTTACATCAGATCGCTCACAACCATGAGAGCCGTATGCACTCATAATACACTGCCGCTGCCCGATGTTTGTAACATCCGCTCTGGACTTTTACTGCACAGTGGTACTAGCGTTACTCCGTTATGGTCGCTCTCTGCTCGTAACTACTGTGCCGATTCGGGGACCCAACGCAGCAAGCCGAACCATTCAAACTCCTCACCGCAGCAGCAGCAGCAGCAGCAGCTGCTTGGCAGTCAGCATCCCGACTCCAAAGGAGAGGAGCAACAGGCCCCGGAGAAACTACTATTCCGAGCCAAGTACATTGTGGCTCTGCGCATCATCATGCGCACTAAAATGGTGGCCATTGCTGTGGCGTGTTCAATCCTGGGCCGTGGTCTTCTTGGGTATCATGTCAGCACTGTAACCTGGATTGCGGTGATTGGTGTCTCGGCCATCGCCATGCTCTCCGCCAGGTTTGCGAGCATGATCATACTGCGCTTATCGTATTACGAAGACGAGGGAGTTCTGAGAGTGTCCACGATGAACATGTGGGGACGGCGCACAGACTACCTCGTCGACGCACAGCACGTGGTGCCGTTCGTGGAGACTTCGGCGCAGCATCCGTCAGCGCTCCTACACAAACTGGAGATCTACGACAGCCGAGAGCCGCGCTTCTACTCCGTCAAATATTCCGATGTGAAGGAGCCGGCATTGCTTGCAGAGCTCTTGTGGCTACCACCCGAGCTAGGCGGCAAGGCAGATCGCAGCTGGAACAGAGCGCAGAGGTCAGCAGATGATGCTGTACAGAAAGACGCTGATAGCCGGCGACAGAGGGACACAGACTCAAAGCAATAGCCAAGCAATAGACTGACTGCTTTTATTAAAAGTTATAAACTATGGTTGACGTTCAGACACCCCTCCTTCCAACCCGGCAAATATTTTTGATTTACCGATAGATAAAACAGTTCAATCCCCCCCCCCCCCCCCCCCTCTCTTGATGATTGACCATGTAAAATATTTAAAACTATGCTATGGCAGCAGGGGGTGTTCTAGTGCTTCAAACCACTTTGAAGTCACTGATGATGTTGTGCTATGAAGTGGGACGGAATATATTCTCGTGTCCCAGTATAATGGATGACAGTGAGGCTTGATGACGAGAGCTGGTTGCTTGGTATTCTATTTTACTTTACCAGAATATGAACAGGCATTGCCGTTGCCTTCTTGCATGGAACAGTGGGAAAAAAGGTAGGAGGACAAACACCGTGGCATGTGGTGATCACCTCGCAGCGGCAATGAGACTGTATTACCAAGAGTACACAACCCCGTGAGTGTGCAACTCTGGCTCCAGTCTGTGTGGGGCCTGCGATGGGTGGAACTTCACATCACGTGGCAAGACCGTGTACACAGTCTTCCCCCTATCCGTGATAGCGGCTTCAGGGCTGTATGCAGCCCTCCTTTGGATACAGCTCTCCGTGATAGCTTCAGGGCTGTACGCAACCCTCCTTTGGATACAGCTTTCTGCACAGAAGTCGCTTTGGGCTGTTTTCCAGCTCAAGCTTGTCATGCATGTACTGTGAAACGGGTGATGTCTGACACGTAAAACTTGCGAGAGGCGTCAAATTGCGAACTTTGATAAACTTTTTAAGTTTAAAAACAGTGCAAACCAGTCTGAATGTCCAAAACGCAAGATTTCTTGTCACAAAAAAAACGCCCATAAGCGGTTCCGCCACTACAACGACATCACTTGCATCACCTCTACAGACTACATGTACAATGTGACTTTTACAGACCCGCAGTGGTGGTACATGGAATGCCCCGGTAAGCGGTGTGCTCTTTGTACGACGTGATGGCTACAAGTAAATCCACAGAGATTGAAATGTTACACCACTGGCCCTTCATCCAGTCCAGGAGCTGGAGAGCATTGGCATCCAAGAACTGCAGTACATGTACATGTATTTGTACACAAGCCCTTATAATTATTTGCAACACGAGGACACCGGCATCGCAGGGAACTGTCTGGTGTGTGTGTGTGTGTGTTTTCCGTTCGTTGTCAAAACTGTAAAGTATGAATATGAACTCGCTGAAACTGTAAGAGTGTAACTTCTTCAAGTTCAGCACACAAAAAAGACATTGCGAAACGAACCATGAAGATCAGTATCATGGAGAATAAGGTCAGGGCAGTGGATGAACAGGTGACTGCACTGAACCTAAAAACAGTAACTATGATCTTGGGAGCCAATAGAATATTTAAAAGAAAAGCACCAAACTGCCTGTTTGAGGCCGACAAACTGAAGAAGAAGGTGGGAGGAGCACCATGGACATCGGTTGACAGATCATTCGTTTCAGCATCAAAATATATAAAATAGACCAGGTGGAGAAGATGCGGCTCATGGGGATCATGGACGGCGACTCTGCAACATACTTCGGGAAGTATTCATATGAACAGAGTAGGAAAGCCTGGTTGGACACAAGTGCAATGAGATTTGTAGATATGTGCAAACATACGTGTGAGGAGTTCACGTGGTTGACGCTAGAGGGTGGGGGTAAGGGAGAAATGTGGCTGTTACTCTAATCGCGGTGCAAACTTAAAAATCGTTACGCCCAGCAACACTGCGCCGGGACACCTGGCTGAATGTATTGAGGGCTGCTAGCTTGTATTGAGGGCTGCTAGCTTGTATTGATCTTTGCTATAGATAATCTCAAAAGGACATTGTCATTTGTCCGTCATTATTGCCCTTGCTGCTCCAGCATTCAGCATGCTGTTTCATGCATGTCAGCACGCTTAGTACGAGAACTGGGGTGACCCTCTAGAACCATCTGATGATAGGAGATACGCCGGTGTTTTCCTGGCTCCTCACTAAGCAGCGGAATGGGCAAGCGTGACGAGGGGTTTGGCGTCTCAGACAAAGACGATGACTGGGACGTCGGGGAAGTCGGAACAGACGATTGGCTGGCCGAGCGCGATAGAGGTGGTGAATGTGATGGTAGTGAAGAGGCACCACTGGCACTCGCCGTGTCACTGGGCTGCCTGGATAACATCCCTGCCGGGCTGCCCTGGGAGCTGACACCGGATGAAGCTGCTGATGTTCTCATGGCTGATTGCAATGCAGGAGGCGAGTGTGAGAATGCCCCGGACGGTGTAACCGGTGATAGCGGGGACGTCGGCGTTGACCGAGGCCGTGGTGATCTGTCCAAACTCTGTACGTCAGTGGGAGATGCTGATGCCGACTCCTCCAGGATATGTGGCAGTTCAGCGATTTGCACTTTCTTCTTCCCCCGGTCTAACGAAGAGTGACGCGGTTTCTTCTCGCCCTCGTCTTGCTGTTGCTGTTGCTGCTGCTCCGGCCGACTTGAATCAGGTACATCGCCACCGTCCTCTTGCTCAGCACTGTTCAATCGTTCCCGCTTGGCAGTTTTTGTCGCCCTGCGCCAATTGTTGCGTGCTGCTTCCCAGCCTGGTGACTTTCCAGTACCACCATCTGTTTGTTGACGGACCTGAGAGAGCAGTCCTTGAAGACTGTCTTCCATCAGCTTGCGGTGACCACTGATCTGACGCTTGGATTGTTCGCGACGTGACTCCAGCTGCTTCTCCTGCACCGTGCGGCTCCAGTTGATCACACTGCTGACCATCAGCCTGGTTGCAATGGATCCGCTTACATCCTGGTCTCCGCCATTCTTTGCCTGCGTCTTCATTCTCCATTTCATTGCGTACGGCCTGGCTCTCTCCTCGGCTAGAATAGTCTGCATGGCATTGTTATGTTTGGAGGCACGTCGGTGGAGCAGAGAATCCCACGTGCCCTGCTTGGGCCCGACCCTAGCCTCGCCGCTACCGACCGTGGATATAGCAATGGTCGACTTGGGACGCATCAGAGTTCCCTTGCCACCGCCACTCCTGTAGTTACATGAAACGCAAAGCAGCCAACGCCGTCCGTATTAACACAACCACCATGCACACACACACACACACACACACACACACACACACACACACACACACACACACACACATACACACACACACACACACACACACACACGCGCACACACACACACACACACACACACACACACACGAACAAGTTCAATGGAGCGGCAAATACCGAGAACGTGTTTCGCAGATTTCAAGCATAGCTGTAGCTGTACTTATAGGATGCCTATTTCTGCTGCACCCTGGCTGCCCACGCTGCACCCCGGCTGCCCACGCTGCACCCCGGCTGCCCACGCTGCACCCACGCTGCACCCCGGCCGCCCACGCTGCACCCCGGCTGCCCACGCTGCACCCCGGCTGCCCACGCTGCACCTTGGCTGCCCACGCTGCACCCCGGCTGCCCACGCTGCACCCCGGCTGCACCCCGGCTGCCCACGCTGCACCCCGGCCGCCCACGCTGCACCCCGGCTGCCCACGCTGCACCCCGGCTGCCCACGCTGCACCTTGGCTGCCCACGCTGCACCCCGGCTGCCCACAAATCAAAGTCAAGGTCTTCTTTTACAAGGATATATATTCCACGTTCGCTTACTGGTGTGCAAATATGTCATTCTCATGGTGCCTATCACATACTTGCAGACCGGTCTACCAGAGCACGCTTTTGACATGCGCTCTCAACTTGATCTATACCTACATGTATACTGCATGCCTACACTATACCCAGTCACGGGTCAGACTGACTACTTGTCTTTGCATCATCTTCTGGATCACACGCGGACATGAGTGCTTTATGCACGCCCAAGGGGGGGGGGGGTTGGAGATGGAGTCAACAAGTACTCACGTAGTGCGTGCCCGGGGACGTATTTCTTCGGCCATGGGGACAATAACAGCGCCAGGGCCACGGTTCATGTTGTGCTGCGTGGCCTGGCGTTTCATGGTGGTCCAGACAGAGCTGGTGTGAAGCAGTGGACCTTGCCTGCATGCCAACAACAACACACAGCAGCAGCATACCTGTTAAAGTTTTTTTTGTTTTTTAACTCCTAGCAAGCATCTTAAATGGGAGAGAAGAATACAACCGACCAGGAGCACATCCACAGGAAACAGCTAACAGCTTCACAAATGTTTCGAGATCTTGCCACAGAATTGAGCAGCATACAGTGCACACTTCGCTGTCCAGTGTCAGCCTCTACTAGTATTTTGCTTACACGATATTGACACGGTGTTCATCTGGGTCGGCAACACCTCCTGAACCTATCAGAGGTGCTTCCTCATCATCGTCATCATTGGCGTCATCTTCATTAGGGTCACTGCTGATTGCCAGTTCTCTGTACATCAAATAATATGAGTGGAACATAACAATGAATACGCGCATGTTGCTTCCGTGTACTCCTTATACAGTGACTCAGTTGTTTAGCCGTATTCTATGCACAGCTGAGTATGTTCAGTGCAACCGGCTAGAAACTTATCCGACGCTGATCATGGACTGTAATGGCTAATCATAGCGTTAGGCCAGCATAGGGTGTGCTAGCAAGTTTGAATGCACCTTACCATGCACTTCTAGATCAACATTGTCAACTTGTGACCCTCTTCTGCCTTGTCATGCAACACCCAGCCTGTCTACTCAAGATATCCTATTCACGGGCTGATCATTAGATCAGCAGCAAGTTGGCTTACAGCTTCTGCCGGCGGCATGTCATATATTTCAGGCCCCATCTTACATGCTACCGGGAACAGACAGGCTACGGAGGCTGTTGTTTTGTTGTTGTATAATATATAGACTGATCCCCTTACAGGTGCTCACACATAATATTCACATCGTAGATCTACGCTACAATACAGCTGGTAATAATCACATGCAAAACATACACGGCCCGGGGAAACACGACATGGACTCCCGCGTACAGCAATGCATATGTACATGACTATATGCATGACCGTTGCAACCCAGTGCTACTGGCGTCACTCACGAGTCATCGGGCTGCTTGGTGGACGAGCTGAACCAGTAGTGGATCCGGACGCTGAAGTAGGTCTTAACATAGCCCTTGGGTAGGAGCATGATCATAGCCAGTATGAGATAGAATACTGTCATGCCCATCATGATCAACATGGATTGGTACACATCAGCATCATCAAAGCCAAATCTGAAATGTGTACACAATCAAACCAACACAACTATTCATACGTGTGTCCGGGGGGGGGGGGGGGGCACACACGCATACATACTCGAGTGGAGAAACTGGGCAACAGTAACAGCAGCTGTAGATACATGCTGTTAATAAGACTTCGGATCACCTTCCAACCAACAAAAAATATTGCTCAGGATATACTAGAATAGTTTGCTTGGGGAATGTGTACTTGTAGATGGGCTACAGCAAGCGTCATGGCCATCTCAGCCCAGTGCGGATGTCATTATTGCTTTGTGTCATTTCTTCAAAACTGAGATGACACTTACGTTGTGAGAATAGCGTTGCCATTTTCCTCAGTACACTGCAAGATTGAACCCTGGTCACATGGAAGACTTCGTCCATCGAGCAGTATCTTCATCTCGGCCGAGAATGCATAGTAGTTGGGATTACCGTAGATCAGCCACTACAGACACAGCGACAACAGCAGCAACGGTTTCACAAAGCACGCAGCCGCCACCACCACACCACACACAACATGTTAAAAGAGATCATGCCAGCGGTGGTAAATTTTGCGCTCAGATGTGCCAAACAGTGATTGTCCTTTTCTCCAAATTCACACACATGTACACCAATTCCTCGCAAAAAGAAGCGTGAATGTGTGAAAACAGGTGGAAAAGTGAAATACATGATCATGTGGTTGCATGAGCCTAGGCCTAAAGTGTATTCTTTTTTTTGCGCCTATTTTTGCACCCCATCAACCAACTCACGCATTTTTACAATTACACTATCAGCCCGGATCATCCATCCGCGCTATGATCCAAGCTTGCAGCCTATATCAATCTTATCTTCTGAAAATTGTAGTCAAGTTGCTGTCTGATGATCGGTTAAAACCGTGAAACTCAGAGTTACAGAAGAAACGCTTTTCGTCCCTCTCAAGTGTGTGATCAGGTTCCTGTATGCACATGTTGACATGCCAGCTGAGCACTGATCCACAGATATTCCTGACAGCAAATGCCACGCGAAAGGGGATGCAGTGATATTCAATTCAATTGGCCATGTGTTCACGGATGAATTGTGGATGGGTGAAGCGCAGCTAAGCCGCGGGTGCACTGTGCATGCATGAGTGCAGAAGCGGCAATCAAGCTGTACAATCACATACAGAGCTGCTCAATGAAATCCAATTGCACAAGTCAAGTACACGCCGGGCACTCAGTGCAGCCCCCGGACCTGCCGAAAGTTGAGTATGGACACTGGGATGTTCACTGGCGCAGGGCACAACGCTGACTCACTCGATCAGACCTCACTGAGCAGCACCACACCATCTGAATGTAATCCCGGCAGGTGCAAAGATACTTTAAGTCGTGCATTTCTAGTATTTTCTACCCCTCGGCTTGATACCTTTGAGAAAGGGCTGGTAAAAGAAGAAGGAGATGAACGTTTGCAAAGGGCTTTAGGCTAAGAGTCTGGACACCCCGATCCAAGTGAAATCGACTCTCTGTACGATGTACCCCCTTTCCCCGATTGCTACACTCTACACTGTATACAGTCACACCTGGTTATCATGGCCTTGATCGTTTAGAGGCACCAGTCAGGCAGGGAGCATCGGCCCAGGCCCGGTTTCCAGCACTCTCACTGCTACTCACATGCCTGGTGTAATACTGAATTATGCATCTCAGAAACATACCCGGATGGCCGTGTGGATGTCCGGTAGTGGGTAGAGGAAGCCCTCGAAGAACGTGACGTACGCACAGACCACATGAGCTATGGGCGTGGCATACTCCGGCACGGCGACGCAGATCAAGATCACTATGGCAACGTCAGTGCCGTTGGCCGTCAGGTTGACGAGCAGAATGAGCAGGAAGTCAGTGAACGTGCCCACCATGGACACCATGTAGAAGATGAGAGCGGTGAGCATTATGAACGGTATCAGCGTGACGGCCGTCATGTGTATGAAGGCATGCAGGACCAGGTGAGACACACGCATCACCCCGTCGCCTGCAGCAACACATACACACACACCATGACAAGAACGATGAGAACTACTTCAGTAGTAACTACAAGACTGCTGATGCCGCCAATAATCACGGTTCCCTACCCCCACTGAGGGTGGTTCCCTACCCCCACTGAGGGTGGTTCCCTACCCCACAGAGGGTGGTTCCCTACCTCCACAGAGGGTGGTTCCCTACCTCCACAGAGGGTTGTCACGGTTCCTTACCCCCACTGAGGGTGGTTCCCTACCTCCACAGAGGGTGGTTCCCTACCTCCACAGAGGGTTGTCACGGTTCCTTACCCCCACTGAGGGTGGTTCCCTACCTCCACAGAGGGTTGTCACGGTTCCTTACCACCACTGAGGGTGGTTCCCTACCCCACAGAGGGTGGTTCCCTACCTCCACAGAGGGTTGTCACGGTTCCTTACCCCCACTGAGGGTGGTTCCCTACCTCCACAGAGGGTTGTCACGGTTCCTTACCCCCACTGAGGGTGGTTCCCTACCCCACAGAGGGTGGTTCCCTACCTCCACAGAGGGTGGTTCCCTACCCCACAGAGGGTGGTTCCCTACCTCGACAGAGGGTGGTTCCCTACCTCCACAGAGGGTTGTCACGGTTCCCTACCTCCACAGAGGGTTGTCACGGTTCCTTACCCCCACTAAGGGTGGTTCCCTACCCCACAGAGGGTGGTTCCCTACCTCCACAGAGGGTGGTTCCCTACCCCCACAGATGGTGGTTCCCTTCCTCCACAGATGGTGGTTCCCTACCTCCACAGAGGGTGGTTCCCTACCCCCACAGAGGGTTGTCACGGTTCCCTACCTCCACAGAGGGTGGTTCCCTACCTCCACAGAGGGTTGTCACGGTTCCTTACCCCCACTGAGGGTGGTTCCCTACCTCCACAGAGGGTGGTTCCCTACCTCCACAGAGGGTTGTCACGGTTCCTTACCCCCACTGAGGGTGGTTCCCTACCTCCACAGAGGGTTGTCACGGTTCCTTACCCCCACTGAGGGTGGTTCCCTACCCCACAGAGGGTGGTTCCCTACCTCCACAGAGGGTGGTTCCCTACCCCACAGAGGGTGGTTCCCTACCTCCACAGAGGGTGGTTCCCTACCTCCACAGAGGGTTGTCACGGTTCCCTACCTCCACAGAGGGTTGTCACGGTTCCTTACCCCCACTAAGGGTGGTTCCCTACCCCACAGAGGGTGGTTCCCTACCTCCACAGAGGGTGGTTCCCTACCCCCACAGATGGTGGTTCCCTTCCTCCACAGATGGTGGTTCCCTACCTCCACAGAGGGTGGTTCCCTACCCCCACAGAGGGTTGTCACGGTTCCCTACCTCCACAGAGGGTGGTTCCCTACCTCCACAGAGGGTTGTCACGGTTCCTTACCCCCACTGAGGGTGGTTCCCTACCCCACAGAGGGTGGTTCCCTACCCCCACAGATGGTGGTTCCCTACCTCCACAGAGGGTGGTTCCCTACCCCCACAGATGGTGGTTCCCTACCCCCACAGAGGGTGGTTCCCTACCCCCACAGATGGTGGTTCCCTACCTACACAGAGGGTGGTTCCCTACCTCCACAGAGGGTGGTTCCCTACCCCCACAGATGGTGGTTCCCTACCCCCACAGATGGTGGTTCCCTACCTCCACAGAGGGTGGTTCCCTACCTCCACAGAGGGTGGTTCCCTACCCCCACAGATGGTGGTTCCCTACCTCCACAGATGGTGGTTCGCTACCTCCACAGATGGTGGTTCCCTACCTACACAGAGGGTAGTTCCCTACCTCCACAGAGGGTGGTTCCCTACCTCCACAGAGGGTGGTTCCCTACCACCACAGATGGTGGTTCCCTACCTCCACACATGGTGGTTCCCTACCTACACAGAGGGTGGTACCTCCCTACCCCTACAGAGGGTGGTTCCCTACCCATACAGAGGGTGGCTCGGCCGTCAATGCTCTACAAAGCTCCGGGGTCATCCCCCCCCCCCGCCGAAGGTGTTCCCTACTCTCTACACAGTACACATACACATTGGCTGCCAACGAATATCCAAAATAGACAGTTATTCTAAGTTAGGACGAGGCAGGTTAGAAAACTGGAACGCGCGCTATAACTTAGGGACACCAGGGACTTTTCATGTAAAACTGCATACATGTACCTCGACAACGTGAATATAGAAGCACCAAGCAAGAAAGACGCTTGGATTTCGAAATAGGAGTACATGCCAGTACCACTACAGCCTGAAGCAGACACCCAGTGCGTTGGGCACCTGACATTACTCTCCTGCCACTGGTAATAGGTAGAGAAGGCGCTCATCACAAGTGCAAACCTACCGTGTTCCATCTCAAATATGTGTAGGCACCGTCCCAGCAGAATGCTAGTCAGCGCTGGACTGACAAACAGGAAGCTAATATTGGTCAACAAGTTGAACGCAGCCAGCAGAAGAAAACCTCTATTCGCCTGATAGTACGCAATACCTGCAGCCACAGATCACAAATGTTGAAATGTACATGGTGGACAAGAAGGTCAACAGGTCGGCGAATCCGAGATAAGAATCATAAGATACGACTGGTATACAGTAACCAAGGCCGGAGCTCAAAGAGAGTACAGATATTCTCAGTTACACAGCACATGTATAATCAGGCCCGGGCTGGCCAGCCGAGTCCTGAGAGGTGGTACAGCCCTAGATTGGCTACAGGACCCATTATTTCCCCATGCCCGATTTTTAAAAACCCAGGGGGGGGAGAAATCTCCAGCCCTATGTATAGTGTCTGCTTGCCGGTTTCAGCTACACATTCCTCTAGCAACAGATATCCTGAACAGTATATCACTGAACAGTATACCACTGAACAGTATACCCCTGAACAGTATGATACCACTGAACAGTATACCACTGAACAGTATACCACTGAACAGTATATCACTGAACAGTAAGGACAGTTTTAGGAGGGAGAATCTAGCGAGGAGTGTATGAGGATAGATTATTACAAGTACATAAATTATACTTTGAAGAAGGGCTGAGGCTTCCTGCAGCTTCATCTGTGAAAAGAATTCGGGTGGACACACCCATTCCCATAGCGCTGCATATCACATCCGAACCAGTTCCGTTATTTTACAACGTTTCGGCACTTGGCCATCATCAGGTAATAACAATGAATACCGTGGAAGCCACACAAGAGCAGTATATACGCAGAGTGCGGTTTGTGCAGCATTTCAACTCTGCACACCCAAGTATCAACTACACATAATGAGCTCAGCGAGGTGAGTGGCTCCATAAATTATATGGATATCACAATTATGATCCAGGAAGGCAAGCTGGCATACAAGCTGTACCAGAAGGCATGTGCTAGTGGTCTACTCATTGATTATACTTCGGCAGTTCCCCACCATATCAAATTGGCAGTTGCTTCGTCACAATTCCTAAGAGCTCAGAGGCTCTCATCGAATACCAGAATGCGTGCAGAAAGTGAAGCGATGGTTCATGAGCAATTAAGATTGAACAATTACCCAGAGAAAATCATTGAAGAGGCACGCACTGCCTCCATAAGGCCAAAGCGTCGTCGCCATGCCAACCCATGCTGCGCATTTCTAAAGCTTCCATATAAGTCAGATAAAGTACATCAAGCAGTGAATAAAGCAATCAGAAAGTATAAAATTCCGGTTAGAGTCATATATGAGCACACTGGTAGCCTGAGGCGCACATTGTGTCGCTCCGCCCTTGTTCCTCCTCTATGTGTCAAGGCTGCAAATCCGCTACAACCGAAAAAGAGAGGTCGCCCAAAGGGGCCATGTATCTCGTGTATATCCGGGGGACAGGATGTATGTATGCAGAAGAATGTTGTATATCAGCTGAAGTACAAAGAATGTCCGGAACAATATGTTGGTGAGACTGGCCGCTTTCTGGAAACTCGCCTGGAAGAACATAATGGTGAGGCAAGACGCCAGGAACTCGACAAGCCATGGGGCCAACATTTTCGCACCACTCACCCTGGATGTAAGCTTAACTATGGGCAAAGTGCATTCTCTGCAGTTGAAGTAATAGGAAGAGAGCCTGATCGAGCCCGTCGCAAACTGCGCGAGGCGATTGAGATTCGTGATGCCAAGCCCCATGTGAACATAAGCACCGGATGGGATTTGTTGTGAATTTTCTCAGCTTCCCCTGCTGCTACTTCAATATCACTGAATAATTATAATATGAGGCGGGTCACTCAAAACCATTCTATTCCTGATGCCTCGTCGCGTCCCTGGTGGTAACAGTTTGGCATGGAAGTTTTAACCTCATAGTGCATTGACTCATGGGGCTCCGTGCTCCCCTCCTAGATCCTGTGCTAGAATTAACACCATAATTATCTGGCATGTACCCTCACTTCGTAGAGCGCAACGGCGCGCTCTTCTTCTCCGTGATGTGCACAGTTGCACCTTCTCTCCCCCCCCCCTCTGTATAGAGGTGACATAACTCGCATCATTTTATTTTTTGGCGCTACACTCTGCGCAACGCCATTCATAGAGCACAATGCGCGCTACCTTCTGCTGCTTCTCCTCCGTGATGTGCTAGTTGCGCCTTTTCTCTCTCTCTGTCATACTAGGTGACATAATTCGCATCTTTTTTGGCGCTACACTCTGCGTATATACTGCTCTTGTGTGGCTTCCACGGTATTCATTGTTATTACCTGATGATGGCCAAGTGCCGAAACGTTGTAAAATAACGGAACTGGTTCGGATGTGATATGCAGCGCTATGGGAATGGGTGTGTCCACCCGAATTCTTTTCATAAATTATACTTCCAGAAAATCAATTGCAGACTGACCAGCCCATGAACACTGGAATAGATAAGAACTGGTACTGCCATGGCTGCACCGGCCATACCAGTGGCACTGGCTCTGATAATGCCTCTGTGACATTGTTTCCTGGCCACCAATGACAAGAAACTGGGATATTGAGAGCATGGGGATATGATATCTGGCACACACCTAATGTGCATTGTCACAACAAGCTTTATCTGTATGCTCTCGGCACATTTCATCAGTCTATGCATGCTTCACGATGGCTGTCCATTGGTGGTCTTGGGATCAGATAACCTAATCTCTCCCCCCCCCCCCCCCCTTGGCATATATCATAGAAAAAAGGACATGCATGCATGCACACATACTAGTAATACACCATGTACCATGTACCATATGGCCAAGGATCTGCTAAAACCACCCTTTGGTGCTATTTTGCCGAAAATGAGTTTTTGGCGGGAATTTGGTCCCTGGCCATTGCCCAACCATATGGTGAAGTATTAGGCTCAAATTGTATATATTCATTGAAATATGACCCATCTTATGCAAGCTTTTGGTGAATAAAAATGCCGAAAATAATTGATATTCACACTATAATTCGTATCTGAGGCTTCATACACCTGTCATACACCTCTCTATGTACAGAGAAAAAACTATTTTGCACAGTTATCCAGTATTCTACTATGTATGTTCTGAACAAATAATTAGGACATTGGGTCTGCTTGGTCTGGTGCTGGGAAGGTGATATCTCTGCTCTCTGCGTGTCAGTGCTGACGAATCTGTTGGTGCAAGTACTTTGCACGTTGCGGTGAAATTCCAGCCGTCTTGAGCGTCACTGGCAGATGATCAGATGCCAGGCAGTAATACACTTTTGATAAAGGTCACGGGCCACGTTAGCTTCGTCAATATGAGCTTTGAGTGCGTCAGTGTGCTTAAAAGCGAGTTTCTGCCGTGCTTGCCCTTACGATCTGAGACTGCAGATCGGAACATACACTGCACACATATTTTGATTATTATCACATCACTGCACTCGCTGCTCCATATTTTCAGGAATGTTGTGTATGCTGCTGTTCCTCCAGCCTTGATATATTCAGTATGCACATGCTTCTTGGTAGTAGCACATGGCACTGGCAGGTAAGTAATAGTTGGAGCAGGCCTCTGGGGGCAGCAGGCTGGGGAAGTCCATTGATGTCACCAAAGGCAAAGTTGCAGGCAGTGCATTCCAGGCCAGGGCAAAGTACCCTCACATGCGTACTGAGGGGGAGGGACAGCATGCTCATAGTCATAGACATCCGCCTTAATTTGTTTTAGCTTCCACTCCTTTACCATGATTATGTGCGTACATGAAAACAGTCTGGCACACTTCGTCACCATCCACTTCATAGCAATAAGTGGATCGGAAATTCGGAACCTTTCTCCGCGCTGTATCCGGTGTGCAATGCTTCCATGGTGAGAAGTAACTGCACCGCGTCGTCTTTATCTCAACATATCGAGCTGTCCAGCGACGTAACAGTACAGCTCCTCGTTCGTTATTGCGAGCGCTGTGTTGCGTGCAGTGAGTAGAGTATCCGGTGACACGTTCTTGAAACAGTTGACATCGGCACAACTGCAGCCCTTGTCCACTCGCGCCTGTACCTCTTCAACAGTACTGGGCGCCGCCTGGGCACGGGATTTCTTAGGTTGGCCCTGTCCTCCGGCGGCGAGGGCTTGTGCTGGCTGTAGCGCTGGCGCCCCGTCCAAATTCTCCTCCGCATCGATCGCAAGCGCGATCGGCAGGGTCACGAGCGGAGAGGCGTCGGTCGATTCGTCATCGCTCTGGTCGTCAGAATCTTGATCTGACCACCCGAAGAACGATCTATCGTCATTTGGCAGTGCTGACGACTCCGCTGCCGAGAATCCGACAACAATTTGTGCGAACGAGCGCCTTCGTCCTCCTTCCGCCATGACTGTCACCTGCGATGATGAGAAAATCGAGACGTGCTGACGTTTTCATCATTTTCTCCGAAAAATTACACAGCACCGAAGGGTGGTTTTAGCAGATCGCGGGCCATATTATACGCTTGTATACGCCCGTCGCAAGAGAAGCACGCAAGTCTGCAAAAGCACTGGATTGTGCATCCACAGATTTTCTCTTATAGCAACGATAGTAGTACACACACACACACACACACACACACACACACACACACACACACACACACACACACACACACACACACACACACACACATCTCTTGCCGCCTTCTCCTTACCAACTCCGAGGCCATAGAAGAAGAACACAAGAGGCAAGTATATGGCTTGACCCCATGACTGTCTTGCCATCCTTCCATCCAACGCAAGCAGAGCACTCCAGAGAGAGCGACCATGGGGACTACACATCACAAACATATGCCGATAATAACATTGTACGGTACAGTTGCGCTCAGTGAAATCCAACTCAAGGCACACATGTGTGAAATCCAACTCAAGGCACACATGTGGTGTCCTCAACGTGCACAGCCCTTGACACCCTGGATGTGGTACACGTGCAGCTGGATGTACACATGCACATGTAACCGGAACTGATTCTGGGCGCCACTGAGTTTTACACCGTTTTGGTCGGATTTCAGTGTGCGCAGCTGTACTTCAGTGATTGAGTAGTGTACGAGATCTTGAACGCGGCCTACGCATCATTTGAAATGCACCATGATCCACAAATGACCCAGAGCCTGTCAAGCAGCAACGGTCAGTGACTCAGTCACTAGTACTCTGGAGTAGTGTCGTGATGGCCGCCGCAGTACATGCGCTAGCTTCAAAAGCCTTCTCCTAAGTACAGTAAAACCGGAAAATCTCGGTGGAGATTTGTTTTCGGTAACCTCGATCAGTACAGGTTTTTTTTAGACCGCGACCTAAAATCCAACCATGCCATGCCACACAGTGTGCAAAATGCATTTTTGGATCTGGAAAATTTGTTTACCAAAATGTTCGCGCTACCGAACTGTTGATTTTGGGAAATACCGAAAAAATTTACACAACCGAAAATTCCCGGTTTTACAGTAGTAACAGTGACACTGCAAATCAACAATACTCCGGTCAATAGGGAATGACAAGCTATTATGATTCAGTCCCCCATGACTTGAAGTTGATAACAATGCTCTATTCCCAGTGTGTTGTCATTGGAAGAGTTCATAAGCAATGTGTGTGTGCGTGTGCTAAATGAGCTGGTTGCTTGCCATGCATGCAACAAATTGACTCAGTCTCAAAAGCCTGCTGGGATGCGCTGGTACTGTACTGGGAAACTCACATGCCAAACACACTGGACTTTCCAGCCTGTTTCTTGGCCTTCTTGACAGCCTGCAGGATCCTCTTGGGCTCGGCACTATCATCGTAGTGTTCCAGGATGCACTCCTGGTTGCGTTCGTCGTTCAGCGCGTCCAAAATGAGATCGGCGGGGTTGGATTTCTCCGGGTCGGAGGCCAGCTTCTCAAACGACTCTGGGTTTCGATCCTGCACAGCTTGCATGAAAAACCCGACGGCTTTGCTCGGAGGACCGTAGAAGGCAACCTTGGGGAGGAAAGGAAAGCAAACAATTGCAACAAGAAATAGCCAGAAATAGCCTCACTTTATTTAAAAAGCCAGTATGTGCATCCAGTTACGCAGCGGCAACAAAAAGCCCAACTACGATCAAGCATGGCCATTGTGCAGGCACACGACATTCAAGTGCTGAGTGACGTTTACACAGTGACCGTATACATAATACACTTACCCTGCCCTTGCAGAGGAACAAGATGTATACATTATGCACTTACCCTGCCCTTGCAGAGGAACAAAATGCGACTTACCCTGCCCTTGCAGAGGAACAAGATGCGAGCAAACAAGTGATAGATCTCCGGACGTGGCTGATGGATGGAGACGACGACCAAGCGGTTGCCTTGTGAGATGATATGCAGTACATTGAGTAGTTCTTTGGCAGCAGTAGAGTCCAGTCCTGTAGCAAGCAGTGGGAATAGGTAGTGATCAGCAGGAATAGGTACTAGTCGAAGCAGCACAGAGGACAATCACATTCTGCCTCTTTACAATTGCTCTTCAGTAACAGAGCACTTGCCAGTACTATGTAGAGACCGACTGATCACACCGTATCCCTAGGCGACACAGTGCTCACAACAGAGCACACTGCGGCCAGCTAGCCACTTTCAACCACTGCCACGGTGAACTGTGCATTTGTATAGGTAGACGATACGTCATGAGAGGCATTGGATTTCCGATTTGCCTAACCAAATGCAGACATGCAGACATGCACAGCATTCAGCATGGGACTCGAGGACACCGCAGAAGACATCATACTCAATACTCATAAGCACAGAGACTGAGGCTATGGGCAGCACAGCTAATACTGGTGTTCTACGACACCAAACGCTGAATGATGCATGTCCTGCTGTCGGCCAAGCTACTAACCGGATGTGGGTTCGTCCAAGAAGACGATATTGGGCATGCTCATCAGCTGCATGGCGACACACAACCGCTTCTTCTCTCCGCCGCTGATGCCACCGCCAGTCGTACCTCCAACTACACGCTCCTCAATTTCACTAAGGCCAACCTGAGGCGTACAGGGGTAGTGGAGAAACACACACACAGTCCACACATGCCCCCACACATACACACACACACACATACACACATGCGTGCACACATATATATGCATTCACACATGACACAGCATGGGGTAAGGAAACATGGTAAACAATAGCTGTGAGCCACAGCTGTTGGAATTGTATGATATACTATAATGCACAGTGCACTGCATTACTGAGTAGTTCAAACAATTGGATTGCGTGATACAAAGCAGTGAGAAAGCACAAAGCTCCAGCATTCAGTTAGCAATAGAGTTCCTGCAATTTTTCGTCAAGAAATAAACTTACAAAATGGGTACCTGTCTCATTTTGCAATGCGGACATCATTGCTAGCTCTGGATCCATGCAGTGTAAGAATCCCCCCCCCCCCCCCCCCCCCTCTCACAGTGCACTCTCAGGTGCTGAACCTCTCTGCAGTGCAGATACAATTCACTGCATGTACCAGGTGCTGAAGGCTTCCCTGTGGTGTAGGCATCGTGGCATTGCCATGTACTGGCTGCTAATGAGCAGACACCTAATGAGTAGCGCACCTACTTCGAAGTACAAATACATGAACATTGGCTGGCAGCAATAGCCGGCCCCCAAACAGTAGTTCTGCTGGCCAGTATGAGCCCCAAAACCTGCCTTCTAATCACCTGACTGAGTTTGTGGCATAACACTGCAATGACCAACAGCTAACTGGGTTTCTGGACATCGGGTGAGCTGTGTGTATTGTAGCACATCGACATTCCAAGACTTGCCGCAACTATTGTTGATGAAGAAACAAGTCTATTGCTCAGTCTCAACATGCTCAGTGGGCAGTGCTATTGTACGACGGTGATAGGTTCACTGACTCTGACAACACGGCATTGTCAGGAGTGCAACACAACTACACCTGCTCTGTTTTTTTGAGATTTCCAGGCCGGCAAATAATTGCGTGTATCTTGAAGTATTCAGACAGGCCGCACGCCACAAGTACCAGCAATTCCCAGCAAGCTGTGTCACTCTGGGGATGCACAATCTCTGATATCTTTGACAGCTGAAGTATGACTATAATCATGTGCCAACAGGGACTGAGGAGGTTTTCATGCAGCCTTATCACTGTTTTTGTTTGTGTTTTACGGTTAGACTCTTTTATATTAATTAAATGAGCCTAGCCATAAAACACTGGCAACAGCGCTAAGCAAATTGTTCACACCTGATTGCTTGAGCAAACAAACAAAACGCATGGAAACAATGGTGGACGAGCACTTTTCCTTGCACCTTCAAAGAGACATCAATTTACACACAGTCACACAGACAGAGTTCAGTGGTAAAAAACAGGGAGTAGTACAATACCGGGAGGTGACACGGCCACACATTCAGGCGGGCGAGCTTTGCCTCAGGTCACTTTTCTGTGGAGCGCTGTGTCCCGGGAAACGTCACGAAATATCGCACTTCGCGCGCTGTGTCCCGGGAAACGTCACGAAATATCGTACTTCGCGTACCATTTATCGTAGCATTTCGTAGCATTTTTCAAAAAAATTCATAGAACGACTTGAAGAGAGTGGCAGAATGCTGTCAAGAAGTTTTCGAGCAGTACTTTTTGAAGTTTGTTTTGACGATGTAGGGAACGAATCCATCAGTCTTTGCTGAGTGATGAGGATGAATCCTACGAAGGATATCAAGTAGCAGCTGGCCTTCGCACGGGTACCTTCAGTGTGTCCAGTATTTACGTGGGCGGCTTGTAAGAGTGAAATTTTCTTCCTAATTTAATTTGTATTACATTTAGTTATTCACGTCGTTTCTAGGGGAATAGATAATGTTGACTCAAGTTTTAGTCACAATGAACAACATGTTTCAGGTATGGCTGACCCGTCTCAAGATAGTAAGGCTATTCCGAATCCAGATGCTATAGTCGTCAGAGAGAAACACAAAATAAAATAAATTTTATACTGCAGGGGCAGCTATTCGCAAATGTCACTATGACGCAAGTCTGTGTCAAGGGTGTGAACGTGATAGTATCGTTCTTCTCTGCTGTTGAGAAATCATTTCCAGCTTGCGGCTGTCCATGTTCTTCATGTGACGATGGACAAGAGGCTGTATGAATCAGAACAAACATAAAACCACACAGGCTTCATCGATATGTCTGTGTTGTGCTTTTGTTTTGCTGCAGGTTTTATCAAACAAGTCAGATGCGATCTGCGGATAAGATATTTCATTTACGTACACTGTGCAGATTTATAAGCCTAGTTGGTGTGCATGAAGAGCATTGAAATTGTTCTGGTGTGTGCGTGTTTGGCCGTTGCTTTTTTGGGCGTACTTTTATGTAATTGGATCTGTTTTTCCTCCATCAGCTTATTGTCATATAAGCATATAAAGCATGGGCTTACTTGGCTATTATTGAATGACTGTACTCTGCTGTCTGACTTACGGGTAGCACTTGTTGGTGAAGAGATTGTCATACACGATGCGCTGTTATTCGCAGCAGGCAGTGACTTCTGATGACGTGTTCTGTGCAGTAGATGGCATACCAAAAAGAGATAAGCCATGTTATATCCGACGTCCACCTTACACATATGGTAGAACTGTGCAACTAACCTTGTCAGATGAGAGTATTTATCATCGTCTATACAAGGATGATCTTCGTCAATGGGGTGCGCTGTAGAACACGCATGAAAACAAATACAACCCCAAAACGTAGTTTCAGTATTGCTTCAGTGTCATATTTATAATCAACAATGTTGTATTGCAGAATTATACCCTTCTCATGATTGCTATTGCTCAACACGCTAGGACTGCATAAGTACACACCAACATCCCCAAAACAAAATGCATTGAAACCACTCCTGCTATATAATTTGTTTACTTTTTGGGTGAGGAGCAATTGGCGTTGGGCAGGCAGACTTCGCAGCCGCACCCAAGTCGTCGCTCTTCCTCTTCTGTCCACGGGTTCTGGGGGTTAAAAAAGCAACAAAGCAAGCAGGCCTGGCCTCATTCAGTGCTGAAAACAAGTGATCTTGAACATTATGTTCAAGTCTATACAAATTAATAAGTTTCAAAATTTTCAGAATGAGTTTTACAAAGAGTTACATAAGCTAACACGTTGAGATGAAGTAGAATGGTAGACAAATAGGTATACTTTCGAAATATCCCAACTTGGTGAGGTGTCCGAGTGGGTCCAAATGAGAAATTCAGGTTCGTGTTACACCATGTCAAGATGAGAAAATTCCATCACGTTACTTACCTAGGATAGCGTCCTCCATATTCGTCACTTCCATCCATTTTGGGAAGTCGAGACTTGGCAGCAGTGTGGACGATGTACCAGAGTAGCTCCCAAAAAAGGCTCGAGCTGAAAAGAACAAGTGGCAGCTTGTCACGAAGGGATACGTCTGGTCTTCTCGTCACTATTTGAAGGTTTCTCAGCGCTGTCAAAAGAGCAAAAATTTGAATTTTCGCGCGGTTTGTATTTTTTTTGTGAGGCAAAGCTCGTAATCCCGGATGTGTGGCCGTGTCACCTCCCGGTATTGTACTACTCCCTGGTAAAAAAGTACCAATTTGCCCCTGAACTCACGTGAATAGTCCAACCATGACCACATAACTACTAGAATTCATGCGAAACAGTCTCAGATCCTGCTGAGAAGTACAAGTACTGCCGTGGACATGGAAATCCGGTCGCACGTCTAGCGGCCCCAGCGCGCTGGCCATGCAGCCGTAGGTAAGCAATACATGTACACACATGCGCTGCAACGCGCTGGTCGCATCGGAACAACATGACTGTGCACTGTTCTGTACGGGCTGAGGGCGCAGGCCCCCGGCGGTCAATCGACTGGATGTCCATGTCCACGACAGCAGCTGGCTACATGTACACCACGGTAGTGTTTCTGGGCCTAGATTTACCTAGATTTACCTAGATTTACGGTCTTGTCACCAGTAATACTCTGTCACCGCACAGGCACAGCACCTGCGTGGCACGAGTCGCATGTTTCAGTACAACTATGGGCTCCAAACAGGGACTTGCTCAGTACCAGCATATGCCGTTGTGCTCATCAGGAACAAGAGTTGGGTGAGATCGCCACGTCTTCCCAGCATGTTAAGCGGAACTTTCTGCTGATTTGAGATCCAGACAAGGACAGGTTGGAAGACTCTCACACACAGTACTGGCTTCCAATACTGGTTTTCAGTACATTACATTCTTAACACATACTTCGAAGTAATAGTAGCATTATATTGTCATTCACGCTTCAAACACAACTGCATAAGGGCAGCCATACTACCAGCACACGCATTACACTGTACAATCGAAGTAAACGTATTTGTATAATTTGGTCAACAATTATGGGCATAGTCGCTCTCACCTCCTGTATGACCATCTTCATCTGCTCGAACAGCTCCGACCTGGTATGCGTGGATGGCAGGCGCAGCAGTGCGCTGTACAGCAAGTTCTCGCGCACGGTCAGCTGGTCGTAGTAGGGCGTTGCTAGCTGGCGTACATAGCCTGTGTTGCGGTGGTACCAGCTGTGGACAGATTCCAGCGGGTGACCGTTCACCAATACTTCACCCTGTTATTGTTGTTGTTGTTGTTGTGGAAAAGAGATCACATCGAGAACATTGCCCTTGACCCAGTACATGAGATCACATCGAGAACATTGCCCTTGACCCAGTACATGAGATCACATCGAGAACATTGCCCTTGACCCAGTACATGAGATCACATTGAGAACATTGCCCTTGACCCAGTACATGTGCTGTTGCTACACTATGCTATGCATTTCCTACATTCTGGCCAGTCTCTACATGGAACAATTGTGTGTTGGCACCGGCATTCATACTTGTGTACATACATGGCGACGTTTGAGCAAAGTCACGGGGCCGGGCAATTCATCCTTACACTCACGTCACCGGCTCGGCGCCCGGTGAGCAAATCCATCAGCGTGGTCTTGCCGCATCCGGATGGGCCCATGACGGCAACCATGGAGCCAGAGTTGAAGTATGCCGTCACACCGTTTATGATGACCTATATGTGGATAGTATGCACAAGTACACACACTATGATGCATGCACATCCACACACAGTGAATGCACGCACATGCCCATGTATACATTTGATAAAGGCTAGACTGAAATTGAGTGCATTGCGCTCAATCTCTCTTCTCTTCTTCCGCTCTCTCTCTCTCTCTCTCTCTCTCTCTCTCTCTCTCTCTCTCTCTCTCTTTCCGGCACTCTAAACACAAACTGGGATGTGGCACACGCTGATGAGTGCTCGTACTGTGGAATTCCTGTACCGTCCTCCGCTTCAATGGGACGGTAGTATTATCATGAAAATACCAATCACATGACATGTTGCACTGCAGGCCTGCAACATGGATCAGCAAAACACCATAAGGCTAGATTTGCCTCACCTTGACTTGTGTTGTCGGCACTTTTGCTTCTTGCCGCTGTTCGTGACTTGAGCGCAGGCTGTACGTGCGGAGCGGCTTCTTCTTGTGTGTGACACGTTGCCCATCACCGGGGTCACTAATAGATCTGCGTATCCGACCGTTGTTAGCAGGTAGGGGTGTATCCACGAACATCTCTCCATTGTTGTGGATCTTGGAGTACTCCGTTGTGCCTTCCAGCAGGTCCTCCTCGTCATCCACCTTGGCCTTCACTGGAATGGTCAGCTCATAGGTGAGATTGCGACACGCCACGCTCACATCGGCACTTTCCGGCAAGCAGTCGGACAGCTTCTCAGAAGTGTCCGGATTGTTCAAGAACTTCTTCAAACTGTGGTGTATCCGGCTGATGTGGATCTTTAATCCAATCTTGATGAGAAAGGCACCAACTGAGAGCAGGATAGCAAAGACCAGGGCAAAGATCTGCAAACCCGTGCTCAAAGACGACGAGCTCTCCATCAACTCCAGGGTGTCTACACAGCGAGAATTGCACAGGAATCCTTGGCACCGATCGCTTACGGTCATGGTGCGATTCTCCAACGTCAGGTTGTACCAGGATCGAATGAGGTCTCGCAACGATGGCCGTTGTGCTGCGCCGTTGTCGAGCGCAAAACGACTCCACACGCTGCTCTCGATGATATGTGTATATTGAAACTGGCCCAGCAGATTAATGCTTCGGTCAGCGGCACGCCGGAATTCTGTAGTTGCCCATAGTGTCGTGCTCACAAGGTATGTATGCTGACCGCACTGCGTCTGAATAATACTGGTATGTCGGCGTGCTCGCGCCGTGTTCAGTGTTTGGTTGACAGCACCGCCGTAGTCGGCAATCAAATTCACGTACAGGCCGCGATTCGGAGCCCTTACAGCTGCAAGAGCTCTCTGCAACATGAACAGGTCAAATGTGCTTGTAACGATCAACATGGGTATACTCTCCGGTACTCCCACTTGTGTGTTGTATAACATACACACGGGACTGATACAACATGGCAGACCGTTGTAGATCACCCGGCATGCTGGACGGTCAGACAGCGCACTGTTGCTTTGAGCATACTCGGTGAACAGGGTCCGTGCCGCGATGCTTTTGTAGTCTACGATCCATCCAGAGTCGACCAGAAGACGGACCGTTGCCATTGGGAACTGCTCCTGCACCCATCGTACGTGATTCATGATTCCCAATGCACCAGCACTGGTTCCAGCCAGTACTATCTCCGTAGCATTGGACAGGCCAAGTGATTTCAACTCCTGGATCAGTGACATAAACACATAGTTGCCAGCATAGGCGAATCCTGGGTCTGTCTTACTGTCCATGACGTCCTTGGCTATGCTCTTATCAAAAGTTTCCCTCGTCTTCGTGCCAAGGTTGCCACCAATGTACAAATCCTGCGTGCAATAGGGAAGCATGACACGCCTGAAGTGTCGGAATGGGTTCTCCGGGTCCGACTCATCAAATACATCCGTTCCACACAGCGTGTCACTGTACACAGTTTTATCGTGAGACATTCTATACAACTGCGTGGCGTATTTGTTTTTGCATTCTGTGATACTAGAGCAAACACCACCACCTTCCAGGAAGATCATCCATCGCTCGCCCTGTTCTGACGGGTCCAGATAGTAAATGGCTCGAGTGTAGTCGCTGCAGATCGCCGTCTCATTCTGTAGTTCTTTCTTTCGGAGACTTCTTCCAACACACGTGCGCTGACCTTCCGTTCCGCATGTGCATAGGCTGACCAGGATCAGAAGCAGCAGTGCTAGCGTCCGCGGCACCTGCATTCGCCATGCCAGCAGCAGGCGAACCAGCACGATACCGCCTGCTTGTCTGCGCATCCGGACGAGAGAAGGAAAGCAGCGGAGGATGCCGTGGTGGCTGACTCTATTGCTACCACACGGGTGTTGGTTGTGTTCCAACCCCGATCGGGGCAATGCAGCAGGCACAGACCTAAGGCTAGGTGTGAATGAGTGATCATACAGTCGCTCGGGCCAGTTACGAGAAAACTACTAATACAAGTCGAAGGTCCTGCATAGCATACCACATCCGTAGCTCCGCACAGCAGGCTTCACCTACCGGTTCTTCTTCTTCTTCTCCTCTCCCAGCACCACCTCTACCTTTACTGAGCGCCTTGTAACCAGAGGAAGCAATGAGCATGACCAGCAAAGTTCTTTTCTCTCGTCAATTTTCCCCCCGATTTCTGAGATACCTGCAGATAGACAGAGTGCGAAATAGAGGACGCCAAAACCGGTGTCAGCATATTCGGCAATCACACACAGTTTGCTCGTTCATCTACACCGTCGCCCCAGCCCTGCGGTGTTTCTACGCTCGTCTTATCATACATGCAGCGTCGCCCCCTGTGTGCTGCACCGCGAGCGAATCTAATGTACGGTCAGTGCATCTGTCACTGACATGACATTGTGTGCGAAACAGAGTTGCGGCTAGCTACACCCATGCCTAGCGCCTAGCGCCTGGGCATAGCAGTGGTGCCGATTTGCAACACGATCCTCTCGAATGCAAGACCACGTGCCGACGATGCAGTCAGAGCGCTGGCATATGGCATGGTACTTGATATAAAAGGAGTGTGAAAACGCAAAACAGCTCAATCGATCACCGATCGACCGTAGTCTACTCATGGTACTTGGTCTCGCTGCTCTAGCTCTGCCCACAACACAACACACCACACATGTATCATTCTGCACAGTGGACAAAGCCAAAGGCCTCTACTTGCCTACAACTCTCTCGACTCTCGTTGTGAAACGAGCGATTGCGTGGGCACACAGGTCAAGACGCTTGACCCTGCCCGGACAGTCGAGTTGGAGCTGCGTCTCTTGCTTTATCTTCACTCCAGAATATCCTGTATTGGGTTGGGTCTGCTAGTCTGGGGACTGAAATACTACAGCCTACAGGAGTCCGGACTACCTACAGGCTACAATCATCAGTGATGAATGTAGATTTACCCTAGCCTACAGACTACTAGCACTACAAAGTAGAACAGTTACTCATGTAGTCTTGCACTTGTTTGTCGTTCTGCAGAACCCAACACCTAACACTAACAGTGGGAATACGAGGTACAGGTGACTTTCCCCTTCTCGTACGTGTACAGCTGGAGAAAGCTACTTACGGGGAGCACACAGTGTGCGGACGAACACTTCACTAGTTCTAGTAGTTGTGGCCCACGGGCGCACCAGCCAAAACAACAAGGACCGGGGAGGAAGGAGACAAAACAAAACGCCTGAGAACGGAGGGGAGTGCTGTGCTTTTATCTTGGCCGAGCTGGCAAGCAACGGGTTGGGCTAGTGTAGTGTCGTGTCGTGATAGCTTGGCACTGAGCAACTCACCCAGGACCAGTGTACCTGTCGATTTTTCCTGCTAGTAGCAGTGAGTACCTACTGTTCGTTTCAAGGTTACTTTTCACCCGACACTAGTAATTGTTCCGGTAGCTGTCATTCCCCTGCGGAGGCGAGCTACATGTAGCTAGCTGACCGGTACGGTACTGCCTGCGGTGACCGGTGGTCAGTCGATGTCGGAACAGTTACGCTTGGTGGTAAACATGGGTAAAGGCTGTTCCTCTTGCTCCATGATGACTGCTGCCGGTATCATACGGAGCGTTCTGCTTGGTTTTGCAACTACTAGTATGTACATCTACATGTATCTACATGTATCACCATGTACCGGTACATGCTTTCACCCTCCGAAATGACCCCGACACTCCGTGACTCGCAACCGTGCCAGATCCTCATCCTGGCAACAGTGCAATCGAATAACGAAAATCAGCTGTTGACTGAGAGTGTTGTACAATCATAATCATTGGTAGTGTAACTACCGGTACGTCTTTAGACCGTGGTATGGTGGCGGTGGTGATAAAGAGGTAAAGATACAGTCCTGTACTTTCTAGAAACACAGAAAGCTAGGTTGGTGGTACGATACACCAACGTGACGTGAATGGTTCGTGTACCTACCAATAAGGAAAAAATACACAACAGGTTACTCAACTGTAACTAATCAGTGTGTACTAGTACTAGTATGTGTAGCGGACTCAACAGATGGAGTGACAGGGACTGTGAAAGTGTGATAGCATCCTGCACGTTCTTATTTGATGTGTTTAAAATACAGCAGGAAAAGTCATAGTAGTCCTCAAGGTCATTGTTGTCCGTAGCGGCGGCGTAGCCACAGCCAACGAAATCCGAAATAGGACTAGGAAAATTGGCGAATTATGCTGGTATAGTTTTCTGATATATTCTTCGGATTTTGTATAAAAACTATGCCCTGGCATAAAGGACTTCTGAGACCAGACGGTCGGCATACCCTCACGATGCTGGCTGAGATTAAGGTGGCAGTCTGGGTTCAGAGGGTCAAAAAACAAAGTTTCGATTTTCTGTATTTTTTCACTGGCAGCGTCTTGTGTATGGTCCAAAGGGTTTATCCTGAAAATTTGAGCGTAATCGGGTGCTTCCTTCCGGAGATATAGCCGCGCAAAGTCTGCACAATTGTTTTTGAAATACTGAAATATCAGCAAATTTCTACAAAATTTAGGTTTGCACACTATTCCGATTTTTACCGTCAATCTTTGAGCGATTTCATTAAAATTTTCTGGAGCGACTCCTGGTACTCCTCTGCGCTGCAGACTGACAGCCGCGCACGATCTTTGTCACCATGGCAACCAAGATAACTTTTGCGCATGCGCAAATTCAAAAAAATTCAAATTTCGACTCTCATGTCATGATCTCAGCTGATCGCTCTGCTGTTGAAACTAGTTACTTTTGGAGTAATTGTTTTGGAGTAATTGTTTCTTGGAGCTAACCCCTTCGTTGGCTACTATGGGGAAGTCTAGAGCCAAGGGAAAGCCCGGACGATCTAAGAAAAGGAAAAGAACGTTCTATGGAGTGTCTCAGGCGCCGAAGGCTCCCTCTGGTGAAATTTCGCCTGCAAAACAAATTCCTGACTTGCCACTGTCTGATGACGACCTTGAAGTGTCAGCTGAAGCCACGTCTTCAAACAGCGATAGTGATGGAAGTGGCGGTGAAGTCGACAGCAGTTCCTCCGACAGTGACTTGGATGAAGAGTGTGAGGAAGGGGCGCATGGATTTCGCCTGATTGATCTCGAGTGCCTTCAGCAGCTTTTGTCAGCTGCAGTTTGTTGCAGTGGCTGTAATGGCGCAGTCACGATCAGCGAATCGCAACGGGGAGGCCTTGCATCATGCCTGGAGCTTTCCTGTGTTAACTGCGGCGACATAGCAAGCGAATTTATGTCCAAGAAGTTCAATCGGGTCTGGGAGGTGAACAGACGAGCAGTATTCGGAATGCGACTGATTGGCCGTGGACGTCAATCAATGGTAAAGCTGGCGGGTGCACTGAATATGCCATCACCTATGAGTCGGTCGACATTTTACAGCCATGCTAAAGGCCTGCATTCCGCGTCCAAGAGCGTCGCTGAGCGTAGCATGACTGAGGCAGCTGAGAAAGCAGTGTCCGCAGCAGATGGGGGTAGCGATATCGCTGCTTCCTATGACGGTACCTGGATGCGCCGAGGATTCGCATCGCTCTTCGGAGCCTTCACTATAATTGCATATGATGTCGGCAAAGTGGTGGACTGCGAAGTGCTTTCAAAGTTTTGCCACAAGTGCACGCACTTGGCGTCTAGAAAAGAGAAGGGAGAGCTAACCAAAGATGACTATGATCGACAGATTGCCGAACACGATTGCTCAGTCAACACCACTGTATCAGCTCCTGCCATGGAGAGTGCAGCCGCCAAGACTCTGTGGGCCAGGTCCTTTGAGAGCCGCAAGCTGAGGTACACCACCTACATTGGTGATGGAGATACCAAGAGTTTTAAGGCTGTGCGTGACGCTTGTCCGTATGGGCCCGAGGTGCCTGTAGTCAAGGAGGAATGTGTCGGCCACGTTCAAAAACGCATCGGTACCAGCCTAAGAAAGCTGAAGAAAAACCTTGCGGGCAAGAAGCTTGCTGATGGGCGCACTATAGGCGGACGTGGTCGCCTCACGGATGCCATGATCGACAAGCTGCAAGCCTACTATGGCATGGCTGTGCGGAACAACAGCGGAGACTTGCAAGCCATGGCCAGGGCCATATGGGCATCCCTCATGCATCGTGCATCCAGCGACAGTAAACCTCAGCACCAGTATTGTCCGCCTGGAATTAACAGCTGGTGTAGATGGCAGCAGCAACAGGCAGGTGGTGATGTCTACGCCCACCACAATATCCTGCCAGAGGCAGTATGGAAGGAACTGAAGCCGGTCTACATTCGGTTGTCCGACCGGAGTTTGCTCGAGCGCTGCCAGAAGGGTGCTACGCAGAATCGCAACGAAGCGTTCAATGGACTCGTGTGGCAGTTGTGTCCAAAGACAGGCTTTGCATCCGCTCCCACTGTCCAGATGTGCGTCTACCTGGCCGTGGCCTGGTTCAATGATGGAGGTGTGGCAGTGAAACGCGTTCTGGACGAGATGGGCCTCCCTACTGGACACCATACGACACGTCTCATCAAGCTGCTAGACCGTGAGAGACAGGCACATGCTGCCAGAAAGAAGTCAGAAGAAGGGAAGAGGTCACGAAAGAAGCGAAGGAGGATCAGGAAAGGCATCCAGGATGAGCAGCAAGAGGAAGAAGGTTTGACATATGAAGCTGGTGGCTTCGACTAAGTTCTAGTAAGTTCTAGTTGGACAGACATACCTCCATCTGTACTTGCACAGAGCACTTTTTTTCTCCATTTTCCACTGAGTCCCGTACCTCTTAGACAGCGTAGCGAAGAACCTGTAAGTCACAGACCCCATAAACCATACATTTTTGGAAACTGTGAGCATTTATCAAGGTGCTAAGTGTCATGGATTTTTATATTTGTCTAGTAGCTTTGAGTAAAGTGCTACTGATCGAGGACCTAAATTTTGCGCGATTGCATGATTTTTGTTTGACAGCTTGAGTACTTTGTTCTGAATATGATTTCAAAATTCCGCTCCACTTAGCACCTAGGTATATGTGAAGGAAATCCTGTGGAGCACTCAGTTTCTACCCAGCTTCTTTCTGCGTTTGCATATTGCGTCTAAGGTATTGGTGGTACGGCATAATCGCAGATTTGACTATTGTGTCTGCGGATTCCCATGTGTGAGCTTGATTTATACTTCATTGGACTTAGTGAAATACACTGGGTATGTGGTCAAGATTTGAGCAAAATTCATCAATTATTATGGAAGTTACGGCTGTGTTCATGCGGTCGGGCCGCGAACCCAGACTGCCACCTTAATGCTCCAGGCATATTTAGGCATGACTGTTATTATAGGAAATAACCTGGTGAATGTTACCCCTTACCATACATGTAAGCCGTGCTGTCATGGTGCCAGGGTCGTTGTAACGTAGCCCCGTTGCAATGAGTACAACTACAAGGGTACAGTATAGCACCATCATTTGCATAATTCCAGCATAATGATTATGTAGCATAATCACTGGCGCCATAATGGAAAGCATGATTCAGCAATTTACCGAGCATAATCCGCCGAGGGTTGTTTGCGCACTGAGTTCACCATACGCATACCATTAGATTGGACGGCAGCATAGTATAGCATCATCAGTGGCATAATTCCAGCATACTGTAGCATAATCACCGGCACCATTTGGGCATACTAGTAATAGAAAGCAATTTACCGAGCATAATCCGCCGAGCGCGAGGGCTAGTGCCATCTACATTTTTTCTTTACAAAAAACCACAAACCATTTTGATGGCACAAAGCAGCAAGGCAGCGATGAGACATGACTGTACATGTAGTACATGTGTAATAATTCTTGCATCTTGGATCATGCATGCAGAGTGTGTTAGGTCGTGCACGTGTGGCGTGGGCACACAGCCATGCTCTCATTCCCTGTCCCAATGCCAGACTGTCACAGTGTCAGACTGAGTCTTCCGCATCAACGAGGACTCGAAAAAGGCGAAGAAGTCGCTTTCACTCACACGCCATCTGGCGGCTAGTAAACCATGTAAACCGAAGTCAAAAATAGATAATACAGTCCGTATCGCCTATAAAGTTGGCGGCTATAGTAATATACCGGGTATAGTGATCAATTTCTCAAATTCATTTTCATTTGCCATAACTAAGTATACACAGTTATCGCGTATAGTAATAATCGTCTATAGTAATTATATCGCCTATAGTGATCAAATTCTTATTTCAAAAGACCTTTATTACATTATTATTGCATCGGTTATAGTGATTGATGTAAAATCAAGTGATGGCAGAGGAGAACAGGGTGTTAATTCTTCGTGAAGAACTTGTCCAGTGAGTGTTGTTTGGTGAGTTTAGCTCGTACAAGTTGCCAAAATATGCCTCCATCATGAGGAAATACTGATTTTTGTGTGTCCGGAGCTACAGCCAGCTATATGACATTGTACATGTATGTAGTGCGTATGTGCACGGCGCGCTGAGTCGTTTGACACCCCACTCGCATACATTGCATGCAGTATCGGTCATAGTAGTGATAAAATGCTCAAAATCAAACACCAACGCTATAGGCGATACTGACTGTACATGTACTAGTAAAATAAAAGGGTCTGAGGCCGGGTAGGAAATCGCAGGAATCTTGGCGTCGAGTCATGCGCTTTCTCGATAGGCGTCATTGCGCGTGTCCGAAAAGAATTACTGCGTACTGGTACGCGGTATGCATCATTGAGAAAGGCATGACTCCATGAGCTGGCATTCTCTGTATAATTGTACATGTACTCAATCTGCGGACAGAACTGTTTCGTCCTTTGACTTTGAGGCTTTGTGGACTGACATGCAGCGAGGCACAGAGAAAATGAGGCCGAGCCTGATACTAATTTACATGTGTGTACATGCCATTGTACTTTAGGCATCCCCTGACACAATGACTATGTGGCGCACCCACGCCACGGAGGATGACTGGCTAAACTATAATTATGCGATGGTAGGGACTGTCGTATTTCCGAGTCTTGTTCCTGGAATGGGAACGAAAGCTTTGTTATTGGTCTACCAGCTTGGGTACGGGCTATGCTAGTACATGTATGACTGTGGTATGAGAGCACTACATCTGTACACACACAGCGGCATAGCTATACATGTAGGCCGTGGGCCGCTCACAGGTGGCGAAGGTGGGAGAGCCATGCACGCACGTCACACTCGACCGGAGAAAGGTGGGAGGTGCCACAACGACAGACAGAAAACTGTACAGCGGTCCTGGGACAGGCAGAAAAATTGGCAGCAGATTTAGTGCTTTTCTGGTATGTTTCATGCACGTTTGGTGTGTGGATGAAGAAATGGAGCAGAATCCAACGGGAAGTGTCTGCCATAAGGTTTTCATTAGACCCACTGGGTGCTAGCCCTTGGCCTTGGTGGACAATGCTTGAAAAATTGGCAGATCCTGCTCGAAAAGCAGTGAACGTGGTGATGTTCTGGCTGTAGCTGGAGAGCACTATACTGTACCGGTATATGTACAGTGTGCGTGGTGCTCTTCTGGTAAGACTTCCACAGCCTACTCAAGCTCAACTGATGAGGGGTGAATTCGGAGTTCCCGAAGCACAATGGTTGTATGATACGATTCGTCGATTGTAATGAGGAGGAAGTGGCGCTTTCTTGCAGGTTTGCCGAGTGGAGGGTTCGATGGACTTCTCGTGTGGTCTGGATGATAGTCGCGAGTCACACAGTACTGGACCACTGGCACTGTCGTCCATAGCCAGTGTAGCCAATGCTGGTCCAGCTCAACAGAAACACGGTGTCACGGCTGGATAAGCACGTATTAAACTAGGAGAAACAGGAGAGCCGGGTGTCCATCCTGTTTCCAGACCTTCCCATGCACAATGTCAATTACATACATGGGGCATGCAAGAGAGAGAGAGAGAGAGAGAGAGAGAGAGAGAGAGAGAGAGAGAGAGAGAGAGAGAGAGAGAGAGAGAGAGAGAGAGAGAGAGAGAGAGAGAGAGAGAGAGAGAGAGAGAGAGAGAGAGAGAGAGAGAGAGAGAGAGAGAGAGAGAGAGAGAGAGAGAGAGAGAGAGAGAGAGAGAGAGAGAGAGAGAGAGAGAGAGAGAGAGAGAGAGAGAGAGAGAGAGAGAGAGAGAGAGAGAGAGAGAGAGAGAGAGAGAGAGAGAGAGAGAGAGAGAGAGAGAGAGAGAGAGAGAGAGAGAGAGAGAGAGAGAGAGAGAGAGAGAGAGAGAGAGAGAGAGAGAGAGAGAGAGAGAGAGAGAGAGAGAGAGAGAGAGAGAGAGAGAGAGAGAGAGAGAGAGAGAGAGAGAGAGAGAGAGAGAGAGAGAGAGAGAGAGAGAGAGAGAGAGAGAGAGAGAGAGAGAGAGAGAGAGAGAGAGCGAGCGAGCGAGCGAGCGAGCGTGTGTGTGTGTGTGTGTGAGAGAGAGAGAGAGAGAGCCTGTTACAGTCAGGAACACTGTTCGCATCGCAACACAGCATGTCCTCCCCCTTGTTGAATGCACCCTAACCCGCTGTTATCCTCAAACAAGTCCATTCTACTAGCACTACTACCACTGTCAGTATGTTACCTATTACGGTGTACGTGAGCAGTATGTAAAACTCGTGAACTCAGCTAGCAGCACAAGATTCATTATTATAATATAACCCATTACTAGTTCAGAACTAGTATTAGATAAACCTTGTTATAGTTCACACATATTGTTAGATTGACAGCATGAAACCAGGTGGAGGACACTGTGTTCGGAAGGTTGTAGTAAGGTCACTGTTTCCGAACACAGTGTCCTCCACCTTGTTTCATGCTGCCAATCTAACAATAAGATTCAACATGATTGTATAAATGTACATACAACAGACTCAGTGAAGATTTTACCATCTGCTCGCTCCGCTGCTTCCGCTGAGTTCCGGTCCCAGACCCTCGTTATCTGTATGATCTAGCTTATCAATGGCGACAATGAGAAAGGGATACCTGGTGGAAATGAATACCGCATCAATAGGTCACCTCATGCTCAACCACCCACGGCTCTGTGCAGTCTGTGGGCCAGGGCCTCGTATCTACACTGCTGGCAACTGAAATCCGACCCCTGACCGGGCGCTCACATCGTAACACTACGAAATAGAGTCCGCTAGAAAGTGAACGCACCGCCCATGGGGTCGGATTTCAGTTGCCTGCACTGTAGCTAGCTAGGCATGCACTAGTAGGCGTCGGACAATCTTATTATCTGATGAAACCGCACATAGAAATACAATTATGTAGCTTGCAGACATGGAAAATGAACACGTCGGCCTACTCAATCGACAGGACGTTCTGATCCACCAGTAGAGTACTAGTAGTAATAGAACCACACTGTACACAAAGAGGGCACCCTCAGTAATTCCGAGAAAGTGCCTTCCCGATTTGGCAGAAGCCCCAAAGATCGCATTCAACTACTTGATGTGCATAATGTATCCTTGATGATGGCCTCCTGCCGGGTGAAACTTCGCATGAAATCGAGTCGTGTGGTGTGGCGGAAGGTTTGTGTGTAGCGGGTTGGAGGTTGCAACAATGTTGGAATAGCATTGCCGTAAGGTTGAATACCATGTAGACCTACATGCACCAGGGAGCTATAGTAGCAGGCGCGTGCGCCGGTGCCTTTCAAGGGGGGTTCAGGGGGCCTCCCCCGGGAAAAATTTCCAAATATTAAGCAAAATCCTGCATTTTGAGCGAAAAAAGGGGGGTTCCGGGCACCCAGGAACCCATACGGGGCACACGCCTGAGTAGTACAGACCGACATGTACCAGGGAGCTATAGTAGTATAGACCTACATGTACCAGGGAGCTATAGTAGTATAGACCTACACCTACAGTTGCACATCAGAGGCTCCGCTCCATGTAACACTGTAGTGGCCCTACATTTTTACTGCATAAATAACCAGTTTTCAAAGCTTTTTTTTTTTTTTTTTTTTTTCGTTCCTACACCATAACACGCATGCTCGGCCAGTCCTTCCTCGGCCTTGTTTTTACTGCATTTTCTGCGTAGTTTGCATTGCATGCCTCTTCGAGTTTTTCCAAAATATCTCCACGATGGACGCTGTTTTGGATTTGCTGCATACCCTGGCGCAGCCAGAGGTACAATCTGCCATCGCGGCATCCGCCCACTCCCGCGGAAAACAAATAGGAGACACCGTTTCGGGGAACGGTATACAAATTTCCTCAAATAATTCCGCACCCACGGGCGGATTAGACACTGGTCGTGGCACCACCGCAGCCTCTGGCGGTCAAGAAATGGAGGAGGCTCGGAACTCTTCCAACAGGGAAGGGAACCAGGATGACTCTCAGGTAGATGGCGGGGAGCCTTTTCGTTTTGTCTCATTGGCCGAACGTCGTTCGGCAAGCCTCGGTTTTTCCACGGACCGCCATTCCAGCAATGGCGGCCGGGCGCGGGGCCATATTAGGGGTGACGTCACTGACGTATCTGGGTCACGTGATTTACGTACAGATAGATCTAGATCATGCTCACGGGACAGATCTCCACCCCACTCACGATCTCCCCCTCGTTATCGTTCTGCTTCATGTGAACGACGTACACGTACTCGCCATAGATCGGCTGGTGCTACACGTACACGTAGATCTAGATCTAGATCTCAATCTGCGGACAGATGTCGGTCAGGGTCACGCTCGGGTGCTACGCACGAGTCCCGCCTGAGTGCCCGGGGACGACATGGCCATGGGTCACCCAGACGGCGCGAGTCGCACCGTTTCACCAGGCACCGAGATAGTTCTGGCACTAGTTCTAGCTCTGGTACGTCAGAATCTGACGATAGTGACTCCGACAGTCCTAGTGGCACATGTCCGTCATCCGACGACTCGGCTGCCCAAGAGCATCGCCGTGGTAGCGGCGCGGGCTTCGATCCTAAGGGGTTAGTGGACGACTCTGTATGGTCTCCCCCCTCGCACATGGCCTCGTACCTACGGGAGCACTGCCGTGGTTCCCTGTCCTTCGCTGAGCGTCGACGGGTGCGGAAACTGTGTCCCCGACCGGACGTGGAGGAAACGCGATGTCCACGCGTGGACCCGTTCTTGGCGGATGTCCAGGGCCTGGCCAACGCCAAGAGAGCGGATAGAATGCTGGCCAACATCCAACAAAAGGTTACGGACGTTTTCCGTCCCCTGGCCGCGCTCTGGGCTGCTATTGAGCAGGGCCGGCCGGTCCACGAACTGACCGAGCTGGTCCAGATGGCGATCGTCATGACGGGCGACGCCTCGAATGTATTGTCGGAGACACGCCGTCAGCGCCTCATGGCAGCGCTGCCAAAGAGATGCCCGAAGAGCCTGCTGCAGGGCTTGCGTCCTTCCGGTGATCTCCTCTTCGGTGATGGATTTTCCCGGGAGTATAAACGGAAGTGCCAGGAAATGGACGTATTCCAGCCACGGCCTTCTGGGCGGCGCCCGGGGACCGCACAGGACCGGTCGCAGCCTGCCCGTCCTGACCGTTTTTCTGGTCGTACCGTGTACCGGTCAGATCCAGGGCGGTTCCGCCCTTACGACAGGGCAGGACGGGGTCATGTCACCCGCCGGCCTGAGGAGCATTTCCGCCAGCCAGCAAAAAACGGCCGGGGCCAGCCCTTTCGCGGGCGCCCTCGAGGTCGTTGACGACCTCCCCCGTGCCTGGCTGCCTCACGGAAGCCCCTACCCCCCAGGTAGCGGGCCGATTGGAGCATTTTGCGGCAGCCTGGCGAGACCTAACGCAGGATGCGTGGGTGTTGAAGACCGTCTCAGGGTACTGCTTAGACCTCCACACCATTCCTTGCCAGCGGTCCGCTCCGACAGAGATGTGGTTCCCTCCCGAAAAATGCGCCATCGTCCACCAGGAGATAGAGGATCTCCTATCCAAGGGTGCAATTCGACCGGTGAGCCCATCTCCCGGCCAGTTCGTGAGCCGGTTATTCACCGTACCCAAGAAGGGTACCACCGCCGAACGTCCAGTCATCGACCTCCGCCACCTGAACGAGCACGTGCGGTACGAGCACTTCCAGATGGAGGGTCTCCACCTTGTTCCCCTATCCGTCCGAGAGGGCAATTGGCTCACAAAGCTAGACCTCAAGGACGCGTACTTCACCGTGCCGATCCATCCCCAGCACCGCCGGCTCCTGCGCTTCAGTTGGGAGGGCCAACTCTACGAGTTTCAGTGCCTACCGTTCGGCCTGTCCAGCGCCCCCCGGGTATTCACGAAGCTGATGAAGGTCCCGATCAGTGTTCTTCGTCGTCAGGGCATTCGTCTCATCCTGTATCTCGACGACCTTCTCCTGATTGCCGAGTCACGGCCGGCCGCCGTGCTGCAGACGCAGCAGGCCATTCAACTCCTAGAATCTCTGGGTTTCGTAATCAATCGGAAGAAGTCCATTCCCGAGCCTACGCAACAGCTCGAGTTCCTAGGATTTCAGTTGAACTCTGTGGCCATGACGATGTCGGTGCCGATCGACAAGGCGCGGAAACTCCAGCAGGAGTGCCACCGAGCCCTGTCCCAGCCCTACCTGTCCATCCGCGCATTGGCCTCACTCCTGGGCAGGATGGTTGCGTGCTCCCCAGGCATGTTTCTGGCTCCACTGCAATTCCGCCACCTTCAGCAGTTGAAGATTGCAGCCCTTCGTCGCCATCAGAGCTACCTTGCCACGGTACGCCTGACGCCGGAAGCCAGGACGGAGCTGACGTGGTGGGCAGCAGATCTAGAAACTTGGAACGGTCGCTCGATTCTCAAACCTCCCGCTCAGCTCACCATATTCTCCGATGCGTCCCTGCTCGGCTGGGGAGCGGTGTGCGGCACAACGAGTACTGGGGGTCAATGGTCCCCTACCGAGGCCAATCTCCACATCAATGCTCTGGAATTGATCGCTGCCTCATTCGCGGTGAAAGCCTTTCATCACCGGGCCTCTTACCGTCCTCTGCACATCAAGTTGTTGATCGACAACACGACAGCCGTCAGCTACATCAACCGCTTAGGCGGCACGCATTCCCGTCTCCTGTCCCAGATCGCTTGCGACCTCTGGAGATGGGCGGTCCAACACGATATCCGCCTCCAGGCGGAATATGTGCCGAGCGAGGAGAACCCAGCGGACCATCCTTCTCGGGGCTCCCTCTCCGAGTCCGGCGACTGGCGCCTGGACCCTGCTCTGTTTCGCAGGATTCAGAGGGCAGCTCCTTGGACCTTGGTGCTAGATCTGTTCGCATCTCGACTGAACACGCAACTTCCCGCCTTCTATGCTTGGAGGCCGGATCCGGAGGCTCTCGCTCTAGATGCGTTCTCTCAGAATTGGAGTCTCCCTCATCAGGACGCGGTGTATGCCTTCCCACCATTCTGCCTACTGGACAGGGTGCTTCATCGTGTGGCCTCACTCCATACTTGCCGGATGATACTGGTCGCACCAGTATGGGATACGCAGCCATGGTACGCGACTTTGCTGCAGCTGTTGGTCGATTTCCCCATGCTTCTGCCCACATTCGACTGCCTGCTACTCTCACCCTCGGGCCATCCACACCCACTGGTACTATCCCGCCACCTGCGCCTCGCCGCATGGCCTATCTCCAGCAGCGCTTCAATGCAGCAGGACTTTCTCCACAGGTCGTGCGACTCCTCTCCTCCTCTTGGCGGTCATCAACCAATGCCGCTTACGCATCGGCATGGGAGCAGTGGCTGGGCTGGTGCAGTCAACGGTCAGTGGATCCCGTTCGCCCATCTTTAGCTATGGTGCTCCAGTTCCTGGCCGATTCCTTTGAGGACGGCCGCAGCTACAGTACCCTGAATGTCTATCGGTCAGCGATGTCTGCTACCCTGCCTGAGCTGGATGGTGCACCCATTGGCCAGCACCCGTTGGTGGTGCGTTTGCTCCGTGGTATCTGCCTAGAGCGTCCGCCGCAGCCGCGGTACTCACATACTTGGGATGTGGGTATTGTCACTTCTTGGCTCTCTAAACTGCCTGCCAACACGGACCTGTCTCTCCCTGTCTTGTCTGGCAAGTTGGCCATTCTGATGGCCTTGACTGCTGCTCGGCGCTCTTCGGACCTCCACCGGCTAAGCCTCAACTCTCATCGTTTCTCTGCCGAGGGCGTGGTATTTGACTATCTCACACCCCCTAAGCAGCATCGCCCTGGTTCGGAACCAGCCCGACCTGTCACCTTTGCTGCCTTTCCTGTGACTCCTGCACTCTGTGTTGTGGAGTGCTTCAGGGAGTACTTGCGTCGGACCGCCGACCTGCGACAGGCATCTTCTGCACATCTGTTCCTCAGCACGAAGCGTCCGCACCACCCTGTCACCTCTGCAACGATTGCTCGTTGGATCAAGCAGGTTATGTCCAAGGCTGGTGTGGATACATCATTGTTTGGTGCCCATTCCACTCGTGCCGCTTCTACGTCTGCTGCGAAGCGTAAAGGTATGTCGACAGTGGACATCATGAAATGTGCTGACTGGAGTTGCGCATCTGTGTTCCAGCGCTTCTATTTCAAGCCATGGGAGGGTGAGACCAGCGGCTCTTCCCCATCGGCACATCAGCAGTTCTGCCGCTCTGTGCTTGCGCCGTAGCGCTACCAATGTTGGCCTGGCCAGGTTCTGAGTCTGTGACTTTGTGTCTACCTCAGTAATCCGATTGCTGTCTGTGCCTGGCTTTCTCAATGCCGTTCTATCTGTGCATGTGTATAGTACACGGCTTTCCTCATTTATTCTTCCTTTTGCCATTACGCCTGTGTCCTTGTTCTGGACAGGCCTTTTGTCACTTTCTGCGGCAAGTTTCCGTGGCACCGGTTTACCCTGTTCCTTACTGATTTGGTGGTGTGCATGGTGTGCTGCATGCCCGGTTGGGGGTTTTCATGGCCTGCGTTGGTCCCTCTCTCCGGTCTTGTGGTGTTCGCTTCACCTCTGATTTGAGCGTTGAAATCTACAGTGTTACATGGAGCGGAGCCTCTGATGTGCAATTGACGATTATACAAGGAACTCTGTTCTGATGTATAATCATAATTGCATGAAGAGGTGAAGCGAAATGTAACACTGTAGTCCCTCCCGCCCATCCCATTTACTTATGCACCGGGGAGTGCCCATGGGCTTTATCTTGGCCATTGACGCGTTCAAACAAGGCCGAGGAAGGACTGGCCGAGCATGCGTGTTATGGTGTAGGAACGAAAAAAAAAAAAAAAAAAAAAAAGCTTTGAAAACTGGTTATTTATGCAGTAAAAATGTAGGGCCACTACAGTGTTACATTTCGCTTCACCTCTTCATGCAATTATGATTATACATCAGAACAGAGTTCCTTGTATAATCGTCAATTGTAGGGCAGGCTAGGGAAAAGGCTATAGCTCCCTGGCATGTATAGCCTACGGGTGCTACAGTAACTGTTAATGTTATGCTCAACGAAATCCAGTCGCGTCCTCATGTAGTAATATTAGTACTCACATGTTACCAAGAGTCCATAACCATACCTACATGTACAGTCAAAAATGTCCCACTTCACAAGCAATGGAAAGTTGTGTTGTGAAGGGGATAGGAGTTGAAGATGGCTTGACAGCCAGAAATCGTTTAAACATGTCATGTTGCTAACTAACAAAGATTCAGAAAATCCGATAACTTTTTTTACACAGTATAGTAGTAACAAGAGTCCACACTCTTGGTAGTAATAGTAGCTTAGGTCCTATCCGCACACAAATTGCTCAATGCCCAAAAGGGCTACATGTATTTTCATGGCGCTGAAATATCTCGTCTTGCAGTAAAACAGTGTGCATCTGCCTTGCTATTATCGTACTACACTGACAGACATACAGACACAGTCGCATCTAGAGGTACATACACACGCACATCGTAGCACTGGGTTTAGTAAGCTCACACTGGTATACATAATTATACAGTAGTTCTACAGGGAAAGTGATACTGTTGCGGTGCTAATCCAAAAAATCGTGGGTTGCATCGTGGCCTGGGGGTATTGGGGGTAGTGCCTGGGGGTATTGCTTGGAAATAGAGATAATTGTTTTCAAATAAGAGATCATGTGTTTCATAACGTGCAGTGCTAACCAGATATGGACTGCATGCAGAACAGACAGAGTATTGATATGGACTGCATGCAGAACAGACAGAGTATTGATATGGACTGCATGCAGAACAGAGAGAGTATTGATTATTTACCAGTATACAACACACTGGGCATACTCGTCCCCGTCGTGTCTTATAATGTCATGATGGGTTGGTGACGTTCAGTCTAATGGTTATGTTAGATCATGAGTCATCAGGATACTACTTGGTGCACAGAGCTTGCCAGAGACAAGCTGGACAAGGATACGGCGTGTGCAACGTATCCCTGCCTACAGCACAGTTCTAAAAGAAAAGAAGGAAAGAGATACTACTAGTGTTCACCAGTGACAATAATGTTAGCAGCCATGACTTCACATGTGGTCTAATAGTGCAGACATGCAAATAGTGACTACATCTCACACATGTACGGAGTAGCAATGTGAAGGAGTTCACTGCAACATGCCATGGTGTAGACGCCTCAGTTTCAAAGTGATACGTGAAAAGATACCATTCACAGTGTCATACACGCACATTCTGAGTTTCCATTGACTGGTGCTTGATTACGTTAGTGGAGGATCATATCCACGCGGTTGTGTGGCTATCACTGGAAGAGCGGGTACATCCTTAGATAGCTGCTCTTGACTGAAGTCATGCATAACATCAACTATCCTGAGAGATCAACAGATCAGATCGACCTTCTGTCCCAGCCACTTTCAAGTTCTGCGCAAACAGACAGCATGGACAGGTGGACAGGTGCATGCTTCAAAAGCAGTCCTACAGGCATTCCAAGTGATGGTAAACAGGGATTAATGACACTCACCATTTTCTATGCTAGACGAACTGTAAAAAAAGTCTGCAATAGTCCAAAGAAATAAAATATTTAATTTGATGGAGGAGCCCAGTTACATATCTGGTCGTAACTTTGGTGTCCTTTGGCCGATTTTGGCGATCTTGGGCTTTCTGGAAAGCTCTTGGCCAGAGACAGCGATAAGCAGCACTCCACCAGTGGATCCACAGGATCAGCGCCGCAGCGTGATTTGGAGCTTCAAAGCCAGCACTGTGAACGCCCAACTCAAATTCTCTGCCCTTTCAACAAATTGTATCGCAGATCGCTCCAATTGTTTTACATGAGAGCTGAAAAACATGCCTTTGCGATGACGTGAACTATCTGTGGCTGCGTGGGCCGCAAGCCAGGCAAAATCCCGAAAAACGAGTTCAAATTGCACGCGCCCGAGTTGACTTCGCTGAGCGAAATTAGGCCGAGCCTCAAAACTCTGCTCCCTGAACGCCTTCGGGTTTTTCGAGCCGATACTGAGATCAATTCTAATGTCGATAGACCTTTCAATTGTCCGATTTGGCCAAGGGACAGCCGAGTTACGCCAAATTGCGCTTTGAAAAGTATGCACTGTGCACTGGTATGGATATATCCGTACTATGGGCTGAAAGGGCTACTTGAGCTCATCCAAATAACCATACAGCCACATATCTTACCTTCTCGTTGGCAAGATGCAGTAAGCAGACGAAAGCAATAGGCACAGACAGGTTCTTTGTCATGTTGGCAGAAATCTTATGCGGTAGTGTTCCGTACAGGCTGGAAAAGGATTGAGTACCAGCACATTCATCTTTGCTCTCCGTGTCTTTGCTGGGCTCAGGAGCTGGTGTGTTCTCCTACAGCAACAACAAGAGATGGAAAATGATTGGCAGCAAAATGTCAAATACAATGGTAATGTATTCTCCAAAGTATAAGCCGCGCTTTAAATACCAGTAATTCACCCCGATAAACAGGTCTGTATTTCGTGACAAAAAAATCAGGGCGTATAATCCAGCGCGGCTTTTACTCTAGAAAATGCGGTATGCATTGGGAAGGTGTGTGTGTGTGTGTGTGTGTGTGTGTGTGTGTGCGTGCGTGTGTGTGCATGTGTGTGTGTGTGTGTGTGTGTGTGTGTGTGTGTGCGCGCGTGAGCACGCGCATGTGTGTGTGTGCTAGATAGCATGTGTGCAGTGTGCATATGTGTTACACATCTGTGTGAGCCTTGAGAATCAACATCTGTCGGCTGTTGCAGCTTGGCCGGGTTCGCTGAACTGGCAATGAACAGCAAAAGCATGTACAAGGCACTGGAGTCCTGGCTTGAGTGCCCACTCTTCTAACTACTTTGTAACAAAGATTGTCAACTGCCCAGTACATCATGTCACCCATAAGGGCCCGGTCCCACATGCAGTGGCGGATCCGCTGGTGCGACAAGGTTTTGCGGGAGTGGTGTCGCACCTCTCCTGCGACAAAATGCTCGCGTGGTCTCACATGCTCACGCGTGCACGCGTGGCGAACGAAGCGAGCGCGCCTCTCTGACTTCCAAAAAATTCAGTGCAGCTCTCCTGCAACTCAAGCATGCTTTCACTTCGAAGTACGCGTGTCTGTGGACAGAACTGTTTCGTCCTTTGTGGACACATCAACGCAGCACTGATGTACTGTTGATGTAGATACTAGGTGTTGGACAGATCGTTGTTTTTGTTGAGTATCAAGCATTAGCTACATGTCGTGGGTTCGGTATTGTTGACTTTGAGTCTTTGTTCTGTATACTATACTAGTAATCTGAAAGAATGGATTTTCCGTTGGGTAGAGGTCGATTGGCGAGACGTTGTCGACAGGCAATGGAGACCGCAGCGACATTTTGTTGCTGAGTACTAGCACGAACTTGTTGAGCAGCACGTCGACGATAACCAATGGCAATGATAACTGCTACAGATACTGGTAATAGTGGTACATGTATCGCTCTTGCTAGACCTACATCACAGTGGTCCGACTGCGTGGTTTTACATGATGGCCATGCTTGGCTGCTCACAGGTCCGGGATTTGGTCTTTGGCCGACGCCGCAGCCGTCGGTTTCAGCTTCTCGGCTATCCACCTATCGCTCCGTATCTCTCTTCATCCCTTGGCCAAACGAGTCTTGACTTCAACATACATGTACAACTGCAGCCGTAGCTGCTCTGACTAAAGTCAAACTGACCACTTCATGATCGAAAATAAAATCGAACAACACAAATCGCTCACTATGTCAGAGTGTCGCAGGAGCGGAACTTCCGCAGGAGAGTATACGCTCCAAAAATTTTGGAGTAGCGGATTTGAACTTTCCGCCACGGCGGAAGTTCCGCTACTCGCAGTTTCCATGGTGATACACGCTGTTGCGACACCGCTGCAGCGGATCCGCAACTCTCAAGTGCATGTGGGACCGGGCCCTTACTAAATAAAATTAAAATACTCAATCAAGCCAGTCACTCAACGGCTTTTAACTGCAGTGACATCATCTAGTGACATCAGCTAGCACAAACTAGCACAGTGTGATCAGTAGAGATAGGAAGCCGATGACAATGTCTCATTAATTAGGACCTCTCAGTGCCGTGCAGTATTAGCTCACAGAGCATTGAGGGAAGACATCACCCTCAACAACATTCAGCCGAATGTAATGGATCTATAACATGGCGCCTTCTAATTCGAAAAGGGTGAAACACAAAACAGGGAAGGGCAGTGTGGGCAAAACAGCTGCCAAACATTACATTAGTCATTACTGTGCGTGTGTGTGTTGGGGGGGGGGGGGGGGTATTTGAAACTACAAAAATATTAATAACGTGACATCATCAGAGCACCACCACACCACCACTGACAACGACAACACAAAACAGCAGCAGTAGCAGCAACAGCATGTCAACAGTATGAAATGAAGCTTACCTTCTCTCCGGGTTGAGTCAGCACGGACCAAATTCCGGACTTCAGCTTCTTCACATCCATTTTCTTTGCAGCCTTAGCATAGTCGATTTGAATACGCTGGACCTGGACAGAAAACAATTGAATGCAAAGTTCATCGCCACGGGGGGGGGGGGGGGAAAGAAGGTCAACTTAGGTCATACAATTGTAATGACCTGGGGGGTCATTTCGTTGCCATCCTGAGGAATGCATGCAAGGAAAGTAAGTAATTAGTTAGTTGTCAAATGGTTTCACCAATGGCGTGGCAAGTATTAGTTGTGTATCTTGAATTCTTGATGAGAGGTGGCACAGGGTAGTGAAGGGGATGCTTGGAGAGCATGCCAGAGTATGTCATACCCCACCACCGGTATTTCTATCTCATGCCTGTACAGCATCATACTATAATAGTTACTAGATGCAAGGCATAGGCAGCAACTGTGCAGTACACAGTTTTCAAGCACCTTGACACTAACAACATCCATCAGTAAGTGTTAGGTGTTGTCTGCAGCAGTAAGCTAGCTGATATACTGGTAATCACCAGACAGGACTGGAATCCAATCTGCCATGCATGTACATGTACAGTACATTCTTCATCAAGGACATGGAGTTGAGCCTCCAGACTGTCATTTACAAGTCACAAGTAGTAGAGTACTAGTATGTGTGTTACTTGGTCATGCAATGACTGTGTAAACCCACTCAAATCCTTCCTCTGTGGGCTCCACTATTGGCACTAATCTAATAGTAATACTATTCATTCATAAAGGCAGCGGAGAACAGAGAAAACCGGCTAGGTCATTGTTGTAACACTGCGTTTCATGCACGTAGCAAAGCTAAGGCAATCCTCAGACAGCCTTTAATAGCTTGCTTTAGCTTTGCTATGTGCATGAAATGCAGTGTTACAACAATGACCTAGCTTGTTGTCTCTGTTCTCTGCTGCCTTTGTGGTAATGCTGCATCCTTGTGGTGTTGAGCACTCTCTAGTCTAAGCAATCTGGGGATTCTCCCTATTGAGTATTGTAATGCTATTCATTCAGTTGTCAGTATCACTGTACAGCTGGCCCAATACATGGTACATGTTAACATTACACTTGGATACAAAGCGGCATTCTCCAGTCCACTGTACCGGTACAAGCAAAATACTTGTACTGGCAGATGCTAAAGCTGGGCAGTGCAAAGTCACCTGTACTTCTAAGTTCTGTAGCATTGGTACTGGCAGGCTGCCCAGCAGCAGCAATGTAGTGAAAAGTGTACATCTGATAGCCAGGATGCAGTCTTAGCCTTCACAAAACATAATAAAAATGTTATTATTACTTCCTGTACAATGGCATTTTTCCACAGTATTGAAGGTGGTAAATCCCCCGCCGGCGCCGGTAATCAATGTTGCCCTTGGTCAGTGACCCGAAATTGCAGAGGCTCTCAGAGTGTTTTACTGCTTCCTGAACCGGGCTAGGCACAAAGAACGAACCCCTGCATGCTGTGCATACTGGACGGTAACACAATGACGTAATGATGTTCAGACAGGCGGTCATAACAAGGTGACACCAACTGATGGAGAGTGCACAGCATGGCTGTACTCTACAGTGTAACTGTTAGTCTTGGTGACATGCACCCTCACTGGCATTACACCACACAGTCTTGGTGACATGCACCCTCACTGGCATTACACCACACAGTCTTGGTGACATGCACCCTCACTGACATTAGTATTACACCACACAGTCTTGGTGACATGGACCCTCACTGGCATTAGTATTACACCACACACTGTGACACTGTGCCACTGTGCCCTGCATGCTGTACTGTAGAAGAAAAGCTAGCCATGGACCCAGCAAGGGGTAAGGAGGATCAGACAAGAGCCCTCACTTGAACTTCTTTAGCAGCATGTCAAGTGGATGGGCATTGGACATAATTTCCCCAGGCAGAGGCAGCAGCAGAGAGCAAGACTGCACTCCAAGACTGCTAGTGCTAGTGCTACCGATGCAAGTACTAGACTGCACTCCCAGACTACTAGTGCTACCGGTGCAAGTACTTGAAAGTAACACCACTACTAATAGTACACTATCATTCATATCAAGACTGGAATTGAAGTAGTTGGGAAGAAAAGTACCTGCAGGCTCCCAGACCCCGATGCCCCGAACTATACTGGGAAGGATTGTGCCCCTAGTCATGAACCTGTGCAGACTGTAGTGGCAGCTAGTGAGTAGTGTAGTGGCTTGCAGCCAAACCCAGGAACACTGACAGAAATCCATACTAGACTAGAGCTCATCAGGCAGGCACAGGTAAGCTAGCTCCAGGCTGGTGGCACCAGGTACTAGTTTTTGCACTGTTGACAGTGGAAAGTGGAAATTGACTCTAACTAAACATGTTAGCTGGTACATGTACATGGTGTGATGTGACATGCCATCCATCAGCAAGGGAACACCTACATCCTATTCCCCAGAAATACTCCCTGGGAAATTCACTATAATCACATCCCCTTTTGAAGTTCCTCCCAGCACAAGAAGAGGGGAGCATGGACTCAGACTAGAAATAGTAGGCATGCCATGCTAATTACGATTCTGTGTTCTGGCGCCCCTCTTGAGTTATTCAATGCAATGTATTGATAAGTATTATGGCGTGCTACATGAGCACAGGACAGGAAGTGAAGAGAACAGGAATGAGGACTAGCTAGACTGCCTCTACCAACTTTCCCATGTCCTGACAGTCCAGTATAATAATTATTATGCACTGATTACGCATGGATTTGTCCAGACACGCCACATTATCATTGACTGACTCCATACAACATTTACGCATATCTACTAGTATAGAATTTGGTGATATGAAGTGTGTGTGTGTGTGTGTGTGTGTGTGTGTGTGTGTGTGTGTGTGTGTGTGTGTGTGTGTGTGTGTGTGTGTGTGTGTGTGTGTGTGTGTGTGTGTGTGTGTGCAAGGTAGGTACGGAGCCACTACGCATGAGGAGGAAATGTGTAGACTAAGTTGCAATGTGCATCATGGAGCAGTTTTACAGCATTAGGCTGCTTTGACACCTGCCCTCTATCTAAGCATCGCAAGCCAAAGATCCAGGGATGGAGAGAAAAGTATTGCTGCTACATGCATGACCGTAGTCCGAGTACAGTACCTTTCTGGGCTGAGCAACCAGGTTATCACCGAGTAGCATGCTGGGATCAGCTCCTCTGGCTTGCTCCAGGAAGCTCTGCATCTGCATGTCTGCCAAGCTGGCAAAGTTGTCCATGGTCATGCTGCCCATGCTGCCAGCCGCTGCTGCCTGCTGAGCAGCGTCATCATAGTCATCATCATCGTCACCACCACCGCCAGCACCACCAAAATCACAACCCCCTGCTGCGTCTTCTTCTCCCGCATGCTGACCAGGACCAGAGTTCTGCAGAAATGTAGCCCCCACAGCAGCAGCACCACACCACCACCAGCAGCAGCAGCAGCAGCAGCAACAGCAAAATAACATAGAAATTAAAACATGTGCTGCAAAATTCACCAAGCTTTAACACTTTCCATGCCGGGCCCCTTTTCTCCAATCGGCTGGATGTCCAGTGCACTGACTCTCTTGCTGTAGTTTGCGCGCACAGCTCTGAATGGAATTTATTCTCATTTCACTCCACCATGATGGATTTTCATCATCCTGGGCTCGTTGGAAAGACCAGGACCAAGCGAATCCATCATGGTAGATCTCAGCAACATAGACACACCAGGGCCACTTCCACCTCCTCTCCGAACTACTCCACCGTGCCTCGGAACGGCACAACAACTCAATCTCACGTTCTTGTTCGGCATCTTGCCCAAATTCACCCGATTTTCACGATTCGAACTGCGCTGCAAAGCTGAGATCCAAGCGCTTCATTTGATGTCCATCACGCATGCGTCGTGCCAAAGGGAAATCCCCTAGCACGCTCCAAAAAACTGCGAAGTCATGAACAAAAAAATTCGTGTTCACTCCGGCCCGTGATTTTGGTGTTCATCCTGTTGCCGCTCAGTGATTCTTTATCCCATCGCGACGAACGTTATATCCGCGGAAAGATGAGCTCAAGACCTTTCCAACGGTGTATTGACTGTCGCGATGCGTTTATGTTTCACAGAGTTACGATAGTTTGTACACTTGTCTATGCACTGCAATATAACGTGCGCACTACGAGGACGAGATATCTCGTCCTTGGCCAATCGCGTGGGGGTCTGTAGGACGAGTTATCTCGTCCTTGGCACTGAAAGGGTTAAGCAAACCGTGCTTCTCTGAATATGTGTCTCGCATCCCTCTTTCCTTGACAAAGCCACCGTCTCGAGTTTTCACAATTCCACTCCTCTCAGTTAAATGTTTCTAGTACATAGCTTGTATGCCGCACAGAGATGAAAGGAACGTCTTTGGATTATTTGTGGGACACAGTACCTGATGCGTTCTATAGATACATGATCATAAGTTCATAACTCTCAGGGTGCAATGAGAGGAACCAAACATCGCACTCTAAAACACTTCACAAGGTAAACAACACCGGTATAGTCCTTATGCACATTGTACAGATGTACGAAGTTCTGTACTAGGGCCGTAGGTGTGTACATACCCGGTTGGGTGTTCATTGTGTGCTATACAGTGAGTATCGTTTATAAAGTGACCGGGTGTAACGATATACCGGCTATAATGATCGAACTCGCCAAAATCAAAATCAAATCACAAAAATACAGCTAAAATGTCACTATACACACTATTATCGGCTATACCGATATATCGCTTATTGTGATGGGCTTCAGGAAGCAAACCATATCAAATGCACAGGAAAATATCGTATATACTGATCAAGAGTGATGATCACAAAACAATTGTTCTTCAAATTTAGTTTATTTCTTCCAAAACTGATCCAGTGTTGCCTGGATGCATCTGGCAGCAGACGTGATTGAGAGAAAATTCTTCCCTGTATGCTGTAAGCAGCCACATGTACACGTGGCTGCTTTTCATGCTTTTTCCAGCATGTACGCATCATTTCATGCACAGTCATGTGCCATGTGTCAGTCATACATGCAAATCGGATATAGTGATGCACCGGATATAGTGATAAATTATCGAAAATCAAAGGGGCACGTTATATCCACTATTTACTGTACATGCGTGTTTGACCCATTTAGCCTCATAATTCGCGGCGAACAATCACTTTTCCAGCTTCTTCACTTCGGGATTGAACTAACGACTCGCTAGATCACTGTCGAAAAAGTGTTCGTATGAAATGCCTTCAGGGCCCGTTTCGCTGTGGAAATAGCAATAAACACAATAGGGTCCTGCACATTCAACACCCAACCGGGTCTACGGGATTTCGTGCATCTGTACAACGTGCATAAGGCCTATTGTGTTGTATTGTCGCATTTGTCGGGCGCTGAAAAACAAACAGGCTGGGATCTCACCAAGCACGTCATGCCGCTATATACAAGGTGAAGCAATTGCGCCTAGACAGCAGTACACGAGCAGTAAGAACGGCCTAGGCTACAGTACTGATCCACCCCATTCTGAGGCACCCAACAATACAGCATTGCTGATCCTACTTACAGCAGCCACAGCTCCAGGAGGCAAGCAATACTCTTCGCAGTCACGCTGATTCTGATAATTATACCACGGCATATCGCCTAAAACAGCAGCACACACAGATCAATAGGATGTTAACAGGGTTGCATATCACCTACACGAGCAGCACAGATTGATAGTATATCAACACGATTACAACGAGAACATGGCATGACAACACTACACTGCACACCGGTGATAGAAAACTACTACCATGTATCAATACATATGGCAGACATCTTCAGCACAACGTATAGAGGTGGCACTACAGCATGCGCCCTGTGTACATGTACGCTGCCGTAACTGGATGTTGCACTCCAATCAACTGGTTTTACCTTTCAACTGTTTTCACTCCCCTCTCTGATCATTTTTCGCATGTAGGGAATCACAATCGGTGTGGCACTATCTTTACGTCCGCTCTGGGCGGCCACTTGACCAAGCACACCGTTGTTTGCATGTGCCCGCTGGAGCGCCTCTTCTCTGCTGTAACCGTTGAATGTGTTTGGCATGAGTCCCGCATGCTACGTAGCACGAGTCTAGAACTTGGCAGGACCACTCGCAGAAACACTCTCTATATTTGCAGGCTCAGAGATTTTCTGTCGGACTTGCAGTCTGGTACTTTAGAGTTTTCACTTGAGTTTGTATTCGAGTTGGGTGTTGAGTTAGAAGATGTACTGAGGATCAGTGAGTTGTCTTCAACTGTGTCTGCACGGGGTGCACCAAGTTGCCGAATCACAACATATGGAATGTGTCTATGCCATACACCAGTGATGATCAACATTATTGCCGACTACACACAATTCCTGAGAAAATACTACAAAGAGGCACTATTTGCATACAGTATTCCGAAGCATCAACCACTCGCATTGCCCCACACGGCAGCAGAACAACCCTGGATCTCGCCTTAGCTGTGGATTGAGTGATAACCTCCTGCACGGTTCTCCCTTGTACTATCAGCGACCACTTTGCGGTCGTAATTGACCTACCTTTCAAGTGCACTGTGGAACCTCCTGCTGTCAAGTGTGGTCATAACCTAGCAAGGATCGATATGAACCGATTCGCTCATGACTTGCATCATTGTGACCTGGAGAATTTTTCAACCGCTCAGACTGTGGATGCCATGTGGTATTCTTGGACTGACAAGATTGTTTCCGTTTTAGACAAGCACGCTCCTGTCCGAACGTATCGGCCTAAATCTTCCTCCCGCACACCCTGTCCTTGGAAATTACCTGCCCTCCACGACGCTATTCTACTTCGCAACGCAGCACATTGTCGCTGGCGAGCCTCGCCGACTGACATGGATCTGCGAACTGTATTCACGTCAGCACGAGCCGAGGCTAAGCGAATGTCCCGACGCCTCAGGGCCAAGTACTACAAGAATCTTCTCATACGGAGTCAGGCAAATGCACGCTCACTTGGAAGACAATAAACGAGCTCAGCGGCCGGACCAAAACTTCCACTCCACCCTCTGTCAGTATAGCAGCACTCAGCGAGCAATTCAGTGGAGTAGTCTCCGATCCAAGTAGACCTGTGCAGCTATCCCTACCTTGTGGTCCGTCACCACGGGATCCTTTGCGGGAATTCCAGGCCACTAGTGTTGAGGAGGTATTCACCTTCCTCGTGAGAATCGATGCTCGTAAAGCTGAGGGCAGCGACAGCATTCCGGCATTCATCCTGAAGCATTGTGCAGCAGCCCTCGCCCCGTTGCTATCCATATTAATTAATGCATCCCTTTCGTCTGGCATTGTGCCCGTCTCCCTGAAGATTGCAAATGTTCGACCTCTATTTAAGTCTGGTGACAAGAACGCATCTCGCAATTACCGTCCCATATCTTTGCTGCCAATAGCATCGAAGATCTTGGAGAAGATAGTCCACAAACGCCTGTGTGACTTCTTACAAACCCATTCACTTTTGCCCGCCAATCAGTTTGCGTACCGGCCACAACACTCCACGGAAGATGCCTTGACCTTGGCCATGGACCGCTATCTGTCGTCAGCAGACCACCAGCTACATACTGGCGCAGTACTAGTGGGCATGAGCAAGGCATTCGATAAAGTACGGCACTAGCTCATGATCCAAGATTTGTTTGCTTTGGGTGTATCTTCGACTGCATTGCGTTGGTTTGCGAGCTACTTCACGGACCGTCGACAGGGAGTAGTTCTGGCGAGTGGGCAGTGCTCGGGCCAAACTGCATGCGAGTGTGGAGTCCCTCAGGGTAGTGTGCTGGGTCCTTTGCTGTTTTCACTATATACCATGGACGTCCATAGCGTCACCAGCCCTGCACACTCCCAACTGTTTGCGGATGACATCCTTCTCGACACCGCAAGCAGATCCGTAGCAACCCTAAATCAAGTCTTATCAGTTGCTGTGTCAAACTTGGCTGACTACCTACACGGGAAAGGCCTGGTTTTAAACCCCGACAAGACGCAGGTCTGAGCCATTGAGGCATCACGCCGTAGTACCCTGGAACTCAATGTTAACTGCAACGGGGCGCCTCTCACCCAGACCACCACTGCTCGCTTTCTGGGCCTACAGATCGATTCCTGTCTTCGGCGGGACGCGCAGGTCTCCAGCATAGTACCTAAAACTTCCCAGAAGCTAACCACCCTGAGAACCATCCGCCCGTCGCTATCTGAATGCCAGTCGCTCCTCTTCTATTCTGCCCTTACACTTCCTGACATGCTTTATGGATCAAACGCGTTCTTCTCTGCACTCATGGCTCAGCAGCGGCACCAGCTCACTGTCCTCGACAAGCGATGTGTTCGCTGCGTAGCCAATCTGCCTTCTCGTCCCATACCACTCCTATATACACTCGCCTTCCCCTGACCCCTGTAATTGAACGTGCCAAATGCAAACTCCGTTTCCTTATGCACCGTGTCCACACCAGCAGCATCAGCACTCTTCTGAAAGATAGAGTAGCCCTCCAACCTCCCAGTAACACCCGTGGCAATGACAATTGCAAATACGTTGTTCCGCTAACTCGGTGAACATCTGGCGACAGCCGACCATTGGTTTCCGCCGTGAAGCTTTGGAACATCCTACCACAGGAACTCACGTCCACTCGTCGTCCAACCCCGTTAAAAGATTGCTGAAAGTGTTTTTCTACGGTTAATATGGCTGAATAGTACCTCCCTCTGGCATAGGTCCTCATCTTCCTATTTCTCTCTGATTGTCAATTCGTTCGAACTTGACTTGTAATTACCGGTCCATATACTTCCTATTGACTGTTTTCTCATTTTCTCAAGTGCAGCTTTATCGAGCCACACTTTTTATTCTATCGCCATCATAATATTGGGCATCAATGCCCGTTTGGTTTGCGATGTAAAATAAAACTTCAAATAAAAAAACAAAAAAACTCACACTATAGTGTACATGTACATATAGTTACCCGAAAAGTCGGACAAATCATACAGGGTCGGTTACTGCCACCTTCAATCATGCGAAGCTACTAATACCCGTATTATCTCTAATATAAGCATGGTCCTTTATTTTTTCAATGTACCTCCGCCCCGTGCTATTAATGGAGACGTTCCTTTATTGGAGACTGTTCCATTATTATTTCAACCTCATTTCAGCGGCATGTTGCCATGCCAAATTCATGTCAGACACACACACATTTCAGGGTTTTTTCGCCGGTACAGACAATGATTTTACACAGTGTGCTTTTAATGGAGACTGAGCACATTATTTTTTGAATGCCGCCCCAAGGTGTTCTATTATTGGAGACGTGCTATTATTGGAGACTGTACTTATATTAGAGATAATACGGTAATCAAAAATTGCACAGTGGTGTATACCTGTAGGTTCTGGGCGACCAACCCAGCGTGATTTGCAGGACATTTTCAGGTGGGGATTGCAGACAGTAGAGAGGTTAAGTTACAAGTTTTTTTTGCCTTTTTACAAAATTAATATCAAATCTTCCAACAAACTTGATAAAACTATGGAAACTCACACAAATTCGATCGGGATGACCAAGCGAAACTTCCAAAACTCACGTCACAAAACTAGTAAACTCACGTAAAATACGTCAAATTTTACGCGAGTTTTTGAATTGTTGACGTAAAAGTTCTCGGACGTAAGAATTTTACGTGAAACTTTAAAACCTCTCTAGTAACCAGACACACCCACCAACACCCATACATACCCAACCACCCATGCGCACATGTCCCCCCCCCCCCCATACACACAAACGCACATGCACACACCCACACCCACACAAGAAGGGATTGCACCACCGGTACATACCTCCATGATCTTTATCATCGTCTGGCACTTCCATACGAACCAGCTGAACATACAGTTGCCACACATACACACACACACATACAAATACAAAGAAGGCCACCATTAGCTAGGGGTGAAACAAGTACATCATAAAGCTTTCAAGCAGGCCTTTCCAGTTTCTGCTATGGAGTGAGCTATCCAGTACTCAAAAGGGAAAGCTAGCAGACCACACTATTTTCTTACGTTAAAACAGTTTAAAACACATACTCATTGTCGACAATACTTCCTATCGTTATAATTTTCAGCTTATGTCACAATGTGTACCATCCAGCGTAGACAGAATGTGGCCAATAAAAAGTTAGTTGTATCGTAGCCTTTTCTGTTCTGCTGTGGGGTTTTTTCAAACTGTGCACACGGTACAGTGTAGTTTAGAGCTGCAGGCGTGTGCATGTGCATATCACTAACAGAGTGGCAGTACCCTGCTTCCTTTTCTTTCAGCGTGTGCTCAATACCTAGCAAGGCTCAGTGAAGCATATGGACAAGTCCGCAAGCCTATATGGGTGCCGAGCTGAATAGGTTTGTTTTTACTCTCCCTCGCCATAGGGCTTGAAAGTGCTACGTCACAGCATAGCAACAATTTCAAAAATTCAAAAACTGGATCCACTTGGATCCAGTTTTTGTATGGATCCAAGCACATTTCAAGCGGTCTTACCCACAGCATTGTCAGTGAAACTGACTGATTTGGCTACTGGGGGCGGGGTTACAACTGGTGGCGAGATAAAAGTCACACCTGTATGCGACATGAGTGGGTTGCTATGCACCCACATACTTAGGCAATAGCAAAGTCACACCTTAGTGGATCCAAAAATAGAAATCTGATGTCAACTTACTACTCCCTGGCCGTTTTGACGTCATCACTTTCAAGCCCTATTGGGTTGATCTGCACAGTGATCCGTGTCTGTACTGTGATCCGTGTCTGCACAGTGATCCGTGTCTGCACAGTGACAGCATGTATTGTGACTTTGCCTCACCCTTTCACCTTCTACCTGTAGTACTTTATTTTGTTCTTGGCACACACTATAGGATGTATACTGATGAGTGTGACGTGAAAATCGATTTTAGAAAACCTTCATGACTTTGTTGATGTGTAGTGAACTACTAGTGATGACGGCGGAATTTATCCTATTTATTGCTATTTCGAAATTATTGTCTCCACGTCGTCTACTTATCTAAATACAAAATATAATTGATTTACACAAGTCGGGTTTGGGGTGTGCACTTGCCCATCACGACAGAGCAAGCGTGGCATTCCCATGGGTTCTTATGGATTCCTCGTTCTTTTTGTTCCTTTTGTGCCTCGCAAACACCAAGACCCCGTTTACATGACGACAATCGGCTACATGTACATAGCAACGTACCTTCCATTTAGGATTAATGAACAACTGCAAGAGCTCATTGATGTTGAAATGAAGATCTTCTGGTAATGTTGTTTGAGCAATTGACTGTTTAGACAGCGTTCCTTTCGTCAGAAGAGTTGCCTGAAACAAAACATACAACAATATGGAGTCTATAAAGTTGAGTGCACACAATAATTGACCGACTTACGAACGTTTGAGCGCATGCCATCCATCGTGCACCAGTGATGGATCCAAGTACACACCGAAGTTAAAGTGTTAAATAACAATGCTAACTACAGCCAGGTGATACACAACACATAAACAACTAGTCAAGTTTACCTTGCTCTGTGCAAACAGCTGCTTGCTGCCCAGGCTCGAGGTGAAGTCTATTTCAAATGCCTTTCGCTTGGCACGCTCACGAGTCTTCTCGCCGGCTGTAACTGAGCCATCAACATTGCTTGAGTCTGTACATGCCACCACCATATGAACAAGTTGGAAAAGAGAAACATTCTGTAGAAACACATCATTCCCTGTGTGAGGTAGTCAAGGAACACACTACCTGACGCATTCTGTTCTGTGTCCCGCACATACTGAACAAAGGCAATCATATCAGGTAATACAAGATGAAGTTATTGCGCTGCACTGTGGCAAAAGCAGCTGAAGTCAGTCATAGAAAGTCCAGGACAGAGTGAGAACGCCACCAACAGATGGCACTCACCTTTCGACCGTGGCCGAAGTTGCCAATGCCTGGGACCAGCCCAGTTGGCCAGGTGCTGCTGATCAAAGTATGAGTACTCGTTAGGCTGTGTTGCCACCGACAGCATTAGATTGCTAGACGCACAGCTAGACTGGCCAGCCACAGCTATCATTGTTCTACAGGTGCATGGCAAGGGGCACAGGAGAGAGGGAGGGAGAGAGAGAGGGAGAGAGAGAGAGAGAAAGAGAGAGAGAGAGAGAGAGAACCAAATCACAAAACAAAGCTTTAAGAGTATGCCGTGATGTGGTGTACTAAGCTAGAAGTAGAAAGATCAAGCTAGAGTGCAGCTGATCAGAAGTTGACAGACACCTGTACAGTGTACTAGTGAGCATGCAACACTGGACAGATCAGAAAACATCAAAATAAGACACAAAATAGTAGAATATACTAGTATGTATGACGTTGCTCTTACTTGTCACCGGGCTGTACAGGGAGTGTTACGGGCAGCGTGACATCCCCTCCCTCGACAAGGCCATCATCTGCCATGCCACCATCGCCACACATATCGGGATAGTCCTGCAGAGAAAGCGGGCAAAGCAGTTCTATACGAGAGATACACTTCTATTGCTGCATGTCTACTGTCCACACCCCCCCCCCCCCCGCAACAAAAAATTCCAAAAAAATCACGGTTTGAGTGAGACTCGGTAAGACCGAGTTTTCCACATCTGCAGGAACTCCACCACTCTCAAGGATCAAGGCATAGATGTACCCCCTCCCCCACAATAAGAAGAAATAAAATCAAGATGAGAAAATACCTTCTGAATAACGTTAGTCTGCACTTCGAAGTGGAGCTCAGGAGTTTGCTAGGAAGCAAGTAAACAACTTACATTGTCACCTGGCCCATCATAACCCACATTGTCATTCTCATCACTCGACTCTCCAGCTTCATAGCGATAGTCTGCATAACAAAGAGACACGCAACAAATGAGAAACCGTTTGTCAGTTGCTATAGAGCTTCTAATGCCTGCCAATGATAGCAAGAACGGAGAGTACGTGTCCGGATATTATATTTTAGGACTATTTGTGAGTAAAATAGCAATGAAAAATATCAATTGTGCACTCATAACCATGTATAAACAATTAAAATGAAACAATTCCAGAACGTTTTCGTGTGACCATCATCAGTGGAACATCGTCACATAGTAAGAATAGTAAGTCTGCCATCTACAAGCATTTGGTGTCCAGTCCGGATTGTCGTAAGTTGTTTGACGATTCCTGGTTTAGTGTTATTTGTCGCGCGCGTTTCTTTAAGCAGTTGCAGGTGTTGGAAGCTGTATATATTCGCACACGTGACCCTGTTCTATGCAAGCAAAAAGAAAATGTTGTAGCACTCACACTTTTTAAATAATACGCACTCACCAGTTTTTGTTCACACGCACTCACAGCTGCCACATTCATCTACTGCTACCATTCTCAGATACACTGCAAAGGTTCACACTACACGCGTTATGCATAACCGCTAGCTGTGCTGCATTCTCACGCTTCTTTTCATATTACTCTAGCTATATAACTGGTTGTTTTAGTGATTCTTACTATGTGACGATGTTCCACTGATGATGGTCACACGAAAACGTTCTGGAATTGTTTCATTTTAATTGTTTATACATGGTTATGAGTGCACAATTGATATTTTTCATTGCTATTTTACGACTGTTGTCTCCTCGTCGGTTATTTAAATACTATTTGTGAGTATTTGCTATACGATAAATCAGCATGGTCAGCAGCAATCACACACTTGATAGGTTTGCACTATATACTACAAGTGTACGTCCATTCTAACCAGGGAGTGGTAAAATACCTACTCTCTGATTCTAACTGCTCCTCTCGAGTTACGGTGTACTGTGCACGTACAAGTACCTCAACACGAGAGAGAGAGAGAGAGAGAGAGAGAGAGAGAGAGAGAGAGAGAGAGAGAGAGAGAGAGAGAGAGAGAGAGAGAGAGAGAGAGAGAGATCAAGAGAGAGAGGGAGAGAGATCGAGACAGATTGAGAGAGAGAGAGAGATTGAGAGAGAGATCGAGAGAGGGAGAGAGATCGAGATCGAGATCGAGATCGAGAGAGAGAGAGAGAGAGAGAGAGAGAGAGAGAGAGAGAGAGAGAGAGAGAGAGAGAGAGAGGGAGAGGGAGAGGGAGAGGGAGAGAGGGAGAGAGAGGGAGAGAGAGAGAGAGAGAGAGAGAGAGAGAGAGAGAGAGAGAGAGAGAGAGAGAGAGAAGAACAGGGCACAAGCACGTGGTTGGCAAAGTGGTTCGAGCTTTGGCCTTCCAACATAAGGTGGGTCCGATTCCCAGCGTGAGTGAAGATTATTTCCATCCCCCAGGAGACCCATCTGGGATTGGGTACCTCACTTTGGTCGGTGAGGCAAAGAGCGACGAGGGAGAGGAGATGAGCACCACCCTCACTATGTCAAGCTCATTGAAACAGAGGGTCTCTAACACCTCGTGTCCCTGCGGTCACAATTGACTATGTGCCGCTAGCTTTACCTGTACTCTCGTACCTACCTTGCTGGAATCTTGCTTTGGATGGCGTGGTGGATGCGAGAACATCATGCACACTAAACGTATTGCCCACCTGGACGGGTAGTAACGCAGTAGCAGACACGACATAATCATATTGAAGTCAGGTGTAACAATAAGAAAACCAAGACAAACCAGCTTCTGAAGCAAGCCTGGCACATCTACTTCCAAAGTAACTATAGTAGTTGCTACACAGAGGAGAATGTGGCATTCAACCACAATGCACTGTCCATGCAAGTGTGCTCAGCTAAAATACTGATAGATTGTGCTATGCACACCAAACGTTCTGCTCGTGTTCAAAGTACACGTAGCAGGAGCAAGCAAGCCTGGATACGCCGATTATGGACAATGACCAAGACAATAATCGCAGTCGATGGTATAAAATTCTTCATAAATCATTCGGGGTTGGCACAGCATTCAACGCAAAATACACGATATGCAGTCAAAATGAGCAGAGCTCAGCCAGCCAACATCAGTGGTTTTTCAGTACATTTGGCATCGACTGAACAACCAGAAAGAGAAAGAGAAGCCTAGCTCTTACCCCTGCGTGCTCCTCCATGAACAAAAACTCCGAAAAGTCGGGACAAATATCTAGACCGCCAAGTCGAAGAAGGTGAAGGTGATCTGCAAAAGGAAGCAAAGACATACGACGACACAATGTGAAGACACACAAGGAGTGTTAGTTTACGTAAAACTGAATCGCAATTCATACGTCAAGTGTGAAGTCAACATAGGTGTGAGTAAAGACACCACAGGAACATACCTGTCCTGCTCAAGCGAATTGATCTCGGTATACAGGGACTCGCTACTGGGTGGTGTGGTCGAACGCAGACAACGCTACCAGTGGTACTTCACCAGTATCTCCGTGCCTCCGGTCAGGGAAGCCCTTTGACCTTTTAAGATCCTGAAACCACCCGGTCCAAGCCTTATGCCAGAACTCTTGGAAGGAACTCTGTGTCGCTATTTGGCATTGATTATTTTATTTGCAAAACCCTACTACATGTGTATATTATTGGGATACTAATGGCTTGATAAAATTACAATAGCCGATATCTCAAGAATCTGGGCAGTGTTTTAGCCCCACTGCATAACCTGTTATCCTGTAACCGTTGGCATTGGACCAAGCGTCAACAAGCAGCATTCGATCAGTGCAAAGCCATGCTGCTAGAAGAACCGGTTTGTATGTCCTAGGAGTCTATGATCCGAAGTTGCCAGTCGTAGTGACATGTGGGACAGGATGGGATAGGATGTGTGAGGTGTACTTTCAGTGTGAGCTCACCTCTGAGTTGAGACAGGTCCGTCGTCATCTTCGGATCATGGCTGGACGAGGCTTCTGTTTCCGTCACCACTGCGGTGGGCATCACGACTGCATTGGAGTCGAGTATAACATCGCAGCTGTCACCGCGAGTGGACAGCTGATTCAACAGCAAGCCCTTTGGTCCTCCCTCGTCGAACGTGGCAGAGGTCTTAGAAAAGAGTGGATCGACCTGAAAAGATATCAGTACAAGAAGGGGAGTAGCAGTCACATAGCGACAGAACAAAATGCCTGTGCAAAATAATAGTATTCCCCATGGGTCATCAACGAAAGTGTCAGAACACCACCAGTATAGTGCCAGTATACTGCAAATCCAGTACTATGCATGGATACACTATCCTCCAGGCACCCTAGAATACTATTTGTAGCCACAACATTTTTATACACACAAGCACCACTCACCTCAAATTCAAGGTCAAATTTCTTCACGTTGAGTGCCTCGGTGTTTTGCTCCACAGTTCTTGAGTGACGCAACTGCAATCGGAATGGAAAACAAAGAACCACAGGCAAGAGAAAGTCTTGTCAAAATAAGCACGTGCAAATCTTGCTGTCAAACTCATTTCACAATTGGGCAAAGTGTCATTGGGACTCATCACCCAGTACTCGTATGCAGCCAGTGAGCTACAGCCGTGTTGTCGACATTTCATTTGCATACCCGAGTTCAAGCACAAGCATGGTGCGAACAAGTGAGCCGCTCCTTCTGCCACTTCCACCAGTAGTGAAGTTCTGAAGAAGATGAGGGAAGCACTTGCTAATACATTTACTGTACACCCGGAGACCTTTGCTATCCGAAATCCTTTGCGGCTTTCACGATGGGTGTGAAATTGCAAAAGTAAGCCGGCGCGAAACGTAGGACAGTAGTAATTGAAAAGAAGCTCACCTTCTTCTTAGATTTCCCAGTACGTTTGTTGCCCTCTGTACCATCAGCAGCTGCATCATTGTCAGCATCACGTTCGCTTGGCTTGCGCTCTGAGCAGATGATGCGGAGAAGCGGTACGGCGAAATCAACAACAGAAGAAAAGATCATCATCAACTCCTTGAGCTTCAAACCAAGGAAGAGATTGCGCGTGCGTGTGTGTGTGGGGGGGGGGGGGGGATTGTTAGAATGTCACTTGACCAAGTGATCAAGCGAATAGCCAAAATGAGTAGGCAACGTGTCAAGACATGCCCTTTTTTCAGAAGGTCTGCGGAGGCCATGTCAAGACGCCTGGCCTGGATATCGGCTATCCCGAACATGTCCCATCACATCAACACACATCCTGGCCTGGATACCGGCTATCCTGAACATATCCCATCCCATCAACACACATCCTGGCCTGGATACCGGCTATCCTGAACAGGTCCCATCCCATCAACACACATCTTGGCCTGGATATCGGCTATCCCGAACATGTCCCATCCCATCAACACACATCAGGTGGAGAGTTGCATGTGGTGACAATGGCGATGACTCAATCGCAATGCTTCTATCCCATTAGATCTACCATACCAGCATATATACAACTCAGTGACACAACATTTCTATCACTTTGAATGGCTCTTTTGATGATGGCCTAGGCAAAGAACAAGCGTCGCGAGGACCCTGAACTGGCAACTTTCATGCTGTATGTTTCAGAGGGTGTCTTTATCATTATGTGTTTACTTCAGCATGCACATTAAAAAAAGCCTGTCTCGCTCAGACTTAGTCGGACTAAAGATATCCATATGGTAGGCAATTTTGCTAGCACTTAGAATGAGGCCAGCATATGAGTGATAATATGCTTTGCCCACCTTGACCAGCAAGACCGCCCAGGATCTTATAGGTGTCAGCATAGATTGAGTCAACACGTCCAGAGTAGATCTTGGCACTGGCATCCAACGTGCAGCCAGCAACCTAGGGCACACATACACACACACACACACACACACACACACACACACACACACACACACACTACTACTACTACTATGATACAGCTACCCTAAACGGGTCACGCCGCCCTCCACCCAAGCATGAGCACTATGAGGGGCAGTGGCAAATAAAGAGAATCAGCTAGCAGAACTGGCAAAACAGATGAAACAATGGAGCAGAACGGACGACTGCTGTACAATCATGTTCGAGTACTGTAACAACAACCTGACAGCTACAGTGACAACGACTGAAAATGAACAGGAAAGAAAAAAAAAAATTCAAAATTTCACGCCACGAAAAAACACTGTCCACGAAAGAATCTACCAAGCAAAAGGAGTGTGGGCATCCGAAATCCCACCAGGACTCCACTAGCAGTTCTTCCACGTTGACGATGTAAGCGGCAGGGCAATGCCTCACAAATCCGACAGACATCCGCAACGCTTGACCAGTGCACTCATGACGACGAAAGATTGAAGTTTCAATTCCCACCATTCCGCCATTGCGACCTTCCTCTCCGCACTCGCTCGTCCACTCCACTGAAACAACGACTTGTTCCAGCACTCCACCAGCCAATCCGCAATTCCCACCACTGCATTCTTCGAGCTTGGATTCTTCACAGCACTCGAGGGATAGCTACTCCACTGCGAGTGGTGGACCACGGCCGACGCAGCAGTGACAATATCGAAGTAAATTGTCCTGCAAGCTACATCGCGATTCCGCGCTCCAATCATGCAGCACTACCTTGGCAGTGTGCGAGGGTGCTCCAGGGTCGACTCTGGCTACACCAGAGTCGCCCTGGGCAGGCAGAAAAACTTTGGAGAAAGCCAAGAACACGGAGCTCAGAAAGTGTAACCTGCTCCCAAGGAGCACAAAAAAACCACACACACACACACACACACACACACACACACACACACACACACACACACACACACACACACACACACACATGCATACAAACAAGTATACATGTGACTGCACACGTATGCACCAGTACGTGAGACATACAAGCATTAGATGACTTATTAGCCAATCAAGTATAGCAGTCAACAACGAATTTGGAAAGAAAATGCTACGAAGTACATGCACCTCTCATTGCTACATGTCGTAAGCTAGTCAGTCAGACCTCGCTTATCCGGTCCTCTTTTATCCGAATCCCTCACCATCCGGAAGACAATCGTTGGTTACCGATTTACAGCATACGCCATGCATACATACAGTATGTTTACTTTCTTGTTACAGTATGTGTGTTCGATTATCCGGTTCCCTTGCCTATCCGGATATTTTTTGTGGAAAACGGATGTGTGCGGTTATGCGAGGTTTGACTGCATTATTTTCTCAAAACAAGACTTAGTACCTGGAAGTTGGTGAGTCCACCTTCTTGACGAAGCATTTCATCCATGCAGTCGATGAGGTGCAGGCCGAATGCATTCTTTGCATTGATTTTCTGCATCGATGACAGGAGCAATACAAGAAAGACACAAAACAGATGATTATAATGGAACCAGTATTAGGCCATGGTAAAAGTTATCTTTGATTCTCAAGTACGCGCGCACCGATTTTTGGCGGCGCACCGACGATTGATTTATTTCTATGCATGCATATGCGCACATGAAAACAGTCAATGCATGAATCAGGGAGTAGTAAAATACCGGTATGTTTCTACTCCCTGGCCTGAATAATAAAATAATTATATGAACCTGTGACGTACATATGTGTGACCCTATCTTTAGAAATAAAAAAATTGTGGGAAAAAATAAAAAATCGCTCACTCGCACCGATTTTCACAGGCTCATGACCTGAGAATCAACTTTATTTTTTACCATGGCCTTAGATACTATAATATTGTATGTTCATACCAGTAGTGTCCATGCAAGAGGTTATGTGATTGACATCATCATATGTGCTTTGTATGAGGTGACAAGCCAGTGCTGGTATTTGTGATGCCACTCCGTACAAAACACTTCAAATGATGACGCAATCGTGTACCGTAATGTCACGTATAAAGGCATGACCTGTATACAGTCGTCCCTCTCTGATCCGGCACTTGTTTATCCACCACCCTTGCAAACCAGCACACTTTCTGGCAAAAACTGATTTTATTAGTTCATTTTCTACGCTTTAATCCGGCACTTGAATTCCGGTTCCAGCAGCGATTTTCTGCAGCAAATCGCTCAAACTGTACATGCTTCGATTTTATAATCCAGCAGTTGTACATCGTATACCGTACCAGTGCCCAGCTATGTCAGTTTGGTCAGTGCATGACATGCATGAACTAACTTATCAGGGAGCATTCTACACATGTAACATACACTTGGGAATATCCTATGCACTGTATAGACATGCATTCCACAACGCACATAGATTGACACAGAAAATCCCTGAGTTTTGAAGTAAGTGTAGTACAATACCAGTACATAGCTGCCAAGTACTGACGGTATTTTTTTCGGGATCGTCAATGCAAAATCCTGGGATCTGCCGCACTTTGTCGGAAAATGTCTATTTTTCCATTTTTCATTCAATTTCAACTTGTTATGGTGACGTCATTGATCAAAATAATGATGTACCGCAAACCGAACAAACTGTGGATTCATTGTCCTTTAGAACAACGACGATTCCTGATGAGCGTTGTACGAAAACTTGTTTGAACCCTAATTTTTCTCTACGCTATTTCTTCCTACTTTCATTGGTGTATTGCACATTGCCTCCACCATTTTACATTGCATGAATAAAGTATACACAAATGTCGATTCAGCTTGTCTTATTGATTGCGGTTATCAAACTGTGGACAACCATTCCTTTCAGTGTTGCGGCCGAGATCCATGCTGGACTGCATGCAGTATGCCAGGAAATCGTCAAAACTGCAGTTTACCTCATTTTCTCAATTTTTCAGGATATTTGAGAAGAGTTTCGGGATTTCGGGAGGTCATCCAAAAATGCGGGATAATCCTGAAAAAAACCAGGATACTTGGCAGGTATACCAGTACATACATTCTCTGAGGACAGCTTGATGCAACTAGCATAGTGATCTGCTAGCTGGGACTGACTCATGCCATTGTCTCCAACAAAGCCAGGCCTGAAACAAATACATTCCAAAACACAACACCAGAAAAGTAGTTAGTACATGTGAACAAAGTGACACGCATTACTACCGCAAATGCACAGCTAGGGAACATATCAGTATTCCCTACAAAGAGGGAGAGGGAGAGGAAGAGAGAGAGAGAGAGAGGGGGGGGGGGGAGGGGGGAGGAGACTGAGTGACAGGAGTGTAAACAGAAGTGGAAAAGACCATATCAATCCAGAACACATCCTTTACAGTCTAATCCCGACGAGTCTTGGGGATATATGCACTGTGTGTGTGTGTGTGTGTGTGTGTGTGTGTGTGTGTGTGTGTGTGTGTGTGTGTGTGTGTGTGTGTATGTTAGCTTGCTGCGCATACTCCTCGTCGTTTCGTGAAAGTACGTCTTGTGGAGCCCTTGTGGGACGTTCGGTGCCCACCCTCCAGCTCAAGAATGTGCTTTCCTGGTGCATGAAGGCCGAAGCAGTACGCGTACGCGTACAGACGTTATTGTTGAACAGAACATCATGTTCACATTAATTTTGTTCCTTTTTCAGTCGTTGCATGTTATACTTATAGTGGACCTACAGCAGACTGTTCATCTGGTTTGTGATATTTCCTTCCTCTGTTTGTGAGTCCCTTTCCATCAATATGGCAGCTTGTTTTGATTTCCTTTTTTCAATTCATTTTGCTGTACTTCCTGTTTTGTTTGCGCCACTGCCCCTCACCTTGCGCTCAGTTCTCTGAGTGGAGGGCGGCGTCACCCCAAGGGGTAGCTGATTGATAGTAGTAGTAGTAGTAGTAGTAGTAGTAGTAGTAGTAGTAGTAGTAGTAGTAGTAGTAGTAGTAGTAGTAGTAGTAGTAGTAGTAGTAGTAGTAGTAGTAGTAGTAGTAGTAGTAGTAGTAGTAGTAGTGTGTGTGTGTGTGTGTGTGTGTGTGTGTGTGTGTGTGTGTGTGTGTGTGTGTGTGTGTGTGTGTGTCTTATAGGTTATAACCGTTAAGATTCCGGTTAACCGATAACCTGAAAACTATTTCAGCCCTACTTTTATCCCAGAATCTTCTTGTTCACTTCTAACGCCATGGCTTTATAACTGAGAGTGATGGATCTTCTATTCGAGACATACGGTAATGCCATTGCGTTGTAGGTTCGGAAAAAAGGTATGCACGAATGCCACAAAAGCATAGCCATCCAACACACTTGGGCAAATGGATAAAGTCAGCTGATGGCATAGGACTTACGTCAGACGTTTTGTTGGTGTGCTGCAGCAACAGCTTTACGAGTTACGGTGCCCTTCGCTGGGTTTTCATAAACCGCAATGCAGGTATGAGGCTATGAGCTGCACATACCGTATTTCCCCAGATGTAAGTCACACCTTCTTAAGACTTTTATTGATGTGAGTACAGTATAGGGCTTGAAAGTGCTACGTCACAGCATAGCAACAATGTCAAAAATTCAAAAAATGGATCCACTTGGATCCAATTTTTGTATGGATCCAAGCACATTTCAAGCCGTCTTACTCACAGCAAGGTGATGTAACCAGTGAAACTGACTGATTTGGCTACTGGGGGCGGGGTTACAACTGGTGGCGAAGTAAAAGTCACCCCTGCATACGACATGAGTGGGTTGCTATGCACCCACATACTGAGGCAATAGCAAAGTCACACCTTAGTGGATCCAAAATAGAAATCTGATGTCAATTTACTACTCCCTGGCCGTTTTTGACGTCATCACTTTCAAGCCCTATATTGAAACAATATGGCTCAGACCTGAAAATGAGGATGCGACCTACATATGTATAATCGGGAATTAACAGTGTTCAATATGCTAGGGCTGTGCTGCACTTGGGCAGTGGTGTGCTGTTTATATTCATGCCAGTGAACCTCACCAGAACTGTAGATCTACAGTTTAGAGGACTTCCACTACAAGGACTACTGTACTGCGGCAATACTAGGGAGGTTTAGTCCCACGTTATCCGTGTGTACTTTACGTGTGTGTACCACGTGATTCTCAGTGACCCACGTATAGACGTTTTCTGATTCACGACATACCGTGTATGGAGGCTCACCCACGTTCTGCCAGAACGTGAGTGAAAATCAGAATGGAGCGCATGGTGCAAGCTGTGAGGGTGCTTGGCTGCAGAAGTTTTCGAAGCGCGAAATCAAAACATTCAATGAGCTTCGAAGCTTCGTCTTTGGCCAAGTTTGGGCCTTTCGCTTCATGCTTTTGTTTGTTCCGTGTGACTAAACACAACATTGCGAACGTGGGTCTATAGGGCTTGAAAGTGCTACGTCATAGCATAGCAACAATTTAAAAAAATTAAAAACTGGATCCACTTGGATCCAGTTTTTGTATGGATCCAAGCACATTTCAAGCCGTCTTACTCACAGCAAGGTGATGTAACCGGTGAAATTGACTGGGCTGGCTAATGGGAGTGGGGTGACAATTGGTGGCGAAGAAAAAGTCACACCTACATACGACATGCGTGGGTTGCTATGCACCCACACACTGAGTCAATAGGAAAGTCACACCTTAGTGGATCCAAAATAGAAATCTGATGTCAATTTACTACTCCCTGGCCGTTTTTGACGTCATCACTTTCAAGCCCTATTGCATGAACTTTACATGTATCACCAAGAGTACATAAACCAGAGTGTGCAACTGTGCATATCAGATCTGAAACAGCGCAGTTCGTGCACTACGTCACCCTGATGAGGTCAGCCAAGCCGCGACTTGCGTACAGCTCAAATTTTCATGTTTCATAGCCAGGAAATCAGCCAAGTTTGCTTGATTTTAGACGTCCAGTTTCAGTATTTCGGTGTTTTGTGTGACTGTGTACGCTGCGTACATCCACCGCCAAGTAAAGTCACCAGGCTATTCGTATCAAAAAGTCCGTAAAGTCACCAGGCTATCCGTACCACCGCGACTGGTTACGCAACTTTTCACCGTACCTGTGGCTTACCATGCTGTCAGAAATGACGTAGTGCACGAATTACGCTCCCACAGGAACCATCCCGAGTTGCACACTCTGGTTTATGTACTCTTGGTATCACCCACGTTCCCGTATCCGTTACGTGTAACTAAACCTCTCTGCTGTCACTGTGCAACAGCAGCATGCAGCATAGATGTACATAGTCAGTACACCTGGCCCCGGCATAGTACCATGGCGACAACTCCCACGCAAGAAAAGCCAGAGAGAAAGCGTGACGAGCAGCAAAGGAACGTCCTGAGTGCTGAAGCACAGTTTGTCCATTTCGTTACCGTATTATTAAAACAGAACTTGTTTTTCCTTGTGTGTGTGTGTCGCCCAATCCGTGCACCCCCACCTCATACACCCAATGACAGGCCCTCTGCTGCACTAAAAAAACATTCACCCATTAGCCATTATCAGTGAGATGGAAGGATGTTTTGTAGTTTTAACGGCATTATAGCAATGCCCATGGTTTAGGTGGGTGCGGTTAGTAGGTAAGCAATTTGAGTGCATTGGTATTCCATGCTTATTGCTAACTGCTCCGTGCAAATACATGCAGAGACTGCATTGGATATCTCACCTTCCACCAGCTCCTGGTTTCCGAGGTGAACCAGCGCCGTGAGGACTTCGCAAGGAAGCTGCTTGTCTGTCAACCTTGCGTTTCTGCTTTTCAGCCTCGTCATCATTGGCATGGTCAGACAGATCTACAGGAGCCCGAGGAACTGGCGAGCGCAGCAGCCGCTTTTTCTCAGTACCAGACAAGCAGACGGGCGTTCTTTCATGTCTGGGTGTGGTGGCCATTATCCCTAAGCACCCCTCCGCCACAAACACAAACTGCGAACAAAGTTACTTAGAAAAGTGTGGGTCCAGCAAACATACTGTTTGGTGGCTTTGCTACTTCGTTTTTGTGAAACGTGCAGAGAGCTACAAATGAAAGCGTCCCCTGCCACTGCACTGCAAGTGCAGTGGTGGATTTTGAACTTGCCGCCGTTTGCGGCTATGACAACAAGAAACGAACAAAAAATGGCATCACTCTTCTTCTTTCATTTTATTGGCAAAAAAATCATTTTTGCAACGTTGCGAGATAATTATTTTCACAAGGCTTGCTTTTACGAATTGCAGTGTGTCTGGACTCTGGAAACAGTACTCTTTCCTCAGCTTCTTCATTATTAGATCAAAAGATCCTTCAACCATGGGAGACAGCAAAGATGCCCGTATGCAGCGTGAAATCATGCAGATTGCTCAGCAAGAGCAGGCCAAGGCAGAGTTCCAAGGAGCTGTGAACAAGATCACTCGCCTGTGCTTCGACTCATGTGTCAGCAGACCATCTGCTAAACTGGGATACTCAGGAGAGCAGTGCTTCCAAAATTGTGCTGCCCGATTCGTGGAGTCCAGTGAGGTTGCTGCTCAGTCTGTAGCCTCTGCTATTCAGCACCAGGCCGGTCAATTTGGTGGAATGTAGGATGCAGCATTTGAAGAATTGTGCAATCCTGATAATGAGTCCAGCAAGGTTGTGGGCTTGTCCCAGTTCCGCTCTTCAGCAGCAAGCCAGCCAGTTTGGTGGTATTATTTAGAACGGTGTGGATTTATAATATCTGCCGAAAGTTCTTGTCAACTTCACATCGGACCTAGTAGAAACTTCATCATTTGTGGAAGTAACAATTTACCCCGTTTTGAGTCGATCTTTACCCAATGCTGACCCTTGATGTGTTTTGTTGAATACTGGTGGGTTTCTTAGGTTTCCTGAACTGGCTTGGGCCCCTAGACTATGTGGAGTGTATGGTTATTTATTCTCCCGTACGTGCGTGGCTCATCTCCCCAGTACACTGGTCTGAATTGAACCGGTGAGTTGCCATGTGCTGTTTTCCTTTTTTTGTCATGTGACCTCGATCTCTGTACATAGGAGAATTCTAAGTTTTTGTACCACAGCTTGTGTACGACTTACTACTAGTCTTTTCCTTGGGTTCTCACACAGTCAATTGAATAGCCATGGCCGATGGTCAACATTGACTTGATTCAATTATTTGGCTGGATGAAGTTAACCACCTTAGCACTGCGTGTCACTGGTTAGAGCCAGGTTTGCATGGTACTGTCCAGAACTTACTCTCCTTCGGTGTGGATTTGGCGGAGCCTAAACCTGAACAAATGTGACGGCACAGTGGCAGTGTACACTACGACCAATCCTGGAAATTGAATGGAGGATTGTCGGGATTGAAAGTGCCAACACTTGATGGTACTGGACACCTATCTCAGCTAGAGGTTGTTCAACATGAATATGATTAAAATTTAGACCGTACCGTCATTCCGCGCATATAAGCCTACGGGCCTATATCCGGATATAAGCCCACCTCCGTTTATAAGCCCATGGGCTTATAAACAGACACAAATGCAACTCGCGTGTCAACAAGAATTTTTCACAATGTGGACTCTTCCTACCATGGTACAGCAGGTCAGTGCAGTTTACCAGAAGAGTATGGTAGACTCACTATGAGCACAGACTTGTACTTTTTCATGAACCTTCAAAATTCGAATATTGGCCCATGGGCTAAAAAACGAACATGTTTTACTGGATATTTTATCCCCAAACTGCGCGCGGAATTACGGTATGCAGTATAATATGACACGTTTCCCAGAGGTGAAAGCTGCCACTTCCTGCGTGAAATACTAATAAACCTTGGGGGGCCATCCGGCATTATCGATAATTTTTCACGGAACAAGAAAGTTTAGTTACAACCCTCCACCACGTCCACCCCTGCCCCATGCACGAAAAAATATATTGACTTCACAGCTAGATTGCATCGATATTTCAGCTATCAATAGTTATTAAAAACGAATTGTCCTCGCCCGATCCACCAGGTACCCGTAAACGAAGCACTTTCGTCTCGTGTAAAGATCGATAATTATGGACGGCCCCTTAGGCCGGGTCCATCCGCCATCGGTAATTTTCACGGGATGAACCAGTTACAACGAAAAATATATTGACTTGACTTGACAGCGTTACAGGCTTGGAAGGGGTTGCTGTGGATACACACAAAAAAGGAGCCTGTCGCGCGTATTATAGCTGCGTTTGATATGAATGAATGCAAACAAAATCAATTGCAAAAGTTGACAATCACCATCTCAAACAAAATATAACAAAACGTACTTTGCCCACAACAAGTCTCTTGCTGGTAGCAGCTTTGGTGAGAATAAGATTACGGCAGCATACACAGCAGATATATCACAGATATGCACAGGGGAACTTTGACAATGAATTGATACGAAAGAATGCATCACTGAGCGGGTGACCAAATGTCAAAAAGTACAGTTACTACACACAGGGCAAAAAAGAATGCTTGGAAGAGGTTGCAGTCTACACCTGGAGTTGCTAGGTATCCTACTTCTCCATGCTGCTCATCTCATCAGCACTTTGAACGGGTTGAAGGGGGCGGGAGGTTGGAGAGATACAACTACAAGTGCTTTTACACAATTCTGCAGAGCTTGGTCAGACATCTGGTTCACCATTCACGACGTGATGTGAGGCATGAGGTCTATGCTGTTGCACACCGATCAGAGAGTACACTGCATTGATAAGCAACCAGAGAGGAAAGCAGAGACAGCACATTCAAAATACAGTAGAAGCTTAGCATGAGCTCTGCTGATGAGACCAAACAAGGTTGACAGCTAGCTGTCCAGAGGTTCAGAAGAACTTTTTTTTTATCCGCGCACCTGACAGCCAATGGGTACCTGTCTCAGAATCATCTGAAACTCGTCACACCCATTATGGGTATGACCAATAGTGACGTTTAGCCATATTAAACCAAGAGTATGCAACTGTGAGTCTGTGACCTCCTTTCTATGGGCCTGTTACTCATTGCACTGCCGTCATTACATCATCCAGATCCATCTGCACACTTTGGGAATATACTAGTACACTTTCCGTATGGCTTAGAATAGAAACTAACATTCAAACTGCAACAGTTACTGCAGTTTGTGCACCCAGAATTATCACGCTGTGATTGGAACGAATCGAGTGAGAACGGGCGTACTGGCACAAACACTAAGAGACCATGATGTTTAGTGCATGAGTACAGAGCGTGGTGCAGACTAGTCGCGCAATGATGAAGCCAGTTGTCCCGCTCTAGCCTGCAATCACTCTTGCATGCACTAACTTGGTTATGGAGTCTTGGTATGACGGAGAATTCTTGTTCAGATGGGCTCACTCAACCAATATGGATACCATTCATAGGCATGCCATAAGTACACTCTGGTATTTTTTACACCAAAAGAACCAATTAATTGCTGTGTAGAAGCCAGCCTTTGCTATCCATACCTTCTTCTTTCTTCGGCAGTAACAACATGCCCTGCAAATTTCAGTACACACACATGCACACACACACACACACACACACACACACACACACAGACATGTACATAAGTGTAAATATACCAGCAAATCAGTACGTTTCAGGATGTTGAAAGGGGGAAAGTCAAGAAACCTGGACTGCCGCCACCAGTACAGGACTCGAACCAGAGACCCTCGGTTTTGACCAGCGCTGCTCTACACCACTTGTAAGCTATCCTATTCGTCCTGACTTCTGGTTGCCCTACAACCTTCCTTTCTATCTACCCGACTGCTGTTTTCTGCACTCCTTTCCGGTCTGGGCAATCCTGGACCACGTCGCAGCATGTTGTTACCGAGTTCTTTTAAAATATAACTTATTTACTTCGTTATCGGCACAGGCAACGCGGTCTGCTCATTGGAGGCTCCAACCTCCAATTCCTGTCCAAAACGAAGGCATCCCTAATCACCGACATTGTGCTTGGTGTGTAGTACTAACTACACTGACTACACTCAGTGACTGTACTGGTAGCAGGCTGCCTTACCATTGCGGAATATGATTGTAAATGAAGGCCTCCACGGCATGACCTGAGAACACATATAGTACACAAACAGTGGGGAACACATCAACACGACGAACCATCAATGTCACTCCGGCAGTAGTCACACCGAGCAGCCTCATCAGCCATTACTTTTCCAATGCAGCAGAGCTCAGTATTCCACTAGGCAACAAGGGGTACAACTTACCCGCATGACAAACTTCTGCGCAGGTTTGGCAAATCCCTGGGGCAGAAGGCACAAGAGGAGATTAAACAGAACCAAGTGGAATGAGTGATTGACTGTCGGCCGAGCCTGCAGGTCAGGTCGAGCGGTGACATTTCGCATGCCAATGGTCCCATGACCTTGAGTGCACCTAGTATGCCAGCTGTGATATGTGCATGTTATCACCTTTAACCAGGTGACTTCATTGGGAGTGAGGGCATTGATCTCATACATCTACAGGACCTCCCTCATTATAACAAGTCCGGTTAGTACATAAACCCCGTCAGTAAACACATAGGATGAAGAAGAAAGACACAATGTGTGCTATCTATGTATTTGTACCGCATGTCCGCACCTTTAAAGCCATGGTGGTATATTCGATTATAAAGCCAGTCTCAGTTATAAAGCCATGGGCTTAATAAATGAAATGACAGTTGAAGTTTGTTTCGTAAAAATGAAGGAATAAGTACTACTTCGAAGTATGCTAACAAACTTAGAGCCCAGCAGGAAGGGTGAACAAGTAGATTTAGATTGAAATTTCTGTGTGGACTTTGACTTTTATGGCATGGCGAAGTGGGCGAGTCATTTTGCATCTAAAAAAAAAGCAGCGGTGTTTCGAATAAGGCCATGGCTTTAAAGGCGCTGACATACGGTATATACGGACGATCTTTTGCATCCAAGGAACAGCTATGTTGGAGATTTTCAATGATCTTATAACAAGTTGAAGCGTCGATAATAATTATTATTTATGTTGCATTGACTATTGAGGGTACCCCATATAAGTACGAATCAGTGCTTCTTGTATCTTTAGTTGAAAGTCCTGTTGCAAGATAAGTATCGTTCTAACTACTAATGAGGGAGGACCTGTAATTAGTCGTGGGTAGTCCGGGGTTCAGCCAGCTCCATTTCAAGTTGTCCATGTCTTCAGCAATATCAACGGATTGTGCATGGGAGTAGAACTTGGCCACATGTGTCAACAACCGTTGTCGGAAGTAATGGGCCATTGTGCTACTATAGCATAGCTACGTATAGAATTAGCACAAGCACTCGGCCGTGGCTGCAGCCGGAACATGTAGCGTATTGTACTTACAGTTGTAGTTGCAAGTCTTGCAGGTGAAGTAGTCGACGGTGCTCAGGTCACCCACCTTGTATGTAGTAGCAAAGCACTGCTTCGGTAGCTCGCTGTATTGTGTGCAACCAGACAGCCGGGAACGCATGCAATGTTACATTTATACTACAACTTGTTTAACTTGTAAAGTGGCTGTGCTGTTCAATGAAGTCCGATAGTGTGCGTCAAGTTTGCGCCCTGCACCTGCTCACAGCCCGGTGTTCGCAGGTCGAGACGGCATAGTACCCAGCACGTACAACACTCGCGTGGTCAAATTTCACTGAGCAACATTAGTAATTAGTCTCCATAGCCTGACCTTGAAGTTACTTTGAAACTGCAGAAGGATCAGACTTCATCAAGTATGTTGTGCATAATGCTGCACAAGCCATAACAAATGTACTCAAATAATCACAAATACAGAAGGGGGGGGGGGGGGCTGTTTTCGCTGTAATTTCAAGATTCATACGCTGAGCGATCACTATAGTATGATGTGCTCAAATGATCTAAATGTCATCCTTATGAGTTGCCCATACCTTTTCAGATTCACCGTTCCCAAAAGCTGAATCTCACTGTTTGGTTTCTGTGAACACCACCAGGAAAGAACAGTACACATAGTGGCAAGCCTGTGTCAGAATCGTGCAGCAGCATGTAGCTGTGGCCAATGCAACATAGCATAGCATGAAAACGCTATTTTTTTACCTGCTAAAACTAGCCGTTCTGCAGTACGAGTGCTCAATGAGGACTGTCCGGACAGGCACTTACCACACAGTAGTTGGCTAACAGGTGGCAGTCAGTCGCCATGACAACACCAGCATTACCAGCCTGCAGGAAGGACACCGCCGCACATAGTCATTTGATGAGTGGATCAGACACTTGAAGTACATAGAGGGCGTGCGCGTTGTCAGACTACATCACGCACGAATCAAGATCTGTCAACATCCTGCCTGGAGACATGTATAGTACATATACCATGCTTCTCTGCTATTCTCATAATGACTATCATCAACCAAGTTATCTAAACCAAACACACACGCACACACACACACACACACACACACACACACACACACACACACACACACGCACAAAAACTGCACAGCAAGATCCCCAGCTCCAGACGATTCTTTGCGAAGGATGCACAACCGGTGTAACGACACACAGTACTGTAGCCTTGACCGCGGGCCAGCGATGAACTTACTGAACTGGCCGCTGCATGGCTGACTCCACCTTGACTGTTAGCACTGCCCGGCAAATTGAAAGGCCTAAACACCACAGGACAAACAACTGAACTCATTGTCACGGTGCTGGGTTGGACAGTGGAACTAGATGCCGTGATCAACATTGTGCGAATCCAAACCTATGTACTTCAAGAACGTTATAGTATGGTCCTATTTGCCACTGTACTGTCTATAATTCTTGGTGTGCATGTGTGCATGTGTGGGCTTGAGAAATGACACGCAATCAGCGGCAACATTAACGGATGTTGTCTCAGCAGCCCAGTGAATTTCCTATTCAGTGTTGGGCCTGCCGGGGGTCGGAACCATGTGTCCCTTTTCAACATCAGGCTTGGCGCGGGTGACCCTGCTACATAAACAAATACTGAAGTACTCAGTCAGTATACATGTACACAACTTAACCCGTGCATGGCATGATGCGTCCCCGGTATTGTCTATCAGCCTTACCCAAACAGCATCAGCCTGTACCCATCCTCGATGGTATCCACATCTTGTCCAGCGTCAGACATAGCCTGCTTCAATCGCTCTACCACATCCTCACACCTTCAAGGGAACGTCAGCATTTCCAACACCAAGAGAACAAAAGCACATACAAGTTGATGCTGGACAGTTTGTAAAGCACCAACAGGCATACACGAGCATGAAACCACCGAGCTAGCGGCCATTGACAACTAAGTCACAAAGAGAGCCAACAAACTTGACCCTATATAAGGTATTACAACGGACGCCTATGAATACACCTACAATGCATGTTGCCACATACTTATCCTTTGCAGTTATTGTGATGTTTTGCGCCCGGAAGTTCCGTGACGGCACCGACAGGGTGACCTGAACTGGAAGTGTGTTGGGATCTGGCAGGTTGAGAGCTAGTTTCCTGTGCCCAAAAGTACACATCATGCGCACCAACATAACAAATGTAGGTACATGTACATGCATCAATTCCCCCCTCCCCCAAAAAACATGCAAGTTGAAGCACATGCTCCTCTTCTCAAAAGTCAAAATCCCCAAAAGCTGACTTTCCTGTATGATACCGTCTTTATACCGTTCTTTAGCTCGGCCACACTGATGTCACCAAGCATGCACATGGACAAACACGCATATATACGCACCCGCACGCACGTACACACATGCGTCTAGGCGGCCATGAAGTCGAGAACCCAGGGCGGAGAGTTCCCTAAACCTCACCACCACTTCCACGATTCATGTTGTGCGTGCTTCTCTAGCTGCATCTCATGTTTGGCATTTAAAAATAAAACATGCGGCACACACAATCACAAACCATGTGCACACAATCACAAACATACGCACACATCCATATCTGCTGACAGCACATTGCTACCACAGAGACTCCAGCTTACTCGTCAAACGACGTCGCCAGCAAACCAACAACCGAGTCCAACTGCTGATTCAGTAGCACTTTCTGCTGCTCACACTCTTCAACGACTTCTCCAAGACGCCTTTCCAATACTAACACACCGGCAGAATTCGATACAATACAAACAATCCACAGATTCTCGAAAAAAGAAGACATGCGAAGCATTTGAAAGTGTAGTACAGTAGAGAATCATAGTCACCGGGACATTCTGCACAGGATCAAGTCTTTCAAAATTTACACAAGTTGTAAACATACATGCTGGCGGCAAGTCACGTGACTTCAGCGTTTTCTGATCTTCCTCGGCCTTGTTGTTGACGAGGGTAATTTGCTTCTGGCACAGGACACGCATGCTCTATTCGCATACACACACACACACACACACACACACACACACACACACACACACACACACACACACAAATGCACACACGTATAGAATGGACAATATAAATACCTGGCCTGGGGTCATGCCAAAAGAAAACTGAAATTATCCATGGGATGAATTCTGCATGTGGGTGCCTGGAGGGCTATTCCCTGAAAGATCAAATCCATTGATCATTGTCCGTGCCATGCCATGCAGCATGCGACAAATACTAAAATCAGTGGTGCGTGTGTGTACTACAGCACTGCGTACTCAACTCCTTTACAGAATGGCTAAACAGTCGCATAGAAACACAGGTTATTATCATTCAGACCTCGGTACATACGTTATCAATCACTTACTGCCAAATGCTTCTCGTACACACCCAAGTAGTTCTTCATGTGCTCTAGGGGCAGAAACAACAACACCATGACAACATAATAAAATTTGCAACAAAACTTCCACTCGCACTACATGTACAGTAACGAACTTGAGGCAGACTGATCGAACACTGCAACTCAAAGAAGAAATCTAAATTTCCAAACTTCCAAACTCATCGCCATTATGTCAGTGCCGGGTCACTATCGGCGGATGTTCAGAATTACACACGGTGTGCCGGTGGTCACGGATACACACACCAAGGTGTACTGCAGAAGTCCTAGAAGCCATTAGCAGTCTACAACCACAGGGAAGCAGCCAGCACCACAGGGAAGCAGCCAGCACCGGCACAGCCAATAAACTGTCAGTTAGCGGCTGGATTGCTATTGGTTGACTTTGAACACAAGCTTACGAGCCTCGTATACTGGAGGAGATGCTACTTGCACAAAACATTGCTGTCTGTGCGTGGTTAAGAACGGCGTAGGCGAAAGTTCTGGCTAATGCCCTCTACCATCATGGGAAAAGTTCACATTATAAGGTGCACGAGTGCCCATGTACTTCACATCGGACGTGGACTGTAAGTACGGCTAATCGCAACTCACTTTGCAAGATAACCTCAAAGGGAGTCAACGCAGAAACAACATTCTCCTCTGGGTTAGCTGTAGAAACAGAAAACAGCGGTAAACTATACGATTTGGTTGCAGCTCACCTCTCAGTCATCGTAAATCATTCGTAATGCTGGGGTCTGCATTACCTATATATTACATGTACTGGGCCGCATCATCACAGCAGCAGCAGCAGCATGGATGGGAATGAGTATACTTGAAGTGATGCCTGGATTAACATTAGCTGCTTACCGTCTGGTCGGCACTGTTTGAACAGTTTCTCCATGTACTTCTTTGCTGCTCTATCTCGCTCTTGCTCAGCCAGACCTACGGCAATACGTGCACGTAGCATAACAATGATCCAATAAGTTAGAAGGGTGCGTTCCTATTTTTCTGCTGGATCTTACCGTGGCCCCCTGGTGACAGTACATGCGGCAATATAAACTGGTGTGTCGCAGCAAAACTATAGCATACAATCTCCACAGTCACTGGGACACCAGAGTAGAGTATGTTACATAACTAGGGAGCATGTCACACACAGTTCTAGATTCATGGGAATCAGTCCTTAGTAAACCTTACGGAGAAACTCATCCGTTGACTTATCGGCAACCAGCTGTTTCTGCTTCACGTGTTGATTGCATAGCGGGCATCGGGATCTGTGACAGAAGAATACCAGTTATGCAGGACATACTCGTACATTACTTAAAAAGAAATGTTAGTGCACAATATCTACTTGACGGTAAATCCGCTCTGGCCGTGGTTGTTGTGGCGTATGTCAATATGTGTACGTGCACGCCTGCGTGTGAGTGCTTTCCGTGTGCGTGTATGCACGTGTGTGACTATGCTGGCATTGCTTCCTGGATATATGTGTGTATGCTTGTGTATGGATGGTACATCACGGGCAGCACTATGCCCGCACACACACACACATACTCCACCAAGGTATATAGGCCACAAGCCACCGTAACTGTCTACATCAGCTTACCCCCGATCCACAACCTCCTCTATGCATGTTTTGCAGTAGCGATGGCCACATGGCGTGATTGTTGCGTTAGTGATCGTGTCCAGACAGATTGAGCAGATAAAATGATCCTTGATCAGTGCGAACTACCACATCCGAGACATGAACACACAAATACAGTGTCATTGAGATAAAATAACAGCTGTGTCCAAAAGATAAGCTATTCCTTGTCATGTGCATCATTTGATCAACGAATATTGGACAAAAATTCTGACAATCTATTATCAATAAATATTCATCACATTGGACTGTGGTACAGTAAGTTATTCATAAACCGGCGAGGAAATTTGGTTGAATGTCGCATGGTTAGGAACAGACGTCCTTAGTCTGCGAGTAACGGTTAGAGACTTGAAGCAGACACGAGCTCGGAAACGTATTCATCAAGTTTATTAACATACATTAAATCATATTTCTCACGGCTAATCCCCAGGCCATGGCATACCTGTGCACTATAGGCAGGGTTCTAGCCAAAGGGGGGGGGGGGGGGGCACAGCCCCCCCCCCCCCGTGAAAAAATGCCGCCCCCTACTCAGTCTTTGGGTTTTGTACAAGAAACTACTGCAACGATAGGCAACTGTGCCTGCATGTTCATAACTCAGACTTACTACACTGTCCCTCCAGGAAATCGCGATTCCACGGATGCAACAAATTTCGCGATTTTGGCCAAAACCCGCAAATTTCTGAAAAGTCCCCGATTTCCCCGCGTTTTTGTTCTTTTCTGCACTTCTTTTTACATTTTTCTGCACTTTCCACGCAGTATACAGTGCTTTCTATGATCCTGTACTAATTATTTGCACAGTACGCAAATAGCGATTCTAATGATGCAACAAATTTCGTGATTTGGCCCAAATCCGCAATTTCCTGCCAATAATTCCGCGAGTTCCTGGCAAGTTCCGCATCTTTCCGCACTTTTCGCCGCATTTTTTGTTGTTTTCTGCCGCAATTTCTTGCGCAAGTTTTCGATGACTTTTTCCGCAAATTCCCGCAGGGACAGACTACAGCAAAATAGTAGCGACAAAGTCGGCCATTTGATATGTTCATATACTTTTTTTTTTAAACTAAAGCCCAGCCAAGCCCCTGTGTCTCAGTCGTGCCAGTATCTGTTGACATTTTCCAGTGCATGTACCGGTACACTGCCCATAGTGTTAGTATCCAGACATGCAAGCTATATTTCAGAACCATTGTCCCATCATGGCATGGGCATGGGTGGGGACAAAATAAATTAATCGCTCACCGGTATGTCAACGGGAAAATCACTCTCCATTATTTCGGCTGCCTTTCACTCAGTCAACGGCTACAGTTGATCCACTGGCAGTTCTTACCAATAATCTTGGTAATGGCGATAGCAGCTACAAGTAGTAGTAGTAGTCGACTCACCCGGTACGCGGTAAGCTACGCAATTGGTAAATTCCGGCGCATTAGCGGTTGCTACTACATAGACGCTTGTTCGTCAGTGATCCTGAGCCTGAGGCTGAGCTACCACTGCAACCACTTACTACAGCAAAATGGTGCGCTGCGGACAATGCCTTTCTAGAAAGTAATTATTTTTGTCTTGTAGTTCTACCCTACGTCCGGTCCCTAGGCCCTAACTAGTAGTAGTAAGGCTACGGTGGCCTACGCCTGCTATGCGCCGCGTTTCAAGTAGTAGTCCGAGATTTCTTTCGGACGGATACGTAGTCAACCACCTCCTAAGTCCTTTGCAAAGGTTGGTGAATCAATGCACCGCTAAACCATGTAAACCGGGCAACTCTGACTGCAACACGTCGTAGATCTACACACGAGCTAGCTAGCGACAACAATGCAAGTGGTCAGGTTGATTGTGCACTGTGGCCGGGCACATGCACATGAACAGGAAACTAAAACAAGACTAATAAAGACTTTTAAAAGTGCAGTACTAATACTCGACCAGAACGTTACTAAAGTCTTTATGAAGTATCTCTCTGAGGACCGTCTTCTTTCTTCTGAGTTCTGTGGGTATCTTCCTTTTATCAATGTTTCGATGTGGCAATCTTGAATCTTTTTGGCAGTTTTACCTTTTTGTGCTGCTTTGGCATTTTGCTAGTGTCGAGTCTAGTCGACATCAGGAGTCAATGACGATCATCTACTGTCACAACGACGTCATTGCTTCTCCAGCTTTGCTGTAGACATGGTAGATCTACTAGTACTACTGGTAGACGTGTAGTTAGCTTTACTTGACATCAATGACCTGGCCCATGGCATGGGCACTGGCACAGTCTGGCATAGCAGTACTGTACTGGCTTCTGCGAGTGCGACTCTGGGCCAGTCTGGCCTGGTCCGGACCTGTGCAAGTGTCGGTGGCATTCACGGAATTTCACGCCACGGCCTGCCTTCTTCTTCTACATACTTCAAGTCTGGGGAGATAGCGCCTATTTCTATCCCAGTCGCTCTCATTGCGTCACCCTCACAGCTAGCACGATGGTCGATGGAAGTAACACTTAGTTCGAGGGGAAGCCCCTTTATGGGAAAGCCCCTGCATGGGCACGTGTCCACCCGTACGGTACCCGCCACGGCCGGCCGCGCGACGCGCTGGGGGGATGGGCTGCATGCGACTTTCCACATTTCAAAAACTGTAAAATTTCCCTGGTAGCTGCATGAAATTATTCAGTAAACACTGTGAACTGCGACAGGGGAAATATTAATTGAAAGTTCCTTCTACTGTCCCGCTTTCATAGAGAAAACACGAACAGTGTGGTCTATCCTATCAGTTGACGTGTGTAACTGAAGTCCAGTCGTTCAACCTTCCCGCAGTCAAGTTCCCCACGACAGACTATTGTAGCCTATTTTTGTCAAGGACAAGAAATTGAACATCTCCCAGATTCTGTATTAGGTTCCTTATTATCGCGGCCTTCTATAGTCTACTGGCACTACCAGCCATATTCCTGTGGTTCATTTGTAAAATTTTGATCACTGAATGAGTGTATAGGTAAAGAGAAGTGATGGATGTACCTATGGACAAGGCTCTGGCACAGGCTGTGTGGAACCAGAAGATGAAGGCAGAGAAAAATGAGCAAGACCCTGACTTTTTCAGTTCAATGGCGGTTTTGCCTGATCTTGGTGGTCCTGACGAGACCGATCTGGCACTGTTCCAAGACCCTGAGCAAATGGCCAAGATGCCGCCAGGTGAATTAGCCCTGCGTGCAGCGGAACACGGACAAACAGAAGTACTGCGCTCTCTAATCAAAGAACATCCGATCGTGGTTCACACAACCGACTCGGATCAGTACACTCCGCTGCATCGTGCGTGTTACGGTGGTCATGTGGAGTGTGCATGCATTCTGTTGCAGGCCGGCGCTGATCCAAACGCTCTGACGTGTGAGTCCTGGACACCGCTGCACTCGGCATGCCGATGGAACAAGTGGCAATGCGCAAAGTTGCTGCTGCAGAACGGCGTTGATATCAATCGTGCGTCCAGCGGAGGGCAAACGGCACTGCATCTGGCAGCAACCACTCGCCAAGTTGATCATGATTTGCTCGCTGTAATGCTATCTGATCAGAGACTTGATGCTAGCATTCGGAATAGCCTTGGAGAAACTGCAAAGACCCTGGCTAATCGCGAAAGCTACTATGCCAACATGCTGGAGGCTGTGGACGATTGTCTCAATGTCAATGCATAGCTCTACAGTTGTTAGAAGTTCGGAATGCACCAATACTGTCCGATTGCGCAGAAATGTGAATCCCGTTGAACTGTATCCAGCTGTTTACTTGGAATACAGGAGCGGGAAACCACACTGACTGAATAGCACCAAAGAGCAAAGAGTGCTCAACTGGGCCGTCCGGATTGCTTTCTCCCTTATCAAGTAACACGCTATGGAATGCCGTCACAGGGTCTTAGCACGTATGGCAAACGGCTAAGACACCCAAGGCGTATTGTTATGCAATAGAGGCATGGGTTTGCCAATGCTGCAATCTACGGTACTAGTAGTTGGAATTCAGAGCGGGGGCTGTTTTCGACCTATCACGTTATCAGGACAGTGAACGGCACTGATCAGCTTTGTGTTTGTAGCTCTGCTTCAAGAGTCTCACGCTCTGCCATTTGTGTTGCTGCCCATACTCCTACATGGAATGCCACCCTTTGTTGTGCTCAGTGTACAATGCTGAGCTCAACGGAATTTTGCCACTTCCTGTCCTGAGTATGCACGCTGTGTTGTTCATGTGCTGTGCACAGCCTGCCACACGCCTACAGGCACACTGCTGGAGTGGAGGTGTTCCAACTGTTAATGGCTTCTGATGGTAGCACCACACACAATTATCAACGCTTCTACTTAAGTATGCTACATGGATACCAAACTAACTTATTCACCAACGATGAAATTGTACCGCAGACCAACATATTATACTGCAACAAAGAAGGATGGAAGAGGATGCACTTCAGCCAGAATTTAAATCAAATGGCTGTCCAGCAAGCGCTATAACCCAGATGTCAACCTAATTTGTTTGGTTCAGCTACAACTCCCACCACTGAAACTGTACTGCAGTCGACCCATTATCTCCACATATTTATGCTCGTCGGTCTTCCAGTCAATGTTGTGTTCTGTGTCATTTACCTGCTTTGCGACACCGCTGGTCATACTATAATGCACGATGCTTCGCACCGGCAGAGTGCAATGCCAACCCTGCAGCTCTTTTCTGAGATGTTTACCAGATCCACTCGGTCAGTATCAAGCAAACTTCTTCGACTAATACCCAAGAGTAATCTGGACATGAAATTTCCATATATCTATGATGTGCTGTTTGTTGTTGGGCGCTGGTCATGTAGGTCTGTTCAACTTCATACTTCTACTACAGTAGTACCATCTACTTCTACATTTCTGCCTCCATGTATATTGTGCATACATCTTTGAAAAATCCTCTGAAGATTGTAATTGGAGATTTTATCAAATGGCATGGGACGTCATCGTTTGCAATCAGATGTCGGCAGACGCTTTTTGAACCCGTAGCAGCAGCTGCTAGTATAGTGCTCAATGCCCTGGATGCAGAACCTTCATACACATAAAGGACACAGCCACCGAGGATTAGCTAGTGATCCGGAAGATTGCTGTAGGCGCAAAACTCGGACTAGCAACCTAATTGTCTTCCATGTGTGTGAATTATGATTCATGAAGCATCCATAAATCCATAATACTGAAGTGCAGGTGTTTGAGTGGTGCAGTAAAGACTACTCATTTAAATCGCAGCACCAAACACTCAACCACTCATGACACACAGGCCAATGATTATAACTTATAAGTCATTCGACGACCGTATGCATATACAAAAAACAGTGTGAAGTTCGAGGCATGGTCCAGCCATTCAAAGCCTCTTCTGTAAGACAAAATTATAATAAAACTCAATCCAACACAAGAGAAAGTCATGTGCTATCCCAGGTACTGTTTCCAATGCTCGCTGGGGCTGGGAGGAGGGGACGGCCAGCCACATGGCAATGTTGATGTGCTGGACTGTGGTTCTGTAGAGGCAAACATGTCCCACTGGTGACGCACTTGCACGAAGTGTCCCACGCTGCATGATGCTTGCTCATAGAACGAACGAAACATTGCTAAGCCTTCTATCTCCTCAACAGTTGCCTCGTTGTTAGTGGGCCCATCCTTTCCCTCATCACGGAGCTTGGCAGAACGCTTCGCCTTTTCCATCTGGCGGTTCACTTCCTCCTCTTTCTCCTCTTCAAGCATGACTTTGAGCATCTGCTCCTCTTCGTCATAAGCACTGGCTTGCCGCGACCAAAGTTGGCTTAGCCGCTCAATCTCAAGTTTGAACTTGGTTTCGTCCTCCTCAGATATGTCTACACCTTCACGATGCAAGACGGCCTTACGTTCATTGTGCAGATCTGTCAGCACAGTCAGAAGGTCCTGTGACTGTTGGGCCTCAAGTTGCTTCTTCCGAACTTCCCCGAGAGCACCGCCAGCTTGGTTGCGAAGTGAAGCTTCGTGTCGATAGGAAATATCTGCGGCTATCCGCCGAGCCTGCCACTCGTCGATACGCTGGTGAAGCTCTTTGCGCCGCTCAATCGAACCAGGTCCGTACTCCTGGTCCCAGTGCTGACGACGGCGCTGCTTCGCTTTACGGCGCTTGAGCTTTCTCCGACGGATGGTCGTGGCCAGCCGAGATACATCTGCATCGGGGAACTGACCGAGGGTAGAAGCGAGCCCATGACAGGCTTCAGTCACTTTAGCGAGCAGGGCATCCCAAACGTCCGGTGACTCGTAAGTAACCTTCCGCTGAAGATCAGCAAGTCCCTGCAGGGTCTCATCCGATATCTTCTGAAAGTTGGCCAAAAGGTGTGTCTGGCTTGTTAGAGAAAGGTTGCTGCCATGCTTACCTTTCTCCGACAGCCGCTTCTGGCCCCGAGCATCTTGCCAGTGTTTCACCCAATCTTGATCATCATTGGCTCGAGTTGGCAACGCTTTTGTTTGTGTCGGTACAGCTGGTGGTACTGAAGTGGGTACAGTAAGTGCAGGAATGCCTGGTAAGTGACGAGCCATACTGGCAGTTGTTGAAAGATGATTTGGTGGTCGTACTGGCAGAAATGATGGTGCCATGGTCGTTGGCTGTTCTAATGAAGGTTGAGGCAACCTGGGCGGAGGGCCTTGTTGAGGCATCGGAGGGGCTCCATGCCGCAGCTGCTGTCCATCAGGTGCTGGCATAGACCCGAACTGATGATTCGGTGGAATGGGGAGTCTATGCTGAAGCTGCTGCTGAGGTGGACGTGCAGGTAGAAATGGTGGCGGCATCGTTGATAGGTGTGATAAGGATGGGCGAGTTAACCCGGGAGGAGGAATGGGTTGTCGACCCGGGGGACTTAACCCTGGGGGAGGAATGGGTTGTTGACCCGGGAGAGTTAATCCTGGGGGAGGGATGGGCTGTTGACCTGGTGGCATCGGGGGTGGCCCACGCTGTATATTATGTTGTCCATCCGACACTGGCATAGGCCCCAAATGACGACTTGGTGGAGGAGCAAAGCGTCTATGTTGAAACTGTTGCTGATGTGGTGGCAAAGGAGGATGGTGCATACCTTGTTGTTGTTGGTGGTGGTGTTGCACTTGGTCCGGCGGCATCCATGGCCTCATGAATGGTGGCGGCCTTGCCATTAGCGACGTTCAATACGCTCTCTAGCTCTTCAGTTCCCTGAGAAATTATCAACAAGCAGTAGATGCTACTCAACTAGTCACTGATGGCATGGTAAGGCAGGAAGACCATTTCCAAGTCAAATAATTATAGAAGATTTGTTACAATAGTGTGGAGACTACACCATGCTCTTCAAATGACCGTAATGGAACTCGAAACACACGCACATTCTACCATAATATTGGCTGGTGATTTACAAGGAATGAGCTGTTGTTATAAAACATACAGATAATTATAACTTATGTTTCGTCTTCTCCTACTGTAACGCAAATACTGACTTCCTGATTCGATTTTCAAAAATGTTCATAAACTACCACATGCACACTATTAGTTGCACTGCTGCATCGGTCTTCATGGTGATGACTCATATGCATGATCTGATCGTGTTTCCGAAGTACGTCATGTGGTCAGTGCATGCACAGAGAAGTCGAATCGAAAATGGAATCAGACGAATGCAATGAACAAAACGTAAAACATGCTTGACATGATATGATTGCTTTTTTGAATTTATCCTGTATATTTTATACATGTATATCCTGTGTCCTGTGTTCGAGTCCCTTCCTTTTGGTGGTACTCCTTCCCCTTTCCACATTGTGTAGTTTGGATGTGCCATACCACTCCTCGTGAGATTCAAAGTTAGTCCTTGCCATGGCAGCATCTACAAGCCATGGGTGACAACTTTGAGCAAGAATTAACCACTTTCGTGGCTCGAAGGCGAAAGTTTTTCCCAATTTCAGAGCCGTCATGCACTATTGTTAGGTGTGATAATAGTAAGTGTTATGTACATGATTTAATTGGCTAGTGATCATACTTGTGATAGCTACTGAATCTGGGGATAGAACTGTTTCTCCCTTTGTGGACTCATCAGATAAATGAGGCCATACCTGATGGCAATGAAAATAATACTTCGAGTAGATAGTAGATACACACGCGCTCATGTACATGTATATAATTCTCAAAATCCTGAGTTAATCAGCGGGTTATTGTAGTGGTGATGCACTGTGCGACGTATCCATATGCAGAGTTGATGTATGAAAAGATAATTGTTAGCACACGGAACAACACTGAACCATGGATCATCATACACTGTACGGCACTTTGGACGACAAGCTGGAAAGAAGAAGTCAACAATACACAGACATTTGTTATCCAATCCGAAGTGCTGTACAGTGTATGAAGAGATAATTATTTTGGGCTTGGGTGGCGAGCCAATGTATTCATGGTTAAGACTAAGGACTGCTACGAGCTACCTCATTTTCCGGTGTGTTAGCCGCAGCAATGTCTAAGCCCCCCCCCCCCCCCTTTCGGGTCCTACATCCGTGTTTTTGTTGACAGAGGTATAAGCCGCACGTCAGACTTTGAACTTTTTGGCAGCCTATCGGTACATACAAGATATTACCAATAGTTTTATAAAAAAAAGTTTCAAAGCATGACTGAAGGCTGTGAAGTTCTAACGAAAGTTTCCTAGTCTGCAATCTGATCTGACAACATGTAGAGGATTCGTGCTAGTGCAGTTATGGCTTGCAGTCCACTGGTAAATAGTAGCCGAATGACACCATACATATACATGTATTATGCATGGAGCGCTGTATAGCGCTGATAGATACATATCCAGCATTCAGAGTCTAAGCAGCAGGGACGATTTTTGAGTGTTTTTATGCGTTCGAAGGTGCGGCTAACACCCCGGAAAAATACGGTATTTGTTGCTTAGCATTGTTTGCCTGTGTTTCCATAGGTTTTGCAGAGACAGGCAACCTGGAAGAGTATGTATCGCTGAATTATGAACAAAGAGAGCAGCGCTTACTGCAGGTGGGATGTGTTCATGCGACTCTCTTTGATTTGACTTTCTTGACCCTCTCTCACAGCTGTGCTTTTGCATTTTTGGGTATTGCACTAGTATGCTCTGTTCGCTGCTGTAATCTGTGATGTTTTCTCATCACTATGGTGGTAGTAGTAAGTAGGGCTCAAACGGTTAGTCCGATTAACCGGTTGCAGACCGGTTACGAAGAATTAACGGTTAACCGATAAAGATAACGGTTACGCAGTAACTATCAGGTCGCTGCAAAGTATACACTTTCGCAGGCTGTCGCACGCGTACACAATTTCTGGGCTGTCAACTCGGTCATATCTGGTCTCTTGGTGTGAGAGTATGTATGAATGAGCATGCAAGAGAATGTACATGTGTGCGTTGTACTGAATAGGGTACATTTTGTGAATGAGCCTCAGTAATAGTCAAATATACGGTTAAAAAAGAGTCCGCAGGATTGCCGTGGCTTATAGGTTATAACCGTTAAACCGACCGTTAGCTTAGCAGTTAACCGTTAGGGGTAAAACCGTGACCGTTTGAGCCCTAGTAGTAAGTGTCCTCACATTTCGTGGATTGTTTTGCGTCTTGTTGTTCTGCAGAATGTACGCATAGGCGATGTATTTGTCTGTGAGGTCCTTGATGTTCTGGACTATTCTGGACTTGATCTACGCTGTGTCGAGGTGCATTGTCTCATTGGCTCTAACCTGATCCTGCCGGTTTATACATCCATCCCGTGGCAGGTTAGTGAGAGAGAACACTGCTACTGCTGATGGTGGTGGTGCTGCTGCTGTATCTGAATTTGAGATTTGCCTAGTGGGGCAATAGGCTGATCCGCCATTTTAGGTGAAGATATTACAGTAGTATTGAAACAGGGCCAAAAAACCTCACTGTCTTGATTGCACAGTAATACACATGCCATCATCCGTCACCCGCCACTGGTCAAAATCGAGGGAATATACCCTCAGAGAATGTGCACTGGAGGAAGATGTTACTGTACTCCATCCAGTTCAGTAGCAGTGTAGCACGATCTAATGCAATACATGTACTTCAAGTAGTCGTTTTCAGTAAAAGCGGATGGCATGGAAGCTGTTAGTCCACTGTTTTCGTTACAGCTGCTTTAGTTTTAACGTGGAAAACCTCCGATTTATGAGCTGCAAACTTTCGTGAAGTTCAGCCAGGACAGGCACAAGATGGCAGCACTGAATCATGCTTTGTTTTGAATATATTTCTGTTGTCATCATTTGTGATGGGTTTGTGTACAGGTCACATGTCCAATCACGGAATTGCCTCGAGATGATGACAAGGAAGACTTGACAGAAGGCTTTGCAGCCGGTGATGTTCTTCGAGGTTGGTAACGTAGCGTCCAGGCTATATGGCGTTCCTGTGATCTGCTCAGCCTGCCAGTATTTTCATTCGTTTGAGGGAAAGATGCAAACGAAAAAAGTCTGAAGAAAAAAATTGACTGTCACCACCAGGACTCGAACCAGGGACCTTCGCTTCAGGCCAGCGATGCTCCAGCCTCTGAGCCTGCCAATATTCCTCTTTCTTTCTTTCTTTCTTTCTGACGGTCGTTTGTGAATTGTACCGGTAACCATCTCAAATATCTCATACAATTTCGATAGCAGTGAGACTTCAGTAGACCTTGGATACAGCACACGCTTATCTTTGCATCGGGTGTGAAGTATAGTCAGACCTCGCTTGTCCGGTCCTCTTTTATCCGGATCCCCCACCATCCGGAAGAAAATCGTTGGTTACCGATTTAGAGCATATGTCATGCATACATACAGTACGTGTGTTCGATTATCCGGTTCCCTCGCCTATCCGGATATTTTTGTGGAAAACGGATGTGTGCGGTTAAGCGAGGTATGATTGTACGTAGTGTGCATGTATGTAAACCCTGCACGAGACCGTACATTCTACTGAAGTTGCACAGTACACTGCCTGTAGTGATATGACAATAGGGCTTGAAAGTGATGACGTCAAAAACGGCCAGGGAGTAGTAAGTTGACATCAGATTTCTATTTTGGATCCACTAAGGTGTGACTTTGCTATTGCCTCAGTATGTGGGTGCATAGCAACTCACTCATGTCGTATGCAGGGGTGACTTTTACTTCGCCACCAGTTGTAACCCCGCCCCCAGTAGCCAAATCAGTCAGTTTCACTGGTTACATCACCTTGCTGTGAGTAAGACGGCTTGAAATGTGCTTGGATCCATACAAAAACTGGATCCAAGTGGATCCAGTTTTTGAATTTTTGAAATTGTTGCTATGCTGTGACGTAGCACTTTCAAGCCCTATATGGCTGTTGGGGCATCGCTCCTGACCATACCCTGTGCATGTACTGTATAGCAGGAAATTTTCGGACGATTTCGTACACGGCCTCTTTTGTACTAAAATTAATTCCGTACTAAAATTTGTTCCTGTGAAGTTATGTGCACTATACATGCGTACCGCATGCGAACACGTGCATTTAGCATGCAGCACTGTACGAAAATATAATCCGTAGGAAAGGTCGAAATTCGGCTTTGTCCGAAAATTTCCTGCTATACAGTATAATAATATTATCATTTGTTCAGCTTACTCTATGCCACTTTGCCCGCTTTGGCCAACCCAGTGACTTTATGGCACCTCGCTGTAGTAAGGGTAGATCCACTGAGGGTCATGTGTCTGGGGATCCTCCAGAAAGCTGTTCTGCTCCTCTAGAGCTTCTTGTTGGTGGCCGATTTATTGCGAGTGGCATGAATTTCAACATCATCTTGTCAATGTGCGCAATGTGTGTTTACTCCTTGCTTGTTGATGCATAGCTGTTGCCATTCATTGCCAGCGGTCAGATGGCGAAGATGGTGAGCGTGAAACAGCCTGGACCGTTTCCCTGCGAGCTCATCGTCTGAGCGACAAGCACCGTGACTCCATAGAGCTGGTAGGTGTAGATGTGTGTGCAATGGAATCCCCAGCGGGAAGTGGTTACAGAATGCACTGTTATGTATCACTATATAGAAACGCTCGGGGTAAACATTGGGTGTCTTCCCTGAGCCTTTCTTTCGAAGTTGCGGTTGTGTAGCGTGGCCCAAGTGGTTGGGCACACAACAACCAACAAGTCTCACCAGAGCAAGGAGAAGTGGTTGAAGAAATGAAGGATGATCTTTCTTCAGAGACAGAGCTTTTTATATGTGCCAAGACTAAGAGAGTTCAGGTTTCACATAACAACGAGCAACGGTTTAGACCAATGAGGAGATAGAGAGATGGCACAGATTCGGCCAATCAGAAGACATGTATTGGAAGAAAGTAAAGAAAAAAAGGAAAGCTTCTGAAAAAGGTAGGTTCGAACTTCACATGCAAAGGATACTAGTCTTATGACTGTACAGGTTTTAACACACCAAGCTACAGTGACACAGGCACTAGACTACAATGCAACAGGTACAAGGTTGAAGAATCTGCATGCTCTACATGGCCCCCTCCCAGATTGAATCACGTCCTCGTGATAATGTGAATATTGTAAAAATAAAAATGAAACGAAAGAACCCAAGGAAGAAGCTATATAAACTGTGTGTTAAATGCCAACCCAACACTATATCTAAAAAAAACTCAAATCTCAATCTCTCAAATCTTCACAAGAAAATTGTACATATCAATTGTTCTTGGCTCTCATTGACGGTATCGCACCGGCCTCTGGAGATTTGCCCGATTGCGTAAGTTATACCCACCTGCCTGTGGCATGATCGGAACGGCCGGCACAACGGGAGCTGCCGGAACAGCCGGGACTGGAACAGCCGGAACTGGAACAGCTGGAACTGCCGGAACTGGAATAACCGGAACTGCCGGAACCGGAACAGGCGGAACTGGAATAGCCGGAACTGCGTCTTGCACGTAATCAATTAGCGCCGGTTGAGGTAGGTGTGCTGGCACTGGAGCGTGCTGCTCCTCCGGTACTCGAGTCGTTGACTTGAGCCGGTTGATGTGCACCACCTGGAGTTTCCCCGTATCACAGTGCTCAATCCTGTACACCACGTCATCGATCACCTCGACAACTCGATACGGCCCGGTCCATGGCTTGAGGAACTTCTTTGTGTTGCCTGCTTTCACAGCTGGGTTGTGTAAGCGCACCTTGTCATTGATCGCAAACCGTGGCTTGGTCGTCTTTGCATCATAGTAGTCCTTCTGACGTTTCTGTGCTTTAGCGCCAGCTGATCGAGCGTGAGAAAATGCCTGCTGCAAGGAGATCTCGAGACCAATCATATAGTCAGGTACAGATTTGACATGTTCTCTGGAGTCGTTAAACATAATATCCACTGGCAACTTAAGCTCTCTGCCGAACATCAATCTAGCTGGGGTTTCCTTGGTTGAACTATGTACGCTACTACGATACGCCAGTAAACAGCGTTGAATATGCAGGTCCCAGTCATTGTGATTGGCATTGACTCTGGCACTCAGCATGTTCTCAAGTGTACGATTCATCCGTTCAACTAAACCATCACTAGAAGGATGATATGGAGTCGTGCGTGTCTTCTTCATATCTAACAGTTCACAGATGGATTTGAACAAATTTGACTCAAATTGCGCACCTTGATCAGTGTGGATAGACAGTGGCACACCGTAGCGACAAATGAAACCATCAATCAGTGCCGAAGCTATTGTCCTAGCAGTCATATCCGGGATGGCAAACGCTTCTACCCACTTCGTGAAATAATCAGTAATCACAACAATGTAGAGGTTACCTCGATTTGTTCTGGGCAGTGGTCCCATGATGTCCATCGCGACACGTTGCAGTGGAAAGGATGGTTGGTCCACCTTCATCGGAGCGCGAGCGGTTGGTGCTGGGGTACGCCTAGCTGAACAAAGCGCACACGCCTTGCAATGCAGCTCAATGTCAGACGACATAAAAGGCCAATAGAATCTAGCTTTCACCTTCTCTAGAGTACGTTCAGTAGCGAGGTGGCCACCACTACACTCATTGTGCATCCCAGTCATAATTCTCTGTCGCAAACTGACAGGTACAACAAGTTGCAGAAATGAGTTGCTACCATCTACTGAAGTGTACGTACGATACAATAAGCCATCTTGCAGAACCAGCCGTTTCCACTGACTCCACAGACGTATCAAGGTTAATGATGCTCCTTTCATAGCACTATCACTGCGTTTAGGCCTGTCTAACAATGCTTGTTGCCAACCAATCATGCAGTCAATGTCACTGTCTTCCGCTTAAGCTCTGCGAATATCTTCTGCACTAAAAAAATCTGCCCAATTGCTTCCAAGTAAATTGCTATCATCATTCGCATGTTCTGCAGGTTGTGATTCAACGTCAACATTACCCACGTATGCTTGATGTCCAGAATCCTGCGTCAATGCATCACCAGCTGCTGTATCCGGAGAGACTGATGGCACGGCTGTAGGGACAGGAATGGAAGACTGGGAAGGACAGACAACAGTAATATTTGGATCCATTACTGAAGGCTCGGCAGTGGTCGATGCAGGATGCTCCGAATTGTCCGCAGGTTGGCTATGGAACCGTGACAATGCATCTGCGTTGGCATGCTGAGTACCTCTACGGTGGACAGTTGTGAAATCGAACGCTTCTAGTTTCTCCAACCATCTCGCCAGGATACCTTCCTAATCCTTGAAAGACTTCAACCAGAGAAGGGCTTTGTGATCGGTTCGCAAGGTAAAGTTTGCACCCAGCAAATAATGTTTGAAGTATTGCACAAAGAAGACCACTGCATACATCTCACGCCGAGTTGTGCCGTAGCGACGTTGGCTCTTACTAAGTGAACTACTAGCATACGCAATTACCTGCTCTCTGCCCTGATCGTCAACCTGCGATAGAGTTGCACCAATACCAGTGTCAGAAGCATCCGTGTCCAGGATAAACTTGCGGGATGGATCCGGGTACGTCAGGACAGGAGATGACGTGAGCTTCTGCTTCAGGATATCGAACGCTTGCTGACACTCATCCGTCCACGAAAAGCTTGCCTGTTTCTGCATTAGCTTGTGTAGCGGTGCTGCAATTGTCGCGAAGTCCTTGATGAACCGCCTGTAGTAGGAAGCAAAACCTACAAATCGACGAACCTCGGTTGCAGAGCTAAGTGGTTTGAGACTGGTGACCGAACTGCAATTCTTGGGATCAGGGCTCACACCACCTCCCTTGAACACATGCCCAAGATACGTAACCGACTTGCTCAGAATCTGGCACTTACGAGGCTTGACCTTCAAACCTGCTGCCCGGAATTTTTCAAACACTAGGCGCAGTCTAACCAGATGTTCTTGAAATGTTTTCGAGAAAGTTATGGTGTCATCTATGTACGCTGAACATACGCTTGGCACAAGATCACCCAGAACCATGGTCATCAGGCGCTGGAAAGTTGCTGGGGCATTGCACAACCCAAATGGCATGACTTTCCATTCAAACAATCCAAATGGAGTGACAAATGCTGATTTCGCCCTTGCTGCATTAGTTAGCTCTACCTGCCAGTAACCGGATGCAAGATCTAGGGTTGTGAAATACTGTGCGTCACCCATGTTGTCTATCGCATCATCAATCCGCGGAATGGGGAATGCGTCTCTGACAGTTACAGCATTGAGTTTGCGATAATCGACACATAGTCTAATAGCTCCATCAGGCTTCCGAACAACAACAATAGGGGCTGCCCAAGGACTGTTGGAAGGATCGACTAAACCCTCAGCTAAAAGCTGCTCAACATGTTCACGAACCTCATTGGCATGGTGAAGCGGCAATCGTCTAGGGGCTTGGCGAATAGGCTGGCTGCTAGTGGTCTCGATGTCGTGTTTGGCAACACCGGTAGAGCCAAGATCCATTGCTTCCGTTGAAATTATGTCGCTGAACTCCGAGAGAAGAGACCTGACGGCTGCTGCCTCTTCTGTATCGAGATGACTAAGGTCAAACAACTCAACAGGGTCAGAACACATATCAGCAGCATTACAGCTTTCAGCAGTACAATCACGCTCATCCGCGGCTTCTGCGGCTTTCTCAACAAAGCAAGATTCGAACATGCCAACAACTGTACCCTTGTTTATAGTGACAGGCCGTGGTAGCAGGTTCTGCAACCTGACAGGAACAGTACTGTTCTCACTCACGGTCGTGACCACTCTAGCTGCACTGACACAAAATTTATCTACGAACGAATCTGTTGGCTCTACCATTCCGCACGATGGAGACATAAACTCAGTGTCACGTAATCTACCTTGCGTTATCAACTGAGAATAGCCCTGTAGAACAACAGATTCAGCCAATTGCACTGGAATGGGGTCGGTTTCCACTCTCTGACATGAAAGGTGCTTGGGCCCAACTCCCTGTGTTAATGGAAGGGTCTGATTGCTCAAGCGCAGACAGCCTTGTCCCAGATCCATAATACAACCGTGCCTACGGAGGAAGTCTATGCCTAATAGTACGTCAGGCTCAATGTTTGCAACTACCATAGTGTGCTGAAGTTGGAGGCTGCCAAACTCTAGGTGCACATCCACCGCTCCTTCCACAGTCACGCCACTGCCATCAACACTTCGGACTGATGTAGAAATTTTGTTTAATTTTATATGCTTATGTTGTTGATAGAATGCTGAGCTGACAAACGAAATCGAACTTCCAGAATCAACTAACATGTGGACATCAGTTATGCATATTGAACTTACTTTGCCGATAACATACTGGCAACTGTCAACAGCAACGGAATGGCATACTACATCGGAAGGCGCGGCGGGCAGCACTTCCGGGCCATGGTGGTTTGGAGCTGACTCTGGACCCTCTATGCCAACTCCCGGCCGTTTCCCGAAGGGCGCTGACGTTGTCCCCGGGATGGAGGTGCAGTTGGGCAGTACGCAATCAGATGTTCGGCACTCCCACAATGGTAACAGCGGCGCTGTTGTTGGGGTTGCTGCTGGGGTTGCTGCAGCGGTCGCTGCAAAGATGACAGAGCGGTTTCCAATCGTTCCATCCTTACTAATAAGGCATCCAAACGATCTTCCCTGGCAGCACAGACAGCCGCGGCCACTGGCTGAGACGCACTAGTAGTAGCGTCCGCTTGGAGTATGGCAAGTGCTCGAAGTCCTTGCTGCAGTGCCTGGTCAAGAGTTCGGGGGTCTTGGCGACGTACCTCCATGCGCAACTCTCTGCTGTCCAGACCTTCAATGAATTGGTCACATGCCAGCTGGTCCTGCACGAGGTTTGGCAAGGTAGGGTACGCTCTGCGAGACAATCGGCGAATCACCTCGCAGTAATCAGACAACGCCTCCTCACCTCGCTGTCGTCTGGCCTTCAATTCCGCTCTGTGGAGGTCGGTCCTGACGGGTGGAGCAAACCGACCCTCCAGAGCTACCAGTAATTGCTGAACATCCTGGCGTGTCGCGACAGGAAGCGACTGGTAGTAGCACTGCGCATTATCTATCAAGTACAACGGGATGTACTGTGCCTGGTCCTGCGGCGTCCACTGATTAACCAGGTAAACTTGAGTGAAGTGGTCACGCCAAGTAGTCCAGTCCGAGGCTGCTCCACCATCAAAACGTTCCGGAGTTGCCCATGGCCAGATGGGTCGAACGGGAGCTGGCTGGGCGGGCTGAACTGGCTGGGCGGGCTGAACTGGCTGGGCGGGCTGAACTGGCTGGGCTGGCTGCACTGGCTGGGCGGGCTGAACTGGCTGGGCTGGCTGGGCTGGCTGAACTGGCTGGGCTGGCTGAGCTGGCTGGGCTGGCTGGGCAGGACGGGGCGGCTGGGCCGGCGGTACTTGCTGGTTAGGCTGTGCTTGGGCCATTCCGAACCAGGAATCACTTCACATTGTCACAACAACAAAAACATAGCATGAAAAAAAAAACCCGAAACATCCACCGCTGCCACCAGTTGTAGCGTGGCCCAAGTGGTTGGGCACACAACAACCAACAAGTCTCACCAGAGCAAGGAGAAGTGGTTGAAGAAATGAAGGATGATCTTTCTTCAGAGACAGAGCTTTTTATATGTGCCAAGACTAAGAGAGTCCAGGTTTCACATAACAACGAGCAACGGTTTAGACCAATGAGGAGATAGAGAGATGGCACAGATTCGGCCAATCAGAAGACATGTATTGGAAGAAAGTAAAGAAAAAAAGGAAAGCTTCTGAAAAAGGTAGGTTCGAACTTCACATGCAAAGGATACTAGTCTTATGACTGTACAGGTTTTAACACACCAAGCTACAGTGACACAGGCACTAGACTACAATGCAACAGGTACAAGGTTGAAGAATCTGCATGCTCTACAGTTGTTTGGTAGAGAGATCGCTCAATTGAACACCGTGATTGCCTCCTTTTATAAATTGAAGCATCGTATCAAGATTCTGTATGGGTATTCCTGTATTCCCGGCCACTATCCCTGACCCATTGCAAATACGCTTCATTTTTGACATGCAGTATTGAACTTTTCTGCAAGGGATGAAATGAAGACAGTATGGGTGTACTGCTTTCTAAGATGAACCGTAGCATGGCGCTGAGTGCATTCTACTAGTCAGCAAGGGTTTGTGAGTGACTACTAGTGGGTTTGTGAGTGACTACTAGTAGTAGTAGGACGAAAACGAACGTTCAACTCCCTGTACTATACTTCAGTAGATGTCTCGGAAAGACATACGTGTATTGCCATTCTGTGATGACTTGAAGGCAGCACCGGTTCTTTTCCATTTGTTTGATGTTCGTCCATCTCAGGGTTTGCTCGGCCATGATGAAGGAGAGTCCACTTTGGTCAGGTCAGTAGCATGTCTTCTTGTCTATGCAGTGTGGTATTAAATATTAACCCAGGAGTACAAGTTGTACAATACAGTCGACTCCACTTATAACGAACTCTCATGTTGCGAATTTCTTGATATAGCAAACCATTTTTCATGTCCCTTGTTGAACTTGAACCCGTACAAAGTTGACCCTTTGTAGTGAACAGTTTTCGTTTATAATGAACACTATCTTGTAGGGCCTCATGAAAACCAAGTGCAACATGCAGTCATGGGCCACATGCCAGTCATGCCGTGTTGTTTGTATGTGTGAGTGCTTTTCTGTTATATTAAAGAGCTTCGGCTATAAAGAAGTTAAAGAACGCTAATTCTCCTACACGATGGTGTTCGTTATATCAGGAGTCAACTGTACCGGGAGTTGACATAGTCGCCGTGCCTGGGTTGCCTCGGATTCTCACATGACAGCATTGGTATTGTAATATTCCCTGGACAAGACCTTGGCAGCATTTTTCAAATAATCGGAACCGATGATCGGATCAAGAAGTTAGTTAGTTTCGTTGACAAGTAAGTCAACATGTCCGCTCTCACTGTTGTGTGTTTGGTTGTTGCTCCTTGTTACAGAGTGGACAAAGCTTTATGTCAGCAGTACACTGGTAGTGATAAAGTGGTGCACTATGGAGCAGCGCCATCAGTCAAAACAGATGGAGACTGCGGAACACGCTTCATCGATCGCATCTGCAGCCAGGCGGCCTTCCGCAACCCGGCCTGTGTCAGCAGTCTCACGCAAGAGCTGGCCATCAATACTTCCAAGCCTTGTACTCTTCTCGAGTATGGAACCAAGTGAGCTTGTTGGGGTGGGTAGGGGAATTTCTACCTCTATTTTCGTTGCATCAGAGTTTTGTGGGTATTAAACGTTTGTATTCTGAGCAGCTGAGTTTGGAATACTAGTCCCCAGGGTGTAGCTTGGAAAAATGCTTACAGGCACCCATGAGTTCTTTTGGGAGGTACATGTAGTACAACTGTACAACGTAGTTGACCTGAGCAGTGTTCAAGTGAGTTCAGTGTTCTTCACGTCATGATCTGTATGTAACCATGGTAACTCTGCTGCTGCTGCTGCTGCTGCTGTTGTTGTTGCTGGTGTTGTTGTTGTTGTTGTTGTTGTTGTTGTTGTTGTTGTTGTTGTTGTTGTTGTTGTTGTTGTTGTTGTTGTTGTTGTTGTTGTTGTTGTTGTTGTTGTTGACGTCTAAGGTTGGCTCGGCTAGATGAAACGGAGAAGTACCTTGGGTTGCGTGCACGGCATGTGCGTGAGCTGTCACGTGAAATGTGAGTACCTTTCTTCATCTTGGCTAAATATTTGACGTGCAGCAAACTCTCGGAAGACGAAACGTATTATTTTATGTGACGAACAGAAAAACAAGATATACGTGTGACCCTCATGTTTGAAAACCTGAGACATACCTAATGCATCATGTTTCGGTTATTGGAGGTAGTCAGTCTTCTCTGCACTTCTCAAGAACTCCCATGGTGCAGCACACGACTGCATTCGTGCAGAACAAAGTCTCCCCCCCCCCCCCCCCCCCAGTTTGGGGTCCATCAGCTTGAACCACGAAACCTTACATAATCCTGAAACCTGGCTGAATTCAAAACTTCGTTTCTTGCGAGTACAAGTATTTTGAAGTACATGAGCAGAATTGTAGAGCAAGGACAAGCCTGATGGCGTCAAGAAATTTCTGAAGACAAGGAGACGGCGTTGCAGAAAAATGCAAAAGCTATGCACCCATTGATATTGATTATTACCTGTACATACTGTATACGTAGTCAAGTGGTGTGAGTGCGTGTGGGCTTGTGTACATGTATATGAAGAGAAGAGGTCCAGTTAAATTATGTTGTTTTTCATGCCAAAGCAATCTTTAGACAACCGATAAAAAGCGCCGGAATTGATCATTGCATGTACATATCTATGCCTGTGCCCGTGTCCGGTTCATGGGGGTTTAGGCCTAGTGAAACATAGCAATGCTGCTGCTTTGATAAAGATACCTTGAAGCTAGCCTTAAAGGGGAAGTAGTTAAGGCAAAAATCAAAATTTCACCAGTGGTAGTCTTCGGGGTGCTGAGTCGAATGGTCGTGGTCCGAGGAAGCTGAGACGCTCCCTTCCTACTTGAATCCCAATCGAACTCGCGCACTTCCACCGAAACTGGGTGACTGCGCCCTACTAGATGGGGATTTGTATGCAAAATGTCACTAAAAGCGCCATTTCGTTCTTGTTAAAGCACGGCTGACCGCGATTGGCCCATATGTTGTAGTCTTTTGGACGCTGAGTCGATTGGTTTTGGTCCGAAAAGGCTGCGATGCAGCGTTCCTCCTTTATTCCCAATCGAACATGGTTGAACAAGCGGTCACGTGCTCCTGCGTACACCAGTCACCTGGTCACCGTGCCTGCAGGGTACAACTTACTAGCCTGTTTGACCTTTTTTGGGTGCAGTCCTGTCACTCGAGTTGAACCTTGGTGTGAAAGTTGTCGCCTGCTGGCGTGGTGACCAGGTGATTTGGGCACCCAGGAGCACGTGACCGCTTGTTCAACCATGTTCGATTGGGAATAAAGGAGGAACGCTGCATCGCAGCCTTTTCGAACCAAAACCAATCGACTCAGCGTCCAAAAGAACATATGGGCCAATCGCGGTCATCCGTGCTTTTATAAGAACGAAATGGCGCTTTTAGTGACATTTTGCATACAAGTCCCCATCTAGTAGGGCGCAGTCACCCAGTTTCGGTGGAAGTGCGCGAGTTCGATTGGGATTCAAGTAGGAAGGGAGCGTCTCAGCTTCCTCGGACCACGACCATTCGACTCAGCACCCCGAAGACTACAACTGGTGAAATTTTATTTTTTGCCTTAACGTCCCCTTTAAGTGCACGAGAATTGTCAACCACCGCCAGCCAGGACTCTGTTGTGAGTGCATTGATGTATTCCCCAAACATCTGCATGTTCTATTATCAGAATGGAGGAAGGCATCGATCTCATGAAGCGGGGTCAGCAAAAGGAAGCGTTTGAACGACTTGACACGGCTGTGAAGACCGATCCCAAGAATGCTGATGCTAGAGTTGCTCGCGGTGCTCTGTAAGTCCTAGTACTTCCTAAATGACTTGACTACTTTTAAAGAAAGAGAAAGAGGTCAAAATTGGAGGCGTATCCAATTTTGAAGAAGTGTCAGCACCGACGCAACCCACACAGTCAAGTACTACAGTAAATGAAACAGATTAGGCTGGATGGTGTTGTCAAATGAAAACTGGAAACTGTCCAGATGTCTGTTCGAGGCATCACGCAATGCAAACACACACCAAGAACCTGTCGCCCGACGGCTTGTGAATGATGCAGGACGTGTATTGACTTCGTCCTTTGAACGAGAGGTCCATCTCGTCTATTGATACTTCATGATTGTGAAAATAGACCGCGTTTGACTTCCGCTCCCGCTCATCTAGTAGTGGTCGGACCTTGATTAATAAGAATCGTCCACTTTCACTCCTTGTGTTTCGAACTACAGGCACCAGGGTGTGTGTGTGGGGGGGGGGGGGGGGGGTATTTCAGATCCTCTTCCTCCGCGCTCCATTTGCAACATGAGCAATATCGTCTTCTCTGTGATCCTGATCACGAATACAATTTACGTCAATGTCACTACCACCACCATCACTCCCGTCATCATTCACGGTCACAGACAATCCAGAAAACGATAACTAAAACTAATGGCAAATCCTAGGCTACATGTAGGATCACAATTTTAACAAAACCTCACCGCCCAAATTGGACTGGAAATTCACCACACGGCATTTGTAAAATTGCACAACACATGGGCAGCCATGCCATTATTCGCGGCAACCCCACGAGACTAAAAAAAGAGAGAATATGTTTGTGATCGAATTGTGAACTTTTGAAGTGCAAAATTATGGCCGCAATCCTGCACGTAGTATTTGCTGGATTATTGTAAAAAGAGATACCAACTTGTCTCCAACCATGCATGTTGCATGAACAGCTCTGAACAGTTGTGCACTGAGCACTCTCCCAGCAACGGTATCTACCTCTATGTATTAATATTCAGATTGTTGTTGATGACATTAAATGAGCACTGATCCCCTTGTGCCCGTCTTGGCCATTGGCTTTGGTCTAACTGATGTGTGTATTCAGGCATGCCAATCGCGGAGACTTTGCACCGGCCATCCGTGATTTTGACGAGGTTGTGCAGAGTGTGCCGGACCATCAAAATGCACGGCAGTACTGGGCAGACACCAAAGTTGCCTTCGCAAGAAAGTGAGTACATGTCTCCATCTGGTCTAGTGTCTCCATCTGGTATATTTTGTTTAACCTTTGAGGGAAACTAGCAGATGTGTCGATCACCGTCTCAGTGTGACCTTGTGATGGTGTATACACATCTTAATCCTTGTACCTCACAAGGTGTGTGTGTGGGGGGGGGCTTTGGTCAGTTTAGTAGTCCATTCAGTCATCTTTCTAGGATCCTGAATCTACCCTCTCCCGGGGAGACCTGCATAATCAGTTTCTGGCAGTGTGTAAAGTGGATGTGTGTGTGTGTGCGTGCTTGTTTGGGTGGGTGTGTGGGTGGGTGTATGTGTGTGGGTGTACATGTGTGCGTAGTACTACATACATACTCAAGTACACATATAACTGTATGTGTTGATGCATGTGTTGATGCGTGTGTTGATGCGTGTCCGGGTTGCTGTTAGACTGGAGCGTACCATGAAGCTGCAGCAGGCGTTTGATCATGTGCTGGATGTCCTCCGCAAGCTGCCTAATCATGCCGCTGGTCTGGAATTGGAGAAGCAGCTGAAGCCTCATGTATCGTTGGTAAGGTGTTATTTGCTACTGTGCGTAAGGAAAGCTTGTGAACATGTTGTGACGCCCGTGTGCACAGTTTCTATGAGATGAATGTAGCCTGTAAAGTGTACTGGCTTCATGACGCATGCCAAGACACAGCTATGCTGATAATATTGTGCATTTTTTGACTACGCTGGGCGGGGGTACTGGTGTGGGTGCTTTTCTCTCGGCACTCTGACATCTCACCGCATCGCCATTCCCTTCCCCAGGCTCTCGCAATGGTCATCGATCCCTGATCCATGCTGCAGACACGTTGTGGTGTGCGACCAGTGGAGTTGCTTTGGTCATCAGTGGAATCAGATGCCTGCATGTAAAAGTATTTTAGTAGGACAAATTGTGAAATTGAGGCTGTTTTTTTCTTTTTTTCTTTGTTTTACTGTGTTCACATTCCCAGCTCGAAAATAATAAAGAAAGACAATTCTGTTGTGGCATCTTAGTTGGATTCCAGGCGTGGTATTGTTTATTGTAATGGTGGTGGTCATAGTTCCTGACTGGTTTCTTTTCATCTTTCTCTGCCATTACTCTTTGCATTCGTCCACTGTATGTCCATCTGTGCCACCATCCCAACAATGCACGGTGCAAGTCGAGGTAAGTGGTTGCGTGTGCCCGTTTGTGTGTATGGATATGTGTGCATGTTTGTGCGTGTTCCTATGCGCGTGTATGCAAATCTGTTTGCTTTTCACTTGAACTTTTACCGGCATCTGTCGTGTTGGATCACGGGACGCTGATGATATTTGATACATACCCTATAATGCTGGGGTCTGGGATATTTGTAAAATTCCGATGTCTTTTTTCAATTTGTGGATTGTGTGTATATGGATGTGATTCCATGGGAGAGGGTTTTTTGTGCTGTCTGTATGTTTGTTCTGTAAAACTGTATAACTCCCATTCTTTTGGTTTGCAACTGCGGTGTTCCACGTGTGTCGTGTGGAATGAATGCTATGACTGGTGTGTTGTTTTATACACATGAGTGTGTATGTATGCATGTGTATGTGTGTGCATGTGTGTGTGTGTATGCGCGCGTGTGTATGTGTGTGCTTGTATATGTGTGCGTGCGTGTGTATGTGTGCGTACGTGTGTATGTGTGCGCACGTGTGTGTGTGTACTGATGTTTGTATGTTGTGCTGCTTCGTCTCCTGTTTGTTTGGTCCACCTGAATTTTGACATTGTATGATTGTGTGTGTGCGCTCCTGACCACCTGTGTTGCTCACTATGTTCTGTGATGGGTACATTTCGGCGCTTACGTTCGCTTGCATGCGGTATTTCTGCATACCTGCCCAATTATGCGCACACATATTGTGCACACTCATTGGGCTGTTGCTGCTGTGGCTTGCTGGCACCGCCGCCACTGCTACTGCTGGTGGTGCCGGTGATGATGATGATGCTGCTACTATTTGCCCTGGTGCCTGGCATGGACACTTGCTTGATATCCGTGTGCGGATGCTTCATATGCATGTGTACACTGCAACCGCTTGGCTGCTTTACTGACAACTGGCGGCGGTACTGTGTCATGATACCTCCCTTCCCTTGTCCCTGTCCACTACCCGTGGTGTACTGATGCTATCTCTGTCTGGTTTTTACGGCTTTCCCGTGATATTACTTTAATACCGCATTTGCTGTGCTCTATTGTCATCTCATTTGCCCGTTGATTCCATTCCCATTCCCTGTGTGGACCATCCTTCCTGCCGTGTATCATGCGATCCTTCTTGCCATGGTAATTTTCTCACTCGCCCCTCTCTCTTCTTTCTCTTCCTTATCCGAATCATTACCTATTTTCCATGAAATGTACGGCCCTGCTCGTACACATCCTTTCTTGTTACCTCGCACACTGCTGGTCCTCTCATTATATTATAACTTCTGCTCTGTGGAGGTCTCACCCGAGCAGTCAACACCATCAACAGCCCACCGACGGACGTCCTTGACGACATCAACAGCAGCCGCAACATCGACGGATGGGAGCCAATGGCCAGGTCGTCAGCCACACTGTCATGTCCCGAGTGATGCCGGTAGTGGGCGCTCCGACTTCAGTTCTGAGGACTCCAGGTCGTCAGCATCTGTGTCGTCATCACCGCGCCACGCTGATTCTCACAAACGTAAGCGATCACGTAAAGCTGCTTCGGACTCGGCCGCACGTCTCGGCAGGGAGCATAAGCACTACAGGAAAAAGAAGAAGAAGAAACGGCACTACTATACGTCGTCCGCAACATCTGATGCTGATAGGTAAGTGTTTGGTTTAGTCATTGATCTCAGGTGCTGCGTGAAAAGTAACACTATAGGCTTTGCGTGTACGCCATGTGAATCTCCACAGAATGGTTTGTGTATCCTGTGGCGAAAGAAAGCATATCCGATCCTGGCCACTCGTTTGTACATGTGTATTGCCTGTGGCTTCTGGCGCGGCATAAGTAAAAGATGACTTTTCAGTCCAGCCTGATCTGGGTATCTGGGTATTTGCCATCTTGCCATACATGATCCTGTGACATGTTGGGTGTATTGTAAATGCATGGCCAAGGGCGGTTAGCTGCATTTGTACAGTGCTCCTTCCCCTTGGCCTTGCCATGCTTTCATATATTATGTGCGTGCGTGTGCGTGAGTGTGTGCGTAAAGCCTGATTCATACTTCATTTCGCGTACGGGGAAACGAGTCGCGTCGCGAAAAAGTTGACTTGAGCTCAACTATGTAGCATACGGGAAGTTATCGCGCGACGATCGCACGATGACTTTCCTGTGTGCGAAGTGAAGTATGAGTTGGCCTTAATTAATGCCACAGGTATTTATCTTGGTCATAAGTGATCGAAAACAGTGACCTTGATGATGAACAGTCGACTCCACTTATAACGAACTCGCATATAGCAAATTTCATGATATATAGCGAACCGTAGTCCATACCGAATTGACCCATAGTAGCGACCATTTTTCGTTTATAACAAACCATAATCTTGATGGGCCGCGTGTAACTGAAGTGCACTCATACAGTCATGGACAATATGCCAGTCATGACTTGCTGATGGTATAACCAAGAGTATGTAAGCCCCCAAGAGTGTACAACTCTGCATATGGGGTCTCCGACGGAGAATACTCACATCACTTGCCCCGGGTACGCTAAAGGTTGGCGTGCGCGCAATCCGAATATCTGCCATGATTATGCTGGTGAGTTGCATACGCGTAGTAAATTTCTGTTAGGGAGTGCTTTTTTTATTACTCCGCTGCTCGTTAAAAACGAGCTCGAAGCGTACAACTGGGACACTAAACCACGTGATGTGAGTTTTTGCCGTCGGCAAACCCCATAGAAATGGTATCAGAAGTTTCACGCTCTTGGGGGCTTATATACTCTTGGTATAACTACAATTTAATGTGAGTACATTTATGGTACAGCAAACTTCGGCTATCAAGAACTAATTTTCCTGCCCAATATTGTTCGTTACATCAGGAGTCGACTGTAGTTGTCCATGTACACTTAGTGGCAGACTAAGTTTTGTTCATTTCTTCTTCCTCTTTTTTCTGTTTCTGTCTGTTGACAGTGGAAGTTCATCTGACTCTCATCGGCATGTACGAAAGGCAGAGAAAAAGCAACGGACATCCTTGAAGACAAAGCACCATAAAGCGAAGAAACGCAAGCACAAATCTGGCAAGAAGCACCATTGACCAATCCATGTCAACCAAGTACGAGTGTTGTGTGTCTTCAGATTTTAGCGAGCAGTGAGTTGTCATGGTAACGAATCATTTATGCAAACAAGCATTAGTGGCCTTTCTTGTGTGGGAGTATGTCAATGCCTTTGAAGGCTGAATCGTGTACCATACGTGTAGTGTATGAGTATGTCAATGCCTTTGAAGGCTGAATCGTGTACCATACTTGTAGTGTGTGAGTATGTCAATGCCTTTGAAGGCTGAATCGTGTACCATACTTGTAGTGTGGGAGTACGAGTATGTCAATGCCTTTGAAGGCTGAATCGTGTACCATACTTGTAGTGTGGGAGTATGTCAATGCCTTTGAAGGCTGAATCGTGTACCATACTTGTAGTGTGTGAGTTTGTCAATGCCTTTGAAGGCTGAATCGTGTACCATACTCGTACGTCCTGGAGTCGTGCAGTTTTCTTTACAAGTGGCTGTGTAGTTGGGCATGCTCACTCGTTGTAATGGGTTTCATTTCATGCCTGTATGAGGCGCGTAGCTTGTTCTGTACTAAACCAAACTGCTCTGCGTGCGAACTACAAAAAGGGGTGTTGTTTGTAAGATTTCTTTTTTGTGGGACCCTGCGCCTGATGTGAATGATGTTACGGTTACACCTCCCAGGGTTGTGGTGTAATTATGTACTGCGTTGCAAGGAGTATTACTCCTACAAGCTGGTTGTATCACGGGTCAATGGTCGCTCTTGGCAGCCTGCAGCTCACAAAGAGACAAATGGCATCATACCGGTGTTGCCCTGAGTTGGGTATGGGTTGGTGCGATGTCGTCCAGTCTGGTCTGTTCAGTGTGCACGTATTGGATGGGTGATGCTGGAGGTTAAAGGGGAAGTTAAGGCAAAAATTAAAATTTCACCAGTTGTAGTCTTCGGGGTGCTGAGTCGAATGGTCGTGGTCCGAGGAAGCTGAGACGCTCCCTTCCTACTTGAATCCCAATCGAACTCGCGCACTTCCACCGAAACTGGGTGACTGCGCCCTACTAGATGGGGATTTGTATGCAAAATGTCACTAAAAGCGCCATTTCGTTCTTATAAAAGCACGGATGACCGCGATTGGCCCATATGTTGTAGTCTTTTGGACGCTGAGTCGACTGGTTTTGGTCCGAAAAGGCTGCGATGCGGCGTTCCTCCTTTATTCCCAATCGAACATGGTTGAAGAAGCGGTCACGTGCTCCTGCGTACACCAGTCACCTGGTCACCGTGCCTGCAGGGTACAACTTACTAGCCTGTTTGACCTTTTTTGGGTGCAGTCCTGTCACTCGAGTTGAACTCGAGTTGAACCTTGGTGTGAAAGTTGTCACCTGCTGGCGTGGTGACCAGGTGATTTGGGCACCCAGGACCACGTGACCGCTTCTTCAACCATGTTCGATTGGGAATAAAGGAGGAACGCTGCATCGCAGCCTTTTCGGACCAAAACCAGTCGACTCAGCGTCCAAAAGACTACAACATATGGGCCAATCGCGGTCATCCGTGCTTTTATAAGAACGAAATGGCGCTTTTAGTGAGATTTTGCATACAAATCCCCATCTAGTAGGGCGCAGTCACCCAGTTTCGGTGGAAGTGCGCGAGTTCGATTGGGATTCAAGTAGGAAGGGAGCGTCTCAGCTTCCTCGGACCAAGACCATTCGACTCAGCACCCCGAAGACTACAACTGGTGAAATTTTAATTTTTGCCTTAACTTCCCCTTTAACTCATACGGTCATTCTGCCAGTGGCACTATGTGGCATGCTGTCACTAGACACGGAGGAGTGCTCGGTGGATTACACACACACACACACACGCACGCGTAACTACTTGTGGTTTCGGGTTGCTGTCTTTGTCGCCATTGCTGTGTTATGAGCAGTGAATCGTGTAAAAGCTGCTCGTCCAGAGTCAAGGCGTGCTACATAGGCTGCAGTCTCGCGTTCTTGAATGCTACCTTTACGGTGCTCTGGTCATGTACTGACAGCCTCTGCTGGTCCTGCTAGCACAGTGCTCAACCATCCTTGCCCGCACACACCGTCTCTGCGCACTATATTGTAGGTGTCATATGGGGAGTCTAATATTTTGGGGGTCAACATATTTACACATTTTCCGTGCCGTGTTTGCCCTTTTCGCCCTCGGTGCATAAGCACATGCAGTGTTGCCAAATATTACTGATAATTTTCACCCACAATTGGGTGCCTTTTCCAGATGCCCAACAAGTACTGAGTCATTTCCTTGTGTGGGTTGTATTCAACCTTTTAAAATACCACAATACTGTTGCACATACAGTAAAAACTGGTTTAAGCCACCACCCCACGGTGCAAGCAAAAGCGGTCGCTAAAGCCAGGTGATCTTTAGAACCAGGTCCCACAGTGTCTGTGTAGAACTGTCCGTGCAAGGGAAAACGGTCGCAGGTGGTCGCTAAACACAGAGGTCGCTTACACCAGGTTTTACTGTACATACAGTATAATCGTTAGGTTGTCTGTTGTAGTCGGAAGGTTCTGTTTTCGTATCAGTCTCGGACAGTGTCCGATACTTGAAGTGCGGTCTACTCTCGATATGTCGCACGCCGGATCTTGGAGACAAAATGCATGACTTATCGCGAGTGCGTGACTTGCAGTATGTTTGAGTTTGAGTGGCCAACCTGATCTGAGTCCATTCAGTTGCTACATCCTGCCAAAGACTACTAGTACCTCTCTTATCCGGCCATATTCGACTTGCACTGTAGTATCTAGAATCCAGTTTCTCGACCCACATGCCATGAGGCCCGAAGGAGAATGCGTTTGTGGTTCGGCCAGGTGAAGTGAGTACATACCAGGGAGTAGTATTATACTACTCCCTGGTACATACTGTACGGAGACTACAAAATTGTAGAGGACTCGCTCATCTGCCCCACGGAGCCATTCCGGAAAAAGTTGAAGAAGCTGCTGGACATATATGTAGAAAGCGGGTCCAGCTGCTAGCTGGGGAACTCCTGAGTTCAAGTCGTAAAAATTAATGCTGGTATTTTGGGGGGAATTGAAAGGAAATCACGCCATATGCCATGCCATATACGGTAAATGATATCACCACACACGTACGTATGATCGGACCATTCACAAACCTGTACCGCATTGAAGCATGAACTGTGAAGCTTCGAAGGGCGCTTTTACCGTACCGAATTGACGAAGTAGACGCGGGAGCTGGAGAGCAGGAGAGCTTGTTCGGGTGTCTTTGTCCGACGAAGGTTGCTCGTCGTCAAATCAAGCAACCACCCGATTGTCATAGGTTGGTCGTTTTCACCTCTGCAAAGCCAATGGCGGAAAACAGAGAAGAAGTAGATCCGGCCGAGGCCGTTTCTACAAGCGTAGCTGCCAAGATTGGGACAGACGCAGCCTGGAGACCGAAGCTCAAATACCACATGGTATTTTTCTTGTCGCTGGCTCATTTTCTGGCATTGGTTGGGCTTGTCTTGACCCTGAGGCACTCACATCCGCTTAGAATTCTTCTGGAAGTAGTCATCGGATGGCAGATTGCAGGACTGGGAATCACAGTCGGTGCTCACCGACTGTGGGCTCATCGCTCCTTCAAGGCCAGTGCACCTGTCCGTCTCGTTCTTATGCTCATGAGCTGTGCATCCCATCAAGGCTCAGTCTACCATTGGAGTCGCGATCACCGCATTCATCACAAGTTCAGCGAGACCGACGCGGATCCACACAACTCCCACCGTGGATTCTTCTTCTCACACATGGGTTGGCTGATCCGGGAGAAGCACCCACTGGTCTTGAAGAAGGGCAAAGAACTTGACATGAGTGATCTTGAGGCAGACCCAATTATCATGTTTCAGCATCGTAACTATCTGTGGATGAGTTTCATTTTCGCCTACTTCTTACCCGGCCTGTTTGGTTACTTTGTCCATCAAGATTTTTGGCTGGGTTTCTTTGCCCATGGATACCTGCGTCATGCTGTGCTCTTGCATGCAACCTGGATGGTGAATTCAGTGGCCCACGCTTACGGCAACAGGCCTTATAGCCCCAATATCCGCCCGGCACAGAGCCTCCTGGTGGCCGTGTGTGCACTTGGCGAGGGATGGCACAACTGGCACCACACCTATCCGTTCGACTACTCCACCAGCGAGTATGGCATCTTCGGCGAGTACAACCCCTCCAAGCTCTTCATTGACGTGTGCTGTTTGTTTGGCTTAGCGTCGGGCCGTCGGCGCGCTACACATCTGTGGGAGAAGAAGAAGCTGCGTCTTGCCGAGCAGAAGGCACAGTAAGATCAACACTGAGACATGAGAAAATACAAAACCGTAGGACATTATCAAAATTAGTGTAGGTGGAGCATCATTTTTTGCCTTTGATACAGATTTGCAGACACTTGCACTGCCAATTTACGTGTACACTGCCATTTTTGCAGTTGGCTGTTACCGCTTCTGTGTGTGTGTGTGTGACGGTTGGCTTACAAACAGGGAGTTACTTTGCTGGAGTGCGCTGGAAGCATATGAATAATTTGAGTCTGCAAGAATATTGCTCCTTTCTAAACCAGTCGTTCTTAAAAACAGCGTCAACAGGATTTCATATTCAATAATTATATTTTCTGCCAAATGCACGTCGCAAACAGAACGTAGCATAATACAATGTATCTGATCTCATTGAAATTATTAGCACCAGATATTGTCCTGGCCCTTGGATTGCAACCACTTAGCCACGGATTTGAATCTGCCATGTGTGCATTGATTTATTAATTCCCTTTTTTTTACTTGACCGTTTCAACAGTTTGGCCATTCGCAGCATCTGACTTGGCATATTGAATGAACTGCAATCTTGAAGTTCACCAGTTGCTTATGAGGCCACGCCGTATTTTTTCTGTTTCATGTCACCTTATTCGATGAAATCAATGAGGGAGGGCGAAAAAATAAAAAGACGTCCAAAAAAAACAGTGTATACGTGCATTGCATTATTTTGTGTTCAGTGAAGCGATGCGGCACTGTTCATGTACATTGACATGTACATGAATACATGAGTGTATCCCCTCTGCCATGCTTGTGCCAAGTTGCGGTCCAAACGCAGACGGCATGATGATTATGTGACTTGCGGCCCGGCTTATTACACACACATGTGTGTGATCGATGAGTTAAGTACAATCATGCGATAACTTGAATAGAACAAATATTTAATTGATGCCATTATAATAGTTACGTGTAACAATCATGTTCCGTTTTTTCCTTTTGGGTTACATTTATTTTCCGGTTTTCTGGGTTTGCATTAAATTAAATTATTATTATTATTTACGGAGATGTGTTGAAGCTAGGTGTCAGGACGTCGAATGTCTCAGTACTCTGTCAGTTTTGTGCCTAGATATTGCACTTTCTGACTGTATAAAGTATCATGTTACAGTGATGGAGGGTTACTCTTAACTCGTATCCATAATGTCTTTTTCCTTTCTACATTTATTTATGGCTCAACATCCGAGTTTCAAATTATTATTATTATTTATTAAATTTTGAATAGGGCATTCCCACAGTACAGGCCTAGGGCCTTTTTACGGGGTACCCTATATGTTTTTGTATGGATGAGCGGAAGTCTGATAGCGTGGAGCAAATACGAACAGAAGCAGGGAGCGAATTCCAGCGATCTGCACCTAAGAAGCTTAATGCGTACAAGCCATACCGGTTATTAGCCGGGGGAAGAGCAAGAGACAGAGTAACCTGCGAGCGGGTGATTGACGCTGTGTGCGTGGCATTTATTAATTGACTCTACAATTGTAGTCACAAAACAGTCTGTTAAGAGCGGGCTGCACACCTTATGTAATGATCTGTAAATAAGTACAAACAATTTGAATCTCAAACGTAAGGAGATAGAAGCTAGGTGGTATCTGGCTAGAATAGTAGAAATGTCACAGAACCTTGGATAACCAAAAACAGTTCTATTTGTATCGCATTTTCAAACAAAATTGTTCCTTTTTTTCAACTCCCGCTGTGAAATACTCTGATTGGGGGAAGCAATTAATAATTGATCGATTGCATACAGAGTCCATGCTATTGCAGGGCCGGTGCCATTGGTGCGGCCATGGCCGTACCAAATTTCCCAAAAAGTCTGTCCACGTCATGTGGAATGGCCAAAACCGGGGAAAACGTTTCGCTGTATGATTTTGTACAGGAAGTCGTAAAAAACTGACTTCCCTGTCATCAGGAACATTCTACGTCCATGATCCAGTGAACATCATAGATGCTCAGTCTGAAACTACAGTAGTGTATTCTGCATTGGAATATCAGACTTGTACCGAAATGCGCCCAAAGTGCGGGCTTGCCTTCTAAATTCCTATATTTTTTCTGGGGAGGACCCCCCCCTTTAACAGGGCACTCCACCTCACCACTCCGTGGGCATGGGAGCTGCCTCTGGCCCTGTATTTTACATTTATGGACTCTAGTACAGTCAGACCTCGCATAACCGCACACATCCGTTTTCCACAAAAAATATCCGGATAGGCGAGGGAACCGGATAATTGAACACGCATGCTGTATGTATGCATGACATATGCTGTAAATCGGTAACCACCGATATTCTTCCGGATGGCGAGGGATCCGGATAAGCGAGGTCTGACTGTAGTCTATGTACAATACATGTCCAAAGGTGCACCCTTTGTATACACGAGTGCATCGGTTGTGTACTCTTGCTTTCTATCTCTCTGTAGTCTGCATATGATCAACTTCAAGAGTATAAGTTAACCCCCAATATGAACTCTTGATAAATGCAACTCTACATCTGTATGGCTCTCTTGTTGTAGGCTAGTTGTTCATTAGTATCTTCTCCAATTTGCTCAAATTTCAGGAAGGAAGCATCCTAAGGCCGGTTCAAGATTAATCCAGGAAAAATTTGTGGAATGATTATGAATAGGCTTTCAGGACACCTAACCTGTGCGAATGGTGTGTATTGAATGTGCAACTTGCATTCTTTATTGCGTTGATTTCCGATTCATGTCTCCACGAAAACTAACATGGTATGCATGTGGGTAGCGTTCCTTCTATACATGTAAGTGCAATGCAGTCGGTTTCTCACGTACATTACCTGTAGGTTTTCTTGAACAGTATTTCTGCTAGTTCTATACAAGTTCCTTCACCTCTGCACTTACTTCCCGTTCCTCTCATCTTATGATCTGCAATAATTGTATCCGTTCAGGAAACACACCCATGTGTATCCATTTACTTTTGCAGAATGCCACTCCGGAGACATATTTTCCACACCTGTGTACTATTATTAATATCATCTTCCTATCATACCCTGGTTTCTCATCATTGTGTTGCTTTTGCCCGTAAAAGAGGCTGTTCTCAAATACCGTATACGTGGGCTTGCAATTACCGTAAAGTACCGTTGATCCGCCCCCTGTCGATTTTCTACCTGTGAAGCGATTTCGGCGCATACAACGAAATACGATGTTGAAAAAAAAAACTTTTGCAGAATCCGTCAAATAAGACATGAATGAATGAACACTCTCCCTCTCAGTCTTATCCGCAATTATTTACCACGACTGTGATAACAAGTCTGCGCGAATGTGTGGAACAGGCTTCATGAATGCATGCAATACAACGGAACCGGGATGTCTGTAGTGTACAAGCTGACATTTCTTGGAGTTTTCGTTTCCAGGCCGGAATATCAGCAATTGTTGGCATGAAAATAAGCCTTGGTGTGGTTGTTGTTTTGACTAGCAATTCCCACTGAAGATTACAATTTGCTGTCGTAACCCGGCAAACGCAGAATTCTGTGTGTGTGTGTGTGTGTGGGGGGGGGGGTACATGTACATGTAGGGGTAGGTACACAAGTTGATTTCCTGACTGGGACAATGTTGATTTCCTGACTGGGACAATGTTGCTCTACTCTCATACCAAGTGAGCTGATGGCCCCTGAATAAACAACTATCCCTATCTCTCCCACAGCCACTCTTCTGAAGTCCCCTCCATTTTTGGCATAATTATACACATTGGTCGTTGCTGTCACAGGACCTCCAGACTTTCCACTTTTGCTACTTTACTTCGCTAGGTATTCACTTGTTCTGGGCCACTGTGTATTCGTATCTCTTGAGTTATCTTCTTTCTTATACATGTATGTTTACTACTTTTCTTTTGCTAATTTGGCCGTGGATGGCTATCACACCTCTCCCATTCAATATTGGCATTGCTTGCCACGAGATGATGATGCAATAATAATAATAATAATTACTACAGTAGCCTGAAAGCCTAAGTTTTACTACAATAGTCTACAGCAGGAGGCGTAAAATACAGGTATTTTACGACTCCCTGGTCTACAGTCAACTAATAATTACTTCGCTTATAACGACACTTGGCGGGGCATCAAAAAGGGTCGTTATAACCAAAGTCTCATTATATGTATTACAGTTGGATGGAATTTTGCTCTGGGCATGGACATTCTGTCGTTATTCGCTAATTGTCGGTATTAGCAAAGCTGACTGTACTCCCTGCACATGTGATCTTTACTTTTAGTTTCTAGAGTACACTGTACACTACACGTAGGCCAAGAGTGTGCAACTAACTTGACGATCCCACAGCTGCCCACGTTGGAATTCGTTTAGGACAAAAGTGTGTCCCTGTTCTCTCAAGGAGCTGATGCCATCGTACGCAGCCAGAGAGCATAGTGATACATTAGCGTCACGCGCCAAAGAAAGTTGTTTCCAAGGGTTAGCCTGGGAATATTTTTCAGAAAGCTGGCTAAGTTCAGCACATCATAATTTTCTTTAGAAACGATTCGTACTGGATCATAATAAATATGTGTCTGCTCATGCTGAGACCATCGCACCTAAAGATAGGAGTTGCACACTCTTGGTTATGTACTTTTGATTCCGATGATGAGAAGCTAAACATGCCCTCGCACTACCACGGGACAAACTGCCAAACCCATGCGGAGTATTACAGGGGTGAGTCAATGCCTGGACGGCCTACTTGCAAACACAAGAGAGAAAGAGTTCACGAATATCGGCCGTTGTCAAGACTAATAAGCACAATCTCTTGATACACATGGTATCAAGAGCACGTGACAAACACTTATTGTATGAGCACATGCCAACTGGTAAGCACACCAAACATAAAAGCTGCTCATACGATAGTGCCTGTCAGTTATGTACTCCTGGCTAAAATGAGGAGTAAAAACATGTATTCCTGTCGAATGCGGCTGGGAGTTAGCTGTCCACATAGCCTACGATCAAGCACCATGCAAAACTTGCAACAAGTGACTGGCCCGGACAGCCAGCTCTCAGCTGCATTGCCACCAACCGACACACCAAGGAAGCACACACCCAAGATGACATGAAGTGATTTAAATGAGGAGCTTCTCCACTGCCTGCTGTGTTGCTCTGATGGTGTTCTGAAGTTGAGATCCCTCGTGTTGCGTGATGGCGCACGCAATAACTGGACGGGTTACTCCGCAAGCACGACCAAGAGCTGTGTGCAGCATCAAAGGCAGAAACAACAACATCAGAAACAGGCAAGAAACCGAGGGTGCCAAAAGTTATTTTTAAGCAACAACAAATATGGAATTTTGTTGTGTATAAAGTCTCAAAGCAAGCCGTCATCTTGAATCGAGCAAAAGCCTGTACCAAGTGACCACAGAGAGAGCCCACGGAGATGGTAGCAACATTCCTGTAAACTCAGGTGGTAGAGGGGACGGTTTCAAATAGGACACCGGTTGCAAACCGGAACGGACTCAATATTCACTTTCTCTCTTGGTATTTTGATTAGAAAACATATGTCACAGTGAGACTACTATGTGTTATACTCCGAGCCAAAATTTCATGGCTCTGCGATGACCAGAAGCGCCATATCAAGCAGGTGAGTTTTTGACGTGTTGCTTCGCACTGCGACTTGAGTTTTACGACTTTCGAAAAATCAACTTCTTGTCGCAGGTAAACAGCGGCTCGCCTCTCGCCAATAAAGCACCGCATACCAATCAAAACTAATGGAAGCACACACAAGGCTTATTGTTACTCTGTACTGGCCGTCGTGGAGCGATAGCAATTACCTAATTTCAGACCCAGAGTGAATTTGACGTGCACTCTAAAACGTGTCCGGTTTGGAGCCACCTCTGATTTGAACTTTTTTGAAGCGAAAAATTGGGCAACTTGGAGGCAATGGGTCAACACAAAGGAGTGGCTCAGTTCGGTTGACTCTGGCCCCAGAGCAAACTTCAACATGCCAGTTTCCTTCCACAAACATATTTCGAGTGAAAAATCAACGCTGATGATCGGTTTGGGTCTATACAAATTTGGCTGTCAAAACGTCCCGGTATCGAGCCGTCTCCTCTACCTGAAGGAAATCTGTCATTGCCGTGGAATTCTTTCACTCTGACTTCCCCAAAAGACTACAATTATAACAGTTCTACAGTAAATCAAAAGTTGAAGAATACAAATAATATCAACTGCATGCTTCAGTAACAGCCATACTCAAAACGCCAAAGCTTACCTTGCTTGTTTCTGACGAACACGTATGGTACGTTCTGTAGACAAAGGGCAAACGCATTGCAATTCTTAGCATCACAGGTCTCATACAAAATTATTGAACCCGGTGATTATATTAGGCCACTTTGTTCTCAAACAAAAAAGCAACTTTACTGTGGAAATTAAAATGCAATGAATAGATCAGGGTCACACTCCAGGACATTATCCAGAGTTTCGAAAGCCAAGGCTGTGCACTTCTCACTTCTCAGCCAGAATTGATCTATTGTGCTTCACTTGGGTCAAAGGTACCCCAGGTATACTAGAGTAGAACTTCAGTATAAAGTACCCCAGATATAACGATGATGGGCAATAAAGTACTATTCGTGATGACCGGCAGGATGCTGCATAATCATTAAAAATGCCGGAGGAGTTCTCTGGTATTTTATGTCTCGTGTAAACGGAGTTTCAGCGGAGTCATACAAATCGGTGTGTACAACTCCCTGGCAGTTCCATACACAGTACCAGGGTACAACTTCAGGGCTCACGGTTGGGATGCCAAAACTCGATTACGTGGGAGGACATCTTGAAATCTGATCACCATAGAAATGAGCTCGCGTGACTCGAGCTATGCACGCGGCAGTGCACGCCTACGCGGCGCGGAGCACAGCAAGGACTCGAGAGAGTTGCAGTGACCTGGTGACTGACAAGAAGAAGTAGAACTGAGGAAGACGGAGACCGGCTGGGGACTTGTGTTTCACTTTGGTTGCCGTTCACTGTCGTTGTTATTGCTTCTTTCCGAGCGAGTGTGTTGCGAGCAGTGCTGGCCTCGTAAGCCGAAGGCTTCAGACAGTTCGTTCGCACGCTGAGTCCTGCGATGAGAAGTCGCGAGTTCTGCCGCCGAGTCTTTGCTGAGAAAGGGATCGACATCTATGTCGTCCGCTGGTGCACTGGCGCAGGTGAGGAGAGGTAGGAGACAAGAGCTCCTTGATGGAATGAAGCAAAGACTCACACCGTGTTCTAGTTCGTTATCTCTGTTCTCAGAGCGTTTTGTAAATGCACTTACACGAGTGAAAGAGCCGTGCCACGCTGCTGTGAGAAGTGACGATGGAGAGATGTGAATTATTTGATTTGCCACTCTCTTTCGTTGCAAGAGGACGAATCAAATGGCTTCGCCGTTGTACTGGTCATGTATTTTCGGTTCGCCATAGCTGCTGAAGCACACAGCAGTAGAGCGCCGATGAGCGAGACAGCAAACGGTCAATAATATTTCAAGAGTTTGTCTGTCACGGAGGAAACATTGCAAAAAACGCCTTGCTGGTGTAGTTTCCGCATCGTACAACGCATATGCACAGGCTTCCTTCCTTGTCGTCGCGCACGGGAGTTCGCGTGCGCCCCTGCCGACTTAGCTCACTTCAAAACAGTATAAGGTAGCACAATATTGGCCGATTTTGACAATCGATGGCTCAAAATCTTAAGGAGATACTAAGCTCCAGTTTAACCGAAGCGATTTTTCCCTAGATGAAGGGATCGCTGTAGAGCATTCACGGACTTTGTGACAATATCTTTAGTTTCCCGGGGCCAAAATCAAAAATTCCTTCGGTTGAACCCCTAGTCCACATCTTGCCTGGTTCCACCCAAATTTTCAGTGTCGTACTGTCTACCCGTGCTACCTTATTCTATTTTGAAGAGGCATGTGTCGCACTGAAAATGCTCTGCGAGATGGCTAGAGTTTGTGTACAAGGGGTGGTCGAGCTGTGGTCGCGTGAGCTGGCCAGAAACAAAATGGCGCCCACGTATTTGTACACAACCGTGAGCCCTGAACTTGTATAAATCTGCAACTCTCAGACATAACTTTTGCTGCTCACCGACCTCATCCCCCAAAAGTTGAGCCAAGCTAAGGTTCTGCAGCCAATGAGTTGCTATGGTTCCTTGAGCGATGCAATCAGTGCAATGAAGATTACAGCAGCAGCAGGTGAAATCCAACCCCAACTCTGGGGAGCAAAAATGAGTCCTAACAAGTAGTGTGCATGCTTCTCGCATGCCAACAAAGCTTGAAGATCACTTCACGGCATTCCCTGTCTGGTCTTGGTATGCGTTTCCGGCGCAACTTTCCGCCACAGCATTCATGTGTACTGTCACTTTTTTTGTATACATCCCCATGTTCAAGGTGATACTGTCAGGTACGCCATGCATACAATACAGCAGTTATTGTTACACGATGAAGGCAAAACACATATACAATGTCCAAGCTTCGAGGTTGATGTGGTCGTGTGCTGTGTTGTTGCAGTGCGGGTGTACATGAAACCAAGAGTGACCAGGTTCTGACCTTTTCTGATGATGTAATTCAGGAATTCCACCACGACAGCAACCCATTCGAGCTGAAAACTTGTTCGTTTTATGCACTCTTGGTACAATTAGGGGCTGCTGCACACCATGCCTAGCCATGCAAAACTCTTACAGTGAAGCCTGCTTTATAGAGCATAACACACCTACACACACAACTGCTACAGTATAATACAATAACACGTTCACGCACGGTTTTCAGATACTGTGATTTCATAAATTTTCGGTGTACTTTTATCTTCGGTACTTTCAGTGCAGCTGTTTCATACCTAAAAATTTCAATACACCGAACAAACACTAACACACATAATCCAATAGGGAACTGCTTCTCCTTACCGAAAATTTCTGTTCACCTAACCAAGCCTTTTGCTCGCATACCGAAAATATTGAGCACCGAAAATCTCTGAAATTAGAGTAACTACCATATGCACACACAACACCTCAGTCACCATACCTTATCTTCACATAAAAGAGGCAAGTGAAGGAGGATTTCTAGTGGCTCTGCATCAGCAGCCATCACAATCAGCTCTGCAATACCGCGGTTGAGGCATTTCGTTGCTGTGGGAACAAAAAAAGGACGGAGAAACCCATAGCAAACGTGTGAGAGACTAGCTATTCATTACAATCCGTCCACTTCTGTGTGTGTGTGTGGGGGGGGGGGGGGGGGTTCTTGAAGTCACCCCTTTGGGGACACACAGCCTATTGTAGTAGTGGGCAAAGGAAGGGTGTGTGTATGTGTGCGTGAAAGAGAGTGCGTGTGGCAAATACTCTTACTGCCACAACCGGATATCATTGGCTGGCTAAAGCCGTTTTTACTCAAGCCACGGTCAATAATTTGTGCTGAGGGTATTCTGACAACATAGCTAAAATTAATGATAATAATATTAAATAATAATAACTTTATTAGGATGACCCAAAGGCTGACCGCCTATCGTGGGGTCCGTCGCATTGGATAATGATGAATGGTAGAAATCCGAATTGAGACTGAGTTAAGTGTTGAGTTATGCAGGGAATATGAAAGTGGCTACATGTATATGCATTGCATTGTTCGGTTACGAGGACGCTGGAATACCATACCGTCCCCAGCTATACCGCCAAACATCGAAAATTAGCAAAAAAAGTGGGAAATCTTGCATTTTGAAAATATTTCGTGAATGGTCGACAACTGTCCAGAACTCGAAGGCGAGCTCTATTAGTAATGCACTACCAGCACGCAATAGCTAAGCAACAATCATCGCTTACCTTCGTTTGCACCCTTCTTGAGCTGCTTGTAATTTACTGACTGCTCCAATAAATCTACTAATTTCGAAGTGAGCTCCTGGTCAGCCAGGGGGTAAGCCTTCGGGTTAACATCACCGTCCTTAGCCGCCTAGCAAACAACACACAATACATCCCTTGTCAATACTCCGGAAAGTCCAATAGCAGCCGTCCAGGGCAGACAGAAGCCCTACCATTGTGAAAAATCGAAAGGCACGCGAAAGTCAACAGACTGCGTTTGTGATGTCAGGGCCTTCTCCCCGTGGTCTCCACGTTGCTACGGTCTTCAATCGCAAAGCAAGATTTCATTTTCCGACTCAAAGCGCTAATTTCTGACGCCATTTTCCGTTTCCTAGGGCATGCTCATGATGTTTTTATGTACAAAAATTGTGAAAATTTGTCTTTCCCGCGCGACAAGAACGTCATCACACAGTTTCAAATCAAACGCGAAAGCTGAATATCGGACGAATGACAAAAGTCAAAAGTGAAAAAGCTCAAATCCACGACTCTCCAGCAAATGCAAACACCAAAGAGAGTTGTTTTCTTAACCTGCCGTCTTTGACTTTGAGCAAAGCCTTGTAGATAGACTTCTCTAAGTACAACCCCGTGTATTTGCTTTGTGCACCATTGCTTATGCACTCGATCTTGACTGCTTATTATATGGGGCTACGAGTACTTGCCCCAAAGCATTTGTGAACGACGACCACATGATATCTGAAACCGGCTGGTTCTGAAACGTGTGGAGGAAAGTTTCCTCCACAGTCACTGAGGAAACCATATCGCAGTGTAGATTGAGTGTGTCAGTGTCTCAGGCGATCGAGAACCATGAGTATGTTTGGGGATCGGGCCGTTGAGCTCCTTAAGGAGCTTCAGCGATGTGAGAATAGAGACCTTCCACCTTATAATGTGAGTATATGTATGGAAGGTGTCCTCTTGCAAGGCAATTCATTGTTTCTTCGTGACACACACACACACACCTTGAACCTTGAACGCCCATTGCCGTAGCAATGATAGCGATGGCTTCCTCACGCTGAGGCTCTAAACTCACACACACACACACACACACACACACACACACACACACACACACACACACACACACGCACCTGTCCTGTCCTGTTGACCCACTGCCGTAAAGGTTACGTGGTCCCATTGCGGGAGGAGGGAGAGGAGCAAACACGCCGGTGCCGGGTCCGGTCCCTGGACTGCCGAAATCTCCGAGAGCAGTGCTGACACAGTAGTGGAAACTTGGCACGTTCATCCGTTGTTGGGCGGTTCTGGCGAGGTCTACAAGGAGCGGGCTGGCTAGCCATTGAGGTAGGCTGACACCTGTGCACAGCGAGTCCACCCCTGCTACGGTACCCTTTCCCACAATCTGCGCATTGACATGCACCACGCTGCTGCTGGACTGGCTTGCGACGTTCCGCTGTGCACTTGTGGCGCTTAAGATCGCTTGGTCTAGAGCAGACCTTTCCACAGATGGGGCACTCAACGGAGGCTGCTGCGGCCAGTTCCTTATCCTGGTCTTGGTATCTACATCGCCATTCCATGCGAGATGTGTTAGCGGTCTGGTACCAGTTCACAATTTGGTTATGGCGAAGATCGACCGACACGCAGTCCTTCCACCGTTTCCTTGGTCCATGGGCAGGTCTGACAGGTGGGAGCTGGCCAAACAGAAGGCACTTCGGCATGCGGGTGTCATCCATGCGCGCCAGGTGACCTAGCCACTCTAGCCGACGATGCCGAAGCTTACAGGTGATGGTCTCCTGATCGCCCCACATACGCAATAGTTCAGCATTGCTGATGTGGGCATCTCACATCTGCTGTCTCGACACACCAAGGATGGAGCGGACGCAACGCATATGGAAGGTGGACAGGCGTTGCAAGTCCTGAAGGGGGACCCAGCACTCCGAACCGTATAGCACACACACACACACACACACACACACACAAAATACGCACACACCTTCCTTCATTCTTCCACTGCCATGACTGGCTATGTGGCCCCATAAGGGACAGACCAGGAGACGTGTTGTACACAGGGCGGGGAACGCCAGACTCAGCGCGCGCGGGCTGCGCGAACAGCGTTACATTTGTGCCTCGCAATATCCTGTGGCCGACAAAAACTGCGCGCACAAGTACCACAGATGAGGGGCTTCGCCACAGGCTCCATGCGGGACTGGACAATAGCGTCGACAGCGTCACGGCAGGTGACCCGCCATCCCTGTCGATCTTGGACGATGTCACCAAGCTGCTCCAGAGGAACGCCAACAGCCATCAAGTCGCACTTTGCGGAGTCCTTCCAGCGCTTACGGGGTCCATGCGGTGGACGTTTGGACAGTAACGCGCCGTACAGCAGCTAGCGAGGGATGCGATCTTGCATGCGGGACACGTGGCCAAGCCATCGAAGTCGGCGGACTCTGACTTTATCCGCGATCTCCTCCACATCGCCCCACATTTTGCGCACCTGGAGAGAGGAAATGTGCCCCTCTATCTGCCGGCCATGATTGACCTTCAGGATGCAACGTACGCACTGCAGATGAAAGGACTCCAGGCGACGGACATCACGCTGCCTAACGGTCCAACTCTCAGAGCCATAAAGAAGGACGGCCAGGGCAGTCACTCCATAGACAATGCTCGCACACACACACAAACGCGTGCGCTCACACACCTACACACTCGCTCACTTGTACTGGTACTACAACTGTACTACAAGTTGTAGTACTTGCTAACTGACAGAATAGGGTCACATAGGTCTCCCTGGGAGAAGGGAGAACGATTCCATATGAATCATGGAAAGATGAATACAGTCGACTCCTGATACAACAAACACCATTCTGCAGGAGAATTAGTTTGTTATAGCCGAAGTTTGCTATAACAGAAATGCACGCACACCATTCAAACAGCAAGTCATGCATGGCATGTGGCCCATGACAGTATGATTGCACTTGGTTTACATGCGGCCCTACAAGATTTGGTTCGCTATAAACGGTCAATTTTTGTACGGATTCAAACAGGGAAATGGACACTGGTTCACTGTATCACGAAATTCGCTATGTGCAAGTTCCTTACAAGTGGAATCGACTGTATTGAACTGCCCAACGGCGGACACACCTTGAAATCCCAGATCTGGGTAGACTGAGAATGATTCCTCTTATGGCCTCCCCACGCCGCAGTAAGTGGGTGAGGACATGATGCAGAAAAAGGATGTCGGCATCAATGCCTCCGACCCAGGATCCAAGTGCATTTACCGTCATGCGTAATACCAAGAGTAGATAAACAAGAGTGTGCAACTCCGGATCTCTCCTGCACAATTTGCAGATACCCCCGCCCACGGCGGAATTTTTTGTTGTTGTCACCTTTTTTCAAAGAAACGCGCATTTTGCCGCAGAGCAGTGTGAGAGCACGTGCTGGGCACCCTCCTTGCAATGTAAAGCCCGGTCAAGAGCACGAGGGAACACTTTCCAAAAGACTCGCAGCGCGTGCGTCGTCGAAAAGATTACGTCAACAAAAAATTCCGCCATGGGCCTACCCATCCGCGAGTTGCACACTCTTGTTTATCTACTCTTGGTAATACCAAGAGTGCATAAACTCCCAAGAGTGCAACTCTGCTGGATACACTTTCTGTGGGGACCGCCAACGGTGAACACTCACATTGCATGGTGTAGTGTCCACGTCGTATTTTCCCAGCTCATTTTTTAGCAAGCAGTTGAGTAATAAAAATAGCACTCACTCCCTGGCAGAAAGCCACTCAGCTTATGCCAGTCATCAGCCGCTTGCCTTCATTGTACGTAGTACGAAATGTATGTGGAACGCGTGATTTACTAGGTACAAAGGTACTACTTGTAGATTAGTTCCACTATACCAGACTAGATATCAAGTTCCATACGTGTCTTGCAACGCATGTACAGTACTGCTCAATGAAATCCAGTCGTGTCACTCAAGTTTGCGCCTTGCATTATTTTGCAGCCCAGTGTTCGCAGGTCTACACCGGTGCGTACTTGAGTGATACGACTGGATTTCATTGAGCAGGACCGTACATGTTGAGCATGCTGTCCGCTTGCCTAAATTAATGGATGTTATCTGTTTCTTTGGTGCTGCTGCTGATGCAGGATGATGAAGTGAGGCAAATTCTAGAAGAGGTGCGTGCACTCTATGACCAGAACTGTGTGGAAGCAGCCGAGGCTGGCCAGAAGTAAGTATCACTGTATGGCAGATTAAATGTAATACAGAGCGGTTTAGACTTTAGAGGCGACCCCCTCTTTCTCAATCACTCTGCAATCATCCAACTAGTTTCCATCTAAGGGGCCCGGTCACACATGCACGGGGGTTCCGCTTCGGTGGCGAGGTTCTGCGGCAGCGAGGCTTTCGCCTCTGCAGCGGAACCCCGTGTGTATGGTCACGCATACAGACAGGGCAAGCGTCCATTTAGCAGGAAAATGAGAGTGATTGGACTATGGTGCAGACAGTGCGGTAAATCCATGAGGTCATTGACTATCTTCCATGCATTTTTTGTTGCATGGATATCATACGCATACAAATTTCTCATAGCAAGTCAGCAGACGGTGCTGTTTTCCGCAGAAGCGAGAGTGCCGCTCCCAAAATTTTGGAGGCAGCGGATTGAGTTTCCGCTGGAGCGGTAATGCTAATCCGTGAAGTTCTGCATACCGCCGTACCATGGTTTCCGTAACAACTTTTCCAAAGCCGTGGTTTTGTGTGTGAATCCCCTATATTGGCCAATGTTTATTTCTTAGGCCACACTGAAAAAAGTCTGTGGTTCGACTCACCCGACCGACCGTACATTTTTCAGCCCGACCGTAACTTTTTTTTCGGCGGGCTGTCGTGTGACTGACGTACGTGGACTGAACACGTCTACGTGCTGTGCAGCGTGAGTCTGCGGACGCAGGCGGCTCCTTTTGGACTTGACTTGTAGGTGTACTGCAGTGCAGTGCAGTGAGTGGTACGACTGCTGCCTTGTGCTGGTAGTAGAGTCTACTCGATACGACCACCGGCAGACTGGCGAGACTTATTTTGAAGTGACCGTCCGGTTGAGAGTGATTGCCTCGTTCCAGATTAAGGACGGCCTTCTGTTTTGGGATGAAGGACCGTAGTAGAGCATACTGCACCAAAAACTAAGTCTTTCTCCCCATTACAAGTCACAGTCTGTTTTCCCTTTACCGTTTCTGCTGTACAATGCTCCAATTAATTAATGTAGATTTCACGATTTGCCACCATACTCTTTACTCAACACATCTGCCATAGCACTGTTCATTGGGTCCGGAGGGCTGAGTCACACATACTTCTAAGTCACATTTCTGCCACACAATGTTTCCAAGTATTAGCCAGTGATCCCTTTATACAACATGTATGGCATAACACTGCGTAATAATGCCGATGTACTGGGTGTCTAAAGGCAGTACAGTGTATTTACATGTACTAAAAAATATATTTTAAAAAAAATCCGCCCACCCGCCCGTAAAAAAATGTCCATGTTAGTCGAACCACACACCTTTTTTTTAGTTTGGCCTTATTTTTTATTTTTTTGTTTGATATCTTTCTCCCTCGTTTCAGTATACTACATGTGGAATACAGACTCCACTGCAGCTGATCACAACATCCATGTGTTCTTTTCTACTTTTGTTTTCCCTTGTCTCTTATTTGCTCAGGGAGGAAGGCCAGCTGTTATTGGCCGGCATTTACGCTCGTCACGCGGCCATTGAACGAAACAAACGCTGCCTTCTTGCTTACATGTAAGATCAGCTAGCAACGTTAAAGAGGTTATTCATTATCAGGGTTGGGCATCATGAGCGAAAAAGTGGTCACATGCATTCGCATACGACCCAGGATGAGTGGCAAGAACAGCACAATCTACATTCCGATGTATATTTGACTAAAGAAAATCGCTTTCTATTTCGGTGCGGGGGGCTTATGCACCAAAAATCTCTGATCTGGAAGACCAATATTTTAGAAATATTTGTCTTCCATATCGGACATTTTTACAAATGTTGTGGGGCACTGTGGCCACATACATATACACACTGCTGAAGTTGATTTTTCACTTGTTAGTATCGGCATGATGCCCTCCTAGCAAAAATATCTCGGAACATAGATACATCGTAAAGGCAGTTTTCAGTGCATGGCTATGCTCGATTTTCGCTGAACTGAAGGAATGTGTCTACAGAAGGAATGGAGCGTCTCTCTATGCAATTCTCATACTACCTTGTCATGTGCGGGCACTTGGAACAAATACCCACCTTGCACATACTTGTCACTTTAACATGTAACAGTTCTATTGAGCACCATCTATATGCGTTTCTGTGGCTGTTTCGTTAGCCACTTGCATAAAGTAACACATTGTGTCTGTGATATCTGGTTCAAGTGCAGAGGAATTCTATACGTGGACTACTATACAGCACTGTGTTGTGATTCATGGACACTCTGCTTATCCACATTTGTTACAGCTACAACCGGATGCAACGATTACGATTGGTGCGTTGGAACCAGGGCAGCATCATTCCAGCTGAGCTTCGTGAAGCACTAAACGATGGAGAGGTATTGAGCCCTTTCTTTGTTAGAACAATGCTTGATGTCCTATCTTCTGAATTTCCTTGCCCACCAGTGGCACTCCTGGGTGTAGCTGAGTTATACTATGGTGTTCATCCATACATGTGCAATGTACCGGCACCCTGTCTTTCACGCTGTGTGTGCTGTGTTCGTATGCGTGCATTCAGCCAGTCAGTGACTCAGGGGACTATAGAAAGGGTTGCCTGAGTCGGTGAGTGGCTCCGTGACAGTGGGACACGATCGACAATTGCACTCCAACTCACATCAATTGCTGTTGTGCTGTTGTTGCTGCTGCTACTACTGTTGTTGTGATAAAGATTGACTGGTTTGGAAAGTACAGCAGATCGCTAGCTACATACATGCAGTCAGTGGGGGACACAGGCGTTGACCTTACACAGGTAAGCGTATCCGCCTGGCTTTCGAAACATTGTTACTGCGTGTAGTACATTCGCCTGCTCTGCTCTGTTTCTTGCTGGTACTTTGAAACAATGATGTTCTTCTTCGGTTTAATATTAATGTCCGCAGATTGAGTATCAATGTATGTACAATGATGGCAGGTGACATCCAGTGTCATGAATAGAGGAGAGCTGCATTCACTGCACAGCCCTGTGCTTCTGTAGTGCTGAGCAGCTCTGAGACTGTTATTCATGATGTTGGGTTTCACTTGCTACCCCTGTACCTGCTGTGCTGTGGGGTTTTTTTTTTGTATGATTGAGCGATGTTCACCTGCTTTGTTTTACCTGATGAAGAGCCAGTGTGCCTGAGCTGGCGGAGTGTCTGTGATTTAATTTAAACTCCTTTGGAAGTAGGTGTGCTGTAGTGTGAGAGAACATTTATTGTAGGGGTGATCATTGATGCCTATTTGTATATGCCTTCTGCATTGCAGCACCTGAAGCCACCCAAAAATCTTTTCATTGAGGTAAGATATGGCGTACGGGTTTTGCTTTGTTGCTGTGTCTTCAGAGGCATAGATGTCCATGTAGTACATGTAGTATCTGGTCTGTTCATAACACTATCTTCTACATTGGTTTTCAGCTTCTGCCTGTGTTGTTGGTTCTGCGATGAGATAGTGGTGATTGAATTTCTTCGTTAGGTGTATTCAAGGTTGTGTGCTTGGCAGGTGTTGTCCATTGTTTGTTGTGGATCTCTCTCTCTCTCTCTCTCTCTCTCTCTCTCTCTCTCTCTCTCTCTCTCTCTCTCTCTCTCTCTCTCTCTCTCTCTCTCTCTCTCTCTCTCTCTCTCTCTCTCTCTCTCTCTCTCTCTCTCTCTCTCTCTCTCTCTCTCTCTCTCTCTCTCTCTCTCTCTCTCTCTCTGCCTGTCTGTCTGTCTATCTTTTGGCATGTGTAACTTGTTAACTTGTAGGTGAGATGTGTCCAAGACTACGGTGAGATGGAGACGGAGGATGGCCACTCTGTGCAACTAGCAAAAAATAGCCAGGTAATCTGACTACAACTTAGATGGACGTTCATGGATCATACCTTGTTCAGTATGATGGTCAATGGTCTGCAGGGCATTGATCGTTGATACGTATGCTCGAGTATCGTTATTCTTCTCTGTGAATATAGTATGCACGGCCAGATGAACTTGAACGATATTGTTGTTCCTAACTCCTGACAGCAACAAAATTGTTATTTCCTCTGTTTGTCTTCTTGGCATGTTCCTTCAGCATTATCTGCGCCGAACTGATTGTGAGCAACTTATTCACCAGGGTGTGTTGGAGCAAATCTCATGAAGCGTGTTACGGCAACACCAGAAGACAGAAGTATTCATCTTTGAACATTCGCCATTTCGTGCAGAGAATGTTCCCATGCAGCTCATCCCTGATTGAAACTACGGCGGTGCGTGTGCTGCTGCCATGTCTACGGTTATTCTGTGCCCCCGGCTTTCTGGAATAAATTTCTTCGAAGCATGTCACTGCCATGCCTGCTACGACAAGAAAGCGTGGATCAGTCATTCCGTTGTGCAATGGATCCCATGCTATCCTTGTCAACTTGCCCTGGGCTACACACACTTTGCACATTCTTCAGAAGTAGAGGAAGATACCATAGGCACAGACTGATAGTCCAGTGTAATTCAGCTTGCAGGAAGGTCACGATCAAGCTGTCTTTTGTTTTGTTTGTTTTGCTGTTGTTTGTTTTCAACCTCCTAACTAGTGATGCTGGTCATCACTGCTATTTTATACTCTCTACTGCCGTCTTATTCTGGATTCTAGATATGAATATTCATCATCTCTTTTTCTGTTTTTAAACTGTTGACGGGTCATGCTGATATTATAGCTGTGTCTTTTTCTTTCTGTTCTGAATGATGAAGATATCCTGTATCTCATTTTTGTTCGGCGCAGATACAGTGGCGCTGGTGTTGGTTGGTGATGAGAAGAAACAGACCCTGGTAGAGAGTCGACACGTGCAAGTATTCAGACCAGGGAGTACGGGTTGGGTTACCTGGTTACACTGAATACAAATTCTGTTGGTATGGCGGAAAATGAGTTTTCAGTGTTTCACTAACCACAGCATCATGCCATTCATGGCTTCATAGCACATGTGGACAAGATCTATGACAGTAAGTTGTCGTCAAAACGTATCCCCATGCGATAAGGAATGTCGATTTTCGAAAAGCTGGAGTGTGCCGTACTGCCAAGCGGGAATGAGAAAACATGAGAGGGCATGTGCCCAGTTTTGGACGGATGTGTGTCTGCTCCGAACAAACTCCTTATCTGGAGGCAATACATCATGATACACACAATACCAGGGAGTCGTCAAATGCCGTATTTGACGACTCCCTGCACGATACCAAGTTACAAGATTATAATATGTACAGTCAGACCTCGCCTATCTGGTCCTCTTTTATCCGGATCCCTCGCCATCCGGAAGAAAATAGCTGCATGGTTACAGCAAGAGTACATTATACTCTTGGTTACAGCATACACGATGCATCCAACAATACATAACCGGTGTTCGGTTATCCGGTTCCCTCGCCTCTCCGGATATTGAAACGGATGTGTGGAGAATGTGGATTGACTGTTCGCCGAAGGGCATGTCGCTACAACTGTCCATGATCAAGCAGTGCAGTGCAGTGAGACTGCACTGGGACACCTGACGCACATCGGTCGTCTACTGTTTTTGAATCGAATCTGTATCACTTTATTTACAGAGTGTTATAGCTAGCTTGTCGATTTACTCACAACCAGAGCTCATCAAAGCCCAAATATCTCACTTTTTAGGATTGGTTTCTGATTCCTTTCTTCATGTCTTCACGTGATGTAGTTTCTGCTCACCTTTGAGCAATTGGCGAAATTGCCACACCTGAATCGCTGATACAGTACAGTGTCATGTACTTGGCTCATCATTCACGAAATCTATAGATTGTTTATTGTCTCGGATAGTTCATACATCTCAGATTAAAATAATAGTATCAGGATGACTCACAGTGAGAAAAGAGGAGCTTGGTACTTGGAAGGAGGAATTGGCCTTGGAGGTAAGGCAAACTTTGGGTACAATCCATATAACGTGCCTAGCAGCTTTGGGTAGATTTGGGACGCATGTAGTCAGGGAATGACACCAATCAATCTTCCTATTTATAGGGTGTCTTTATTTTCAGTATACCAGGTCACTGACGACCATGGAGAACACTGCTGTTGTATGCAAGGCAGAACAAAGTACATGTATGCTGAAATAGAGAATCAGGTGATGTACAGCCGTCCCCAAAACAATTCCGACAAATGATCGCTTGCACTACATTTGCAGTCGACTCCGGGCGCCGTGGGTAGCCAACCCTCAATATTTGTTCCATAAAAATTGTTTTGGCAACACCGTATTACACAGATGCGTAACAAGTACTTGACTCTCCATGGCACACCACAGTGGGCTACTGCATGTAGTGTGAAGTGTGAGTGATGGGCAGCAGTGGCGGGCGGGCACAATGTTTAACGAATTCTGGATGTCGAAACCAGAAAACAACTGTACATAGTGTGAAGTGAGAAGGAATCCCTAGAGAAGGACCGGGCAACAAGAGAGATAACGCTTATGGGCCATCGCTTTGCTGGCCGTGGTTGTGTACATGTACATGATATCCTGTAGAGATGCCCAGTCCTTCTCAAGGTATTGCTTCCCACTTCGCACATTTTACAAGTAAATGTGTGATGGGCCAAAGCTAGTGTGAGCAGTACATTGCAACCTACAGGGGTGTCTACAGGCTGGAACGAGAACTGGTGACCTGTATTCTACAGTGCTGCTCACTGAAATCCGACTGCGTGTGAACGGGTGCAGGGTGTAAACTTGATGCCTGTGATCGGATTTCATTGAGCAACACTGTGTATATGCTTACTGTACATACTCTGCTGCTGCTGCTGTGTGTGTGTGTGTGTGTGTGTGCGTGTGCGTGTGTGTGTGTGTGTGTGTGTGTGTGTGTGTGTGTGCGTGTGTGTGTGTGTGTGTGTGTGTGTGTATGTGCGTGTGTGTGTGTGTTTGTGTGTGTGTGTGCGCGTGTTGTTTCGTTGGCAGTGGGTGTGCTATATGGCACGACAAATGTGTGCGTTGGACATCCGTTCGACACTATCAAGACCAAGATGCAGGCACAGAAGGGATTTGAAGGCATGACAATGGCTGGTACCTTCAAGGAAACAATACGGAAAGATGGTTTCAAAGGCCTTTATAGGTACGAATTACGAGCATGTGCCTTGGTTTAAATGACCTTTGTATACTTGGAAGTTAAAAGTGAGCATGCATGGAATGTACCTTGATCGTTTTAATGCTTTACGCAACCCTGCTGTTGAGCTAAGGGCAAGCAATGCAATGTAGAAGCATTGCATAGTTCCAGTATCACCACTTTTATACTTGAAGTAGTAGTGTTTGTCTGGAGACTATTTGGCTGGCTAGGTTGATAGTTTGGGGGTGTGCTTGTCGACTTCGCTTTCATCGATCTTGATTGCATGGATACCCTTGCTTGTGCAGGTGATGTCAGAGGGCATGGCTGTACTACCTTATATGCACAGTTTTTCCATGTTGGGGCAATTTCCACCTCTTTTGGTTCCATATTTTGTGTGCAATGACTGGTCCATTAGTACTAGATCTGTGACCGTGGCTATCCTGACCTTTATTCCTGTTGGGAACTGGGTGCATGTGTCGTATGTGGGCCTATGCGTAAGCTCGACTGCGTGACCCCACTTTTCGTTTTGTGGTGTTGTCCTGCAGAGGCTGTGTACCGCCACTCTGGGGCTCTGGAATTTACCGCTCGTCACAATTTGCTGTGTTTGAGGCTGTGTAAGTACAGAGGAAAGAAAGTATGCTTCTCTTTCCATCATGTGGTCTCCTCTCATTTGGATGAATGCAAGGACAATGATGTACTCTTTTTCTCTGTTGACCTGACTCTCGATGCAGTTTGCGCATGCATTATACCTGTCGTGCCATTATTGTGTCGTCATTTGTCCCACGCTTTGCAAGTGTATTGCGTGATACTTCTTTGTAGTATGACATGGTGTTCAGTTGCCACACATAATACACTACTTGTCTGCTTTACCGAGCACTACAATATGGTCAAGTGTTGCCGCATTCTCTTCTTTTTGTAGTTACACCTACTTGGATACTCCAGTCTGCAAATGGGAACTACCTGGAACTGGTGGTCTTCAACTGTGAGTACAACACACACACGCACGCATGCACACACGCATGTACGCACACATGCCTACACTCATAGTCATACACACGCACCCATCCTAACACACACACATTGTGTACTTCACGTGAGATAGCTTGGCAAACTCATGAAGTGCTGGCGAAGCTAGCCGCCAGACTGAGAACACTTACAGTGGTGTGGTCACTACAGTAACTACACTACAAGAAAGTCTGTGCTGTGATGTAACTAACTACGGTTACTTGCTTTGTTCAAGTAGTTGAATTCCTTGCGATTGTTCTTTTTTTTGTGTGCTGAAACTGCCAGGCGTGTTCTCCTGGGTGGTGCTGCAGCAGCCACGACTCGAGCAGTAATTGAATGCCCCTTAGAAGTGGCCAAGGTAAGTTGATCGCTAGCATGATATGAGGGGCACGTCTTTTGACAACATGTTCGTGGAGATGCTGAGATACTAAGGGAAAACCAGGAGTGTGTTTGTGCCCCTAGGCCTAGGAGTGTGCAGCTCTCACATCATGTGATAGGTAGTGCTGTCCTGGAAGATGTTCACGAAGAATTCGTGATGCAGCACTCGGTGTTATTCATGCTTTCAGACTTTTGTGATTCACCTTTCGAAGTTGTTTTGTGATTGATCGGCATGTAATTATTGGTCTTGCCATCCCATTTGGATAGGTGCGGCGGCAAACTGGTCAAAGTTGGGAGTTTAAAAGTCTATACAAGGTGAGTCTTGCCAGAGATTTGTTCTTTTTAGGACATATTGAATACTGACAACATAGGAGGGCAGGGCATGCGCTAAGGATTAAAATATGCTCTGACACAATGTCCTGCCAGTTGCAAAAATGGCCGGACATGTCCGGACATGCAACTTTCACATCAAATCACACAAATTCACAATGTTCAGTGTAGAATTAATACCATCGAAATGTTATCACGACGATGTATTTCAGAAGCAGCATGATCTTTGAAGGCTGACGTTTTCAGGTTCCTTGAGCCAACGACGAAGGAGTCAGAAAAATTCTTGCTGCTGCGAATTTTATCAACAAAACGGGAACACATCTTACACTTCAAATTTTCGACAACGCTACGATCTGAGGGACTGCGCTCATAGCTCAGCCAAACAGAAGTAGTTGAAAGCTCCCTATCATACTCGGCGACCCACTTGTCACAAGTGGTCGTCTTTACTCCTCTGGGCTTCTTTCCAAGAGGAGCACCCTGCATCAGCGGTGCTTGGCTTTCTCTTGCCAGACGACATCACTAATGACTATGAGACAAAGGATTGAAGTGCCTTTTCTTTTTTGTACTTTGCAAAAAGGTGCGCGGACACTTTGTCCGGATATGTACAAAACATCCGGAAACTGACCGTAAACGGTCGGAAATTGTCCAATGTCCGACCGTTATTTCGCGCCCTGGGAGGGTATTAATAAAGCAGCAACTTTTGACCTGTTTATCATGAAGTTCCAATTTTGACAAAATAATACTGACATGTAACTGTTCCTTCAAGTAGGACCCTTGTGGTGCATGAGCTGAATTCCTGGTACGAGTCAGATGTATATCTCCTGATGTTTTTTTAATGTTTTCCTAAGGCCATTCCGTAGCTCAAGTCTATCTGGCTACCTCGTACTTCGAAGTAAGCCCTACTGACAAGGATGCTTGGGGTGAAAGGATGGTGGCAGAGCGTGAGCCAAGCTGGACTGGTCATTTGAGAACGAAAAGAAAAGAATGGGCTGCTGCCAAAAACCTTTAGGGGAACTAGGCGTGTGATTTAATCAGCAATGTTATTGTACTGCGTGCTTGCATTTGAATCTCCAAATATTATTATTATTAGTACTCATAAAAAGGACACACTTCAAGCTCTTTACGAACATCTTGAAAGTTTTTAGTTTCACAAGTATACTTTCAAGCCTTCTCATCAGGTGAAATATAGGCAAAGGAAAAGGCACAGGAACAGTGTATTAAGTACAGTAAGGCGGTGGTAAAACAGCGCAAAGAAGAAGATAGCTACAGAGTGTTTGTAGATGAGAGTAGTGTGTATGATTAGGATCTTGTACATTCACATTGAAATCTCCTAGAACAATAGAGGAGGTGGAGGCTGGTGCACGTCTCAGCGAGTCGTCAATTAAGTCAGCGAGGATCGACCAGAAGCTTACAGGTACCGCTGGCGCTCGGTAAACGCCGAATATGGTCAATGGTTGTGGGCATACATTTATCTGCACAGCAAGCACTTCCACGTCTGAGGAGTGGTGTAATCTCCGATTATCATACTCATCTCTAACATACATGCAGACACTGCCTCCTCTCCCAGTCTGCCTGTCATGTCTGTGCAGTGTGTAGTTCGGTATGTTTATACAGTTATCAAGAACAGTGTCGGTCAACCATGTAACTTGTTTCAGTGAGGATCAATACATCAATATTATGAGCATGTAGAAGTGATTTGATCTCATGCAATTTATTATAAAGACTACATACATTAATATGAGCAATACTTAGCTTGCGAGTTGTAGCTGTTGATGCTGGGGATAAATGAGCAATACTTATCGTGCTGGTAGACGGTGCAGTAGTGGTAGCGGTAGCAGTTGCAGATCTCTTGTGTGGTGTTGGGGATGCCCGGGCTGTTTCCTATTGGCTCTGTGAGGTCAGGAGGTGAGCAATGTCCTCGGATGTCAAGTGTTTACCGTTCAGTGTAATGGCATCACGTGGAAGGTGGCATTTGACGCCTTTGCTTCTCAGAGCACGGAACTTGGGAACCAGCTCTTTTCGTCTTGCCTGTTCCTGGCGGGTCAAGTCGTGCTGGATATAGACGTTCTCGCCTTTGTGCTTGGCCTGCGGTTTGTGGTGCATTAGCTGTGCTTTGGTGGTGGGAGACAGCACAGCTCGCACTAGACGAGCTGAAAGCGTGACAGCACCAGTGCTGTTACTGCGTGACTGACCGATGCGCGTCGCAGACAGGATGTCCCCAGGGGCAACTTGCGGAGCCAAGGTGCTTATTATGGCAGGTAGGTCTTCGGAGGGGCTCTCTAAAAGGCCGCGTAGCACGATGTTGTTCGCTCTGCTGCTCTTATCCGTGGCTTCAGCCACAAGGTCATGCAAGTCGCCTCCGAGGTGCCCTGTATGGCATTTCCAGCTGGATTTGGGCTGGTGGGGTTGGTGACAGGATGTCTGGCAGTGAAGGTGGCGACTGTCTGCTTTACTTCGGCATTGGCGGACTTGGCGCCATTCTCTGTGAGTGCAACATCTTCATTTCATTTTTCGATCGCGGCTTTCAAGCGCCGGTTCTCCGCTGACAGGCGGTTGATGTCCTGGCGCTGCTCGTTCACTACAACTTCGAGACTGTCCAGGCGTTGTCCGATAGTCTCGGCAATGCTATCTGTCACGATTTTCTTCAGCTCCGTTCGAAGCTGATGACGGAAATTTTCTAACAAGTCTCTCATCTCTACAGTGACACTCTGGCCGTCACCACCAGCGTTCACAGGCCCGACGCACGGGGCTGCACCTAGAGCGGTGCAGGCTTGCTGTTTCTTAACTGATTTCTCTGCACCTGTTTGTCAGACTTCAGTGTCACTCGGGGCGAGACTCTGCGTCGGGCTCTCAGCTCTACGCTTTTATCCAATGCCTGTACCTGGAACAGGGGGAGACGCATCTACTGTGATATCACTCTCTAAACTACTTGTAGGTGGCGAACCTTCCCTTCCACGGCCAGCGAGAGGGGAGGTCACCTTACGAGCAAACTTTTTCATAACTTTCGACATCTTTACATATATTGTACCGGATACAGACGAAGAAAAAAAAACACTAACATTTCTACTAAGGATCCTGGCTGAGTCTGTGATGTGTGATTTTTGTCTTGTACAGGGTTTTACTGTGACGTGGATACGCACGCTTGGCTTAATGTCAACATACTTTATTCTAGTGGACTCACAGCGGCGCCACAATGCTGACCTCTTCAAGAGCACGTTTGTCGGCCCGTTCCTCGTGTCCGGTGTCTCTGCTACATATCCTCTCTCTTTCTCTCTCTCTCTCTCTCTCTCTGTCTTATTCTCTCTTACTCTCTCTCTCTGTGTCTTATTCTCTCTTACTCTCTCTCTCTCTCTCTCTCTCTCTCTCTCTCTCTCTCTCTCTCTCTCTCTCTCTCTCTCTCTCTCTCTCTCTCTCTCTCTCTCTCTCTCTCTCTCTCTCTCTCTCTCTCTCTCGCTCTCTCTCTCTCTCTCTCTCTCTCTCTCTCTCTCTCTCTCTCTCTCTCTCTCTCTCTCTCTCTTTCTTTCTTTCTTTCTCTAGTCTCTGTAAATGCTTTCTGTGTATTCTTGTGCTGTGCTGGACTCTCAGTCTGGTGTTTTAGAGATTCTGAGGAAGTGAAAGTGTCTTGAGCAGGATTCAGCTCTTACAGCTTGCACAGGTCTTTACACAGCAGTTATCATGGTTGCAATGAAGTGTAGCAAGATGTATGTAGTGTGTAAAGTGGAGGGAGAGGGGTTGTGAAAATCCGTACAATACTGCATATATGTGGTTTGACGGTCAGCGGTATTCTGACTTTGGGGTGTTTGCGATGCACAGAAATAAAAATAGGTAATTCTGAACCTGCGTTGGTATACAGGAAACTATGAATTTTGTTTCTCATCGTTTGAGCAACACTTGCCAACAGTTCTCCTTGACAGCCTGCTTTACGCTAGCATGGTGGTTGGTTTGGCCGTTTGAGTACATGAAGTCACAAGTTCAAAGTAACTATGGCAAGTAAGTGTCTGAGCTGTGTTGTGCACGGGTGTGTTGTTCTTGTTGTTGTTTTCCGAAAAACAAAACTTTTTCTTTATTCTTCCTACAATGTAGATCCTTCTAGTGCCAACTTCTGCCGTCATGTTTTGGTGTGTTTTGTGAGCGCTTGATTGCATGCATGTCTGTCTATACACGGCTAGCGGTCGGTATTTTGTATACGCAGACTCTGAAGGGTTTGACCTGACGAGATTTGGACAAGTAACCGCAGACCTATCACTATAGTGTCACATTGTGATGTCATGTGCCTTTGCAAACCTTGGCCTTTAGCTTTGAGAATATAATTTCTTCGTCCTTCTGGAAATGGCACACTGTACATTGGGTTTTGTTTGTTTTCTTCTCTGAAGGGACATGTCATTGTTTGCGCGGATGCGCATGACGATGAGGGAGCGCGGCGGGTTCTTTGCTCTGTATCGTGGCATTGGCCCGGGCTCGATCAGAAGTTTCTTGGCAAACGGCTGCAGCATGATCGTGATGGCCAATGCCCAGCGCTATATCTCTCACTGGGGACTAAGATAGTACTAGTAGTGCGTGTCGTGTCGGTACCATTTCCCAGTCTCTAGTGTTTTCATTTTTTTTTTACAATTTGTTAGAAAACTCTCACCACTGGCCGGCCGCTGTCGTAGTAACTCCTATGCTGTTGTTCACCTTGCTCCTAGATTCTTTTTGAATGGATCCGGAGGATCCTCCTTTGTATTTTGAAAAATTGATAGCAGTTGCTCAATAACTTCTTGACATGTAACAGAACATCTTGACCATGAAATTCTGGGAAATTATTGCTGCCCCTCCTCGTATTTGATAGGCATACTGATGGTTCCAAATGCAGTTATAATTATGGTATTTCGGACATTTTATTACAATGGTTTTGCAATTTTTTTCGCTTCTGATCATCCATAGTGCCGATGATGTCAGTAGTATCAAGAGTATAACCTTGGTAGTATGGTGTGCGCTATTGTAGAACTATTTAAAAATTCTGTAGACCTCGTAGTGCACTACTTGGAGCCTATACATGTATAATATCCTGCTTTGGGTTCTAGTGTTGCTTTTTGGACTTTTCAAGCAAATCTTGGCACACGTACAACGAATACGCACATGTACTTGAAAAACTATTCTTCACCTGTGGGAATGTCAGTCTTGCAGCTTGCATCATGATTTCCAAATTGGTGTGTGGGGGGGGGGGCAGGCGCGTGCGCCGGTGCCCTTCAAGGGGGTTTCCGGGGGACCTCCCCCGGGAAAATTTTCAAAAAATGAAGCAAAATTCTGCATTTTGAGCAAAAAAGGGGGGTTCCGGGCACCCAGGAACCCATACGGAGAACGCGCCTGGGGGGGGGGGGGGGGGGGAGTCCGCAGGGGCAAGCGTACTCTAAGCCTTGACGGGGACGGGGGAGAGCTCGCCTGCATCATACAGCCGCGTGTACCAAGATTGAATATCCCCTGGAAGCTGATGTACATGTACAATGATGATGACCAATTCAGGGCGGCCATAGCACCGGGATTCAGATGGTCCGGCCAAATGGCCCGGGGATACTTCACCGGAAATGAACATTATTGACTAACCCAGTTTTGCATGGATTGTGTGGGTCAGCTTATTTTCTTCAAGTTCTCGAAATAAGGTCCGGCCAAGACCGGCCGGACTGGGTGCTACGGCCCTGTGATGGCCAAGGATCAGATCGACAAGCTAGTGTTGCCCTCAGTAACGTTACAAGGAGTCGTTGTATGGATCTCTGGACTTGATCCTTATCCCTGGACCAGGGAGTTTCTCCCTGCCCTGGTCCTGGACCTTGCGAAATAACCATTACTTTGTATACTGTACTCCCTCGGCCTCCTTCCGGCCCATTATGCGATATGCAGCTCAGGTTCACTGACGTCGATCGTGACGTGGTTCTACGTAAATGAGTATTCGAAAAGAGACAAAATGGCGCTCTCACGGCCTTAGCAACCGTACTAGCAACGGATTCGCTTTTTGATAGCGTTCTTTCTTTGTGGAATTTTGGAAACTGTTGATCGATTTGAGAACGTATTCTGCCATGATGGAAATTGTTTCTACATATTGAATTTACAGAACCAGTCATCTCTAGTGGATGGTTTTGTCAGCGTAGAAACCAGTATGCACGTACTGACGTGAGATGGATGTTTTGCTTGCCCGATCGGCGCTGTCCACAGGGCAACGCAGCGCTGGAGCGAAAGTAGAACAGGTCAGTATCACACTTCCATGAAGTTCTATGCACATTCATTACACTCAGGCACTGGTAATACTTGAATATTTGCTCGGCGAAGCAGTGCCCGAACTTCTATTATCAGGCTATGAGTTGCTTTATTATTTGAATTGTTCACGAATGTATACAGACAAACGGACAATTTTCGAATGTAGATTTTGTTGAATACGCGCTTCGCAGCTTGGGAATCTGGCAATTTGAACTGCCAATCTCTAGAATTGCATAGCCCGGTTTGAGCGTTCTCAAAATGTCAAACGCGCGAAGCAGTCTTGAGTTGCACAAGGATCCTGTACCGGCATAACCGATCCTCAACATGAAGTAATCATTCTCCAATAATTGCGTAGCCTGTTTGTACGCATGTTTCACGCAAGATAGCATGGTTTGCAATCATCTTTGATGTAGTTTGATCAGTCTTTGGGGGAAGATTTCGAAGTTCGTAACCTTCTTTCCAATCTTCCCGCTGCTGCACTGTCAGGACACATAAAGCTGCAGTTCTTGGAGAATGGAGCAGCGGTCCTCCTTCGAAAAAGAACCGAGTTGAGTTTCAAAATACAGTAAAACCTGTGACTACCGACCAGCCCTTGGTGCCAAAAAGCGGTCTTTAGTAGCAGGTGGTCTTTAGTTAGAGGTTTGCACCGCGTGACCATATATGGATCCCATGATATGATATGTATGTCAAAATGCAGCTAATACAATTCCCCAGGACTTCATTCTTATTTCAGGTCAAACAACACTTGGAGAGAAAGACAGAGAGAGAGAGAGAGAGAGAGAGAGAGAGAGAGAGAGAGAGAGATTAATTTTTTGTAGACTTCAAATTCAGTTGCTACTTCTGAAGCCAGGAGTCAAACGTTCCCTGGGGAAGTTTCGTTTTGCGCTGGGCTTCAAATTTGTTCATGCGATCAATCGTACCGACTGTCCTTGTTGTGACTCCTCGATTGCTTGAACGCGATCCTTCAGCATCAGGACCTTGTGGTGCTGCTTTGTTTCTGGATTCCTTGATGCCATCGTCGATCCGTCTGTATGACTGGCGTGACAGAGCTGCCCAGTCTTCGTTTCTCCTCCGAGTAGTAACATCGATCACAGAGCGCTTTCGATGCGCTCTCCAAGACGTTTCCTTTCATGTTTATTCTTGACAGCGCTTGAAATTTTGACAGGTGTAGTGCAGTCCACACCGACTCCACGGTCAAAATTACCTGCGTTCATTTGTTCAGCTGTAGTATCGAAAGATTCCTTTCAGGACCATGGAAAATCTGCAAAATTTCAAGAAGGAGCTTCGAGCAACATTTGATTTCCCACATCGCGGTCGCTAGTTACGGGTCAAAAATCGTCTTTGGGACAAGAAAAGGCGGTCGCTGGTCGCGTTCAGCAGGTAGTCGCTAGTCACAGTGCATTTTGAATGTGAGACCTTCCGTGCCTGGCGAAGTGGTCGGTAGTACCAGGCTGGTCGCTAGTCACGGTGGTCGTTAGTTACAGGTTTTACTGTAGTGCAATATACAGCTTTGCAGAATGGAACACAAAGCTTAGTTGCTTGTCCATGTAGGGTGCCAGCTGGCAGATAATGTCTTAGGCTTCCACTGCAAACGCCTTGCTGCTTCACTTTTCACAGTGTCTCTGCCGTTACTTTGCCCATGGTGTGACTGAGAGGCAGGCTGTGTTGCGAGACGCATGGCACTATCTTTTGATCGTCCCAACACAGCAGGCAGTGCGTACAAGAACAAGGAACATCAAACGCCACCTCGAAATGTGAAGTGTATTCCCAAGCTAGCATTCCCAAAATGTTCGCAAACTGCTCAGCAGCAGGTTTTCAAACTATCCAAACAGTCTGTGCATTTTGAGAGTTCCTTTAAAATTATATAGTCATAAGTCGAGGGGATGGAAAAGGGAAAAAGTCTGAAGAAAATATTGACTGTCACCACAGGAATCAAACCAGAGACCTTGCTTGAGGCCAGCGATGTTCTGACCACTAAGCTATGGTGTAGTTGTCATCCCAGCAGAGACCGTCCAACATTTTCTTCTGACTTCGAAACTCACACTTCCTGTGACTCTACACAGGCTGGTGGGACGCAGCCCTCACTGTACCCACACACTTCATACACAAACTAGTACGCGGTGAGCCCGAATGTATGAAATATTCAGAAGTTGAGCAAGTGTGTATTATCCCAGAGCTTTTTCAGAAGCTGACGTAGCGTTTCTGGCCAAATTGGATGCTGGCATGTATGCATGCATGTGGGCAGTGCGCCAGGCCTTAATGTTGCAATGTGTGCTTTGCTTTTTGGTGTTCACAGAAAAAGGATGATGGTGGTGGATTTGCCGCTTTCTTGCGTCAATTCTCCAGCTCAGCGCATTTCAGTGCCTTCTTTCGTTTAATTACAACTGCTGCCTCGACTGAGGCGGGATGGAAGGTAGGTTTTTAAGTTTTTTAGGTTTGTTCCTTTTAAAATTGCTTTGCTACACCAAGGAATAAACTCCTATCTGAGTACATGCACATTGCTAGTTACAGTGCATACAATGTAGCCGAAGATTGGCGATAACCCAGGCTGCACGAAGACCAGGGATTTTTAAAACAGTTTCTCTGACATGTAAGTGACTATTGTTGACCAGCATTGTCCCCGTGCTGGCACACCTGTTTCCCCTCGTTCTATGCGCGCACACATGTGTGTGCATGCGTGCGCGTCTGTATCTGTAGCTGTGTGCCCGTGTATCTGTATGCCTGTGTGTCTGCTTGATGATGAGTGAGCCTTTGTACTTGGGTGGAGTGGCGCTGTTGACAGGTGTAATGTTATGTGTGGTGAAACTTTGCACCATTCCTTTTTCCCTTCCCTTTGCTGTTCAGGAGTTCGACATCCACGCACAGAGCCACTTTATCATTTTTCTGAATGATTGCTTCAACAGTCTGGTAAGGGCGAGTGCTAATGCAGATCCTGAGTCTACTGTTCACAGAGTTTGCATCCACCTGTTGTGTCTGAGTGCCTGTGTCCGAGTGACAGACATGTTGCAGTAAGCTTTGTGCTGGTCTCTTTTCTCTGAGATGATAGTGCTCGATTGAAGACCTTGGCTCATCGATGCAAGTTACCCTGTCTTCTTCCATGAAAGTATGCTTTGACCACCACACTGTTTCTGTGCTTCTTAACGTCTTTTTGTCCGTAGGAGAATGACATGATCTGTGGGCACGTGCAACACCTTATTGGTCTGCCAGTCTGGGAATGCCTTCTACCGGTAAGTCAGTGTGTTGTTTTGTGCATTCCAGCACTCGGGGCTTTTGATTAATGGGATGGGGGCTGGTAGGTTTAAATTTCATTGTGGAAGTGTTACCATGTGCAGAGTATTGGCAAGAGCAGATAAACAAGAGTGTGCAACTCGGGATGGGTTGGCCCACGGCGGAATTTTTTTGTTGACATAATCTTTTCGACGACGCACGCACTGCGAGTCTTTTGGAAAGTTTTCCCTCGTGCACTTGGCCGGGCTTTACACTACAAGGTCGGTGCCCAGCACTTGCTCTCGCACTGGTCTGCGGCAAAATGCGCGTTTCTCTGAAAAAAGGTGACGTCAACAAAAATTCCGCCATGGCCAGGGGTATCTGCAGATTGTGCAGGAGAGATCCGGAGTTGCACACTCTTGTTTACAGTACTCTTGGTATTGGGGATCTGTTGCCAGCATACCATCCCCGTGCGTATGTCACCATGTGGCTACGTGATTGTAGAGCTTGATAGGGGTCTGGAACCCACCAATAACCTTCGCAACTGGACTACATGCCTTGTGTGCTCTCTTTCATCGCAGGAGCGACTTGAGGCTGAACTGAGACGGACTGGCCTAAAGAAGAAATGGCTGCGCCTGCAGAAGCAAGATGGCAAGAAATCACCAGCCGATCTAGCCGAGTATGTCCTTTGCATATACACGTGTCGTTCTTTTTTCATGTGCACTGCACGTGCTCTGAATTCATGACCAGTGTACAGATCACTACCATGAGTAGCCATGGTAACATATCTATAGGAAGTGCGGCTTTAGCATGCTGGAGAGACGTTGTGCGCTCTTAGTAGGGAGTTAGGCCCAGGTTTTTGATGTGAGAATTTCTGCTCCATGGGTACATGTACTACTTCTGATTCTGAATGTCGTCATTCAAGATGTGAGTTGTCAGCTTACTAGCACGATTTGTTGTATGTATTGCTGTGTCCCAGGGCAAAGCGATTACGGCATGTGATGAAGGGTATGATCGAGCGATTCTTCATCGTCTTGAATGGTATTTCTGGTGACCCCGAAGGTAAGTTCACAACCTATGATCGCGTTTGACCTGAATGATGCTGGTGGTCTGTTGAATTAAATTGAGATCAGCATATCCTATAGTGGAGTTGGTGGTCATCCATGGACAGTGTAGCTTGTACATGTGGTGTAGTCGATGGTGTATGATCTTGCTTGTCTAAATAGTAGGCGCTAGGTTTTGGGCTCAGGGATTTTTGGTGTGTACTGATCGCTTGCTGGTTAGCGTGGTGTGTTTGGCAGCGCCACTGGCGGACGTGGGTACATATACAGTCAGACCTCGCTTAACCGCACACATCCGTTTTCCACAAAAATATCCAGATGGGCAAGGGAACCAGATAATCGAACACCGGTTTTGTTGGATGCATCACGGATGCATCATGGATGCTGTACACCTGTAACCAGCTATTTTCTTCCGGATGGTGAGGGATCCGGATAAAATGTGTACAAGACAGTAGTGTAGCAACCACTGGCTAATGTAGTGTCCTACAACGCACACCGTGGTACTGTGAATAGAACACGGTGTCCACTCTGTACTTGTGTAGCCGTGAGTGCTTCATGCTCCTCATGCTCGTCTCGCTGATGTGTTTATTGTAGTCAAGTACACTGTGAGTTGTGTGTGTCATTTGTATTGTTGATCATCAATGGGCTTTCTCTATTCATGTGTGTGTCTTCTTGCTTGGATGTGTTTTCGTAATGTGCAGAGCTTGTTGACGTCAACAGCGTCCATTATTGCGAGCGCTTTCTAGACTTCATCAAAGACATTGAGGTGAGGTGGTGTTACGGTTTATTCCTGGTCATGCAGACATCAATCCTTTAAATTGTTCTGATGGGGATTTTGCTCGGCATAGTTTTTGATTAGAAAAGTTTGCTATTCCTGTAGCTCACACTTCCTGCCATACGATAAGTTATCAGAACTGCCAAAGTCGCTACTTCGAACTTCACGGTCTTTGATTGTGGTACCTTTGTGATGGTGTGCTGTTTTCGATTGGTGGCAGCCAGTCTAGCATACATGTACAATCATCATGTACTTAGTGTATAGTATTCATGTCTTCCCACTGCAGTCCTTGCTACCTGCGCGTCGTTTCTTCAATACCGTACTGGACGATTCCCACTTTGTGGTACGTATGTTTCAAGTTTAATGTATGTGTGTTAACTGTGTTTAGTGTGCTACATATCTTTGTCTTTCTAGGAGCAAAGACAATAATTATATCTTCTTGTGTGTAATGTTGAGGGTCCTCTGTTCATTTTTGGTTTGTGTGCGTGTGCGTGTGTGTTTGTGTGTGCTTTCGTACATGCTTGTGTGTTATTTGTTGTCTTTGTGTCCCTTTACTGGTATTCCAGGTCCGGTGTATGCTCAGCGGTCTTGCACAGCGGTCAGAGAAGGAAGGCAAGCTGTTTACACAGGTAAGACCGCCTAGACATGGATGGATGGGCAGGTGGGCAGACGTGTGGGTGGATGGCTGGCTGGACAATGGATATATGGATGGATGGGTGCATGGCTGGCTGGCTGGTTGGCTGGCTGGCGGGTTGGCTGGCTGGTTGGCTGGCTGGGCAAACGGATATATGGATGCATGGATGCATGGATGGATAGACACTGACTGTGTCAATGCTGAGTTATCGAACTGAAGCCCGCATCTGTATGGGAAAGACCTGTTTCTATTTTCTCTCTGTGTTTGTGTGCTGGTGAACAGCTTCTGGACATGCTCAAGTTCTATTCTCATTTTGAGATTAATGACTTGACTGGTAAGTCGCTGTGACTGTGCTCACTGTCTCTGACTTTAGCATTTGTTGGTTAAATACTTGGGCATGAGCATGGGTATGCGGCCAAAGGCGCGTTCCAATTGTCTTCATCAACTTCCTCCTCCTAGTTACAGGCGGTGTTTGGACCCAACATGCCTGGACAAGGGGAGTTCTACTGTACTTTGGAAGGCCCGCGACATCATGGATTTCTAACATTAAAAGTTGGACGGGTCTTCCCTTGCATGCTCTCTCTCATGCAGCACACGATAGAGTTGGATTCAGAGACATCATTCACAATTCTCTCGCTGATTAATGCCTCTACGATCACCTTGTGATTATGAGTTATACATACATACATACATACTGTACTTTGAGCACTGGACTGTGTACTGAACATGGCTTTGGGTTTTAACTTTTTGTTCTTGAAGTCAAATTTCACTTGCCACCCCTGTGGTAGTGTTATCTTGCTTGTCCATGGTGGATTAAAGATGCTGCTGAAGTTGACCTCTCTTTCTCTTTCTGTCTCCTGTACTGCCATGGTTTGGTATTTGCATGCAGGTGAAGCTTACAGTGATCAGGCCTTCTCAGAGCTACATTACGATCGCATCACCTCTCTGCAGGTAAGTTTTCATGCGTATGTGCAGCACCATTGGCACCACCTTACTTTGTACGTATGCAGCACATGTGCATGGCCGCCGCAAGGGCTTGCCTCCTTTCCTGAAGCGTGGTGTCTAGATTAGATTCAGCTCTGGCCTGCCTGTTGTCAGGGTAGTGGAACTAGTGTTCTCAAGTATTTGTGTGTGTGTCTGTTCTGCCTGCAGCGTGCAGCGTTCAAGCACTTTCCTGACTTGCAGGAGTTTGCCCTGGCCAATGTTGCTTCCGTCGACACTAGAGAAACTCTCTTACAGTACATTTCTTCACTTAGGTCAGTGTTTTGTGTAGCTTCTATTGGGGCGTATATACCGTAAAGTACCGTTGATCCGCCCCCTCTCTAATTCCCGCCCCCTGTCGATTTTCTACCTGTGAAGCGACTTCGGCGTATACAACGAAATACGATGTTGAACCGACGCATGCACTGCTGTACGCAATACTTGCCAATCCAGGATGAAAATGTGCACAATCCAGCACATCGAGTCTGATCCTCTACGTTGTTGTACATCGTACTGCACTTGACAGCCTTGATCTAATTCCCGCCCCCTGCCGAAAACCCAGCTGGGAAGCGACATGGCGTGGGGGGGGGGGGTCAACTGTACTTTACGGTATGTGTACTTCTTTTGAATTGTGATGAATTTTATTAATTTACCTCCCATCTGGTTTCTTTACTAGACAGTTGTCCTCAGGCTGCGTATTGTGCTCTATGTCTATAGTCCATTTCAAAAAGATTAGCAATCAGGTTTTGGTCTTAAAAAGTACGAAGATAAGGGAAATTTGGACAACAAAGTACATAGAATGGCTTGTTAGGACACGGCAAATTGTTCTGTGAAGGTTTCGGAACAATTGGACCAGCCGTTAAGGAGTTAGAATTTCGGCCAGGTTTCCGGCCTTTTCCCATGGTTTACAATTTGCCCTGGATGTCAGTATCGATTTTTTTTATCAAAACCCACGATTTATCCTTTCCTTTTTGGCCTTGTGGTTATGCATGCTGTCTGCTGGCCATGAAGTTGTGAGTTCGAATCCCAAACTATCCTCAAGTCAAACTTTTTTTCATAGTTTTGGTGATCACGCTGGTACAAAAAGTACAAGCCAAAGAAGGTGGCTGCGCCAAACGACTTGTTGTTGTTGGAGCTCGCGTTTCCTGCCGAACTTACTGACACTTGACTGCTTCACGCCATGTGAACACACCCACAACACTGAAACGGTGTGAGTGAACACGGAAGTCATTGCGCTGCAGCTACGTGTTGTTGAATACAACGGCACATCGATCGATCGATTTCTCTTTGAGAATTACATGTATTTCAGTATTTCAAGATCGCCAATTTATTTGAATTTAGGAGTCAACGCCGTCTTCTATCAGCTTTCACAGGTGTCTGCTTTTCTCAAAATGTCGTCGAAGTCACGCGGATAGCTTTGCCAAGTCATGGCCTTGGGAATGAGTCTGTGTCGATGTCGTTTTCGTCACATCGTGAGAGTAAATTGCATCGCAGCTCAAAGAAATTGGGCACGAAACGAATTGGGACCCATCCCGCTCGTCAACATTTACCACACTTTCGACATGTCCTCTCTGACTCCATGTCGATACGAGGAAGAACTCGTTTGTTGTAAACCAGACGTACATGTACCGACGTGAGTGAGTTATCATTTTTCATGCTTTCGCGCGGATTATTTCTTCGAGTTCACAGTGAGTTTTTCCAGCCAGCTCTCGAGCGCGCATACGGTAAGACGGCAAACTCCCCGGGCGATCGCCAGGATTGCTAATCTTTTTGAAACTGACTGTAGTGGACAGAGCCAGTAATACGTGGTTTCTTTTAGGGGTCAAACGGGTGTACCTTTAACTAACGAACGGGTAATTTTCTTAACGGGCGGGTTAACGAGTACCCTTTAGCAGCCATATTATTTTTGTGTGCATTTATCACATAAATCATGATTTAAATTTGTATATTCTCAGGTTGTATTTTGATACCACATTATGATTCGCATTCTATTTATTCGTGTCTCATGATAATATTATGGCAATGAAGGTTCCAAATGAATGTCATCCGTACATTTGCCCATGTACATAACTTCACAGGCAGTTACCAGTCCGAGAGATCGCCTAGTTAGGACAGGTGACGTCCGATTGTTGTTGTCATGGAAGAGCCTTGTTTGTACGCGTGGTTGAAGCGTTTTGTACACATTTCGGCTGCATTTGGACCATCGATTTCGATTTTTCAAAATGTAGTTTCCACTTTCCAGACCGCACGTGGTGCTTCCTCCATGATCAATTTTGATACTGAGTCGAGCAAGTCTGGTCACTAGAATTGCAAGACGAAAATATGGACACCAGACCAGCCGTGAGTGGCCATCGTAGGCGCCAAGTGACAGGATATATAGCGGACGGAGCAAGACGGTGGAGTTGCCTAAGCAAAAGGAAAAACGGGCTAATGAAGAAAGTTTGCTCTCATTAAAAAATATTTAGCTCTTATGGTTTAGAAACGTTTGACAGTCGCATCTTTGCGTATTGACAGTTGCCTTGGAATTTTCCCTGCGACGCTCACTAGCAAGAGTACTAAGAAAGCTTCGAAGAGTCGCTGTCCTTACCGTATATACATTTAGCTATAAGCTGATTTTTGAACACTGGCATACCACGTAAAGTGGAGAACATGTATTTTATGTAATGAAGTACATGTACTGCAACACAGCCACCAACACCAGCTGCCTGTTCTGCAAGGAGTGGTTCACTTCAGCAACCGACAGCAGCAACAGTCACTGGCACGGCACCAGTGCAGCAGCTGCAACACCAACAACCACCACCGCCACAACAACAACAAACACAACCACCACAACCACAACAACAAACACAACCACCACAACAACAGGAGGCTATTGAAATGCCACTGCTGCAGCAGCAGCAGCAACCACCACTTGCGGCAGGAGCGCCAACCCAAACAAATGTGTGTATTGCCTGCAAAGGCGGCCCACCTCCCCTTCTCAGGACATGTCGTGGATGTGCACGACCATACCACCACATGTGCCAATCAATGGACGAAGACGAACAAACATTGTGTGACCAGTGTTATCTCGGTAGAACCTTGAAAGAGAAGGGGCAACCACCTGAACAAGAGCAGCAGCAGCAGCAGCAAGAACAACAACAGCTGATACCATTGCATGTACAGCAACAGCACCAGCTGGAGGAGCAACACGTGATACAACTCTACGTACAGCAACGGCAGCAGCAGCAGCGCCAACAGCAGCAGCAACAGCAGCAGCAGCAGCAGCAACAGCAGCAGCAACAGCAGCAGCAGCAGTAATAGTCGCGCCTACTAATGCAGGAAACAAGAAGTGGCAAGACAGAGAAAGAGATGGAGCGCAACAGCAGCAGCACTCGGACAAGAAGCATAATGCTATAATTCATGAATGAATATACCAGAAGTTCTGGCCGCATGGCATCAATGATATCAAGATTGAAGAATTACAAGCACACAATTTCCTGTGTGGTGTCATTATGAACTGTCATATTCCTTGTGAGGAACTTCCGTGTAATGCCTTCAAGGCCACCATATTGCGCCATGCATTCATGGGCATGGTGCAGAAAAATTCAGAACTGTTCAGCTGCATAGGATAGCTGCATAGGCTGCATAGGCTGCATAGGACGAGTGACGGCTTGACTGAGAGCATCCAACGCACTTCGCACTACAGTATCACTCCAAACAAAGAGAGCAAACAGCACAAGAAAACGCAGCATCAATGTTCATTGAATGTTTTCTTATGTAGAGCATACTGAGCGCCGAGCATACTCAACACGCAGCTCGAGAAACAGAACAGTACAGATTACAGAGGTATGTCAGACGCACATAACAAAGAGGAAAGTTGTGTACGAACAACTTAGTTATGAAACCGTTCATCATACATCACTCCCAGAACACCTGCGATGTGCCTCGGAATTCAGCCAGGCTAGATCTTTTTTTCCGTATTTTACTACAACTGTGAAACTACCAGTACTTTATAACAACATTTTTATTCTTAAAATGCCAGTTGCAATGAAAAATCAGGTATGTTTTCATCTACAGTACAACAAATTCGACCCTTAGAATTTCACGGCCCCATGCCCTACCTGCAGAGAGACTTGATGTTCCGTCCGCTGATGCTGGAGAGGACATCCAACAGGGACTTCCTGGCGTTTTTGTCCTTCCTTGTGGACGTACTCCCCCACTGGTAGTGGAAGGGGTTTCCACACTGGTAGGCCCCAGGAGTGGCACGACGCGAGGAACGTCTGGCCTGCACGTCATGCTTCCGCGACGACATGATCAGTGGTCTGGTGGCACTGGACGAAGAGCTCCAAACGTAGACTGGTCAACCGACTGGCGATCACCAAACTAAAAAAGACGAAGTCTGTGCCCTATTTCTAGTATTTGGGCAAGCAAAACCTCTCAACGAAAATAAACTACACATGGAATCCACAATTTTTTTCAGGGGAATGCATGAAAAGGCCATTGCCAACACGTGGCTGTACACGTGTACGCCTGCATTTGTCGCATGTGGTCTGCATTCGTGCATTTCTCCATCCGAATCAGCCCGAATCCACCATTCCTCCTTCTCTGCATCAAAACAGCAGAAACAGATCAAGTGAATTTTGAAACGCTCAAATGACGCGTACGCAGTACTGAATTTCTATAGCAACCACCGCCAACAGTCACCTGTCCTAACTAGGCGATCTCTGAGACCTGGTTACAATCGTACATGGTCCTAGTGCTACATGTATTTTGATACATGTACGCAAATCAACTGCAGATCGATGTGATTCAAGCCATGCAAGGACAGAATAGTTTAGCAAAACTCCCGTGATCTCGCCCAATCCTATTTGCTATGTTCGCAGAGAACTGGTACTCTTCCCATTCAGAAGATGTTTGCACCCATTGCTAGCTGGGGTGCCTGACACAGCTGATGTGCTGCTGGCCAGCTAGCTGCTAGTGCTAGCTCGTTGAACTCGTGAAACGAATCTTCACAAATCTGTAATCTTGTATGCAATATTTCGAACAACTTTTCAACTAAACCGAGTTCGTCGATTGAAGGAACAAACTACAACCATGAGTATCATAGCTACCACCTACGGACATCGCCGTGTGTGACACTCCGACTGGTCACTCAGCCTGGTGACACTAGTTCATGTTCAAGTACTGTGGCAGGTTCGATGTCGATGTCGGAGAACCATCGTAACTTTCTAGTAACTAAGCTGCCACCTCGAACGACCGGTTTCAAGTCTTGCATTTTCTCACATTACAATCAAAAACCTCCAGTACGAGGATTTTTACTTGGACTAGAGTGGAGAGAACGGCTGTCTTTCAGCCTGCTCCTGCCTGACAAAGTCGAAAGCGGGAATGCACAGGAAAGGGAAAAGAGTATCCGCACTCCTATTTTGAGTCTTGGCATATGATAGGATCATCGAAATCCAACCTTTTTTTTTTTTTTTTTTTTTTTTTTTTTTTTTTTACAAACGGGTACCCTTTTACTAACGGTACCTGAGATTAACGGGCGGGTACCCGGGTACCCGGAACACCCGTTTGACCCCTAGTTTCTTTACTATGTGTGGATGCCTGTAGACTTTGCCGTGTCTGTCTGTCTTTTTGGTTTTGCCTGTTTTTCTGTTTGTCTGTGCATCTGACTGTCTCTTTGTCTGTGTGTTTGTGTGTGTCTATGACTGTCAACGCAGTGCTGAAATGCTCTATACTGTGGCTGCACATCTTCACCTCGTACCGGCCGTTCAGGAATCTGAGGACTGGAAGCCTGATCCACTCTACACAAGAGAGTTCCTACTGGAGATGTTGGTAAGGAAGCTCTTGATGAAGAATGCAGTTTCAGTGTTACAAGTTTTTAAATTTATAATCATCGTATCGCAAGCATCCTTTGCAATCTACAGATATGCGTTGGCCTCCTTTGAATTCTCAAAGGGTAATGCAGATGAGTAGTCATCAGTATGTTGCTGATCTGAAATAGGGTGATGAGCTTTCATGTCACAGCACGGGTAGGCTAGGTTGTGGTTTATACTTTTATATGTATTTTTTCTTGATTGAAAGTAATTGGGCATGGGAGAGCAGGAGGTGTGTGTATGCAGATGGGATGGGCGTGTGTGTGTTTGTGTGTGTGTGTGTATGTGTGTGTGTGTGTGTGTGTGTGTGTGTACGCGCGTGTGCATGTGTGTGTGTGTGTGTGCGTATGGGTGGGTGCCTGCGTGCATGCACATGCATCTGTTATATTTACCTTGTGTTACCATTCCGTTTGTTATTGGATGTCTGTATTCTTCATCTGGTCCTTGTGGGGTTTAGATTTGGCGCAATGAGCGGCGACTCTCGCAGCTGGATGCTCTGAACATTATGCCACTCTATCCTACAGAGGAGGTTGGTCCATTTGAGATTCCTCTTCTATTATTTACTTTGGATTTTCGTTACTAGGGAATTGGGAATTATTGTTTACTCTTCACTGTACTTGTGGATGGGTAGGAGTAATGTTTGCTAAGGAATCATGCTGCCTCTGCTTGCAAGTGTAGTTGTGATAGTTTTTGATAAGAAAGAAAAGAGAGAGAGAGAGAGAGAGAGAGAGAGAGAGAGAGAGAGAGAGAGAGAGAGAGAGAGAGAGATTGATGTGCTTCTCTTGAGGCAGCACACAACTTGTCTTGCTGGATTATTCCCTGTCTTTAAAATACATGTGCTTGATTTTCTTCTTGCACAGATCCTGTGGGACGAGAACTTAGTACCATCTGAATATTCAACTGGCGGTAAGTGTGCTCAGACACATGCATTTCCCACATGGGTTTCAACAAGCTCTTGTTCAGTGACTGTGTTACCTCTCATGTAGCAGGAATGTTTTATTAATGTGAAAATTCTCACCAAAACAAGAAGCCTCAAGTGGCATTAAAGCACTAAAAAGCAAATTTCAACTACATGTACTTTGTACCAATGCTGTTGGTATTTGTTGACTGTGTTGTTTATTCTGATCAGGCATCCTTGCACTGCCAAAGCTGAATCTGCAGTACCTGACCATGCACGACTATCTCCTGCGCAATCTCAATCTGTTCCGCCTGGAGTCAACTTGTAAGTACTGGCCTCTCGTGTTGTGTCCAGCATACTATGAAATTCTAAGCTTAAACTGTGCAGGCACTGCACAAGTATTGTGTGTACATGTGTGGGCAAGTGCTACAACAGGCGGTATGTGCATATTTGTGCGCAGATCACATTCATGATCGTTAGATGGCCGTAGAGTAACAACCGTCTTTCTATACTTCCATACTTTGCGTGCTCAAACCTGAAATAGGATTACAGTATAATCAGCTGCTCCAATCTGCTATGTTGTGCGTGTGTGTGTGTGTGTGTGTACGTGTGTGTACGTGTGTGTATGTGTGTCTGTGTGCATGCGTAACTTATATTACACACACACGTGTGTGTGTCTATGTGTGCGTAGATGAGATTCGCAGTGACATTGAGAACAGCGTGTCAAGGATGAGACCATGGTGAGTCTAGTGTTGTAGTCCGGCGACCCGGAGTTATGCCCCGGAGCCGCGGAATGACATGATTAACCTAAAACTATCACCTTACAAGGCCGTGCAGTGGTGGCCGTAACTATAATTACATTACAGGTCTACTCTCCATATAACGTAATCTCTGGGACCACGCTCGAGAGTTATGTTATATCGAGACTTATGTTATGTAGAAAACCGTGTGTAAAATACAAGATGTACCTCAAAATGAAGGGTATAACAAGGCGGGTTCAACCGTGCAAACATATACTGGTACACACTGTACCACCATCGGCATCAGATACCATCAATGCCGCAGAATATATGCACAATAGGACTAAACTGGCTAGCTACGGTTGCAGCTTGATTGTACCGTGCACGTGAATCTACTTTGTATCGAGAGTGCGCACGCCGGGGACCGCGCCGTAGGGCGCGTTCTGCCGAGGGTTACGTTATGTAGGACTAAACTGGCCTAAACTGCCTAGCTACAGCTACCGCTTGATCGTACCATGCACGTGAATTTACGTTGTATCGAGAGAGTGCACGTCGGGGACTGCGTCGTAGTGTGTGTTATGTCGAGGTTTATGTTATGTAGGATTATGTTGTGTAGAACAAAATTTGTATGGGAGTGATGCTGTTTCGGCGCGGGATTTGATTTTTTTACATACTACTATACTAGCGAGGTTTATGTACAAGTGAGAGTTGTTATATCGAGAGCAGACCTCTGTACTAGACGTTCCGACACCACATCTACTCACGATTCAGACATATTTAGACATGTTCGGGTCACACCACACCTGGTCACACACTCGCACGCCATGCCCTCACATATACAACACACACACACACCCACACCCACACACACACACACACACACACACACACACACACACACACACACACACACACACACACACACACACACACACACACACACACACACACACACACACATACACACACACACACACACACACACACACACACACACACACACACACACACACACACACACACACATACACATACACACACACACACATACACACACACGTAGACATTCACATCGAGACTCACATCTTGTGGTTAGACATAATGATCAACCGGTAGTTACCAACGAGAGGAATAGAAAGTCGTGACTTGTCGTAAAGACGAAAGTTCTAGTCACGTGGATACTTAAAAGGCCACGTGCCAATAGCATGGATACGACACTGGCATGCTTTACCTCGAGGGTTGATATGGAAGGAGGGACAGAAATTACATTATTGCGCATCCGCGTTCTAGGTTGGTCAAGAACTGTTCCGCTTCCGTGGGACGTCACCATTTCATGATCAAGCGTCAGATGCATCTCCTTATCAGTGGATGGACTAGATCCATCCAACAGTGGCCAGATGCCTCAATCCCATTTGCTGAATCCGTGAGGCCACACGTTCCCAATTGACTGTTGGTCGCAGCACGGTTGGAAAAATATATCTGCTTGAAAGTAGGACTTCATCCTGATACCTCTCGGTTTGCCTGCCTGCAACGGGAGGGGGAGGGGGCAGGGGCTAGACATTGCTACGAGTAAATGCTGCTCTTACAGGTCTGTCGAGTGTAATGATTTTGTGTGCGTGCGTGCGTGGGTGTATACGTGTTTCAGGGTGATGGAAGATGGCTCGACTGGATTTGGCGGCTGGGCAAGAATGGCACAGGTATTCTTGCAGTGGTGTGTGCAGCTGTACTTGTGCTTACTGGTACTCTGCAGACTGACTGGTGTGTAGTACCGGATCTACCTCTCCAGTGTAACCTAGTGTTCTGTTAAAGGGGAAGTATACCCTAAAATCAAATTTTCACCAGTTGTAGTCTTCGGGGTGCTGAGTCGAATGGTCTTGGTCCGAGGAAGCTGAGACGCTCCCTTCCTCCTTTATTCCCAATCGAACTCGCGCACTTCCACCGAAACTGGGTGACTGCGCCCTACTAGATGGGGATTTGTATGCAAAATGTCACTAAAAGCGCCATTTCGTTCTTATAAAATCACGGATGACCGCCATTGGCCCATATGTTGTAGTCTTTTGGACGCTGAGTCGACTGGTTTTGGTCCGAAAAGGCTGCGATGCAGCGTTCCTCCTTTATTTCCAATCGAACATGGTTGAACAAGCGGTCACGTGCTCCTGCGTACACCAGTCACCTGGTCACCGTGCCTGCATGGTACAACTTACTAGCCTGTTTGACCTTTTTTGGGTGCACTCCTGTCACTCGAGTTGAACTCGAGTTGAACCTTGGTGTGAAAGTTGTCGCCTGCTGGCGCGGTGACCAGGTGATTTGGGCACCCAGGAGCACGTGACCGCTTGTTCAACCATGTTCGATTGGGAATAAAGGAGGAACGCTGCATCGCAGCCTTTTCGGACCAAAACCAGTCGACTCAGCGTCCAAAAGACTACAACATATGGGCCAATCGCGGTCATCCGTGCTTTTATAAGAACGGAATGGCGCTTTTAGTGACATTTTGCATACAAATCCCCATCTAGTAGGGCGCAGTCACCCAGTTTCGGTGGAAGTGCGCGAGTTCGATTGGGATTCAAGTAGGAAGGGAGCGTCGCAGCTTCCTCGGACCAAGACCATTCGACTCAGCACCCAGAAGACTACAACTGGTGAAAATTTTATTTTAGGGTATACTTCCCCTTTAAAGCTTGGGCCATGCTTCTTGCTTTGTGTTATCGTGGTGAGCGTGGCACCAATGCTGTGCACAGTGTGCTATACTGTAGGTAGGTAGGTAGGTAGGCTGCTGGCCTGCATCTCCCATTGTTGGTGACTAGAGTACATAGGGAAAGTACCGAATCAGACGAACTTTTGTCATGCGAGCACTTGTATTGGATCCTAAGAATGTTTTGGTTGGAGTTTTGAAAATTTTCAGAACGCGTCAGGCAGTGTTGTTGGAATCCCAATGTTACTGTGGGCTGCTCCATGCCTTGTGTTCTGTGTGCATCCAGCCGCTCCTCGAGTTTTCAGTGGTGGAGGTAGCCTCACCGGAGCTGGGACTCAAGGCTCCACGCCGTGTGCTCGCTGACTTCTCCGTGCAACTCAATCTGCGACCAGAGGTGAAGCAAGAATGGGAAAGTGAGTGGTGAACGTATGATACTGTATGCACCAGCACAAGGGTTCTGCATGGGCTCCGAGCATCTTTCTGTGCTATATATCCCCCTCCCCCCCTCACCACCACCCACAAAAGAAATCATGCCACTGTTGCATGGTCTGGTTCTTGACGGTAATGTGTGTGGTTATGCTTACTATCTGTGTGTTCTGCTGTAGATCTGCGTAAGCACGACGTGCTCTTTCTCGTCTGTGTTCAGCCGACCAGTAGGGTTATGCCCAAGGGTCACATGCGCAGGGCCAAGAACGTGCCATTTGTTGAGCAGGTAAGCAGCTATGTTGTGCGGATAGAGCCTGCATCATCGCAATGGATATAGCGAGTTGCGCATTCAATACACCCACCATTCACACAGGTTAGGTATCCTTGAATGTTTTCGTTGCCATCTCTTCAAGAAGATTTACTGGCAACGCTGAATCAACGAGACTGCATCGGTGAAGTTTTATTGCTCGGGAAGTTGTGTTGCTACATTGCTTTGTCCAGTGTTCACTTGGCTCTCTTTCCAGTTGTGTAGAGTTGTGGATTTCCAGGGCCCATTTACTGGTGTTGTTTATACATTCTGGGTTAAATGCTGTTGCTTCATGTAGCGTGGCATGTAGCTTTAACATTTACACACCATTGCATACGAGATGCACACTCATGCTCAAGTGCACCTGTGCACGCAGGCACGTACGCACATACACCTCTCTACTTTGTGTGAGTTTGATGTGCTGCATGTGATGTTTAATCTGCTGCTGGTGGCGATGATGGTGGTGGTGGTGGTGCTGGCGGTGGTGCTGGTGGTGCTGGTGTATGAATGCTGTGTAACTGCAGTATGGTATCAAGTACATACGTGGATGTGAAATTGAAGGCCTGCTGGATGAAGAAGGGCATGTCATCGAGGAAGGTACTGTTCAACTACTGATGGTCTTGGTGTCTGTCTCTCTTGCTGTTCTTATGTCCCATTACTCACAATGAACATGCTGCTTTTTGTTCTGTCGTAGTTATGCTGCACAACCTGTTCTTTTTTCTTCAGTTTTTCTTCATCTGACTTGATATGATGTGACTGGGCCGCAGCAGAGTTGTGTTTTGTTCTGCCTTGTGCCGGTGACTATTGTGTCCACGTGTGTACACCTTGCATGTATTGCTTATCACCGTGTACTCTTCTTGTTCATGGCTTGTTTGGTGTGTCTGTCTGTCCACTCTGCAGGTCAGGAGAAGCCTGCCTTCAAGTCAAGCAAGAGAACGTTCCGCGTTGCACTCGACACGAACCAGTACCATGCCGATTACGAGCACATGCGTGGCCAGTCGCAGGACACTGAGGTTAGCTGCTGCTGCTGCTGCTGCTGCTGCTACTGCAGGTGTCATCACTGAATTGTGTATTGTATGTGAGATTGTGTGCACTCCAAGTAGTCTTTCTGTGTATGTATTGTGTGTACTGCTTGTTGGCTGAGGTGTGTGTTATGATAGGTCATGAACTACTTACTGTTTTATGCTCTCAGAATTGGGCTTGAATGAACAAGTACAATCGTTTGCATCTGGATCTCAGGAGCATATCAGACTTACCACTCTGGTTCTGGTTCTCTATTTCTAGGATATCTACTCCTCGTTCAACGTCATCATGAGACGGAAGCCAAAAGAGAACAACTTCAAGGTTGGTCAGACATTGAACTTTCTAGATCTGTGAAAAGCAGTGATTGAGTGTGAGCCAGTGTTGCTCACAACTCACTTTTAGATTTGTACGGAGTTGCAGCAAGTGCCAATGGCATGCGGCGCCACTCCACGGACAAAGAAGGAGAGCTACACGTACATTCAGTCCAATACCCAGTGTTGACCCAGTGTTGATATTGCCAAGGCTGTGCAGCAACGGGTCTGTTCGTATTCAGCACTTTGAGCTGTGTTTGGTGCACCTGCAGTACTGAATTGGCTTGCTGTGCCTAAACTTACTAGCGTTGTCGAGCTCGAGCGGTCTATCTAGCTAGTTTGTACAATGGATGCATGTGTGTCATCGAGCTGAAGATGATAAGGCCTATGTACAGACTGTGGACTTGCTTATTGGCTACTTCCAGAGTTTTAAGAAGGTGTTGAATACCGATATTTCCTTTGCTATAATTTGACATGCTGACTTGCGGACTGCCTCAGCAATGGCGTATTTAGTACTTTGCTTCATCATTGCTTAGATTGTGACCTGCTTGTGATGGCTGTGTGTTTGCTGTATTTGCTGTGGCCACTGCTCCTGCTCAGGCTGTGTTGGAGACTATCCGTGACTTGATGAACACGCGTGCAGTGGTCCCGGAATGGCTACACGACATTTTCCTCGGCTACGGTGACCCCGGACAGGCAGACTACTCACACGAGCTGTAAGTGTCTATGCACTGAGTATGCAGCATGCAAGAGCTTCTCATGGCCATGGCATGTCATCTGTGTCATGTTTATGCATAATTAGTTTGTCATGCAAGCGTTGTTCTTTTAAAAAACATCATCTTTCCCTCTTTTAGAACTATCCTCCAATATTTCCACATACAGTAAAACCTGGTGCAAGCGACCTCTGGGTTTAGCGACCACCTGCTCTTAACGACCTCTGGGTTTAGCGACCACCTGCTCTTAACGACCTCTGGGTTTAGCGACCACCTGCTCTTAACGACCTCTGGGTTTAGCGACCACCTGCTCTTAACGACCTCTGGGTTTAGCGACCACCTGCTCTTAACGACCTCTGGGTTTAGCGACCACCTGCTCTTAACGACCTCTGGGTTTAGCGACCACCTGCTCTTAACGACCTCTGGGTTTAGCGACCACCTGCTCTTAACGACCTCTGGGTTTAGCGACCACCTGCTCTTAACGACCTCTGGGTTTAGCGACCACCTGCTCTTAACGACCTCTGGGTTTAGCGACCACCTGCTTTTAACGACCTCTGGGTTTAGCGACCACCTGCTCTTAGCGACCACCTGCTCTTAACGACCTCTGGGTTTAGCGACCACCTGCTCTTAACGACCTCTGCGTTTAGCGACCACCTTAACTGCCGTTTCCCATGCACGGACAGCTCTACACAGACACTGTGTGACCTGGTTCTAAACTTTAACGACCGCTTTTGCTAGCACAGTGGGGTGGTGGCTTAAACCAGGTTTTACTGAACATGTATTCCACCCTTGAGATTCCCATGATAGGTATCTATTTGCCCGTGTGAAAGCAATAAAATAAAATGAAATGAAATGGTTGGAAACCCAAGGTCTTGTGTGTCGGTTCTTATGCAGAGGACACCTTTGATTTCACTGGGTGTGTTCTGGGCGTGTGTCTTGTGCTCTTTATTGCAGGATGCAAGACCGCTACTTGCAGCGGCTGGATTTCAAGGACACCTTCCTTAGCATGAAGCATCTGCAGAGCAGCTTCAAGGACTATGAGATTGACTGCTCAACGAGTGAAGCAAGTTTGCAGGTAGGCCTATCCTTGAGCTCTGAGGTTCACAGTCTAAGTTACGTCCAGTGTGTGTTTCGCTGTGTGTGTTCCCGAAGCACTCATTGTTATTTTGCCTGAGAGACATGGCCCCTTGATCGGATTACTGGCCGGATCAGTTGTGTGTATTGAAATAACATAACTGTGTTGAAAATGGAGAGACAATCTGAACCATCATTTTGTTCTTAGAAGATTTCCCAGTGCTATTCCTCACCATTGTGTGTTCCTATTCCCCTTGCTGCTGTTATTGTCACATCCTGTAGCGGCCACCGTTTCGACTTTCGTTACCGGCAGTCGGTGCCAAGGACAAGACGATCAGTGTCGAGCCGTACCAGCTGCCCAACCGTGGGCCTTATCCTTACAACAAGCCAAAGCTGTAAGGCTCTGTTCCGAATGAGTCGGTGCACGTATGCTTGTGTGCGTACATTCCATGGTGTATTCACTGTATTGCCACTGCCAGAAAGGTGGCTTATCTTCAAAAACGTCTCAAGCAGGATGGCATGTAATACTGTATGTCTGAACGAGTTTAGACATACATGTACATGTATTCGCTTGTCCAGTATTGCCTTGTGTGTATAACACATGTGTATGTACGTGTGTTTGTATGCTTGTGCATGTGTACGTGTGTGTACGTGTGTGTGTGTGTGTGTGTGTGTACGTGTGTGTGTTGTTCTGTTGTCCAGTAACACTGTGCCGTTTACACCCACCCAGACCAAGGCTATCCTATCTGGCATGCAGCCAGGCTTGACAGTGGTAAGAACGATTGGGTTTTCAGGGTGTTTTGAATTTCCATAGTTCCGTCATAATTACGCCTAGTGTCATTGTGACCACACTATCGGTGTGCTTCCAAGCTGACTATCTGAACATACTGAAGTACACGTACTTCAAAGTACGATGCAAATACATGTAGAGGGGACGGTTTCAAATAGGACACCGGTTGCAAACCGGAACGGACTCAATATTCACTTTCTCTCTTGGTATTTTGATTAGAAAACATATGTCACAGTGAGACTACTATGTGTTATACTCCGAGCCAAAATTTCATGGCTCTGCGATGACCAGAAGCGCCATATCAAGCAGGCGAGTTTTTGACGTGTTGCTTCGCACTGCGACTCGAGTTTTACGACTTTCGAAAAATCAACTTCTTGTCGCAGGTAAACAGCGGCTCGCCTCTTGCCAATAAAGCACCGCATACCAATCAAAACTAATGGAAGCACACACAAGGCTTATTGTTACTCTGTACTGGCCGTCGTGGAGCGATAGCAATTACCTAATTTCAGACCCAGAGTGAATTTGACGTGCACTCTAAAACGTGTCCGGTTTGGAGCCACCTCTGATTTGAACTTTTTTGAAGCGAAAAATTGGGCAACTTGGAGGCAATGGGTCAACACAAAGGAGTGGCTCAGTTCGATTGACTCTGGCCCCAGAGCAAACTTCAACATGCCAGTTTCCTTCCACAAACATATTTCGAGTGAAAAATCAACGCTGATAATCGGTTTGGGTCTATACAAATTTGGCTGTCAAAACGTCCCGGTATCGAGCCGTCTCCTCTACATGTGCCATGCACAAATATGTACTGCGCATGGACATCCACCAACAACAAAATGATTTACCTATACCAACGAAGATATTGAAGAAAGCTCCTGACAGTTGTTTTGCCCTCTAAGCCAGAGGAAAGACCTTGAACTAGGGTTGCATCTTCTACTTCAACTCACTAGTACCGGCAACATGTTTTCACACCATCGGATACTAGACAGCATAACCGTGTGTTTGTTGTTGTTGTTGTTGTTGTTGTTGTTGTTGTTGTTGTTGTTGTTGTTGTTGTTGTTGTTGTTGTTGTTGTTGTTGTTGCCGTTGTCGTTGCCGTTGTCGTTGCCGTTGTCGTCGTTGTTGCTGCCGTCGTCGTCGTCATCGTTGTTGTTGCGTGTGTGTTTGTGCGTGGTTCTAGGTGGTTGGACCTCCAGGTACAGGCAAGACTGACGTAGCTGTCCAGATCATCTCCAACCTGTATCACAACTTCCCGGACCAGCGGACGCTCATTGTCACTCACTCCAATCAGGTATGCCCTGCTTGAACTGACCGCTGACTGTTGTGTGTGCATGACGCGTTCAGGACACTCCCTTGACTTATACATGGCACTTCTCCTGGATTTACTATTCGTTGCATGCTGTGCTATTTCTGTTCCTGTGCCCCCACCAATAGGCTTTGAATCAGATCTTTGAGAAGATCATGGTTTTGGACATTGAGGAGAGACATTTGCTTCGTCTTGGTCACGGTGAAGAAGAGCTGGAAACTGACAAGGACTTCAGTCGGTTAGTTTAATGACATTTTTCTTGTGTCTAGCCATCCATCTGTTACTCCTATCCGTATACCAATCCATCCATTTATCCATGCATCCCCTCCTCCATCCATCCATCCATCCATGCATCCCCTCCTCCATCCATGCATCCCCTCCTCCATCCATTCATCCATCCATTCATCCCCTCCTCCATCCATTCATCCATCCATCCATCCATCCATCCATCCATGCATCCCTTCATCCACATATCCACCCATCCAGTTTGTATGTACAGTTGTTGATGCGAGTGGTTAATGTACTCCCATGCAGTATCATTTTCATCTGGAGCGATGCGTGCATGCATGCGTGCTTGTGTTTGGACCTGTACATATACATAGAGTACACAACTTGTACACTGTAGTGCTGTTCAAGTTCTGTACATCTTTCTGTGACGGTCAGTTCAAGTGATTAGCCAGGGCCAGTCAGTGAAGCTCGTACCAGTGCTCTATGCATCAGGGTGCAGAGCACTACATGTACAATGTCATGTACTTGTCTACACGAATACAGGAAGCCAGAGACTGTTTTACTCGAACTCCTGTATTTGTCTGCAAGAGAATATGCGCTTCGCTGACGGAGATATGCTCACTCCGGTGTCCAGTGTGTTGTGCTGGCATTGTGTCCGTGTGACTCTCACTTTATCATCTGATTATCGCGCTCATCCTTGCTGCCGTCCTCTAGATATGGTCGTGTGAACTTCATCCTGCAACAACGACAAGAGCTTCTGGACGAGGTGCAGCGTCTCCAGGTCAGTTTGCCAGCTTATGATCTAGTGTTGGAGGTGGCATTGGAAGTGTCTGTGCAGTAAATGTGGTAAAGTGGGAAGGAGCTAAACCCACCTTGATGCTGTGAGAGGAGGAGGTAGGGGTGCTGGTATGAAACTCACATGTATACGCATGCATGAGCTATCCGGAGATTGAGTACATATACCGGTACATGTATTTGGGGGGTTTTCCCGCCTCCCCGTTAGCAGAATAGATCGCGCGCTTCGGGCGGAACAGGCACATATTTTAACCGCCCGTTTGCAGCTTTAGGGACATCATTGACTACCTGAAGAAGGCCATTGGCCGAAACGTATATAATGGAATGGTTCGGAAATTTGCAGAGTATTGTGGAATGGGTGAGTTCACCTACTATGAAACTGCAGGAAGCCTCCAAACTTCTTCTCAATGTATATGACTATAAGCGAAAATCCTTTTTTCTTTTGTTCCACTGAAGTTTTGTTTGTACCGAAGCTCTGCACTTCATGTATAGAGCACTCTGACCAGTAGTCAAAGTTCTTCTGTGTATGTATACGACTATGTACGTTGTTGCTCATGACTGTTGACAGGAGAGCATCAATGTTGGCGGTGACTTCTCCTACACGTGTGAGACGGCAGGACATTTCTTCCTCTATCAGGTATGTGTGCGCGCGCGTGTGGGTATGTGTGTGCGCACGCGTGTGTGTGTGTGTGTCTGGCTGGCTGGCTGGCTGGCTAGCTGGCTTGCTGTGTGTGAGAGTGCACGCTTGCGAGTGAGTGAGTGTGCAAAGTGTGCGAGTGAGTGAGTGTGCAAAGTGTGCGAGTGAGTGAGTGTACAAAGTGTGCGAGTGAGTGAGTGTGCAAAGTGTGCGAGTGAGTGTGCAAAGTGTGCGAGTGAGTGAGTGAGTGTGCAAAGTGTGCGAGTGAGTGAGTGTGCAAAGTGTGCGAGTGAGTGAGTGTGCAAAGTGTGCGAGTGAGTGAGTGTGCAAAGTGTGCGAGTGAGTGAGTGTGCAAAGTGTGCGAGTGAGTGAGTATGCAAAGTGTGCGAGTGAGTGAGTGTGCAAAGTGTGCGAGTGAGTGAGTGTGCAAAGTGCGCGAGTGAGTGAGTGTGCAAAGTGTGCGAGTGAGTGAGTGTGCAAAGTGTGCGAGTGAGTGAGTGTACAAAGTGTGCGAGTGAGTGAGTGTGCAAAGTGTGCGAGTGAGTGTACAAAGTGTGCGAGTGAGTGTGCAAAGTGTGCGAGTGAGTGTGCAAAGTGTGCGAGTGAGTGAGTGTGCAAAGTGTGCGAGTGAGTGTGCAAAGTGTGCGAGTGAGTGAGTATGCAAAGTGTGGGAGTGAGTGTGCAAAGTGTGCGAGTGAGTGAGTGTGCAAAGTGTGCGAGTGAGTGAATGTGCCCATAATACAGTACACGATTGGTTTACATGTGTAGACACTTTCTAAGCCCTCAACCTAGTTTTCCCTGATTTTAGGACATGAGGAGATCCATGTGTTTGCTCTTGCTGTAATGTTCTGCTGGATATGTACAGATCGTGGCAAGATGGGAAGCCTACATGAGCAAGATCAAGGTGAGACACCTTCTCTCTCTCTCTCTCTCTCTCTCTCTCTCTCTCTCTCTCTCTCTCTCTATCTATCTATCTCTCTCTCTCTCTCTCTCTCTCTCTCTCTCTCTCTCTCTCTCTCTCTCTCTCTCTCTCTCTCTCTCTCTCTCTATATATATATATATATATATACTCAATCTGCGGACATATATATATATATATTAACTGGTTTTGAGGGAAAGAGACAAACGGGAAAAGTCTGAAGAAAAAAAAAAAATATATATATATATATATATACTCAATCTGCGGACAGAACTGTTTCGTCCTTTGTGGACTCGTCAGCGCAGCACAGAGGAGATGAGGCCGAACCTGATAGCAATGGAAATAAAAATTTCCAATCAGGCCCGAACGTACCTTGCCAGAGTGCTCAAACTGACAAGTCAGTGAGCTCTGCATAAAGCAAACAGCAAAGGCACTACCCCACGCAAGAGTGCTCAACTGCTACAAGAGCAGGAGCGAAATACTCAATCTGCGGACAGAACTGTTTCGTCCTTTGTGGACTCGTCAGCGCAGCACAGAGGAAATGAGGCCGAACCTGATAGCAATGGAAATAAAAATTTCCAATCAGGCCCGAACGTACCTTGCCAGAGTGCTCAAACTGACAAGTCAGTGAGCTCTGCATATATATATATATATATATATATATATATATATATATATATATATATATATATATGCAGATTGAGTATATATATATATATTTTGCGTTTGCTGTTTGCGTTATGCAGAGCTCACTGACTTGTCAGTTTGAGCACTCTGGCAAGGTACGTTCGGGCCTGATTGGAAATTTTTATTTCCATTGCTATCAGGTTCGGCCTCATTTCCTCTGTGCTGCGCTGATGAGTTCAAAAAGAACGAAACAGCATGCTGTCCGCAGATTGAGTATATATATATATATATATATATATATATGAGCCGTCAGATGAGAAAACAGACCTTATCACAAAAAAGTCATATTTTTGTTTGTGGTGCTATCTGATTGCCAGGAGCACCAGGAATCGTATGCAGAAAACTAGAGTTGATTTGGACCAGGGAAAGTAAAGTTATAGCCTCGACAGTAGGAGACAATTACAAATTGCACCTCAAATTTGGGTGCAATACCAACAATTGTTTCACCTACTTTGGATAATATTTTCTGTTTCCTTTGACCGATTTCCACAAACTTGGGCTTTCTGGAAAGCTCTGGCTACAAGCAACCCGTTGGGCCCAAATCCGATAGCAAATAAAGCACAGCTCCAGCGCAACAAGCTACAGACATCGCTTCAGCGCTAGACTTGCGCCGTCACACGAAAATCGCTCGCCATTTCCATCTCCATTATCCCAGGACGCCCAATTTTTTTCGTGAAGATGCAGTGAGCGCCTCCAAAACGTCTGAGCCTGTTGCCGAGATCGTAGATCGCTTGAAAAGGGGGAAATCCCTGGTCTGGAGCGTTTGACTCGCGTGTAGAAATGCAAAGTGCCGTGACGTATCTTGCAGGCTTCGCATCTCGGGAACGCAGCATCGTGCCACGATCGCGCTTGCTGCATTGGATTCCTTGGAGTTTTCTCTTCGATTTACATACTTGGATTGTCCCAAAAGACCGATATTTGACTGAAATACGACGGTTTGTAGCTTGGTTGTCCAGACGCACCAGTGGGTAAACTCGCCAACTTTCAAGTGCACTTTTCTGCACTGTACAGTTTTTCGATAAGGTCTGTTTTCTCATCTGACGGCTCATATATATATATATATATATATATATATCTCTATCTATCTATCTATCTTTGCTCTTTGCATCATTTTGAATTTCCATCCAGTGCCTACTGTACATTATTCATGGCACTTACAACATAGTTGGATTGTGATGGACTAAACGTTGCTGTGCATACCTGTGTTTTTGGTTCTGCAGTCCAGCAAACTGGTGGAAGACATTGCTAGTCACTTCCCGTTCAAGACGTACTTTGCTAATGCCCCACAGGTAAGGCCATGTCCAGGAGAATAATTCACCTGATCCATCTTGCACTGAGCATGCCACACAAAGTCTTCAGAGGTGAAATGACAACATACATTTGTATTTGTATCCAGCTGGTTATCATCAGGATTGGATAATCACAGGCTGGAGAGCCAGATGAATACACTGAAAGTAGCGTGAAGTCAGTGCAAAGCTGATTTTGCTCTGGAGTTGAGAGTGTTAAGTCTGGGATGTGGCACTCAACCAGATCTTGACCTAAACAATTTCATTTGGCCGCTACTTCAGTACATGTAGTTGAGAAGCCCTTTCTCATCGAAGTGGACGTGCGTTCTAGATCTACCCGGCATTCGTTGGCATAATTTTTCTTTACAGTGAAGGTCTGTATGTAACATCTGCGGCTTGGACCATGACACGGTGGAAACGGCTTAACTCGTGCATAGCGTATTCTGTAAAAACCGTACACCAGTGCGGCTTAAAAGAGCTTGCGTGCTTCCTCTATCTGACCTTATCTTACGCTAGAGGATGGTTCAGGGAATGCTTGGCATATGGGTTTTCAGCTTGATGTACATGTGCATATGGGTTTTCAGCTTATATGTACATGTGCATATGGGTTTTCAGCTTGATGTACATGTGCATATGGGTTTTCAGCTTGATGTACATGTGCATATGGGTTTTCAGCTTGATGTACATGTGCATATGGGTTTTCAGCTTGATGTACATGTGCATATGGGTTTTCAGCTTGATGTACATGTGCATATGGGTTTTCAGCTTGATGTACATGTGCATATGGGTTTTCAGCTTGATGTACATGTGCATATGGGTTTTCAGCTTGATGTACATGTGCATATGGGTTTTCAGCTTGATGTACATGTGCATATGGGTTTTCAGCTTGATGTACATGTGCATATGGGTTTTCAGCTTGATGTACATGTGCATATGGGTTTTCAGCTTGATGTACATGTGCATATGGGTTTTCAGCTTGATGTACATGTGCATATGGGTTTTCAGCTTGATGTACATGTGCATATGGGTTTTCAGCTTGATGTACATGTGCATATGGGTTTTCAGCTTGATGTACATGTGCATATGGGTTTTCAGCTTGATGTACATGTGCATATGGGTTTTCAGCTTGATGTACATGTGCATATGGGTTTTCAGCTTGATGTACATGTGCATATGGGTTTTCAGCTTGATGTACATGTGCATATGGGTTTTCAGCTTGATGTACATGTGCATATGGGTTTTCAGCTTATATGTACATGTGCATATGGGTTTTCAGCTTGATGTACATGTGCATATGATGTTGTGTTGTTACTTGTTATGTTATGTTGCAGCCTGTTTTCCAAGGCAAGTCATACGATGAGGATCTGGACATTGCTGAGGTAAGGAGTATTCCGTCATCTAGCCTGTGTTGAACAGGCACCTGTATTTAGTGTCCAGCCACATTCATGCATCCACTCCTGGTTAGGCCTGGGCCGGGGTCCTAGTGTGCAGTGTCTGTATGTAGTGTGTGTTTGAACGACTGATTGTTGTGTAGCAACCTTGGACTAGATTAACGTTTAGCACCCGGGTTACTTTACGAATTTCGAATCATTGTTATCATTGTTATCTTGGGAACAGGAGTGCCGGTCTTGGTCATGTTCTTATATTTTTCTTGCTTGACTCTCAATTGCAATGTATTTACTATCACTGTTGTTGCTTTCAATGTTCACCCATGTGCTCCATGCTCTCTCTCTCTCTCTCTCTCTCTCTCTCTCTCTCTCTCTCTCTCTCTCTCTCTCTCTCTCTCTCTCTCTCTCTCTCTCTCTCTCTCTCTCCTATTTTCGTTGCACAGGGTTGTTTCCGGCATATCAAGAAGATCTTCCGGCAGCTCGAGGTACGGAACCATTCTGTTTGTTGAGGCAATGCTGGTGAAGTCTTATTTACTCATGGCCTGTACTCATTAGCCTATTGTTCCTGTTAGTACAGATGTGTGCAGGTGTGTGCATTGCCATGTTGCTGTTCTGGCTGCAGATAACTGAGTGAGTTAGCCACTTGTATTACTCCTGGTCTCCAATGGCACTGGCACTGGCCCTGGCAAGACTGCTTGGTAGACTACAGGTAGTAGTTGTGTACATGCGCTGTGTACATGCCGACTACTGCTGTGCACTAGATGATGCAGGTAATCTGTAGTATTAAGTTACTATTAGCGTTATTTGGCCTCGGTGATGGTATTGTCTAACCTCTGCTTTGTGTGTCTGTAATTTCCAATAACGTGTTTCTCATCAGGAGTTCCGTCCCCTGGAGTTGCTGCACCGTGGACGTGACCGTGTCAACTATCTGCTGGTGAAAGAGGCACGCATCATTGCCATGACTTGTACACACGCCGCTCTGCGACGTACTCAGCTTGTCAAGCTCGGCTTCAAGGTGCGTTGCATTCTTGCACTTATGTATGTGGAAGTTAACGGTCAATTAGGGAAGGACAATGTCATAGAAGTATTAGCCCTCTCATTGCACTACAACAAATCCTCCTTTTGTACATTATTGAGATTTGCACTGAGTCTGTGTATGTGGTGTATCTCGACTCTCCTCTCTGTCGTTCTGTTAGTATGACAACGTGTTGATGGAAGAAGCTGGTCAGATCCTGGAAGTGGAGACGTTCATTCCTCTCATGTTGCAGGTAAACACAAACACTGTTCGGGGTTGTAAAGTGCAGCTGTACACTCTACACTCTACACCATTGTATAGAGTGGCTTCACATCTTTGTCATGGGACTAAACCTTCGTGGAAAATCTGTGTGGAAAGAAAATGACCACGTCATGTAGACAGTGGGACCAAGGTGGTCTACATCATGTGACCGATAGATGCAGGGTTGAGTGGAGTTGGAATCAACATGACTGTCCCGTATGGTCATGGCATTGTGATAGATGTGCAAACACTCCATTGTTCCACAGTGTATATACCATTGAACACTGGCCAGTATCTAGTAATCCATATTGGCCACATCCCGCCTACATGTACTTTTTTGCCATTTATACATTGCTTGGGTTTGAGTCGTGTTTCAATTTCTTCAGGCCATCTTGTCATGCAGACTCGAGTTGTCAAGAGTTCGTCAGACCAACGAAATATGAACTAGTCAAGTGCAGCCTTTTTGCTCAGTGTTATGGAATTTACTCCACCATAAAATGTTGTATTGTGTGTGTGTGTCTGTGTGTGTGTCTGTCTGTCTGTCTGTCTGTCTGTCTGTCTGTCTGTGTGCCTGTCTGTCTGTGTGTGTCACTGTGTGTTACTGTGTGTGTATGCAGAATCCACTGGATGGTCATGAGCGACTGAAGCGTGTGATTCTCATTGGTGATCACAATCAGGTCAGTGTGCTGAAATTCCCTTTCTTTCACGTTGTTTCTTTTCTTTTCACTCCCCTTGATGCATGTGCATCCATGCCTTGGTGGATAGGTGGATAGGCGTTTGTATGTTTGTTGTGTGTGTGTACGATGGTGTGTATGTGCATGTCGCTGTGTTAACATATTTGAACTAGTCTACATTCGTTGTGTGTTGATTCATGCTTGTCGATTCATGCTGCGTGTGCGTCACTTGGATTGGATTGTTGTCTACAGCTGCCACCAGTGATCAAGAACATGGCGTTTCAGAAGTACTCCAACATGGAGCAGTCGCTGTTCACACGTTTTGTGCGTCTAGGTGTACCGTACATTGAGCTGGATGCTCAGGGTCGTGCTCGACCAAGGTAAGGTGATGTGATTTGTGGCAAGTGATCTTGCTGCTGCTAGTGCTGCTGTCGGCCCTGTACGCCACTGCTACCACTACTACTCGCTCTGTGCAGCTGCAATGATGTGATTTGTGTTTCATATTGTGTCCATTCCCACGTTGATATGATACTAGTGTGGCTTGTGTTGCTATACACTGCTGCTGCTGCTGCCTGGCATATTGCAAACGTTTGTTGATCTTGTTACATGGATGTTGGTCATAGTTGATCACTATGCTCAACGTGGCTGAATACATGTATGTGTGAATGACCCTGAACATGTTCAGTGAAAAAAAGTCTTGAACAACTCCGATTTACATGAGTTTGCCTGCCACTCACTACCTTGTCATCTGTAAGGACAGCATTCTTTCAACCTGGAATTCTGTACAATTTTGTATTGCGGTTGAATTTCGTATCTGCCTTTCCTCTGAGCGCTTTGTTCCTGCTTTCCCTTGCAGTCTGGCCCGTCTGTACAGCTGGCGATACAAGAGCTTGGGTGACCTGCCACACGTTCTGCAGAAGAACGAGTTCCAGCTGGCCAATCCTGGCTTCTGGTTTGAGTATCAGCTGATCAATGTAGACGACTACAATGGCATTGGAGAGTCAGAGCCGGATCCATTCTTCTTCCAGGTAAGGATATGTAAGTATCTCTGTTCACAACAAAACCTCTATGCACGCTAAGAATATAGACCCATGTGGAGAGAGGATACGATTATGTTGTGTGCTGTCACAATTACGGGTGCTAACTTTCTCCTGTTGCTTTGAAGTTTAAGTGTCTGGACTGGGCCATACTCTGAGCAATGTGCTGCTGCCAGTAGTACATTGCAGTGGTGTGCTTTTTAAATACATTTCAACTCTCTTTACGTCTACTTGTATATCTCATTCACATTATCTCTCTCTTCCCCCCCCCCCCCTCCTTCTCTGCCTGTATTGTATTTGTGACAGAACTTGGCCGAAGCAGAGTACGTTGTTGCCACGTACATGTACATGAGACTGCAAGGCTATCCGGCAGAACAGATCTCTATTCTCACTACCTACAACGGTCAGAAGCACTTGATCCGTGATGTCCTGTCTCAACGATGTGCTGACAATCCTGTGTTCGGTCTGCCCTCTAAGGTACGGTCATGTCTCGTGCTTGATGGACGGGCATGTAAAAGCATTGCTTTTGTTTATTCACTTGCTTGCTCTATGAGCAGTTCGTGCCAGTTACATGTATTTCCAATACCCTGAACTAGGAGTGGTAGTTATAGTCCTACTCGTAGGACTTATCGTGAATAGAACCCCTGTTTCCAATGACTTATCGTGAATAGAACCCCTGTTTCCAATGACTTATCGTGAATAGAACCCCTGTTTCCAATGGCTTTGAGCATGCTTTACTTACCACAAAGTCGTCTACTAAAGCCAGTTTTATTCTTGTACAGGCTGATGTGAGGGCTAGATTTCTACTACTGTGTTATTCAAAATAATCCTTGGTGAAATCTGTATGTATGCCAATGTGTGCTGTTTGTACTGAGCAGGTGACGACTGTAGATCGATTTCAAGGTCAGCAGAATGAGTACATACTGCTGTCGCTGGTGCGTACTAAGACGGTTGGTCACGTTCGTGATATTCGCCGTCTGGTGGTGGCCATGTCGCGTGCTCGCCTTGGTCTCTACATATTTGGACGCGTTGCTCTCTTCAAGGACTGCTTTGAACTGGCGCCAGCGTTCAACATTGTAAGCAGACTACATGTACATATTCTTGTGTGGTTCTTGATGTGCTCTGTGCATTGTGCATGCTGTTCAGGTGGCTGTAGTGGCTTTGTACATGCCTGGAAGCACCTAAAAGAGCTTCCAAAATAACGAGAATCATCACCTGGGGTCGGTGACCTGAATATTGAATCTGGATAGCGCATCCTAGCTGTCAGTCTCTACCAATCTCAGTGACTGACCTGTGCAATGATGTGTATGACCCTCACCACAGTACCACTAGTCAATGCCTACTCGCACATGATGGCATCACCTCACAGTGCACAACACGTGCAGCTTACCCAGGGCTAGGGATGCTGCCGAAAATTGTTGCTTGTTGTTTGTGTCATTTGGTTTAAATCCAGGCTGCAGGTAGGATCTGATGCAAGTTAAATACCAAACTAACACGTGCTGTGGTGTATATGTCTGCTGTGGTGTGTGTGTGTGTGTGTGTGTGTGTGTGTGTGTGTGTGTGTGTGTGTGTGTGTGTGCACGTGCGTGTTTGGTTGTGTTTGCCTGTGTCAATAGCTCACTCAGCGTCCCACTCGTCTTCAGCTGCTACCACAGGAATCATTCCCTCCGGCAAAGCCTCGACCTGTGCATGTATGTAATTGAGTGTTTTCACGGATGATCCCAGTGTGGATGATCCCAGTGTGGATGATCCCAGTGTGGATGATCCCAGTGTGGATGATCCCAGTGTGGATGATCACAGTGTGGATGATCACAGTGTGGATGATCACAGTGTGGATGATCACATTGTCAAACTTCACCATACCCTAGTGTTCTGGCTGCAGAGTTTACCCATTCGGGAGTCAGTCAAGTGAGAAGTCAAGTCGGCAGGAAAAGGGCGAGCTCCCACGGAGGGAGCAACACACAATTCCCCAAGTACCGCCGAAGTTGCACCAACCTCTTCTTCACAGAGTTTACCCAGCTTAGATTTCGGCCAAAAAATGCTGTGGTGCCATAATCACAGAGTAGCAGCCATCCCTATTTCACTATTTTCGAAGAGAAGCCTTTGGCTACTGCCAGTACTGGCTGTTGACTTTTTGGGCTTGCCTCTCATGTACATATATGTAGGTGCTTTTCATATGGTTGCTGCAAGGGAGTCTATTGTAGGGACAAACCCTTTGCTATGTCCTTCTCGTTTCCCATTGTCCGAGTGTACTTGAGTAGGGGTAGTGTATTTGAAATGTTTCCTTCGACACCATGTGGAATGGTCATTATTCCCTTGTGTATTGACTTTGTTTCTTCGATCTCTGCCCATCTCAGGTCAACCAACCCAAGGACGGTCCTCCATTTGAGATCGCTGACATGTCGCAGATGGCACACTACGTCACCGAGCTCTACCACAAGCGAATGAGCCGTCACAATAAGCCTGGCCCGGCGTCCAAAAAGCCCGCTGCCTCTGGCAAAAGCGGATGAATGCTCGTGGCCAACCAGGACTGGCGTGGCGAGAATGCCACGGAGTTCAGTCTACACATTCATGTCATGTTGAACAGTTAACGGTTTGCTACCGTTTTTTTTTAAATTCTCTCCCCATCGATCTCGACTCTGTTGTGTTTTTTCTAGGTCTTATTTTTGTTGTGTTACTGTTGCTGACATGTAGCTATTGCTAGTGAGCGGGAGAGGCGATACTTCCCCTAGGAACCGTGTGCTCGTCATGTGCTTGCCGTATGCTCGTCGTATCCGGCCAAGTGGATCCAGGCTAATCATCATTTCGTTTTGTGAATACTGTACAAAATCAAGGGTTTCTCTTCCTCTCTTGACATGATGAATAAAAATGTAAAACAAGGCGAAAATGCTGTTTGGCTGTATTTGGCCTTTGGAGTGAGACTTGCTCCACCTGCTGAGTGCTGGTGCCGTCGTAGGCGTAGTCCCATGTTAGCGGGTGACCATGGTGACGGAGCTGGGATTGAATGCATTTTCGTCCCCGTCGCGCCGGTGCATCCGAGTCGAATCGGCCGTCTTGGCCAACGATCAACGATCCTTGCCTGCCGCTAGTAGTAGTAGTAGTAGTGGCTGGAGAGTGAAGTAATACGAATAGTTAGTTGATAGTTATCGCTCACTTCCCTTAGCTTACCAAGCTTTATCTAAATGCGAAAGAGGAGACGCTGCGCAAGTCTACATGTAGTCATTTCTACAATGTGGCGATGATTCGCTGTTGCTGTTCATTAGTGTTCATCTAGATATATCTGTACGTTTCCTTGCCGCCGAGTATGACATAATCGTGTTTCTAGTCGGGGAAGTGCGATCATCGCGGTTTGCGGGGATCCAGTATCGGCATTTTGACGTGCAGCTACAGCTAGCTGTTACTTGCGTTTCGAGGCACTCAGCTCAGATACCAAGTGCGTGGCCTACCCGACAAGCGCTGTTCTAACAGCAGTAACAGTGTTATCTCCGTCCACTAGCACTGCGATCGTATGTTCACAGCTGCATTACTCTGACGGGTGAAGCCCGCATGTGCTCCAGGGTAGCAGATCATCCACATGGAAGAATAACCGTTATGCATGACGGCGGAGCTTGCGACGATGGGAGCCAATGCCAATGGCGCACAGGAAAGGGAAGTCTCGGTTTCTCACCGATCGCGAGAGCGGCCGGCAGGGTCTGCCAGTGAATACACGTGCGGTGGAAGTCCGACTGTTCCGGCGAGGAACGACGCTGCACATTACTCCCTGTACCAGAGTAAGCAAGATGATTGGTGCCAAGCTGCTTTGGTTTGCATTTCAGGGGAGACTCAAACATTTAAAAACAAGAAGGAAAGAATACTTACACTGGCAATGTAGCACATCCCTGCACCTCAGCACGCTGCGTAGTGCATGCAACTGGTCTGAGGCTGAGGCCTTCACCTCCGTGCAGCACTGCACAAATTTGATTTTGAGCACAACTTTCCACAGTATTGGCCACAGCAGAGTCAGAGGGTGTGAGGGCGTGTGCGACATTTCTTTGGCACAAACCATGCATTAGGTATGTGTAGGGCATGCCCTAGTTGCTACTGAGCCAATAGAAACTTCTGATAACAGTGCAGTGCCTTGTGCAGTGTACAACCAGTGTCTAGAGATTGATAATGCCAACTAGCCAGATACTCTACTGTCTAGGGAGATGGCAGGGGCAAGAGGAACATGAAACAAAGTGGCCTCCATTCCTGGGTTGCCCGTTTCAGCAGCCCGTGAGACAGTGCCGATTTACGCATGCTTGCATGCTATGGTTGGCCTTGCTGGCCGGATTTGGATCCGGCAGGAAACGTCCGTGATTGTGATTGTATGTTGCATGGGCAAGGAGCACAACTGGGTCCTGAGTCTGGTGTTGAAGTGAATAGTGTTTCGGGTACTATGGTCTCGTGTCGTGTCCCTACAATGTAGACTCTACGACTCGACATATGTATGTCTTAGCTAAGCCTCGTGGAATCAACTCCACATGCAGTGCTATGAGTATGACAGCAAACCATTTCAAGTATCAGTCTGGATCAGTGTGGCTGCTGATTGCTAAGAAGCATTAGACTTGAGTCAGCAGCTCAATGCCTCTTCGGCTTGTTCCTGGTCTACGGTCACGATGATATGGTTTTAAAACAGAACATGAACTCAATGTAACATTGACAATGTACTGCGGCATTAATGTAGCACTGAGCACTTCAGACTGCTTTATGTAACCAATGTACATGTATGCTGACAGATGACAGATCATCCAGTGGCCGTGCTGGAGCTACTGGTGGTGCTGCTGGTGGTGCTACTGGTGGTGCTACTGGTGGTGCTACTGGTGGTGCTGCTGGTGGTGCTACTGGTGGTGCTGCTGGTGGTGGTGCTGGTGGTGGTGGTGCTACCGGTGGTGGTGCTGGTGGTGGTGGTGCTGGTGCTGCTGGTGGTGCTGGTGGTGGTGGTGGTGCTGCTGGTGGTGCTGGTGGTGGTGGTGCTGGTGGTGCTGGTGGTGGTGCTGGTGGTGGTGCTGGTGCTGCTGGTGCTGCTGGTGGTGGTGCTGCTGCTGGTGGTGCTGCTGGTGGTGCTGGTGGTGGTGGTGCTGGTGGTGCTACTGGTGGTGGTGGTGGTGGTGGTGCTGGTGGTGGGGGTGCTGCTGGTGGTGCTACTGGTGGTGGTGGTGCTGCTGCTGCTGGTGGTGGTGCTGCTGGTGGTGCTACTGGCGGTGGTGGTGGTGCTGCTGCTGGTGGTGCTACTGGTGGTGGTGGTGCTGGTGGTGCTACTGGTGGTGGTGGTGCTGCTGGTGGAGCTATTGGTGGTGGTGCTGGTGGTGGTGCTGCTGCTACTGCTGCTGCTCGGTATTGGTGGCCGGTGGCCATGCTGCTGCTGTTGCATGCTCCACAGGATTTCTCAGTCGCATCCGTCTATGGTGTGACGCCTGTTTCTTGCGTCTTTGAAATCTACCTGTGCTATTATGCCCTGCACAGGTCAGCGAGGTGGTTCGTCGGATGCGCCAGGAGTTTCGCATCGGGGACAGTGAACATCTATGGCTGACGTGCAATGGGTATAGCTTGCAGGCTGACTGGGTGGTGAACGATGTCCTGCCATATCGAACACCCCTCTTTGCTCATGTGCGACTGGTGAGAGAGGATTTAGCTCTGATTTGCGGATTACGATTTGTTGTGCACGTGTTTGACAGTCCTGCTCAATGAAGTCCAATCACATCATTTTCAAGTTTGCGCCGTGCATCATTTCACAGCCCAGTGTTCGCAGGTCTATGGCTGCGCAATGCCCGGCGTGTACTAGTACTTGTGTGACACTGCGACTGGATTTCATTGAGCAGTGCTGTAGCATTGCAGTCTCTTTGTTGTTGCAGACATATTTGACAGGTTTGTGTATTCGATTCGGCAACCCACTTGTTCATACATGTGCTGGTGTATGCTTCCAGGTCGCAGACCCCATTCTGCAGATCAAGCTACCGTTTCGTCAAGGCCTGATCAGTGTTTATCATCCGGAAGACATTTTTAAGTGGAAATGCGAAGACTTACGGGTAAGACCTGGTAACGCACTGTGTAAAGTAGATTATGATATTCACTCCACTGCCAATTTTGGATATACATATACATGTACATGTACGTACAAACAGTAGATGCAAAGCTGATGATAACGAACAAAAGCTGTACATTGAACGTACAGTGATGTGGTGGTATATCAATCTGCTTGGCATGTGCTGCTGCTGCTGCTGCTGCTGCTGTTCTCCTTCTGGCCTCTGCAGGAGTGGATTGGACATGAGACAGGCATTCCTTCAAGCACGTACCGACTGGTTGTGTGGTGCAGCGAGCGAACACACAGGGAAATACAGGCCAGAAAGTGGGCAGAGAAATTGGAAAAAGCCAAGGCAAAACAGAAGGAGCAGGAGGCGATTCTTAATGGAGTGGTAATCGAAGAGGCCAGTGAAAGTGCGGAAGAGTCACCGGAAGAGAGCCGACCTATTGGCGAGAAGACCATATGGAATCCGGGAGGAGTTCAATTCAGTAGCGGCATTCAACTGGGGCCAAATCCGTTTACAGCAACTAATCCGCTATCGTACCGTCTGGGCGAAGTAGAGACAAACTACAGCAGAGGTAACATGGATGAGTCGCGCTCTGAGGAGATTCTACGGGAGAGATTATCCTACTATGGCGGACACGCGCCTAAAGAGTACTCGGAGATACTGCAATCCCGTGCCAAGGAGAGGTTTACAGAAACCTTTCTGGACGATGAGGCCAGGCTAGCCATGGAGCCGGGTGGTGGTCGTGGTGGTGCAGGCGGTGGTGGAGGCATGGGGAAACATATCAGTTTTGCTCACCCACCGCGGGCCAACCGCGGAGAGAAATTAAGCAGAGAAACGGTACCGATTGAGATGATATCGCCTGTGGTTAGGGCTACGAATCTTAGTGTACGTCGAGGCGAGTCGCCATTTGAGACAACTCCATTATCACTCCCTAAAACCTATCCATATGAAGCTGGTCTCCCGGATCCATTCAAGGACGAAGCCAGAAAGAAGTGGCAGGGCCAGTATAGAGAATCAACTGACGAGGAAACCTCCGGTGGTGAACGTGACAGCAGTACTGCTGCTAATACCGGTGGTACTACTCAAAGCCCAGTGATAAACCATAGTAACTGTGCCACAGCAGGCAGTAACGCTAGTACCCGGGACAGTCCCCTCCGGCTCAGCCCAGATGCGACGCCTGCCCCCGCTTCGGAACAATTCCCGGAGGATTTTGGCCTGGGTGGTGACGACGACAACGACATGCGCTACAAGGAAGTGCAGTTTGGCCAGTGTCTCGCAGACTTCGGTGTGTGCAAGGGTGGGGTATTGTGGCTACATGTAAGTATACTAGTAACGTTATGTACATGTATGTGCACACTGCAACTGCTTACAGCCATTCCACTGTATTCTGTGCTGGATATCTTATAGAGATTAGCTGAGTAGCTATAGTAACATTGGGGCGGTGAAGAATGGGCAGTCAATGCTTCAAGCTAGTGAGGTTTTTATTTTTATGAGATTCTGGCGTCTTTGTTCTTATTCTGTGCTTGTACATTCACCTACAAGTACAAGTGCCCTGAGTACAAGGGCACTGTGCATACAGTGCTGCATGAAACAAACACACACACCATGGTGTTCCTAAATCCCAGCCTGGCATGGTCAGCCCAGCACCGCTTAGCCAGTACGTTACATAGGATTTCTTTGTTTCTTTTGAACTGCTCGACTGCACGGCCGGCTATCAGGTATGGGACGGCTATTCACCATTGTTAAACTACCTGATGCCGATCAGCCACATCAAGCCACGCTGCTCGGCCAAACAGCTCTGCAACTTCATCAGGAAGGTGACTCACAACGAACAGGAGAGAGATTTCATGGCACGTACCGCCCTGCACATTGCCACGCACCGTAATGACGCCATGCTGGTCAATACTCTCATGGAGTCTGGTCTGGTAAGCCCACATTGAACAGCCCTGCCACGGCCAGCATGTCAGACATTTAACTAACGTGACTCTGCTGGTAAAAGTGGTTTGTACAGTCAATGTCGCAGAACAAAAGATTCTTATTCTAGGCAATCTCCCTACTAGACATGAAGCAGTGAAATGGTCACACTGATGACTGCAATACTGCAGCTGTACTAAACATGGCACCGTGCTGCCAGTCACATGAACTGCAGTAGGTCATCACCGTGACTACTCGTCTAGCTACATGTACATACCGGTATCCGCTAGTAAGAACAGGTCTACCCTCGCTAGTACCACCTCGGTTACAAGACATGCCTCATTAGTAGACAACAAGCCGAAATCCCCTGATGCCTGAACGCATTTTAACAGTCGTACTTGCAAGTCTGGATAGCACATGCAGGTAATACTCGTTATAAGACAAAAAATTGAAACCCGGGGTTGTCTGCTAACGAGGGTAGACCTGTATAGGTCAACAGTAGATCTAGCCATTGACATGTTCGTACTAGAAAGATTCAAGGTTGTCTCTGTATGCGTGATTCATCTGATGATCTCTCCATCCTTAAAAACTTGAAGTTACAAACACAACTGCTCTTACTCGATTGTGTACCATGGTGTACCCTATGATCTGTGCATTTCTAACATTGAGTAGCTTTGTAAAGCTGGTGGACTGCACAATTGTGAATCAATCCCTGCAGGTGGATGCTAGGTAGTATCCGTGTAGGCGACGTGTACTCGTATGTGCTCCAATTTCTCCAGGCCAGGCCAGACAAGAAGATCGGCGTTCATCCCTGCAAGGAATGGTTTTCCGGATATCATTTCAAGAGAGATAAAGACTGCGCGGTTCATGTTGCCGTCGATCGCGGGAACCTCTATCTCGTTCAAATGTTTGTCGATAAGTTCCCCTCATGCTTGACGGTAAGTCACCTGCCTGCCATCACACTAGTGTTTGGTGTGTGCTGTTATTGGGCAAACAAACTCACCACCTTTCCTACCAAATCAGATCCTTTTCTTTTTGTGACATGTCACACCAGCCCCAGGACAGCTGTGTGGACTCGGGATATCAACCGCCACTGGTAACTCTGCCATAGCATGCCTGGCAGCACATCTGATCTTAAACTCGCATGTACCCAATGCCACTCATGGGTCACAGCGTTCAGCCAGGTGGACAGTAACGAATACATTGTGCATGCATATAGACACAAAGGCACACAATGAAAACCTTGGCAAATTCCGTTGTGACTCAGAGTTGCATGCCTGAACCAATCATCAGACAATGACAACGATATTGTACACTGTGTATAGAGCATCTAGAGAATGCAGAGCCAATATTCTGTTGTGCTGTGACCCTGTGACCCTGCACTATTGTGGTGTGTGACGGCGTGCACTAAGCACAAGTGAAGTGAGCATATTAATGTTGGCGGGGTGCCAAGGACAGCCTTACTGCATGCCGCAGTATCTGCAGTCGTCACAGTATTCATGCCGGTGGAGATTACCTGTACATGTTGGTGCTTGCATGCCGTGTATGCTTCTACACCTAACTCTTTTCAACTAGATATCATGCACATACCCCTAGTCTAGTCTTGTGATATATTCACTGGTCTGCTAGTGTTCATTTCTACTTTACACATCACTAGCATCAATGCAGATCCATACAATTGACGGTATTTTCTAATGCGTGCTTTGCACTTTCACAGGTTCGGAATGGTGAAGGCCACACTGCCTCCGAGCTGGCCCAGCGGCATAGGTTTGGCCGGATCGCCTCGTTCCTGGACCAGCGGAAAGCCACCACCTCCATGCTACGAGAGCAGCGCCGCAAAATGCTGGAGAAGAGAGAGCAGCGGGAGATCATAGCCAAGAAACGCCGCGCGGCCCAGGCACCGGGTTCGATGGCTTTCCTCCTCGCCGGGTCGTTACAAAACCGTCAGAACCGTGCTGCTAACAAGCAGCCTCAAGGCAACACCAGCCACAACAGGAATGCCACAATTGGCAGCAATAAAACCACTCAGAACAGCAAGCGTTCTGCCCTAAAGAAGGAGCAACAACAGCAGCAGAAGCAGGCGGAGAGCAAGAAGGGAGGTGTAAAGGTCAGTGCTGCGAAAAAGGGTAACGATGATGACGATGATGGTGATGGAAGTGATGATAGTGACGATGACAACAAAGACAACCAGCTGGATTCGGATGAGTCTGATGATGGTGACAATGACTCGTCTAATTCTGAGGACGATGGTTCATCCGATTCGGAGGATGTTGGTGAGGATGGCGATGATGAGGCATCCGATATTGGCAGTGATGATGACAATGAGGATGTGCAAGGGGGAGATGAACTAGATGGTACGCCCGTTCGGGTATCTGTGGGCAAGCTACCACCAGATGCTCCTGATCTCAATCTTTCTGGAGCTGTAATCAAACCTGATGAGCTGCAGAAAACATCGGCAATGTCGCCTGCGCCTACTGTGGAGCAGTCCCATCCCCCTGAACTTGAAAACCACCTATTGTCAGCAATTGCTGTGAGATATACTCCTCCCCAGCTTGACAAACGTCCATCGAAAGGAATCCTTGCAAGGACACTAGATGGCCGTCGCAAGCAAAGTGCAGACGGGGTGAAAACCAAAAAGGCCGTTGTCTGGAATACAGCCATTGTGTACTATTCACCAGACCGAAAGCGCCGTGTCACCCCCAAACCGGATGAGCTCCGTACCTCTATGGAAAACAACACAGTGGATGGCACCACTGCAGATGATGAAAATGTCACCACGCTGGAATCAAGCACGACAGACCCACACCAATCAGCTTCTGACGCCGGAAAAGGGAAAAAGAAAAGGAGAAAGAAGGAGAAGAAAAAGAAAAGACACGCCAACAAAGACTCCGTAGAAAATCCCCCCGGTACTGCGCAAACTATTACTGCCCAAGACCATTCAGCAGCGGCAGGTGCTGAGGGTGCTCCGAGCAATGCTGGTATGTACTCGTTCGACAGTCTAGATTGGTCAGTTGACGACGGCGGCAAAGCAACAGAGGAAAGTGCAAGAAAATACCGTTGCAGAGTATGCTATTCATGTGATTTGCACGGTGGGGTGAGGAAAGCGCCGACACCGTCTGCTGTAGTTTCGAGAAGAAAGCCAGCTCGCCCTGCAACTCCCTTCCATGAATTAGTGGCAATGGCAACTAGTGGTGGCGCACTGGAAGATGAGGAGGAGGACGAGGATGATGAAGAGGAAAAGGACAAAGAGAAGGACAAGGAGGAATCGACAGGGTCTGAATCAGACGATGCAGGTTGTGCGAGTATCCATACCATGAAGCTTGCGGCTGAAGATGCATTGAAAGCGGACAGCACCCTCATCAAGTACGACGTCTCAGATCCGGACTGGCACACAAAACTTGTCGACAAGATCTTCGATGATGTCGGTACCATCAACTCGGATGACGGCCATGCAGTGCTTGGACGGGAGTGGTACATCGAAGGCATCACACCGAGCAAGCAGAACAGCAGAAAGATTGCAGACCCGCCATATCTACAGCACAACGTGCAGCTGGGAAAGCAGGCGCAGACTGCAGTAAAAAATCGAGACCTCGACCCAAACTGTCACCTGCTCACGCCTTCACAGATGCGGGCGGAAGAAGACGTGCAACGCGCCAGGTCGGGCAATGCGTTTCTGTACGACGAGCGGCAGTTTGATCATGAACTGCTGCGCTACCGTCCGCCGCCCATGCCAATGTCGAACAGTGCCAGGATGGTGATGGATGTGCTGAAAGTGCAGAACCCAGAAGGGTCAAAGCTGGCGTTTGCTGAGCGCTACCTGGCACCGAAAACACTGCGTCACCTGGCCTTTGATAGCATGTCAATGTCCACGGCCATGCACGGCACAAAAGGCCGGTACTTGGCAAAGATTGAGAGCGCTGCTGATATATCACGTCGCTATATGACCAGGTCTATGGCTGATGCTGTTGCCAAAGGAAAGCATATACGCAAGTCATCGGCGGTGGACCTCACCACCACACAACGATTGTCCATTGAGAACATGGTCGACAAGAGCCTCGGTATTCTATGAGCACAAGTATCCGCCGCAGTGTGTTCAACGGCCTCTGCTGCCCATTCTAATGTTCGCCTGAAAACGTGAGTGCGTGCGTGTGTGCGTGTATTTGTGCATGTGTATTTGTGCATGCGTGTGCATGTGTATACGTTTGCCACGTGTTTGCATCTACTGTGACCAGTTTAGTTGGAGCTTATCTTACCTGTAACCCTCCATTCGCTGTGGGTATTGTCCACTTCACTACATGCCGTATACACTGTATCACGAGGGTGGCATTGATTGGTGGGCATACCGCCTGCCAAGTAAATAAAGGTGCACGATCGGTTCATTTTATTTATTGTTCATCAAACAAATGACAAATACACTTGGACACTGGGTAGTGCAATGTTTTTCATTTCTAATATAATTACGTTAATACGAGATTTACATCTTCTTTTGCTATCCGCTTGTACGACAATCACATGATTCGTATTTTTCAAACCTTGAGTCATTTCCTAACACATTGCCATTGGTAAAAACTTCTCATTGCCAGTGACTTTAGAAACTCAAGGGAAGTTTCTTTTTCGGATTCATAGCCGCTAGTTTCAGCTCCCCACCGCCAGCTAGTCATAGCAGATTTAGTTGAGGAGTAAGCATGTACTGGAAGCAACGGCTGGGAAGGAGGAATGCCTGAGCCGTGTTAAGGGCCAACCATTGGCGGTTACTGCAGTGTAGAGTTTTTTTAGCGGTTCTGCTCAGTGCACACCTGAGAAAATAGCGTGCATACTAGTACACAAGGATTGAAAATCGGTCACCCCATATGCCACTTGTTGCGACATGCAGACTGTTGGAGTTGGGTCGGCACGGATGGCAAAGTGATAATTGCCAGAATTGCTCACCGTCGCCCTGTTTTATGGGGATTCCACTGAAACTGTGAGCAATTCAGCATGTAGATCTACCTGTCGTAGAATGCTACGCAGTACATGGCGGGCGGTGGCATTTTCCGGCAGTGAAGCCTACTATTAGCAGTAGTAGGCCCTACGTTTGTCGGATAATGACTATGATTGTAGTGTAATGCGGTGGTCTAGTTCTCTCTCTCTCTCTCTCTCTCTCTCTCTCTCTCTCTCTCTCTCTCTCTCTCTCTCTCTCTCTCTCTCTCTCTCTCTCTCTCTCTCTCTCTCTGTCTCTCTCTCTCTCTCTCTCTCTCTCTCTCTCTCTCTCTCTCTCTCCCCCCTGTGTGTGTGTTTGTTTGTGTGTGCGCATGTGCGCGCGTGTGTGTGCACGCGCGTGTGTGCGTGCGTGTGACGGTGTGTGTGTGTGTGTGTGTGACGATGTGTGTGTGTGTGTGTGTGTGCGCGTGTGGTGTGTGTGTGTGTGTGTGTGTGTGTGGTGTGTGTGTGTGTGTGTGTCGTCTCTGCCAACGTTGGTTCCGCAGCCCCGGTGGATTGGCTACCCATCGGTGCGATCACGGACCTGCTCCCAACATCGAGCACCCCGGCAACCCGGTCACTCCGCAGTGCAGCAGCTGTCACCGGAGTTTCAAGTCCAGCAGCGGCTTGGCCAGACACAAGTGCGACCGCACGAAACGAAGGACAGTGTCGGAAAGGGCCGACTTCCCGTTTGAGTGCCCTTGCCAAAGGAAGTTCCGACTACGTCACCATCTAGTACGCCATCAGGAGTGCTGCTCCTCAGCCTCTTCCACCCCTCTCCCCTGACGGGGACCGTGTAACCTATCAAGGCAACGTGTATCAAGGTCAAGGTCAAGGTGTGTGTGTGTGTGTGTGTGTGTATGTGTGTGTGTGTGTGTGTAACGCTGGCCACCAAGCGAACAGTGTTTGAGGCGTGTGTGCTGAGCTTGCTGCTGTATGCGTCTGAGTGCTGGGTACCACTCCAAGCCGATATTGCCAAGCTGTCATCTTTTTACATGAGATGCCTCCGCACCATCATGGGTGTGTCACGCTCTGACGTCTGGGACTTCCACATCAGCAACACCACCATCCTGGAGCAGTGGAATGATGCCAGACCCCTGCCCATCAAGGACCGGATTGTGCAACGCCGTTTGGAATGGTTTGGCCACGTTATGCGCATGGATATGGAACGGACACCCCGGGTTGTTCTGTTCGGCTGCCGACCGGAGACCCGACCTGCATGCGGCCCACGAAAGCGCTGGCGAGACGCTCTGAGTCCGGATCTACAGCGATGTGACGTACAGGACTCTTGGCCAGAAGATACCCAGTCACGACCAGGGTGGAGGAACATCTACCGTGAGCTGGAACCAGCTTCGTCACCAGTGCGTAATGTGCAATGTCTTGTCTGCCGACGCGTATTTAGCAGGCCTTCGGACAAGCGCCGTCACAAGTGCTTGGATGAAAGGGCCAAGCCCATAGCAGAGCAGCGCGGTGCAGTGCAATGTCCCCAATGTCAACGGTGGCTACGCAGCCGTGGTGGGCTATCGCGGCATAAATGCACACCCCATGATCCTCAGCCCCGTGAAGACCATCCCCAAGCTATTGCAAGGGACTGTTGCGCAGCTCACTGCCCCACATGTGACCGCTGTTTCGCCAGACCGTCTGACAGATCACGACACAAATGCCACCGTAGTACGCATCGCCCGACTGCAGCAACACGATTGACATTTGAATGGTCCTGCCCCGGCTGTGGCCGCCGTTTTCGTCGCGGGAGCGACCTCACCCGACACGGATGCCGGCGGCCTCCCTCCTCCCCGGTTCTCTCTTAAGGAGAGCCACGTGGCCCTTGTGGCAGTGCTGAACAGGAACAGGAACAGGTGTGTGTGTGTGTGTGTGTGTGTGTGTGTGTGTGTGTGTGTGTGTGTGTGTGTGTGTGTGTGACGGTGTCACTGTGTGTGTGTGTGTGTGTGTGTGCGTGACAGTGTGCGTGTGTGTGTGTGCGTGCGTGCGCGTGTGTGTGAAGTGGCACTTCAAGATAGCTGTGCGGTGTAGACCAGGCGGTGGCGGTCTATTCTTCAGCCTTGATAGCTGTTGAACTTGAATGGTGCAATCCCAGCACAAGTAATTACCGTAAAGTCGAGGATAAAAGCCGGGTTTGCATACAAGCACATCGCGGATAGAAGCCTGAAAATCAAACGGGCCAAATGCGTTATAAGCCTGTCGCACGTAGAAGCCTGGCTTCTATGCAAGCGCGGATCGGGTAGGTAAAGAGTGCATGCGCTATGTACGGTGCATAGTAAAACTGCCGCCATACCACTAGGCAGTAGTCAGTGGTAGATCTACGCGTGTCGCGCGTAGAAGCATGACTTGTGTGTACAAGCCTGGCAAAAAATTTAATATCAGTGGCGCATAAGCATGGTTTGCATACAAGCCTAATGCCGAAAGCGGCTCGTATGCTTATATTAGCCCGGCTTTTATCCGCAACTTCGCGGTAGTTATGCTCTCCACCGGGCTAGCACTACATCATTGTACATGTAGGCATTTGGGAGCATACTACAAGTCGTTAGCAGCAGCGGATACCATGGCTACTCAACACAAAACTTCAAAAGCCAAACAAACCGCAATGCAACAGCAGGGTTTTGACTTTTTATGTATTTTGTCAGACATGACCCGGCCTGCACATGCATGCATGCATGCAGCAAAATCACACATTAGTCATTACAAAGTCACACGTGCAAAGTCCCCATGTTTACACTCATGTAGGCGGTACACACGTACACGTCGTTCATCTTATCATGTTCACAGAAATCATGTGCAGTCTGTAGACCCCAAAACGATACCATGGCATAGCCATAACTAAGGCACCAGGTCGCGGAAGAGAAAATCCCCTTGCCCAACAGGCTTTCTGTTGAACGAAGGCGGAAATCGTCAGCGGAGCCTAGGGACGAGCAAAGTCGACGTGTCCACCAGTCGTTTCAATACCAGGTGCAGCATTGTGCAGGATGCAGGCCTCCGCTCGAAGAAGGATCAGCCGCAAGGTGGACGGCGCCCTGTCCGACAGGACGATTGCGAACGTGTTGCTAACGCGGACAGACGGCGACTCGGACGACGATCACACCAAGAACCCGCGCTTTGTGCTGCGCGAGGGTCCAGATGAACTGGCTGCCGTCACCAATGTGCTGTATCGGCGAGCGTGGCGACTGAAAGTCTTCATCGACAACCTGGTTTCCTACCGCGAAGTGCAAGTTACGGTCGGAGCAAGCGTAAGTACGCTCAGCTCTGACTACTGCTACTACAAGCCTGTTCTCGATATAACAACTCTCACTTGTACGTAAACCTCACTTGTACGTAAACCTCACTAGTACGTAAAAATCAAATCCCGCGCCAAAATATCATCGCTCCCATACATGTTCTGCAAAGGTAATCCTACATAACGTAAACCTCGACATAACGCACGCTACAGCGCGGTCCCGGTCCCCGATGTGCGCACTCTCGTAGATTCACATGCGCGGTACGATCAAGCTGTAGCTATAGCTAGCCAATTTAGGCCAGTTTAGTCATACATAGCGTAAACCTCGACATAATGCACGCTACGGTGCGGTCCCCGGCGTGCGCACTCTCGATACAACTAGCCCCACCACCTGGCTGCTGCATGTTCCCGTTGCGTGCACCACATGGCTTTTAGTAAGTAAAAAAAAAAAAAAAAAAAAAAAACGTAGATTCACGTGCGCAGTATGATGAAGCTGTAGCTGGATATCCGAGGCATCACCAAACTGGCCGCCTTCACTGAAGTCAAGCGCTTTGCAACACATTCTTGCTTGCTTATAGCTTTACGCCCATGTTTCTGTAGCTGTGCTGGAACTGCTCTATTTCGTCGCCACTATTTACCATTAGCCATGTCTCTCCCCCCCCCCCCCTCTCCTCCACCACATTACACAGTGGGTCCATTGTTATTAGGCATCTACCTGTTTTGGTTTCTCCACTATAAACGAGAGAGCTTGGAAGCTCAGGGCCCTGCGCTATGCTTTTTTGCCTTGATGACCTAGACAAAAAAAGCATAGGGATGTTTTCTTTAAAAAAATCCTTTTTTAAAAACCTGGGATTCGAACCCGCACTATCGCGCGCCCTGCATGCATCCCCCGATACACTTCGCATACATACTAATTCTTCCAAGTTGTTTCACATTGTGATCTTGCATTTGAAAGCCCTATTTGAATATGTATTGTGGCCAGCCATCGTTGATGGCACGGTACGGTAGGGAATAGGTACGGGACAGGTACGATCGAGGGTAATACGACACCGTATAGCTGCCCGCAATATTCAAATAGGGCTTTCAAACGCAAGATTAACGTGAAGCAACTTGGAAGAATGGGTATGAATGCGAAGTGTATGGGGGAATGCATGTAGGGCGATAGTGCGGGTTCGAATCCCAGGATATGCCTAAAAAAAAAGGAGAATTGAAAAATTTATAACATCCTATGCTTTTTTGCCGTCAGATACGGATAGCGCCAGGCGTGACACAAACAAACAAACAAACAAACACACAAACAAATACCAAATTAAAGCTGTGTGGACCCTGGCTAGCGCCAGACGTTACTGAAGTAACGTCTTCTGCATAGCTACGGGAATAAAAGAATACTACTACTACTAGCTGTAGCTAGTCCTATTGGCAGTATTGTGCATACCGTAGAATCCCGCGGATAAGCCCACCCGCATATAAGCCCATGCTCGCGCATAAGCCCACGCCAAGTTCACACATCGCGGAGCTTTGTCGTACAAGCCCATGGGCCTAGGTCGTATCAAGGGTCCATAGGTTATGTACTCTTGGTCGTACCTTGTACCATGTACATGTAGGTTTTTGCACATTTCAACACAATCATCAGTAACTGTTGTTTTTGTTTGCACAGTGGCTTTCAGCAATGTACTTCTCACTTCCTTGGCACTTTCAATAGCACAATTTTGGTATCAGCATATAATAAGCCCATGCCCGCGTATAAGCCCACCGAAATGTTGTTGTGAAACAGATAAGCAGCCCATGGGCTTATCCGCGGGATTCTACGGTATATTCTGCGGCATTAATTGCATCTGATGTCGATGGTGGTACAGTGTGTGCATGTTTGCACGGTTGAATCCGCCTTATAAATACCCTTCATTTTGAGGCGCATCTTGTATTTTACACACGGTTTTCTACATACGGTAACATTATAACTCTCGAGCGTGGTCCCAGAGATTACGTTATATGGAGAGTAGACCTGTACTAGAACTGGTGCATGTACATCATGGTGCATGGTAGCGACGGCAGTTCAACACTGTACAAAGTTGTCATCGTGGGCAACAAATTACACTACCGGTTAGAATGGACTCGGATGTAGAGCCAAGGATAAATGTATAGAAAAGAAAAGGACCAAGAGTCACCATTGCAGATTATACATAGAACAATTTCATGAATATACATAGAAAAATTTCATGAGTATACTAGTACCTTGTCCCACACTGGACTTATGTTATGGGGCTATGAAGTTGGCATGCAATAGTTGCAAATCATGCATGCATTGGCATGCAGAGCGATGTCACAAAAGTGGGTTTCTCCAACCTTATGAATACCGTGAATGCACAGTGAATGTATACGCGATATGTGTGGTTTGGCCGTGCTTGGTTTTTGTTTGTTTCTCTGCTCCTTCCACGGCCTCCAGTTTGGGGAGATCTCAGAGTCCATAGAATGCTATGACAAGCTGCCCAAGACACAGTGCTATCGACTGGAAATGCACGGCGTGTGGCTGCACCCGTCATGGCTGTTTGGTGAGGTGTTGTGGTGGAGTTCAGCACCTCTTGTAGCTCATCGACAGACAGTGAGTTGCCGCAGTGATGGCAGACACTAAATTACCGGCAATTCACATTGCACAGCCAGCGAGTGACAATATTAATTTTATGTTACGATTTGTAGTGTCTTCAAATGTGAAGTGTACCGTGTGTCCTGGCATGATGCCATTGTGTCATCATGCCAGGATCTCCCCTGCAGCTAGTACCCTGGACATTCATTTCCACACAAACAATTTTTTTGTAATACAAACTGGAAGTTGACATTTTGCCTCCAAAGGGGTGGGACATACTCTGTACGACTCTCACTGACCCAGCTCATACGATACTTACGGAAATGCATGGGCAATCCTGACATTGTCCGCGCCAGAGAAGCGTGTGCATGTATGGTGCACAGCCATGAATGCCATGCATCACCCTGCCTCTTCTCCAAGCAATACTTGAACATGGTACATGGTGTGGGTGTAAAATGTACAGCTGTCATGTGATACTCTTGCTAGTACATCATAGTACGGTATACCTCAGTGAAATCATAGTCACGTATGTTCCTGCCTTGTAAAGGGCATCACTTGCACTGCACCCTGCAGGGCGTGGCAGCATGGCCGCCATGCTGTGTCAGTATCCTTGAATCTCTACATGATTGTACATTTTATGATAGCACTTTTCCTCTCCTTGCAGATCAAACCCATTACTCTCGTCGTCAAGATGCCATTCCGCAAGGACGAGTACATGGTGCGAGAGAGTGACAACGACATCCACAGCCTATACCCGGAGCAGGTCATGGTGAGGGCAATGCCACACTGAAGTCATTGCCAGCCAACTACGAACATGCTGAGTCAGTGCTACCAATAATAATAATAATTAGACATGGATTTTTTTAGGACTGACGAGAATCAATGACTCTGTCACAGCAGAAACCATTGCCCGTATCTACTTGTACATACGCAGAAGACAGACAGCACAGCACTTGACATCAGTCTTGAATTTCAAAGCATTGTATAATCATTAGGCTAGTTTTGCCGGTGTATACATGTCCAAGTATGCGCACACAGTGCAGATGCTGCTAGCCTGCGGCTACATGTTCTTCTTCTTTCTTTGTGATGTAATGTGGCATGCACGTACATGCAGTAAAAAAAAGAAGAAAAAAAAGTAAATTATCGTGTCCGTTCCCGAAGGGAACTCACGACGGCCGCTAACACCCGATAAACCCTAGCGGCAGATGCAGCGCCTAACGGTGTACATGCAGTAGCATATGTAATCTGCAGCATTGCATGCACACAAAGTATCCAGAGTACAATCATATGTACAACAATTCTCTTTCTCAATCCTCATCGTCTCAAGCATTGCTCCCGTCTTGTTCAATTGCTTCCACTGCAGACGTACATAACCAGGGATTTCGGTTTACCGGCCGGTGTGTTCCGTATTGGCATGCGCAAGTACAGGGGTGACCCGGGTGGAAAGGACGTCAAAGTGAAAATGTCCCCCACCTACGTCTTGCCTCCGCCGGAGATGGCCGAGGAGAAGATGGCCAGAGAAGTCGCGCGGATCCGCACCCTGTCGCAGACAGTCGAGGCCTATCCTCTTCTGCACTTCTCAAAGTTTCCACGCCAGTACTCTTGTGATACCGTTGATGATTGTTTTGAACTGTTCTCTGACTGGAGACCACCTCTTCCAAGCAAAGTGGATGGTGAGTATGAGGATAGTACGTATGACGATGACGGGCAAGATACACCTCTGAGAATGTTTCCACGCAACACAAGCTTTGGCGAGCTTGGAATGCGGGCAGGTGACGAGATCTGGTTACAGGTGAGGAGTTACCATAAAATAATAGGTCATTTTCATGGGGAGAATCTTTCACCAGCCATTTCCAAACCAGCCCGATATTATGATGTAATTGCAGCCAGAGTCAGTCCATACATGGACTGGGGAATTGATCTGTGGGGCTAAATTTAGTGAAAACATTCCTCATGATACGTGTTAACAAGAACTGCACACTGTTATGCATCAAGCCACAGGGCACAGAAGTGAGGATGGTCAGAAGTAGTGGCAAAGCAACCAATACTGGTGTTGTCATGGCAACACATCGGCAGCATGACTATGACTGAATGTCTGATGGTTTAACACACTGACCTGTACATGTCTACACGCATGTCTACACGCATGGCTGCACAGGTACGTGCTGGCTTCTCTCCCATTCTCCGCTACCTCATTCCGGGACCACACCGAGAATTCAAAACCTTCCAGGACATCGTCGACGAGCTAACCAACGACACGCGCACGAAAGAGGAGCAGCAGTACTTGATCCAGGTGACACTCTACATAGCCGCATACTACAACAATGTGCCGTTGATCGAGTATCTCTTCCTCAAGGACGTGGTAAGGAACTGTATCTGCTTGTAGTCACACCCGGAATCCTCATAATAAATTCATCCTGATACAGCTGTTCACTGCATACACAGCACTCAGGAACTTGTTGCTGAGTCCAGTCGAAGTAAGGCTTTAGAGGACCCGCTGTAGTTTGACCACGTCAAAACTAATCTGTAGGCCAGCCTCCGTCCATCTGAATCAGACGTGCACGTTGATGCAGGGGATCTGCTGTCACTACTCAACCTATCTTACGTTCTATGACGGAAAGCACATGCACTGTAAGACATGTAAATATAACGAGAAAGCAAATCTAACGTTTTAACGGATGACATTTCTTCGTTATAAGATCCGTTGAGGCCGTACTGCTTCATATAATTATGCTGTGTGTGGATATGGCAGAATACTGCAAGATCGTTAACATATCTTCTCGTTAACCTATGAATTTTGGACAATCGTTAAATTTGCGACTCGTTATAATAACTAGGGCTGAAACGATCGTGGATTTTCACGCATCGATTACTCTTTAGCTTAACAATCGAGTAATCCATAATAATCGTTAGCAAATAGAGTCATAATTCTCAGTGTGCAAACATTACTCTGTTTCCACAAACTATGCCTTCATAATACCAACAAATCTGCATTAGTGAAAGGGTAGCTCCGAAACATGGCAGTTTTGAAGTCAATTTAAAGGGGAAGTTAAGGCAAAAATCAAAATTTCACCAGTTGTAGTTTTCGGGGTGCTGAGTCGAATGGTCTTGGTCCGAGAAAGCTGAGACGCTCCCTTCCTACTTGAATCCCAATCGAACTCGCGCACTTCCACCGAAACTGGGTGACTGCGCCCTACTAGATGGGGATTTGTATGCAAAATGTCACTAAAAGCGCCATTTCGTTCTTATAAAAGCACGGATGACCGCGATTGGCCCATATGTTGTAGTCTTTTGGACGCTGAGTCGACTGGTTTTGGTCCGAAAAGGCTGCAATGCAGCGTTCGCCCCTAATTCCCAATCGAACATGGTTGAACAAGCGGTCACGTGCTCCTGCGTACACCAGTCACCTGGTCACCGTGCCTGCAGGGTACAACTTACAGCCTGTTTTGACCTTTTTTGGGTGCAGTCCTGTCACTCGAGTTGAACCTTGGTGTGAAAGTTGTCACCTGCTGGCGTGGTGACCAGGTGATTTGGGCACCCAGGAGCACGTGACCGCTTCTTCAACCCTGTTCGATTGGGAATAAAGGAGGAACGCTGCATCGCAGCCTTTTCGGACCAAAACCAGTCGACTCAGCGTCCAAAAGACTACAACATATGGGCCAATCGAGGTCATCCGTGCTTTTATAAGAACGAAATGGCGCTTTTAGTGACATTTTGCATACAAATCCCCATCTAGTAGGGCGCAGTCACCCAGTTTCGGTGGAAGTGCGCGAGTTCGATTGGGATTCAAGTAGGAAGGGAGCGTCTCAGCTTTCTCGGACCAAGACCATTCGACTCAGCACCCCGAAGACTACAACTGGTGAAATTTTAATTTTTGCCTTAACTTCCCCTTTAACGTCAGAACATGAACCATACCCCTGGCAACTGCATACTCCCAGCGGAAACTGATTCAAACTTCACAAAACGAGGGTTTACAGTACTTTCTGGACACAAATTAAAAAAAACGCAAAATAATCGTATCGGTAATCCAAACGATTGCTCGATCGTTAGAGTTATCAAATGAGTACTCGATTATTCGCGATAATCGTTTCAGCCCTAATAATAACATGTCTTACAGTACACGTACGTGACTTGCATTGAACAAGCCTCGGTGAACTCTAAAGATGAAAGCCTTTACCGGCACTTGCCTTGTCACTGGCGAGTGGCCGTTCATATCACCCCTAGCGAACGATATCAGGGAATAATTTAACCGGTATCGCATCGCAGTTTGCTACGCAATTCTTCTACTTTGCGAAGCAACTTCAGGAATGTGATCCAGAAACTGCGATGCATATGCATGTTGATGTTTCACTGTAGCCTATGAAGCACACTGTATATGCCAGGTGTGTCTCTAGGGATGAAATAGATGCACAAAGCTTCGAAAGTGTTGCGCCATGCACCCTGGCACCACGTGTGGTTCGCAACTAAGGTGCTACAGTGTATTTGTGGTCTGATCAGCTCTGCAGAAGGACAATGTTGTCAAGTGTTAAGGGGCGGTCCGTAAATATCGAACTTTGTTCACCAAACGAATTGTTTTAGTTTAGACCCAACCCCTCCCTCCCTCCCCCTCAGAACGTAAAAAAGTGTTGATGTATACATGCATATACAACAAAAGTCGCAAATGTGCCACTGCTCCTGTGGCCATGTACATGTATCGAAGTTTTCTGAAACGAAATTGGTCAACCCCCTCCCACCCCATAACGAAATTATTTCGTTTTGTGAAAAAAGTTCGATAATTATGGACGACCCCTAAAGAAAATTGCTATTCAACATTTTCGAATTGCTATTCAAGTTTGATTCTGCGTAGCAAAATTGCTATGCAAAAAGACGAAAGTAAATTATTCCCTGGATATGTTTGATCTGAAATGCATTTGGTGCAAAATCTTCTCCCATATCACCAATGGCCATGTGTTGATCTGAAAATGTCTATGTGTTGCCGACTACAGGGCATGCCTCAACTGCCCGTTGGACAACATCCCAAGTGTAACGATACCGGCGGTGGAGAGGCAGACTGCCCGCTACACATCGCCGTACGCCGTAATAATATGGAGACGGTGCGCTGCTTTGCCACCTACCGCCGCCTGTGCCTATGGGTACGTACTGGGTACTCGGTGACAATCAGGAGTACATGGTGTGTGTGTGTGTGTGTGTGTGTGTGTGTGTGTGTGTGTGTGTGCATGTGCCTATGGGTAAGTACTGGGTACTCGGTGACAATCAGGAGTACATGGTGTGTGGTGCCTATGGGTAGGCACTAGACACTGTGAGTCTACAAATTTTCGGCCCATTCAATTTTCGGCCTCCCAGGGCTAAATTCCATTTCGGCCTCCCAGGGCTAAATTCCATTTCGGCCTCCCAGGGCTAAGTTCCATTTCGGCCTCCCAGGGCTAAGTTCCATTTCGGCCTCCCAGGGCTAAGTTCCATTTCGGCCTCCCAGGGCTAAATTCCATTTCGGCCTCCCAGGGCTAAATTCCATTTCGGCCTCCCAGGGCTAAGTTCCATTTCGGCCTCCCAGGGCTAAATTCCATTTCGGCCTCCCAGGGCTAAATTCCATTTCGGCCTCCCAGGGCTAAGTTCCATTTCGGCCTCCCAGGGCTAAATTCCATTTCGGCCTCCCAGGGCTAAGTTCCATTTCGGCCTCCCAGGGCTAAGTTCCATTTCGGCCTCCCAGGGCTAAGTTCCATTTCGGCCTCCCAGGGCTAAATTCCATTTCGGCCTCCCAGGGCTAAATTCCATTTCGGCCTCCCAGGGCTAAATTCCATTTCGGCCTCCCAGGGCTAAGTTCCATTTCGGCCTCCCAGGGCTAAGTTCCATTTCGGCCTCCCAGGGCTAAGTTCCATTTCGGCCTCCCAGGGCTAAGTTCCATTTCGGCCTCCCAGGGCTAAATTCCATTTCGGCCTCCCAGGGCTAAATTCCATTTCGGCCTCCCAGGGCTAAATTCCATTTCGGCCTCCCAGGGCTAAATTCCATTTCGGCCTCTCAGGGCTAAATTCCATTTCGGCCTCCCAGGGCTAAATTCCATTTCGGCCTCCCAGGGCTAAATTCCATTTCGGCCTCCCAGGGCTAAATTCCATTTCGGCCTCCCAGGGCTAAATTCCATTTCGGCCTCCCAGGGCTAAATTCCATTTCGGCCTCCCAGGGCTAAATTCCATTTCGGCCGCATCAAATTTTCGGCCTATACTGCTGCTGCTGCCGGTATGCACTGTCACACTGAACCTCGCACAGCAACATTTCGGCTGAAACACATTTTCGGCCAAACATGAGCGGGCCGAAAACAGGCGAAAATAAATATGCGCCGAATATTTGTTGACTTCCAGTACTCGGTGACAACCAGGAGTACATGGTGTGCGTGTGCGTGTGCCTATGAGCAGGCACTACTCGGATACTATTTTTTAGTTTTTTTTTTAAATTTTACTTGACCAGATACAGAGGCATTTCTGCCTTCTCGTCTAACCGTACGGCTAGCCTCTCAATAAAAGATGAAGTTACAACCAGCAGTACATAGTGTGTGCTGCTACTGGTGTGTGCTGCTACTGGTGTTTGTTGCCGTTCTGGGGGAAGATCGTTTGCGTCTGCTGGTTTCGGTAGAAACTGGTGCTTTTGGTAGACGCACATCAGATTGAGGGGGTTGAAAAGGAAACTGTTTGAAGTAAATGCCGAGTCTCACCACCAGGACTCAAACCAGGAGGGACCTTCACTGGAGTCCGGCGATACTATACCGCTACATAGAGTTTTTTTTGTTGAATTCTTTGTTCTCACGATGGCACCATCGCCAATAAGAGATAGAGTTTGAAGGTCCCTCGAGCAGTTGGCTCGCGCAGTCGGCTCGCGCAGTCGGCTCAAGCAGGCTTCACTGTACTGTACTAGTGTATAGTTGTGTTATCTATGGTACTATACTAAAGCCTAGCAGGCTTATAATGAAGGGCATCCATGGCATGCAGTTCTGGGCATCTGAAATGAAAAAGGTATCAATCTGTCATGCTAAGCAACTGTGACTATTGGCTGATGCTGCTCTGCTATTGTTCTGACAGGTGAAGAATGACGAGGGTGTCGACGCAGTGGAACTGGCCAGTAAATACGGCTACACGGAGATGGTGAAGTTCCTGGAAGAGGAGCGTGTTCGACCACTTCATCTGGACGAGCCAGCCGAGGGCAGACTCACGCGCTACCAGAAGCTGTACGGCCGCCGCGAAGAGATGGACTACTTTCAACTGGCGGCACTCGTCAAGAACAATCAGCTGAAGTGCTTTGACAGCATGTCCATCGTTGAAGAAGTGGCCACGGAAGTTACCTTTGCCGACTTGGTTACCAAGGTGAAAGCAAGAATGCCACCGAGGCGGCAGCGGAGGAGAAGGAACAAAAACCGACCGCTATGGCTGGACAACAAGATGAAGGCAGCCGAACGCTTCAGGAGCGTCATAGAAGCCGAGGATGCGAGAGAAAAAGAAAGAAACCTGAGGGGAAGAGGAGCTGAGCAGTCCAAGGAGCACACACGGATAGAGCAGTCGGATGATTCCAAAGGAACGACGGTCGGCGAGGATGTTGCTGCGGCTGCTGAACGTTTCAAGCGTCCGTTAGCAGCTGCATCGTCGTTGGCCAGGGAGAAGGCCAAGCCTGCGGAAAGCCAACCACCCAAGGAGCAGAAACAGGAAAAGCCATCGGACGAATCCAAAGGAACCAGCGGCTGTGAAAGCGATGCTGCAGCAGCTACACACCAGCCTGGTGTAGACACTGAGAAGATCAAAGACACAGACAAGCCTCAGGAACGTGAACTGGAGACGTCTGGTGAACTGGAGACGTCTGGGGAGCACGGACAAGATTCTAAGGAGATCGGAGACAACGATGAGCCAAAGAATAGCACAGTAGGAGAGGAGTGCAAACAGGAAGAACTGTCCGAAGAATCCGAAGGAAGCCTTGCAGGCGATGAGAATGTTGTCATGCCAAATATAGACAACGGTAGTTCAGAAGTTGAGGAGATCAGCGTAATAGATGACCCCGTGCAGCGTGAAGCAGATGAGTCTGAGGAGCACAAACTGGAAGAGACGTCGGAAGAATCCAAATGAGCGGAGGGAGGGCCGTGAAGGTGACGTGGCAGCAGTGTATTTTAATTAAAGTTAGTCTCCTTAGCGGCAATTTTTGCGTCGTCACACGTGCGAACACACACAACTACCCTGTGCAATGGCGTTGCTCTTGTCATGTTAAAAGTGGACTTGTTTCGAGGTAATAAAATGCGGAGGTGATGCTGCTGCCGCTGCTACCTACAACCATCGCCATGTTTACCATGGTTACCAGCAGCAATGTGATGTCCTACTATAAGTAGTAAGTATTCCTGTCAAGACTATTTCTGTGGGTGCGAGTCACTACGCGTGAAGACCGAAACTATGAAAGTATAGAGATAACGTGTGTGTTTCCTAAGTGGTGCATGAATGTAAGACACATAGTCACCAAATACCGGTGGCGAAACAAACATCTCCACAATATCCGTTCTATCCCATAGTAGAAATTATGAAACGTGTACTGTATACTGACATGAGCCGCGCGGCTGACTGGCCCCAACACCACCGATGTCATGATCCCTGCCAGAGTTGGAAACTGTCTAGCAAAGCCCAAACGGTGCTTTAGTTTCCAGCATAAACACAACACAACGTCGTTACTTTGAGTGTGTTCCAGCTAGGAATGATGACACAATGGCATGTGTTTGGTGATATAGGACACTGGACAGTGAGAGGCTGCAAAGTCGAAAAGTTACAGTGTGCGTAATCAAGGACCAGAAATTCAGAACTGATTTCTTTCTTATGTCTCATCTGAATCAATATTATCTCTGTGAAGATTTGTTATAATTATATCAGCATGATTATGTGCTAGAACTTAAAATGGTGTGTTCAAGGATGATGATACGCGTGTGTATGTTTGTGTGAAGACCAAAAGGCACTGGAAAGCGCGCTGTAATGAGCGAGGACACGCAAATCAGTGTACACAATGACAATAGTGATAGTGGATTGTCAGCAGTGGTCATGCTTCACTATACACTAGCACCATGGCAAGCCAGCTCTGGAACACCACCAGTATCATCATCATTGCATTTCAAAAAAAGCACATGACCATCTCCACTGACCAGCAGCGGATGGCGATGGTGGTTGCAGCGGATGGCGATGGTGGTTACAGCGGTGAGGGCGGCTTCTTGACTGCCAGAACAACAACATTGCGTGGAGATGTAACCGGGTCGAACAGAGGTATAGCACATGCTAAGGATATACTCGGCTGGAGAATAAGAAAAGAAGAAGAAGAAGATGATGATGAACATCATTATTTATTTTTAGAGACGTTATTAAATGCGAATCCAACAAAATGTACTTTACGTCTTTTCTCATTTAGAGCAGGTTTCACGTGCTAAAAGGTTTTCATCTTCCCTACTAAAAAACCGACACTGTGAAAATTTGTCATTCATGCATGCCCACACACCATACGCCCCCCCCCCCCCCCCCCTCACACACACGCGCGCGCACCAACACATATTACCCACGCATCCACCCAGCCGCATGCATGCACGCACACACACGTGTGCACCACTAAGAAGAACCAAGCGTAACATGTTTACCTGCTCAAGAAGGAAGGCGATCCGATCGACGAGAATCAATGACTCTGTCACAGCAGAAACCATTGCCCGCATCTACATACGCAGAAGACAGACAACACAGCACTTGACATCAGTCTTGAATTTCAAAGCATTGTACTTTGAAGTATAATCATGTACACACTTGTTTGTTCAACTACAGTGCAGCTTCCCATGTCCAATGTACCTAGCTCTGGGGCATCCGCACAATGCAAGTTTTCATCAACTACCACACATTTCAAATCTCGCAGACAAGGGTATAGAGGCTATGCGAATGATTTCATTGGGCGAGTCAGCGGAACCGTATACCGGCGCCGCTATGTGTATACAGCGTGAGTAGTCAGCGGATTCGCGTATGGGTGCTATGTGTATGCAGTGGGAGCAGTCAGCAGATTTGTGTATGGGTGCTATGTGTATGCAGTGGGAGCAGTCAGCGGATTCGTGTATGGGCGCTATGTGTATGCAGTGGGAGTCGCTAGTGCAAGTGCACACTGTGCCGCGGGTCCATGACTTCGCCGAATCATCTCAGCAGATGATGTTATCACGTAACCTCTATAGTAGTAAAGACTAGGAGTTCTCATACCGGATCACAGGTAGCAGAGGAATGTGTATGTCTCAGTCCACACAGCCAAGGTGGGCAGCTCATCTTTGACATGCCTTAGCAACTCTGCAGTCCACACAGCCAAGGTGGGCAGCACATCTTTGACATGCCTTACCAACTCTGCAGTCCACACAGCCAAGGTGGGCAGCACATCTTTGACATGCCTTACCAACTCTGCAGTCCACACAGCCAAGGTGGGCAGCTCATCTTTGACATGCCTTACCAACTCTGCAGTCCACACAGCCAAGGTGGGCAGCACATCTTTGACATGCCTTACCAACTCTGCAGTCCACACAGCCAAGGTGGGCAGCACATCTTTGACATGCCTTACCAACTCTGCAGTCCACACAGCCAAGGTGGGCAGCACATCTTTGACATGCCTTACCAACTCTGCAGTCCACACAGCCAAGGTGGGCAGCACATCTTTGACATGCCTTACCAACTCTGCAGTCCACACAGCCAAGGTGGGCAGCTCATCTTTGACATGCCTTACCAACTCTGCAGTCCACACAGCCAAGGTGGGCAGCACATCTTTGACATGCCTTACCAACTCTGCAGTCCACACAGCCAAGGTGGGCAGCTCATCTTTGACATGCCTTACCAACTCTGCAGTCCACACAGCCAAGGTGGGCAGCACATCTTTGACATGCCTTAGCAACTCTGCAGTCCACACAGCCAAGGTGGGCAGCTCATCTTTGACATGCCTTACCAACTCTGCAGTCCACACAGCCAAGGTGGGCAGCTCATCTTTGACATGCCTTACCAACTCTGCAGTCCACACAGCCAAGGTGGGCAGCACATCTTTGACATGCCTTAGCAACTCTGCAGTCCACACAGCCAAGGTGGGCAGCTCATCTTTGACATGCCTTACCAACTCTGCAGTCCACACAGCCAAGGTGGGCAGCTCATCTTTGACATGCCTTACCAACTCTGCAGTCCACACAGCCAAGGTGGGCAGCACATCTTTGACATGCCTTACCAACTCTGCAGTCCACACAGCCAAGGTGGGCAGCTCATCTTTGACATGCCTTACCAACTCTGCAGTCCACACAGCCAAGGTGGGCAGCTCATCTTTGACATGCCTTAGCAACTCTGCAGTCCACACAGCCAAGGTGGGCAGCACATCTTTGACATGCCTTAGCAACTCTGCAGTCCACACAGCCAAGGTGGGCAGCTCATCTTTGACATGCCTTAGCAACTCTGCAGTCCACACAGCCAAGGTGGGCAGCACATCTTTGACATGCCTTACCAACTCTGCAGTCCACACAGCCAAGGTGGGCAGCACATCTTTGACATGCCTTACCAACTCTGCAGTCCACACAGCCAAGGTGGGCAGCACATCTTTGACATGCCTTACCAACTCTGCAGTCCACACAGCCAAGGTGGGCAGCACATCTTTGACATGCCTTACCAACTCTGCAGTCCACACAGCCAAGGTGGGCAGCACATCTTTGACATGCCTTAGCAACTCTGCAACGGTGGGCATTGTACATGTACAATCTTGACTTTCGGAAATACTGCAAGAAATCGTCACACATGATGATGGTAGTATTCGGAATAGAAGCCCGCTACTCCACCAGCCACACTCACATTGCAGCTCATGCCGCGCAAGTCTTCCCTGTATGATAATTCGAAGAATATCACACAACTCCACCAACCTGAGCAAAGCACTGCAGCTGCCTGTGTCTGGGTTCAAAGCGATGAAGATAGTCCGCAATCTCCTCATCACTGATCTGGAAAGCCACACCATGACAAGACAAACAGCAACAAAAGGAGGAATCTTTACGTCAAAGTAATTCTGTTCCAAGGGCTTAGTCAAACCGCAGAAAATCACAGCAGGGTCATGTACCTGAATTTGGCGCAGGAAACGAGCTCAATAATTTGATGCGAAACATCTTCGGCAATTTCGTACATCTCCCACCCATTCCTTTCCTCTCTTCCCGATCTCTCCCTCCACGAGAGTCCCTCGATAGGCTCCCACAGCCAATGGTCAATCCTTAAAATAAAATAAATCAATCAATAAAAGTCCTAGCAGCAGTATGTTGAAGGCAAAGACAAAAAAAACCCGTGACGCTTAGGCTTATTGCCCTCAACCAACCTGGTGTCTCGGCATCATGGGCAGTGTAGTGCTTATCAGCTAAATGACACACAGCCAGCGGTAGGTTCCACCAAGAGTACATGAAAACCAGAGTGTGCAGCTTGGGACCTTTTCTGCTATGGGTGTCTGTCACGGCGGAATTCCGTGATTACACCATATTTGGCGCAGATCTGAGGCGGGAAATGGCGTAGTGCGTACAACTTTGCAGTTGTGCAGAAAGAGACCTGCTTGAATCCTGCTTGTACGCACTACATCACTAAAATGATGTAATCACGGAATTCCGCCGTGACAGCCACCCATTCGAGCTGCACACTCTGGTTTTCATGTACTCTTGGTTCCACTAAACAATGTCATAGCAACACCGACACGATGCATGTACAGTGTGCACAGTGCTAGTGCTGTTTAATGTCATCTGATGGCGTGAGTCAGGTCAGTCAGGTCAGTCAGGTCAGTGCCACGCACCAGTACATAGTCCAGTGTTCGCAGGTCTGGGGGTTGCACTCCGCCACCAACATACATGTACTTGACTCACGCGATTGGTTTTCACTGAGTGACACTGTACATACACTGAGTGACACTGTACATACACTGAGTGACACTGTACATACACTGAGTGCCACTGTACATACACTGTACATACACTGTACATACACTGTACATACACTGTACATACACTGTACATACACTGAGTGACACTGTACATACACTGAGTGACACTGTACATACACTGAGTGACACTGTACATAGACTGAGTGACACTGTACATAGACTGAGTGACACTGTACATACACTGATGGCATGCAATTGCCAACTACAAGCGCATGTACCAGTCTAGTTTAACTTACTGCAGATGGGTCGATTTCCAGCTTCCTCAGGCAGCGGTGGACGTACTCGCGAAACGTCTTGCTCTTCGACACTTGCCGTCCAACATTGTTTTTACGACTGAGCACAATGCACACGCACACGCGCGCGCGCGCGCGCGCGCGCGCGCACACACACACACACACACACACACACACACACACACACACACACACACACACATCCTATCAGACCTAAATTACAATGTAAAGCGCAGCTCAACAGCCAGCCATTTCTTTCCAGCTGTCTGTAACTCAGTGCCTTCACTGATTTGCACCTTGCTCGTGAACACATGCTGAATGCAGCAGGGGCAATATTTACTACATTGAACGTCCAAAGCCGTGCTGTCACGTGCATACATGCATGTGGCGAATTATGGATTTCACTTTTCCACCTGTTCTCACTGACTTTTCCACACATCGTTCTGTGGACCATGCGCCGAGGTTGGCGGAAAAAGCGGAAAAGCAAGGTACTGCAGTATGTATGACATTAGACAAGGGGGGGGGGGGGGGGGGTGTCGTTTAGCCAGCGGAGAGGGCTCAACACAGTAATGTGGAGCACTATTACTTCATCTTCGAGGAACACACAAAAGGCACAAAGAAGTTTACTGATGATTGCATTGTGAAAGAAACTTGGAGTTGCAACGAACTCTGTAAACTTCTTTTGTGCCTGCTGTGTGTAAGAAGTAAGTACATTGGACATATTTTACTTGTGGCGCATGAACCCGCTCACCTGTGGTTGTCTCGATTGAATTTCTCCACCAGTATGACCTGAAACACGGCTCTCCAGAATATGCCAATGTGAGAAGGAGGCTGGAGCAAGGCAATCAAATAGTAAGAGGAAATGGATTACAGGACTATCTTCAAAGGAGGCTACATGATGGGCAATTTTGTGTTGAAACACATAGGTAAACACATGAAGATTCCCAAATCATAAGTGTCAAATTGTCTCAAAAGTCGGTCACAATTTTCGCACGAAAAATCAGATCAAAATCTTGTTATGCCCTGAATCTTTTCCATACACAAGGACAAACTGGAATGTGCCATCATGCACAGACTGCAATCATTGAGAACAACACAATTAACTACTTCCTGCTACATGGGCATAACTGATGCTCCGGCTGAGTTCATGACTGAGACAAGAGATTAGTAGCAGTTCTCACCTCTCCAGAGCACATGCGGTCTGGCGCTTGGCAGGCCAGCATTCTAGCATTGATGCCCAGCTTTGGCTGTAGCTCTTCACCAAGCTTACTCAAAGGAAAGCCGAGAGGTCCCTCACCTCCTGCAGTGCAGAACCCAGATCAGGCACAGGAACATTAACTCTGACATTCCACAACAAACACACCCTACGAGTGCGCAAGATATTCACTGAATAGAATGGCTCTAAATACAGTGAAACCTAAAGACGACCACTCAAGGGACCTTCAAAATGTGGTCTCTGTTACCAGGTGGTCTGCTTATCCAGGGTTATTTGACTGGACATTGCATCCCTTGGCCCTGGCCGCAGTGGTCTTCTGGTACAGGTGGTCGCCTTATCCGAGTGGTCGCCTTATCCGAGTGGTCGCCTTATCCGAGTGGTCACTGCCTTGACAGGTTTTACTGTACTGGTACATGTAAAGGATGGCTATAGTACAGTTGTGTGAGGTGAAATCCAACCCACAGTGCACATCTGAAGGATGGCTATAGTACAGTTGTGTGAGGTGAAATCCAACCCACAGTGCACATCTGAAGGATGGCTATAGTACAGTTGTGTGAGGTGAAATCCAACCCACAGTGCACATCTGAAGGATGGCTATAGTACAGTTGTGTGAGGTGAAATCCAACCCACAGTGCACATCTGAAGGATGGCTATAGTACAGTTGTGTGAGGTGAAATCCAACCCACAGTGCACATCTGAAGGATGGCTATAGTACAGTTGTGTGAGGTGAAATCCAACCCACAGTGCACATCTGAAGGATGGCTATAGTACAGTTGTGTGAGGTGAAATCCAACCCACAGTGCACATCTGGCACTCTGGACGTGTACGGTACTTGACGCCCTGCAAGTGCAAGTGGTACGAATGCTGCTGAACATAAACATGTACAAATGCATGTACAGTGATGTGCTGGGAACTGATCCAGGGCACCAGTGTTGCACTTTGGGTCAGATTTCACCCAGTGCCAACTGAATTTTGGCTTAGCGATCACAAGTCGTGCAAACGCATGCACTACAGTACAGGAAGCACAGAACAATAATACAAGAGCGGCGCACTGCTCTCCGTAGCAGGCCATAGTAAACATCCAACAACACACCTGTACGTACCGGCAAGTAAACAATAGGCAGTGCCAGGCTCACCTTTGCCTCTCCAGTCGTTCCGCTCTTCCCTCTTGTAGCCACGGTCCTCCACACTGCCATCAGCACGGTCCCGCTCTGCTTCCTCACTTTCAGTCAGTACGTGGTAACAGCAGCCGACCGTGCACAGGGCGTGCAGGTTGGGACAGTGAGCAAACAGACGCAGGCTGGTGCTGGATAGATTACCGCACGCGTGCAGGCCAGTCAGGAGAAGAGGCTACACACGAAGTTCAATAAATGCAGAATCACACGTATGATGTGTTGGCAGTGCCCGACAGCCAAAAGTCTTTACGAGAAAAGAAAAGAAAACAGAGCGTTGGAGTGGTAACTTGACTAGCCAATATCCCTGACACATCAACCACAGTGAAACCTGTCTAAGACGACCGCTCAAGGGCTCAAGGGACCTTCAAAGTGTGGTCTTTGTAACCAGGTGGTCTCCTTATCCAGGGTCATTTGACTGGAAATAGCATCCCTTGGTCCTGGCTGCAGTGGTCGTCTGGGACAGGTGGTCGCCTTATCCGAGTGGTCGCCTTGACAGGTTTTACTGTACTTCGAAGTAGAACATAAGTACATGTACATGTAGTATGCATGATTATGCACAATCTACTCACGGCAAGTACGGGGCAATGTAAAGGGTAAACCATCATAATTACTTGTACATATATAATAAATACATAGACCATGCCGGGGCTGTTGGTTGCTAGCAGAACTGCAGGGAGAATGCCACCAGTGGAACAGTCAGGTGCGTAGTAGTAGTAGTAGTAGTAGTAGTAGTAGTAGTAGTAGTAGTAGTAGTAGTAGTAGTAGTAGTAGTAGGGACTGATCGGATTTCCCTGGTATCAGGCCCTACATGTATTACCGTATCTTACCGGCTACAAGTTGACCCTTTACCTCGAGAAATCAAAGGAAAAAAGTTGGGTTGCCTTACAACCGGGATTCGACTTATAATCGGGAACTACCGGTACCTTCCAAAACTGACCTGCAGTGCATGTGCGAGTGCTCTATGCACACGAATTTTGGCCTGAATTCGAATGTTTCATCCATCAGTGAGAAAGAAGTGTTTCTGGGATTTGTTGATGTGTTAGTCATGCTTGGTCGGGTGAAAACTGTAAAACCAGAAATAAGACTTCCCAGTCCGGATATGGGGGTCGACTTACTAACGAGGTGTCATCAAGAGATAGACAACGCCCCACACCGCAAGTGCATTGCATGCGCAGTACAAAGTACTTACCTTCTCCATCGCTATCCGACCCTGACTTCTCTCTGCCAGAAATGCCATGAAATCATCTTCGTCATGGCGCACGAAACCAGCGACAGGCATGTGAGAAGGCATGGCGACTTCTTTCTTCTTCCGACTCTGGGTTGACGGCAATCCCTTTGGTGGGCTCGATGATGCTGACACTCTACCTGGTGGGGGTGATGTGGTTTGCTTAGGAGCAGAATCTCGGCAACCGTCAGACGTTGAAGGAACAGTACATGTGTACTCAGCGTAGGTAGCCTCCGCACTCGATGCCACACAAGCTATCTTAGCACGGGACGCAGGTGATTGAGCTCTACACTCGTCTTCGCCTCTTTCCTTGTCAAAGCCGCTGCTGCTGGTAGTGCTACTGCAGGAACTGCCGGTGGCTTGGCTCGAGGCAGACTGCTCGGTGTCCATACTACATGCAGCAGTAGTAGCCTCCAAGCTGCTTTGAAAACTAGGACTTGGTTCAAGGGCTACTTCAGCATCGTTTGTAAGTACAGCCACTTCTGTGGCTGCATTCTTACCACCGCCAGTAGCTTCGCCAGCAGAACCTGCCAGTTTAGGTTCTTGCTCTTGTTTGAGGCGCTCTGCTCGCTTTACGAGTCCGTTGTAGTAGCGGCGAAGCAAGTTGGTTCTTTTCTCTGCTCCGTGGACATTGGTCTCGCAAGCATCGACTCCCACCACAGTAAGGGCATGTTGCAAGGCAAGTGTCTCACTTAGATATCCCTTGCCACTGCCCACATCGACAATCTGAGCACATAAAACACAGCAATGCAACTAGGTTCAAGGAAAAATACAGTGCCTTCAATCCTTACAAGCATTGTTCTTCAATAGTAATATGTTCGGTATTCAAAGCACAGCTACAAGTAAAATGATCCTAAGATACAATACATTAACAGACAGAAAACGAACGGACAAATGGGGAAGATGGACACACACTCATGCACACTCATACTCCTGCCCATGGCTGAAGCGATGATAGCAAACAAGCTACGTTAGACATACAGTGTTGCCAGATCATTGTAGCCAAATATCAGTAGGATGAATAAAAAAAAAAAATGCATCATCCGCGGGGCTTTGCCCCCGAATCCCCCCCCCCCCCCCTCCTAGTAACTCCAATGTACACACGCACACACACACACACACACACTACTACTACTACTTGTTACTCACTGCCAAAACTGGTCACGTGAGTCTCCCCGGGAGAGGGGAAAGAGACTCAAAAAGAATCTTGGAAAGATGACTCAATTGGTTATTGAACCGCCCAACGGCTGACACCCCCTGAAATCCCCAAAACTCTGGGTAGACTTGAAAATGATCCCACTTATGGGCTCACCACACCTCAGTAAGTGGGAGAGGACAAGGTGCAGAAAAAGGATTGACGGCATCAGGGTATCCGTCCCGGGATCCAACTGCAGTTACCCCTGCCCCCAGTGAAGGTAATACTTGCTACTAGTGTGAGTGGCTAAATCAGAGTGGATCTGATAAAAGCTTCACTAGCACCATTGATTACACAAGAGTTAATCTAGCCAGAAGCAGTCCATGGTTAACAGGTATGTATACTTCAAATAGAAAGTATATGCACCCTGGAACCAACAAAGGTGGCAGGTACAACATTACACCTTCAAGCAGCCGAGCCTGTTGGCAACAGACCCAACACAATCAGGCATAAGTGTACCTACCAACCGAACTAGCTGGCACACACACACACACTTTCTCTCTCTCTCTCTCTCTCTCTCTCTCTCTCTCTCTCTCTCTCTCTCTCTCTCTCACACACACACACACACACACACACACACACGCACCCTCTCTCGTACCTGCTCAAGGCCCTGATCCTTGGACACAGCACCAGTCAAAGCAGCCAGCAGTTGAACTTCATGACTCTTTTTCGGCGACATCTGGTGATCAATGAAATGCCCTGGCTGCCTGGAGATCAAGGCATCGGCAAGTGCAGACTGGCTGCGAGGCAAGATGGCATTGCGTACACGATTGACAAAGGCAACAAAGTTCGCTACAGACAGCCATGGCACACACAAACAACCATGCACAAAGAGAGATGTACACATTATGCTAGCAGTTCATATCTTTTTACATCAATTATCCGGAAGATTGATTACATGTATCTGTGTGCATGCGCGAGATGGTATGTGTACTAGTATTGCGGTTGAATCTACATTGTACAGTATTGTGTGTGTGTATCAACATGAAATCGTTACACATAAAACAACCGTAGGAAAACTCAATCCAGTCAGCCTGATTGTCAACATTATTCACTGTGTTATGACGGCAGCAGCGTGTCACGCAGAGCACCAGGTCACGCATAGCTCGGAACTGCATACTTTTGGGGGTTCATCCTTATCCCTTGGTACATGTAGCAAACACACACAGCACGCACGAGGGACTGCTGTTCCCTTCTACAGTACGAAATAAGTGTCTGTTCACGTACCTGATTGGCATTCTTGTTTCAAGATAGCATTCGGCAGAGTAGCCAGTGACTCATCCGAGAGAGCCAGGAGATCCTTCTGCCAATCCTCATCAAGGGCAGACCAGAAGTCGTTCACAAAATACCGGACCATGTGACTAGATGTGATAAAAATCGCTGAAGGACTATCCATCAGTGTGTGCAGCTCCCGAAAGCTATCATAGCATTCGGTCAGTGTCATGCAGTGGCCTTTTACCAGGTCATCAGCAAACAGTGAAGCACTCTCCGCCATTTCTAGGCAAATTATTTGCACACCGTCACACAGTGGAGAAGAAGGCGAAGCACGCTCTGAGATCACTGGATCATGCAATGGATGCAGCGTCTACGGTCTAGCCATTGCCTACTAATAGTACTACATAAACACTTGCCATTTTACAATAATAATCAGACAAGTGCTGAGTGCAGTATAAACAGTTTTGAATCAAAAAGACTCGTGATCGTACAGATACAGTATCAATAATTAATGCGAAATTTAAAAAAAAAGGTGCAAACATCGTCACCATGACGTGACCATATCACACACATAAAAAATGACAGCTTTGTAGCCGTACACAGTAGAAAGTAACGTCAGTTACGTCACCAGTCACGGCTTCAGTACGTAGTCAACACTGTACATTTCACCTGTACGAGTACTGGCGCCATGGCCGTGCAGGGTGTTTGTTGGATGCTGCCAACGCGGCAAAGTCCACGAGCGTCTTTCCCGCAGTGGAAGTGACTCGTTGTTCAGAAGAGATTTGCAGATTTTGACTACACGTAGCGTCCGTCATCGTGTGCATATTCACTGACAACACTGGGAAATGGCGTGGACATTCTGGCTATATAATGGCGCTGGGGAGCGAGATGGGAGACAGAACACAGCCGCTACTGGATCAGTAACCTGAATAAGCAGTCAGAAAGTCAATTGAGTAAATTCCCCAGTCTTACTACTACTCGTATCTTGAGCAAAGGTTAGAGGGAAGAAACACGTGCTAATAATTTACTATCAGCGATGGGCCTCTTCCTTGCTCGCTTGAAGAAGGTGTTTGACGAATTCGGCAACACTCAAGCTCGGATTCTGATGCTGGGTCTGGATGCAGCAGGCAAAACAACAATCCTCTACAAGTTCAAGTTGAATGAGGTGGTGTCCACCATTCCCACAATTGGCTTCAATGTAGAGACTGTTGAGCCAATGAAGGGCCTGACATTCACGGTGTGGGACGTCGGTGGACAGGACAAGATTCGACCACTGTGGCGTCACTACTTCACAGGGACAGAAGGACTGATCTATGTAGTGGACAGCGCCGACAGCTCGAGATTTGCCGAAGCACGTGCCGAGTTGCACTCAATCCTGGACTCGGAGGAGATGCGAGGTGTGCCGTTAATAGTTTATGCCAACAAGCAGGATCTGCCGAATGCTGCCCCACCGTCTGTCCTTATAGAGAAGTTACAGCTTAGCAAGCTTTCTGGTCATCAGTGGTATGTGCAGACGACGTGTGCTACAAACGGCGATGGTCTCTGCGAAGGTATTCAGAAATTCAGTCAGTTAGTGAAGGACTTCAAACGCACAAGGAACCAGTCCATGTACTGAGATACGGATTGATTTCAACAAGTGATCAGCTGACAATGCAAGCCTCACTCTAACTTTGCTACTATGTGCAAGACGAGTATCTCAAGGAGTGTTGAAACATATTATCGCATTCTGTTCAGAACATGTGCTTTGAGTATTCAGTGACGATTACTCGATTTCCATTCCTGTATATGTTACGTGCTGTATATTGCTGAATCGATTGCCTCTCTTTTATTATTATTATCAGGTACAACTACTCCACAACCCCTTTTAAAGTGAATACAAGTAAGAGCAAAACCTCATGATCTGTATCGATCACACACGCCAACGGTTTTGAATACACTAAGCTAGCCATTAAACAATTGATTATTGAAACTTCATCTAGGCTTCAAGCACAGAGACAACATACTGTACTACTGTACTATTTATCAAAAAATTCAAAATGACCATCCAATCCTCTTCATTACAGTGCATTATCCACATCCTTCTCATTTCACACTTTAGGGGAGCTGATGATACACATTTTCATCAATTTTGATTTGATTACAGGCAACCATCAACTTGAGAAATTGGTACAGGTGGATTGTGCTTGCTTTCCCGGGTATGTGTGCGAACACTGCAAAGGCTACCAATAGTGGTTCTAGAGGTCCCATTCATTGTGCTCGGGCGCCACTTACAATGGCAACAATTACCTCTCCAGTAGCTGGGGATGAGAGCAAATTAGACAGGAAATGTGATGCCCAAAGGAGAGCGAGTTCGATTTACTCAGTCGTAATACATGTACCGTTGGTTGCATTTTCGAGCCAAATTGTACTCCCATCCATTGCCTAATGGTATTGCATTTTCGAGCTAGTGTACTTGTATTTGTATTTATGGATTCTTCACAGGCCTTAGCCTAAATCGAGGGAGTCTCCGTGAACAGCTTTTAAAAAAGGTAGCTCATGCCGAAAAATGTTTTTCCGAAAATTCACCGGTTTGACACCGTTTTTGCAATGCTATTGGTGAGCAGCCGAATGAGAAAATCAGTATATCAGGGTAATTATTTGGACACTTTGGAGGGGTTATGGCTCCTCGACGTAGCCCAAACCAGGCGTTCTCTAAGAAAGAGACAGGTTTGCATTGAGGACAATAATATTAATGTGCTTCCAACCTTCATCTGTTGCTTCTTGCAATCATGTCAGTAATTCCCATAGAATCAGAACATGTCAGGGTAAATTTATCAGCAAACTGAATACACTGGTTGAAAGTATTTACTTCTGTGTGAGAACACAAATGAGAGCTTCATTGAGGCCGCGAAGTTTGGTTTCTCCTGGGTGAATTAATGAATTACTTCGTCATCTTGCATGCACGGGCTTTTTGGAAAACTTTAGCGACCGGGAGATCTAGTAACGGCTTCTTTCCTTCATTTGTAAGACTTAACAGAGCAAGAGTACATGGGGGTTATGTACTCTTGCCAGTCTTGGTAAGAGGAACAGTGCAGTGACTACAATAGTGGAGCATCCAACCACAGCGGCTCCTATCTTTGGGGAGAACGAGGTACACCGTCATGTACATGTACATGTGACCAAGCCGCTTTTACGGGCAACAATATTATGAATATAAAACGCAAGGTATTGTAAGAGCAATTTTCTGAAAATAATGTTAAAACACGAAATATAAAAATGCATTATCACACCGTAGCCACTTTTATGGGCAAATTCCAATACAAGGCAATAAGAAAACGAGGATGAAGTTAACCTTTTAACCCAAAGAAAAGACAAAAGGTGTCAACAATCGAACTACAAATATAAAAAACAAACATCAGGTCATAAAAACTACTTTAAAACATAACCAAATGACAGCAAAGCGTGGAGAATGAGAGTGACTTACAAAACAAAAGTAGTCCTACTATGCTTACAAAACAGAATCTACCTACACCACTAAGGAAGAAACATTAAATGATTGCAGTCTCACAAACACCGGCCTCTATCTAACGACCCATCAAACAATAACTCCTGAAATTCTTGACTGACTTTTTCTGGTAGGAGCTACGGCAGCCACGAAAACAGGTCACTGCCCAACGGAGTAAAGTGAACGAGAGCAGGCACCGCAATCGACCCATAACCAGCGAGTAGGCCAAGTCACTGTGTTTATCGACATACTGGGCTGCAAGACACTTGAGAAAGCGGTCTGCCTCCCGGCCACACATGCCATTCGTGGCGAAAACCAACGGGGTGAACGTGCCTCGGTCTATATTCACAACACGCGCTCCGTATTCCCGCTTTTTCATGCCTTCATGCTTTTGGAGATGGCGCTGGACTTCTGGACGCGACAGCAGGTTTGGCTTTGGGTGAGTCACCCGAACATCAAAAAAAGCCTCCTGCTGCGTGGACCAGAAACCCCGCGCCCTCACATCAAGGCGAGCTTCGGATTTCCTGTTGGCTGTACGATGGGGAAGATCCTCCCCATCAAATGGCGCTAGCACCGGCTCCACCTCCACGTCAGGCAATACCTCCGACAGTACACCCGCCAGCAAATCGCGAACATCATTATGGCGTGCGATGGTGTAGCCGCCAGTAGGACAAGCCATTGCATGCTCAGTGGTTAGAGTTGCTCCACAAACACAAGTCTCAGGGAGGCCATCCAGCTCCAAACCGTATCGGAAGCAGAGAGCATCCCGGAAATCAGATTTATTGAGTATGGTTACTGGCTGATTGTATGACGGTTGGGCGGTCAGCCAGCTGGAGGTGCCTTTCTCGCCCGCTGTTTCTAACAGTAGCCGCTGGCACGGAGACAGTCCAGGGCCAATCTCTGCCTGCACACCACGCGAAATCTGGTCCCGCTGTGCTCTCACCCGGCGCAGCCCAGCACGCACCGCAGCAACAGCCTCAGCGACACCACACGGACCACTAGGATTAGTCTCGCCAGGCTCTTCGACGCCTAATCCCACGGCAACAGGCTCCGCACGCAGCGCAGAGAGCGATCCGGCATCAGGTAGTTGGTCAAGATCAGGCGGAGGCGGACCCGCAGGTGGAGGCGACAACGCGCCAGCATAATCAGGCGGAGGCAGTCGCACATGTGGCTGGTCTAGACCAGGCGGAGGCAGCGACGCACGAGCACAGTCAGGCAGAGGCGGTTCCGCAGGCGGAGGCAGTGACACGGCAGCACGGTCAGGCGAAGGCAGTCGCACCGGCGGTTGGTCTAAGCCAGGTAGGGGCCGTCCCACAGGTGGAGGCAGCGACGCACCAGCACAGTCAGGCGGAGGCGGCCGCGGAGGCTGAGGCAGCGACGCATCAGCACAGGCAGGCAAAGGCGACCCAGCAGGCAGAGGCGGTGACATATTAGCACAATGATGCGGGGGTGGTCCCATAGGTGGTTGGTTAAGATCACGCAGAGGCGGTCCCGCAGGCGGAGGCAGTGACGCACCAGCACACTCAGGCGAAGGCGATGATAGCGCAAGCTGAACCAGAGGATCAGTGGCACTGACAGAGGCCTGATGTTCCCCAGCCGCTGTCTTCGACAATATGGGGACGGCGAGGCCCCCATGTCGGACAGGCAAAGCCATTAGCCGACGTTGGTGGCTGGCCTGCGCAATTCCATGACCCAGCAAAGCCGGCAGGAAATGGTCACTGAGGATCTCATCCAAGGCCTCCAAAACGCCTGTCGAGAACGGCATTGAGCGCAAGTGGTAAGTCCACCGTGATGACAGGGCCTTGGAGAAGACGGTATACGCCGCATGAGGTTGAGTCTGGGCGATCTCACACAAGGTGCGCAGGTCACCAGCCCATCTATCCGTCAACTGCCCCATATAAGAGCGGCAGAAATCTTCTGACCCTAGGGCGCCCCCGAGGAATCGGCCGCCAGCGGCGGTAATCTGGATGCCACTGTCGAAGAAGATTTCTCTGGCCCTATCCAGATGCTCTGGCTTTGTGATCAGAACAGTTTTGGACGCGTTCGGGTAGTAACCATAACCAGGGCCAATGGCCCGGAGTTCATCCCAGTAATTCCGAAGGCGAGCCAGAAGACCTGCACCCGAGTCATCATCCGCGAACCAAGACTGGACAACACTGGGGCATGTCGCAGCCAGGCGCCTGACCAGTGGCATGATCGCCACAGCATAGGCTGCCATAGCCAGTGGGTCGCCCTGAGCCGTGCCTTCACGCGATTCGATTTCACCTCCACCAGACACAAACAGGCGGGAAACTGATCCATACGTGTTACGAAACACCGTTGCAAGCGGGGGGCAGAGACGCGGAATGTTGTGTAGCGCAGCCTGCCTATTCAATGCATTAAATGCATTGGAGGCGTCCACAAGCAAGACACCCTCAACCCCCGGGCCAGCGAACAGACGGGACATTGTGTGTACGGCGGCTTCGCAGGCAGATGGAACGCCCACACAGAGTTGGACAGGAGCTGTTACACTCAGCACATCACTTTCCACTACTGACATCACGGCACGACCAATGATACGCCGGTACACTTCGCCCACAGCGATGGGGCGCACGCCAGGTTTCTTATCGAGGGGTATTAGGCGAGCGGATGTAAATCCAATCATGATGACGTAGATCATCCGTGTCACCATTCCAAGTCCAAGAGTGACATACAGTACATAATCATTGTACTCTGGTCGGAGGAGTCCATAACGCCCCGCCTACACAGCTGCGCCAGTGGATACTTTACTATTAATGTACTATTATGTACTCTTGGTGTCACTGTCTGACCGTGACTGGGACTTGTAATTAGTTGTAATGTAGGAGTCGCAAAATGATTCAAGCCCATACTGATTATGACTTTTATGCGGCTTTTATGCTTACAGCATTGAGTGGTTTTATGCTGACACATTTAGGATCATGGTAGAGAAGCTTCTAAGAAGGTCAGGGGTAACATGACCATTGCCAGAGTTCCACCTTGTGGAACAAATCTTCCAACACTTATACTTGTTAATATAGGGTCTCTGTAGTGTAGAGCATGATCGGATGCTCCAGTTATTTGCACGTTTTTAAAAGGAGGAGCCTGAGACTAATTGGATACGAGTTATAAATAAGATGGGTGCATGTAACTGTTCACCACTGTAACCACATGTGGATCTACATTGTACTGAGATACCATAGTGAGAAAGTGCGACAACTACTGTAGTGTAGGCACCACCGCAGGGAGTAACCGCGCTTCGGAGATTCAACGATCCTGCCCCAAAACATCTCCAACACTCGGCAACAGCCAATGCGCAGCCTTCCAACAGCCGTCCGACTTGGAAAGTAAGTTCATTTTTGGAGTCACAACACAATGTCTGGAGTAATGATAATAAATGTTTGAAAGACGTCTCAGTCTGACGATACAGTAGAATAGTGTTCGGAACAGCACTTGCCGGACTGTACTGTAGTGACAGTACTACCGTCAGTAGTACCGATACCACGAGTTCAAGACTCAAGACTGACATTGACAAGAGTCAAGAGTCAAGTCAAGTGTCAAAATGGCCATGACTGAAGACAAGAGTGATGAATCACAGAATATCAACGCAGAAACATGTCCCTCGAATAGAACAATGACGTGCCTTCTGTCACGGCATCCGCTGCACGTGCGGCGCTGCATGCTG